ACTGGAGGGCTGGACTCCAGAATGGGGACGACGAGAAGGAACAGTAGTGTGAGAAGGGTGAATAATAATAATAATAAAAGAGCAAAAAAAAAAAAAAAAAGGGAAAGGGAAAAGGAAAAGGAAAAGAGAGAGGACAAGCGTGTCAAGGAATGATCAGCACCACTTCTGCAGGGTTTCAAGATCCAGACAAATGGTTTTGACAGCCAGAAGGGGAGGGAAGAAGAGAGAGGATTTGGACGTGAGTTCAAATCTTCAAATCTCCAAGATTTGATTTGAGTTAGGTTAGTTTTCGAGGGAAAGAAAAAAGCTCAGTGGAAGTTCTCCAGCGGCTCTGGCTGTTTCAGCGGCAGCCTTTTGCCAGTCACTTCGACCCAAATTTGACTTTACGACCTGGACTTTTGGCTTGACTCGTTGTGGCGTCCGGACCATGACTTAGCGTGCAGTTGAGAAATCCACCGGTCCCCTTGGGTGGTTCTGACGGGCAAATGATCGGCCAGCGCGCTTGTCTGCTTCGGGACCTAGCGTTTGGCGGGTCGATTCCCAGGTGATTTACACAGGGCCACGCTGTTTTGGCACTTTAACCTAGTGTACTAAATTACTTTACTTTACTCTCTCATCATTTTTATTAGTCTAGTTTGCTCCGGTTGACTGCACCATGGAAAAGAGAAGGGAGGTAAAAAGAAAGAAAAGTAGAATTTTAGAGTGTTTCCCGCTCTCTCCACCTGCGAATTATAATATTCTTGTAAATGATAATTCTAAAGATCCAAAGAAATATGCCAAACCATGAAAATTAACTCGATGACTAATAATCGATTCCAAGAACTCTTTAAGATCTAGGTTATTTTTTTTTGGAATTTAATTCTTTTTGTTCACTTTCTTTTTAGTTTTGCCTTTTTTTTACGCTTTTTCCCCAGAGCGGCGTACATCAGATGCAAACCATCTTGAAATCAAGTTCAATAGGTGGAGACCCAGCCTGTAATTCATCAGTAGTACTATTCAGCCACATGGTGACGGCTGTGCCACCTTTTATGTCCAACGTTGCATCGTCACTGACTGGTCCCGAAACAGTCATACCCCTAAGCACCAAAATTAAAAGGAAAGGAAGGGGTCGCAAATTATTACCTATTCTTTAGATCTAGAGCAACAAAGAAGAAATCAAGAAATATCTCTGAAAAGTAAGATTCTCTCGCAATTGTTCTTCCGGGATCTCCGGCGGGGATTATAGCCGTACAATTCTATGTGATGGAAAACAAAGAGCCAAATCTTATGGAGTACACACTTCACTCCTGGGTTTACGAACAAGGCGCCTGTATACTAACGGAGTAGCTGCAGCAGCAACGTGTACCTACATCAATATTTTCCATCATTCGTCGCACATTTGCCATCGCAGGCAACATATTTTGCCGCCATCCTGGGAGGAAGCAACTTGTTTACACCTTAGTTTGGCCCTATTTCAGGGCGACGTGTCTAGGAAACGCCAAGGATCCCGGCAGTAATCGATCCATTCTAACAAAGACGTAGGTATCTACAAAGGTGAATGATGGTCCGAGATGACCCGAGTAATCAACCTCCATAAAGAATCAATGATGCTAGGTTTGGCCTGTGCAATAGGGTCATTGTACATACAGAAAAAGAACAATAGGTTATCGAGGAATGTGTGCTGCTGTTGTTGTTGCTGCTGTTGCTGTTTATACCAAATTTGAAGTGATCTCCACTTCTAGCGGAAGCTTCTATGTTTATTACTCGATAAATATCAAGGTACATATATATATGTACGTATGGATACATACTAATAAAAATAGTAATATGACCGTCAAATAATCTAGGCGTCATAGCCCAGCAGACATCCACCAATTTTAACTGAATCATAGGCAAGGTATATATACATATATGTAAACATGCCTTCCTTGGGCGCCAAGGCTAAGAGTGCCTCATTCCGTTTTCTCTCAAGAATTTCCACAAGGTGGATTGTTCCAAATTGGGTGTCCAATCAAGTGGAGGCGATCAATCGGAGCCGAATCAATCGAACCAAACCAAAGGCGGAAGGGCAGCTTTGACCGAAATCCACTCCAAACAGTGATTGATTGACGTCGATTTCTCACTCCTTCTACTAAGTTGGGTTTTATCGACAGCCTGCGGTCTGCGTGAATACCAGCAGCCGCAAGAGCTCGTTTCCACCATGGTGCTCCGAGTCAATATCCCCCCTGCGACCCGAACCTGCCTCATTACTCTGCTCACCCTCACCCTCCTGTACAATATCGCCCGATGGCGACAGATTGATGCTACAGAGGGTCACCCTCTATTTACACCAGTTGTGCCCTATTTGACGCTTATTCCATCGGAATTCTACTACTACCCCTGGACGCTCCTCACCGCAACTTTTGTTGAGCAGAACATCTTTACGGTGCTCTTGAACGCGGCCACCCTGTTCTATGGGGGCAAGTACCTAGAGCGCGCGTGGGGTTCTCGAGAATTTGCGAAATTTATTTTGACCATCGCAGTCATCCCAAATGTGGCGGTTGTTCCCCTTTATCTTTTGGGGACTGCCATCAGGGGTGGTTCGACTAGCGGGTATGCCTTGTTTTCCGATAACGAATGCACTGCCTCTTGCGCCTTCTCTACTGACTCCTCATCTTCAAGCTTAACGCAGAGCGTAACCCAAATCTGCGGTGGCATATCGATTCAAGCTTCCTTTCTTGTGGCCTTTAAGCAGCTTGTTCCCGAGCATACCGTTACAATCTTCAAGGGCCTGGTCAAGATGCGGGTGAAACATTTTCCTGCGCTCTTCTTATTGCTGAACACGATCAGTGGGACAGTGCTTGGGACACATATTGCGGCGACACTCGCTTGGCTTGGCCTTGTGACAAGTTGGACGTACCTCCGATTCTTCAAACGGCAGCCAGACCTGACCGGCACATCTACCAACGGATTAGGCATAAAGGGAGACGCTAGTGAGACGTTCGCATTCGCATGTCTCTTCCCAGACGTAATCCAACCTCCGATCTCGTTTGTTTCAGAGCAAGTCTACGCTTTGCTGGTTGCATTAAAGGTTTGCACTCCATTCTCAGAGGAGGATATTGCTTCGGGCAACCAACAAGTTCTGGCACGGGGGGAGGCCGGCCTCCCTAGTCTCCTTAACAACCAGAGAGGCGGAATGAGGGGGGCCGCTAAGCGTGAGGAGGCGGAGCGGAGACGTGCTTTGGCCCTCAAGGCTTTGGACCAAAGGCTTCAGGCGGCAGCAGTTGGGAGGGCACACTCCCCATCCCCGCTGAATCAGCAAGGATCAAGCCAAACACAGACTGCAACACCGACCGTAGCAGCAGGCCAGGGCATGCTGGGCGAGACGAGCTATACGCCGGACCATGCCTAAAATGGAAAGGCACTGTGCACTTCGTAGTTATTCGGGAGTTTTTTGGTATGGTTAGGAACGACTCGTGTCTGTTGGCCTGCTACTTTTGAGCGTGGAATTTGAATATCCAGACCGTGTAAGGCTTGATGGGAAAGGCTATGTTTCGATGTGGCATTTTTTCGACTTGTATTTGGATGTATAAAATAAGCCCGGTGGGCCAAGGCTCGTTGCTTCTTCGCTTTGATGATATCCTGATAATACATCTATCCCATAAAATCACACGGAAAAAGCTAAGCCATTATTTAACAGAAAGGGCACCTAGAACTACATATTCTAAAACAGCATATAATGAAAAACGAAAAAAAAAAAGGCTATGCTACAGTTCATCATGCCCAGCGTCTTCTCGCAGCTCCTAAAAAGTCGCTATCAGACTCACAGTTGCTTCAGTTTCTCAATCTCTCCCCGAGCTTCTTGTAACATCCGCTCTTGATCCTTCTTAGCCTGCCGCATAGCAGCTATCCGCATCCGGTCCTTGTCCGACTGCTGACGCAGTTGCTCAAACTTTTTTAACTCCGTCTCCTCCTCCGGAGTAGCAGGCACATCCTGAGCGCCAGTCATGGTCTTAACTTTATTCCAAATCTCCTTATAATCGAGGTTCTTCAGATCCACAACCGCCGTCTTCTCTGTCGACTCCGGCGCTGGAGCATGTTTATCCTCAATCTTAGCCGCGGTCAATGACGCGGCATTGCTTGCCCGCTCCGCGAAGTATATCGTCAGTGCTGCCGGCCCTTCCTGATCTTGTGTCTGCTTCACGGTCATCTGGAGGCCCGGATTGTGGTACTTGAGTCGGGGCAGACAGTTGCGCCAGAAATGTCGTGCGCCTTGGTGGCCGCCATAGATCTTTTGGGCGTATGTGAGGTGCAGACGGGTGATTGCCGGGAATTCCTTAGTCGCAGAGATGGGAGAGGGAAGAATTGCAGCTCCGGTTCCTACGCGGACGTTAAGGAGCTGTTCAAATATGAAGTTAGTTCAAGCGCTTTCAGTTTAAATAATGCTTCCGTGTTGTCGTTCCAGGGTAGATCTGAGCGTCGGATTCCACTGTGATCTTGCCACAAGATTGGGGGGGTTGGTAGGGGAGTGAAGGACGATCTATAGGGAGTATTACCTTCTGTAAACGGGTTAAGATATCAAGTCAGCCCTTAACATGTACCAGTGTGCAGTCAATGGGTTTGGATCAACTTACGCTTTTCAGCTTCCGCATCCGCTTGAATACGTTGACCATGATGACGGAAGAAAGCGAAACACGCTCTGACTGTTGCCTGCAATTATAAATGAGTCTTTTTAAGGATCGAGAAAATTAGCCGACCCGGGGATGGATCAACTGCAATAGTCCCGAGCGGAATTGGATGGAGTGCTGCTCGGAGCTCATCTCGATTTTTGGCCTGTCGGCGGAAAGATTGAGACGGTCCGATACGCAAGTCATGTGACAGATATGGAATGGTCTTGTGCCAATCGATGTCGCGCTCGCCTTGCAGTATTTCAATCGTACCATAGCATATTTTGAACCCAATCTGGAATACCTGATCATATTAGTGAACCACTCATAGTGATTATTAGCAGTTTTACCCTTAACTCATGCCATCACGATAAAGAATGTAGTACCATATTGTGCCAAATTCGGTAAGCGGTGTCAATGGTACTGCCGGGGTTTTCATTCCCACATAATCTTTTCGAGTCAGAACCCGTCGATAAAGCCTTACCCCGCGGCAGAGTTATATAGACCCTGCTTCAACCACCCCGTTTAGGGCTCTTTACTTAAGTTTGCAACACGGCAGACTATTTATTAAGAGCCATGGCAGCCGCTGCTGCTTCTGCAGCTGCGCTCGACCCGAGCAACGGCACCAAGAACACTCTGAAGCTCGAAAATGTTCAGTCTACCCCTCTTCCCCCAGGTTTCTTTGCTTAGACAGTACTAATTAGTGGATCTCGAAATAGACCGAGAAGAGAGACACCCTCATCGCTATCGAGAAAAAATACCAGGCACAATGGAAGGAGAACAGGGTTTTCGAGGTCGATGCCCCTTCCTTCTCGGAGGTTCCTGAGGGCTCCATGTCCGCCGCGGAGCTCCGTGCGAAGTATCCCAAGTTTTTCGGAACTATGGCTTATCCTTACATGAACGGTACCCTGCATGCAGGCCACAGTTTCACCGCTAGCAAGGTCGAATTTATGGCCGGTGTTGCCCGTATGGAGGGTAAGAGGGCTCTTTTCCCTCTTGGATTCCATTGCACTGGTATGCCTATCAAGGCATGCGCGGATAAGCTCAGGGATGAGGTTGCCAAATTCGGACAGAACTTTGAGGGCTATAAGGAGGAGGATGAGGAGGAGGAGAAGGCCCCAGCTGCCCCCACTCAAGAAGTCAAGAACGAGCAACAAGAGAAGTTCTCTGGAAAGAAGAGCAAGGCCGCCGCTAAGACCGTGAAGATGAAGTACCAGTTCCAGATTATGTTGGCCATTGGCATTCCTTTGGAGGATATCCATAAGTTCGCCGACGCTGATTACTGGCTCCAGCATTTCCCTCCTCTGGCCATTCGTGATCTTGACAGCCTGGGCGCAAGAATTGACTGGCGCCGTCAGTTCGTCACCACTGATGCGAACCCTTACTACGATGCCTTTGTGCGCTGGCAAATGAACCGCCTTCATGAACTGGGTAAGATCCAGTACGGTAGCCGGTACACCATCTACTCCCCCAAGGACGGACAGCCTTGCATGGACCACGACCGGACTAAGGGTGAAGGTATCGGACCCCAGGAATATACCGCCATGAAGTTGAAGGTGAAGGAATGGGCCCCACAGGTTGCTGAGCTTGTTAAGGGCAAGATCGAGGACGATGCTAGTGTGTACTTCGTTCCTGCTACTCTGCGCCCGGAGACTATGTACGGTCAGACTTGCTGCTTCCTTGGCCCTAAGATTAACTATGGTATCTTCAAGGTGAATGAGAAGGAGTACTATGTTTGCACTAAGAGGGCTGCTTGGAACATGGCTTTCCAGGGTACTTTCTTCAGCAGTGACAATTTCCCCAAGTCTCAGGATCAGTTGCCGCTCGTCGTGGAGGCTCCGGGATCCGCCTTCGTTGGTACCCTCGTTAACGCCCCGCTTTCGTTCCACACCGAGGGCGTGCGCATTCTGCCTATGGAGGGTGTATCTGCCACCAAGGGTACTGGTGTCGTCACTTCCGTGCCCTCTGACAGCCCTGACGATTATGCTACTTTGGCCGATCTTGCTAAGAAGCCTGATTACTATGGCATCAAGAAAGAATGGGCTGAGTTGGAGATATTCCCTCTTATTGAGACTCCAACATATGGCAACCTTACTGCCCCAGCCCTTGTCAAGCAGCTTAAGATCAACTCCCCCAAGGATGTCACCCAGCTAGCAAAGGCCAAGGAATTGGCTTACAGTGAAGCTTTCTACAAGGGTACTATGGTTGTGGGCGAATTCAAGGGCGAGCCTGTGAGCGCTGCTAAGGACAAGATCCGGCAGGCTCTTTATAAGAACGGCGAAGCCTTCCCATTCGCCGACCCCATGGGAGAAGTTGTCAGCAGAAGTGGAGATGACTGTGTGGTTGCTTACCTCGGCCAATGGTTCCTAAACTACGGGGAGAACGATGCCAAGTGGCAACAGGATACCCTAAGTCACGTCGTGAACACCCTCAACACATACACCAACGAGACGAAGAATGGTTTCGAGAAGAACCTCGACTGGCTCAACCGCTGGGCTTGTGCGAGAACCTATGGTTTGGGCTCTAAGCTACCATGGGATCCTCAGTTCCTCGTGGAGAGTTTAAGTGACAGCACTGTATACATGGCCTACTACACCATTGCTCACTTGCTGCACGGTGATCGGTACGGTGAGACCACCGGTCCCCTGAATGTGAAGGCTGATCAGATGATCGATGAGGTCTGGGACTATATCTTCACAAGACGCGAGATTAGCGATGAGCTGGTCGCAAAGAGCGGGATCAGCAAGGAAGCATTGCAGCAGATGCGGAGAGAGTTTGAATACTGGTACCCGCTGGATGTAAGAGTTTCCGGAAAGGACCTCATCCAGAACCACTTGACCTTCTTCCTCTACATCCATGTTGCCCTCTTCCCGCCAGAGTACTGGCCTCGTGGTGTTCGCGCGAATGGACATCTACTCCTTAACGGTGATAAGATGAGCAAGAGTACCGGTAACTTCCTCACATTGAAGGACAGTGTTGACAAGTTCGGTGCCGACGCAACTCGTATTGCGTTCGCCGATGCTGGTGACGGTATTGAGGATGCCAACTTCGATGAAACCGTTGCTAACAGTAACATTCTGAGATTGCACACCCTCAAGGAATGGGTCGAGGAGATCGCCAAGGATGAGTCTCTGCGCACTGGCCCCGCTGATGCGTTCTGGGACAAGATCTTTGACAACGAAATAAATGGCCTGGTCCGTGAGGCCGTGAAGCACTACCAAGAGTAAGCCATAAGAAAACCTCTCACCCTTACTTGTTAATACGGACAATCATTAACCACACTATAGCACCGATTTCAAGCTTGCCCTGAAGTCTGGCCTGTACGACATGATTAGCGCCCGTGATGCCTACCGTGAATCGGCGACATCGGCAGGCGTTGGAATGCACCGTGACATCGTCCTGCGTTACATCGAGCTGCAAGCCCTCCTGTTGGCCCCCATTGCACCTCACTGGGCTGAATATGTTTGGCTTGAGATTTTGAAGAAGGTTCGTGATTTGTGGAAGTATTGAAGAGCATATATAACTAACAGCGTCTGCCCTATAGCCCGAAACCGTGCACAACGCTCTTTTCCCCCAAGTTCCCGAGCAATCCCCAGAGCTGACGGCCATCACAACCTATGTCCGCACCACTTCCTCTAGCATCACCTCTGCCGAGGCTCAGCTTGCTAAGAAGGCCTCTAAGGGCAAGAATACCGGCTACGACCCCCGTAAGCCCAAGAAGCTCACAATCTACGCTGCGAAGAAATACCCCTCGTGGCAGGAGAAGTACATCGACCTGGTCCGCGAGGCCTTCGATGGCCTCAACCTCTCGGTCAACGACAAGGAGCTGAATGCCAAGGTTGGCAAGATGGGTGAGATGAAGAAGGCTATGCCCTTCGTTCAGACCCTGAAGAGGCGCCTTATTCAGGGCCGCGAGGAGCCCGAGACTGTCTTCAGCCGGAAGCTGCCTTTCGATGAGTTCGCTGTCCTGAAGGAGATGATTGTTAACCTGCAGAAGACCACTGGCTGCAAGGTGATTGAGGTCATCGCTGTGGATGAGGGTGGTAAGACTGGCGAGGTCCTGGGCTCTGGCGAGAAGAAGGAGGGTCTCTCCGCGGAAAACGCCGTCCCCGGTCAACCCACCTTCCAGTTTGTCAACATTGAAGAGAGCAACTGAAAGAGATGATCATACATATCTAGACTCATCCTGTGAAAGAACTATAAATATCTATTTTAAAGAGAATATGAAGAATGCAATGGTTGTTATGACATGGTTTAAATACAGATCCTGTAGATCCTACTCAATAAAAACTGTTTCCCTATCCCAATTTCTATCAATCAAACAACCAGAGCCCTCAACTCGACCTCAAAACCCCAATCAACCTACCCCGAGTAAAGAAAAAAAAAACAAGCCCATCAGTCAAGAACCTTGAATCTCAATTTGAAAGACATAAAATAAAACAAAACATACCTCCCCAACCCCACCCTCAAAGTCCCCTCATCATGCGCAAAAACAAGCCTAAACCACCCAGCCTCCCGCGCATGTTCCTCCCCCGGATGCAAAAAAACCTTCGCGTCGAGGAATCTCTGTGCTAGGGCAAACTCGCGCTCTTGCACCGGCCGACCAGGCTCAGGAAGGTACGGCGAGAGATCGATATAAACAAAGAACCCCGCATTCCTGAATGAGAATCTCTTAGCAGGGCATAATGGAATAAAACGCAGCGGTGTAGTGAAGTTCAGTAAGGAATTGAGGAGATTGATGAGAGTGGAAATGGCATTTTTCTGCATGTATGTATGCATGTATGTCTTACCCTCCTTTGACGTAGTTGATGCCTTCTTGGTCGAGCGTTGAGGTGGCGATTCGGTATGTTGATGCTAGGCTGAGACGGGATTTGCGGGTAAATTGGGTGACGAAGGCTTGATCTTCAAGGAGGGTTGCAGCGATTGTTATGGAGGCTGTTGAGGGGCTGTGGAGTCTCCTGTGAACATATTAGATTGCTAGATGGTGGGATTGGTGATATGGATGTGGTTTGGGGGGAGTAGGGGGTAGGGGACTGACAATATGGCTTTGCAGGCTTGACGGAGGGGTGCGTTTGCCGTGACGAGGAATCCGAGGCGGAGGCCTCCGGATGCGAAGTCCTGGGGTTTGGGGTTAGTTTGGTGGTGTACATTATACTGGATCGGTGGAGAGACTGCTTGCCTTGCTGAATCCGTATAGCAGGTGGACGAGATTGGGGTCGATGAGCTCGGGGGTACTGATTGCTAAGGCCGAGGTGAAGGGGACTGCGGTTGGATCTCCTGAGTCAAAGACGCAGGATGCATAGATCTCGTCACTGATGAGATGGAGTCGGCGGTTGTGGCAGAATCGGAGGATTTCTTTTAGTGTTTCTGTTGGGTAGCAGCGTCCTAGTGATGGTTGGGTCTCTGTACGGCGATTCAATCATGTCAATGTCTATAGTTGATACTTACCTAGTGGGTTATGCGGGTTCACGATTAACATTGCTCGGATTCTGATACCCTGTTTCTGTGCGCGTTTGAGCGCTACGTCGTACTTTTCTATGACGGCTGGGGTAAATGCTTCCTCAGGGTCGGTGTCCGCGTACACGATCTGTATGTCCGCTTCGACCCCGTAGTCGAGTTCAAAGCGTCCATAGACCGGTCTACTGACTAGGATACCGTCGGAGGGCTCTGCTAGGGTGAGCCCGAGCATGTTTCCGATAGCCGTAACACCACTAGCGATGATGACAGTTTCGGGATCTATCGATGACAGCGGTTTCAGGATGTTGTTGAGGTGGGAAGCCACTGCATTTGGAAGACGACTTGATGTTGACGAGCTGGACCCATAGCCAATGGAGTTCTCGGTGAAGGTGACCTGTGTGGATGCAAAGAGAGGTGAACTTGCGCGCTCAGGGATATAGAAGAGTAGTACTATCGTAGAAATGGCGGGCTATTGACCTTATTGTTTATGTACTTTGCTATTTCAGACCGCATTGGGCTCTATCGGACTGTTAGAGATTCACGCGAATACTTGGCTTGCCCAAAGAATTGACGTACATGCTCTGCCGTGCCAAAGGAGATCAGCCCCGCGGGGTTCATTTCCTTGTCGTATGTATGCGGAGGGGCATAACGCCAGGGAATGTTCATCAACTCTGCCTTCTTGGTGCCGCGGGAAGAGAGCATATTGGACCGGAGCTATAATGAGGGACGGGAATTTGAATGGCCTGAATGAATAAATAGTGCTCAGATGACAAGAGTCACTGGATTAAGGACCTTGGGCGATGTTATACAGACCATTATGTCAGCGCATTTGAGCGATCTAGGGCTTCGTGAAACGGGCGATTTACGTATGGATATTCAATCCTCAGAAGAGTCAAAACAAACGCCTCAACTGACGTGCCTGGAATGCAAGTCTAGAATCCAAAAAGTGAGTCTCTCCCTAGAAACCCATACAAGCTGGAGCTTACGGCATCATAACTCAAAGTAGGTAATGTATGCCGCTCCTGCAGGACTGCTTAGGGCTCGAACCGCTGCAGCTACAGCAGTGTACCTTGCCATACTCTATTCTTGTGACTGTCGGCGTAGTCACACACGCCCTTCACAATTATGCATGAAAGAAATCTGCAGATTCCTGCAGCTTCCTTTTCGAAAGCGATGAAGTTTCCCTTTTTCTGAAATCATATCAGGATATTTTCCAGACTTCAAGACAACGTCGCCGGACGCAAAATCACCAAAATGTATGACTGACTGGTTGCCTTTTTACAGGTATTCGCGGAATTATTTCAGGAGCTTTTTTCTCCCTACTTTATAGCTTTCTATAAACCACCGAGTCTTTGTCTCTAGCGTAGTCACATCATCCCTTGAAAACCCCATTTCTTCGGATCTTTCCGGCCGCCCAGGTCCATACTCGGGGATACTTTCGCTGAAGACAACATCCCCAAGGGTGATTTCCTCACCACTGAAGACTTTCGGCATTGCGCCACAGGTTTCAATGAGCAGAGCAAGCTTGAGTTTCCGAAATCATCCTGTGAAGCTAACTACTGTACACGCAGCGCTGCCTCTCTCCATTCTGGGCAAACGGGCTAGAACTTTCCCATGGCCGGCGAGTCGACCTATGGTATATTTTTCGTCCAAGGCAGCATGTTCTATCTCATCCGAGGTGTTCGTTTCGCATATTTTATCGAAGAGAGCATTGACCACGGCGGCCTCTATCGGTAAGGCGCATATGATGCAAATCTCAACGTCACTTGGGTCTGCCGACGGGGGCATCATGTTGCGATGAGTTTGGGGCCTTTTGGCCCAGAGATATACTTTTCGTCCCTAATATGCTCATTGCCAATTATAATGTGTGTCAGATGCCTAATATATGAGGGGCAGGTCTGCGTTGACACAGCATTAGACTAGCCAACCATGGTCGGCCAAGTTGGTTTATATGACGGCTTTATTTGCAACTGACCATATCATCTACCTAAGTCGCACATCGGTTAACTCTCTAGTCAAGACGCTTGAACTACAAAACAATGAGTAGACCCGATATTTCAAAGATAATACGTTCAATTTATTATCATTTCACTCCCCGAATACTCATAATAGGTGGTACCATAATTGCCATACATAACCTTACCACCCTAAGCAGACACCAAAGCAGCCTCAGTAACCTTCTTAAGGCTCTCCCCAAGGTCCGCGTTAACCTTTCCAAAGAGTTCTATATAGATATTAGTAGAAGAACCAGCTATAGATGGATATATATCCGCATACCATAGACCGCATTACGCAACTGAGGCGACTTAACACCCTTCAGGTGGGACGCAATATTTCCAATCGTTCTCTCCTGATGACCCGGGTCCCGGCCAATGACCTCCCAGAGCCCGGCCGGCTGGACGAAATCATCGTCCGTGATATGTGTCTGGAAGTTGGACACTTCTCCCACCCATTTCTCGTGCTCGGTGCATCCGCTGAGCCGACTGACTTTCGAGTTCTTCACCTCCTGGTAGAACTTGGTCGGCTGGAGGGACGAGCCGACGTAGTTGGGGTCCCCGCCGTAGTTGTCGTCGAAGCGCATCGCGCCATCTCGCTGGAAGGGGCAGTAGACGGGAGCTTTGGCTGCGTTCGTTGGGAGCTGCTGGTAGTTGACTCCGAGACGGTACCGGGCTGCATCGGGGTATGCGAACATACGGGCTTGGAGCACTAAGGTGAAGGTTAAAGGGTTGAGTTCTAAATTCTGTCTGGGGTAGGGTAGGGTAGAATGGAAACATACTTGGGTCAGCGGAGGGTGCGATACCTGGTACCATTGTGGATGGGGAGAAGGCTGCCTGCTCGATATCGGCGAAGTAGTTCCGGGGCTATATAAACTGCGAGTTAGGACTGTGGCCTGGAGTCATTGCGTACGCCGTTGAAACATACATTGCGGTTCAGGGTCAATTTTCCGATCTGTCTCAAGGGGAAGTCTTTGTGAGACCAGACTTTGGTCATGTCGAAGATATTCCACCGGTATTTCTCTGCTTCGGCGGGGTCCATAACCTGGACGTAGATGTTCCACACGGGGTAGTCGCCCCTTTCGATGGCTTCGAACATATCCTGGATGAGGTAGTCGGGATTTTCGCCTGCGATCTTGATGGATTCTTCCCGGGTCATGTTCTGGACACCCTGTGCGGTCTTGATGTGGAACTTAACGTATTTGAATGATCCATCCTAGCGACTCGTGGGTTAGGTCTTGCACTCGGTCATTTGATAGGATTGGGGAGTAGTTGTCGTTACCTCTTTTGTGAACTTGTAGGTATGTCCGCTATATGCATTCATATGACGGATAGACCTCGGTGTTCCGCGATCGCTGAAGAGATGAAGGAGCTCGTGGATACCTTCGGGGTTACCAACGTGGAAGCTGAAGAGTATTAAAACAGAAGCTAGAATGTTATGGCATAATTGTACTTACTCCCAGAACTATACCAATAGCCAAGATCAGCATTGTATTCTCGTATTACCTGTCTATCGGAAAAAAATATGAGCCACTCACCATATTAGGATCAGGGAGATGAGTGGTAGGATGTCTCTTGTGCGAACGGTTCAGAGAAGGGAATTTAATCGGATCGCGAACGAAGAAGACCGGCTGTGCACACATCAGTTATCTAGTTGCCCCATATTCTTGAGAAGGAAAGCATGCGGACCGTGTTGTTGAAGACCCAGTCCAAATTCCCCTCATCGGTATACGTCTTCATCGCCCATCCATGAACATCCCGAGTCGTGTCAGCTGAACCTGCTTCCGGTCCAACTGTAGATACTCGAAGGAGGACGGGGGATTTCTTTCCTGCCTTGCTCAAGAAACTAGCGGAGGTGATATCGGAGCAGTCACTGGTAGCCTCGAATTCGCCATATGCGCTGTTGTTGGGGTGTATAAGCTTGATGTGCTTAAGCCTGTCGGACATATATATTTGTTACTTACCCTGCTGCCTTGGCGTGGACCACACTAAAGATTGTTAGAAAGTTAGGACAGACAAGTAGACTCCACTATGTATGGATTCAGAAGCTTACCGCTCCGGGATTCTCTCACGAGAGAAATGAGCGAGAGTCTCGATGAGCTGTGTATCTTGAAGCAAGGAAAGCCCACCACCTAAGCTGTTCCGCAGCTGGAGAGTGGTACTGTTGCTGGCAAAAGGGCAACCTGATCTAGTTAGTGAGTTGAATTCCACCTAGAACTTAGCTTTTAGGATGGTAGATCACCTTCAGCCAAAGTATAGTAGCGCCCAGCCATGTTGGTATTGGTGTCTGTAGTCAATGTTTACAGGTAGAGCAAAGTAGGAAGAGAGATTTACTCTTTCCCACTTTGGCGGGGAGGACTACCAGAGCTATATATCCGGGACCCTGAGCACTTCCTACTCCGATTACGCTATAGAGTGGTTATTCCTCTTTTGGTTCCTCCATTGGAGGGTCACCAATTACATTGGACGTTTTGCAAAAGGTCTGCGTTGTTCGTGCAGAGGAATATGCAGCAGACCCTGCTAGATAGACTAAGAGCACCGCTGTAACAGTACCTTGGATCCATTCCTAGCACGCCCACTGGCCTGAATAGATAGTCTAAGTAGGGTCTAGGTACAGACCGGGGCGCGTGGCGCCGTCATCTCAGGCGCAAGAGTTCGGTCAAGTACCCACGGGAAACCCTAACTGCGGGTGCTGATGGGAGGATGAGTGATGCGCACTGGAAATGCACGCATTCTAGACTGGAGCTCCTGCAGCTTGAGGAACCCCCTCATTGCGAACAGCATCCCCAATCCTGGAAATCTCATTGGAAGTTGTCGGATTTTATCTTCTCTATCGTGTTTGGGTGAACTGTGGTTGAGATGGTGGAGGGTCCGACTATACCGAAAGCAGTATTACTACTGGTCCAATCACTTTCAGAAGCAATGACGTCCTGCACTTTTTGATCCTCAAACCCTAATTAATGCTTTCATAAAGGATGACTGATGGGCTTTATAAAATATCTTCGCCTCCCTTTTGCATTTACTCAAATCTTAAGTGACATCCTATATGTCCGAGAATAAACCAAGTCTTACATACTTCTGAGGTAATCTGGAGATAATAATCAACGCCAGATAACCCTATCAACATATTGAATATAAATCATGTCCGAAGGTTAGTTAAGCCTTGCCAAGCTCATCTGTCTCCTAGACTGAAAGTCCCGCAGAATCGCATCCACAGCACCGTCATGGCTTCCTGGATAGGGTGCTCCACCCGGGACGCTATCACCACCAAAAGGAGGAGCAACACCAGGAGGAGCAACGCCAGGATCAGCCCGAGTCTCAGGGCCAGGAGTCGCAGAAAAAGGAGGGTGAATTGGACAAATTCAAGGACTACATCAAAAAAGACGAGGAGATGGAAGAAGAGGGTGATACTTATGCTGGTTTGATGTGACTTGTATCATGACATATGTTTTGTAAGTGATTTTTGGTAGTTATGTATGCTAAAGAAGATTGTAATGCTACTTGATAACCAAGTGGAAGTCAATACTGGATAGGAGATGTCTATATGGATAAGTTAGTTTAATAGTACAGTACTTTTCTTTTCCCAGAATAAATGCCCGATCAAAACACCAATCGCTATGCTGTATACTGTGCAGGTGTTGAATAAAACCCAAAAAGGAATCATAGTAGTAGCCTCCGTTGATCGATGATGGAAATGTTCAGACTCTCGATCCATGATGAGCGCGCTTCTTCTGACTGATACTCTGTCGCCCTCGCCCCGCTCTCTTGCGCTTGTCTGAGGCCAGCTTCTCGGCGATGAAATCCCAGGCTTCAAGCGGGCGCCGCACGCCAACATGTTGTCCGTTCGGGGTGAATATCTCCACCTGCGGCAACGATCTAGAGGACTCGCCCTCTAGAGACTTAGCGCGGATCTGCGCCGTGAGCTCGACCCAGCCGCATCCCTCAATGAGGATATCTGCCGCCATCACCTTGTAGGGCAGGGATGGGAGTTTCATCTTTTTATCTTCCACTGCCTTCGCGATCGACGTTGGCAGATGCGACCGAGTCACGTCCCACTGCAGGTCAAAAACCCCTGCAGACGCAATTGCGTTGCTAATGCCTTCTTTCACAATACTCTCTCCGGGGTAAGGACGCTGTTCAGCCTGCATCTCCACAGCCTTCTCGGTTTTGGTGAGATGGGCTTCGATCGGGATGAAGCAGGCTGCCATTAGTATATCGTTGGGGTTTACTGACGTGATTCGTACAAGGCCCCCCCCTAAAAGTAAGGACTGACCTGGCCTAATAGTATATCGATCTGCCTTTACCCGGCTAGTCATGAGAATATCTCGCTTATGTTCATCACGGAGATAGTCTGCTAGTTGGCCTCGCTCCAACCCGGGCAAATCGATCATTTCACCCCTGCCTCGGCCAAACGGTATGCGGATCGGCGAAACAGTAGTCCCTGATAGAGATGAAACAATCGGAAGGACAGGATAGGGATGTTCCTCAGGAGCAGGTGGTAGAAAGCCGTCAGCGCCGAGGTCATTGTCCGACTCCGCTTTACGGCGCTCGACTAGTTCAGCAACCTTCTCAAGGTTCTCAGAGCCCTTGGGAAAGCAAGCTTCTATAAAGCTACTCTTCCCGACATTAGCCTTGCCAACTACCCAGATACCGCCTCCGTGCTCCTTGATTTCCTTCTTGACCTTCTTGTTCCACCACCCGCGGTGTGCGCTTATCATATGCACATTGCCTAGACGGAAATCTGTGGATGACTTGCCAAGTGCGTCGCGGAGGACCGAGCGCACGTACTCCATTTTCGAGTCGACTTTTTCCTTGGTAGGACCTAAGAGGTCAGAGCGTGTTATGACAAAGCTAATGGTAGGCAGTTTCTTTCCTCGTCGATATTTCTCGGTGGAAGCTCGTCGGTTATGCGACCGCTGTTCTTGAATGGAGAGTGCTTCGTAGATATTGTCGACAAGAGACATGGGAAAGTCCGCTGCGTCAATAACATGGTAAACCCGATTGTATTTGTATGGTGACTCCTCAAGGTATGCCCCGATGGAGTCTATCGAGGGCGAGATCACAGGAACCGCTTTGTTATGATGTATGAGACTATGACATCTATCGCAGACCGGCATTGGAGCTCGGGGCTTCTCAATGACCGGCTCAACGGTGGCTGTGATTTCGTCAACTAAAGCGCCATCTAAACAGTTGGATTAATACCATTCCTAAACAGAACAAGATGAGTACCACATACAAGCAGGTTTAGGAGCTTTCTTTGCCTCCGCCTCCTGGTGGATAAGAAACTGGATAGTATCAAGCAACTGCCGGGTCGTGTCTGTTAAATATGACTCTTCTTCTCCGGATTCTTGTTCGGCCTCTTCCAGTTCTCGTTTGGGCTCTTCCGATTCTCGTTTGGCCTCTTCCAATTGTCGTTCCGCCTCCTTGAAAAACTTCCACGTTGCTTTCCTGGTTTTGCTGTAATATCCAGCTTGGTCGGGGTCAACAACTTGCGCATATGCACCACATCCCGGACAACAGGTGAAAGGAAGAGCACCCGCAATAGCCTCCAAGGGTGGCACACGTAATGGGGGACTTGAGGATAGATGGCGTTGCTGCGTTTCGTTGATTAGACCATTTACATTCCGAACGGGTCGCACCTCTGGCCGCTGAAAAAAGCCCCGTGTGAAGTGTGCTCCCGAGAGCTGCCGTAACGAGTTCGGGACGCGTGAGATAATCTGATTCAACCGGAGCGCCTTTGGGATTACGCGCCCAAGATATGGCGACATGACGGCGATGTTCTTTGCACGTGGAAGGAATTGAAGGTTTGCGACAGACTTAGGCTTGCGATAGCGGTGATAAAGAGCGGCAGGTCTCCCGCCGCTCCGATTCCGTCCGTGGCAAACAATGGAAATTCTACAAACAATAATATTGAATATGAAATGTCTCGCCAAAAGAAAAAGTGTTATGATTCAATCAATTCTCACCGCTAAGGCCTTTCGCTACATCAAGAAAACAGAGCGCAACAATGAAAAATGAAAAAAAAAAAAAAATTTTTAACGAAAGATAAACAGCACAAGACACAGTTCAAGCCTTCGCCTTGCCTTTCTCTTCGGTATCATCAACCTTATCGTCTTCTTCTTCCTCCGAATCGCTCATAAACTCATCGTCATCATCAAATCCAATAAACCTTCGCGGCGCCGCAGACTTGGGAGCCGGCGCTGACGGTCCCGGCGCATCCTTCATCTCTTGCTCTTCTTCACTCTCTTCATCCGAGGTAGAAGTAGAATTCCGTCCGCTTCCTTCACTGGCACTTGTACTAGATCCTCCCAAAATGTTGTCGCGAATGGTATCGTGAAGATTATCCGTCCACATGCCATCTTTCATCGCCGCCAGGACGGCCTCTCTAGCTTTCTCGTTCATTTCTTCTTTATCTTCCATCCATTGGCCGTCAATCTTCTGCTTCCCGCCACCGTTCCTGAGCTCTTCCTCGCGTTTTTCCGCGGCCTCGACAACAGCTTGCCACCTCTTTCGGCGCTCCTCTTTTTCCTTGCGGTCCATCTCAGGCTTGACTGCAAGATACTCGGCTAGCGCTTTGGCTTCGTTGACGGTACGGAGACGGCGCCCGTCGAGGTTGCGACTGGAGCCATTATCATCGCCCTGGTTGCGCTTCCGCTTGCTTGACATGCGCCCACCGGCTGCTCGAAGCTGGGAACCGAAACCACCTTTTCCTCCGCATAGGGGCACTGAAAGGCGGAGGGGGAGGAGATTTGAGGTTATGATTTCGCCATTAGGAGCAATTAGGTTAGAGATTGAAATGTCAGATGAAGGAAAGATTTGTTTGTTGCTAGTCGTGGTCAAGATGAGTGATTGAAGCGATACGGATGGCGGGATATATGAGGAAATCTTTTCAGTGAGGTCTGTGATGGTCGATGTTGAGGGGAGTGAGAATGAGAGAGTCGAGGGAAGACAGAGACCAGGGATTGTCGAGAGGAGGACGTTCACATGTTGCGGAGCCATTTTGGTGGTACCTGACTGATCAGATCACTATTTATGTGTTTGCTGGTATCAAGGTGGCAAGAAGGCGCGATGTCGCGATGTCGCGACTGTGGTCTGCTGTGAGGTCTGGTGTTGGGTAATGAGAGGCGACAAAAGAGGTGGAGTTCGTGATAAGAAGGAAGTCAGATTGCGTTGACACCTTAGGCAGCAACGCAACAATCAATCAATCAATCAATCACATGGTGATAGCATAGTAACTAATCGCACCCCTGACTAAGCCTAACTGATTAGGGCCCCAACCCTATCAGGCGCTTCCGAAAGAGGAATCACGCACTTTAAACTTAACCGCCAGTCGCTCCACTCGATTCCGTTCATCATTTAAACCAACCACCACCCTCTTCGCGTTGTTAGAGCGATTCCCCGAAGAGCGCCAGGAACTCGCAACAATGTAAGTTTTACGGGTCAATACCCATAATTGCTAAGCAATGCAATGCTAATATCTCTAAAGGCTTATCCCCAAGGACGACCGCAAGAAGATCCACGAGTACCTCTTCCGCGGTATGTGAACGACGCCTCCAGTCTCCTGTCGCATTGGCCGGACCAACCCAACTTCACTTTTCTGAAAACCATTGTCGCTGACTGATGACCTTTTTGTTTGTACAGAGGGTGTGCTCGTGGCCAAGAAGGACTTCAACCTTCCCAAGCATGGAGACATTGACACCAAGAACCTCTACGTGATCAAGGCCCTCCAGTCCCTCAACTCCCGTGGCTATGTCAAGACCCAGTTCTCCTGGCAGTACTACTACTACACCCTCACCCCCGAGGTATGTTTGCGACCATTCAATCAAATGCAACACTCAAAGAGAAGAGGTTATCTAACCTTTTTTTTCACTAGGGTCTTGACTACCTCCGTGAGTGGCTCCACCTCCCCGCTGAGGTTGTCCCTGCCACCCACATCAAGCAGCAGCGTTCTCACGCTCCCCCCCGTGGCATGATGGGTGGTGAGGAGCGCGAGCGTCGTCCTCGTCCTACCCGTGAGGGTGGCTACCGCCGCCGTGACCAGGAGAAGGAGGGTGGTGCCCCTGGCGAGTTCGCCCCTAGCTTCCGTGGCGGATTCGGTCGTGGCCGCCCTGCTCCCTCTGCTTAAAGGGATGTCGTCCGGTCTTCCTAGGGTTTGGATGGGTCCGTTAGTGGCTTGAGTAGACTTTTGAATAAGTACGAAAAGGCTGCTACGCCCATCTAAAAAAAATTATGCATTGGTGCTGTATCTATAGTACGACATAGCTAGGGTCAATGTCATGATTTTAATGACTCCATATTTCATTTCGTTGTAGAATCTCTCCTGTTTCAACAGTAATGACGTGGCATACACGCAACAGAGCCTTTTGTCCCCTTCCTGCAGTCCTACCTTACGGATTTTATGAAATTAAGAATATGCTGGAAGGGTTACCCGTTCACAATCATTTGAGGTGCAAGGGCTAGATTTACGACGAAAATCTCTTCCGGTCATACCGGATCACTGCTTGCAGGATGACTGATGTGCCTGTTGCACAGTCGTCTGCAGAGCAGAATTCCTCCGGATGATGGCTCAGTCCATCCTTACAGGGCACGAAGACCATACTGGTGGGAACTCTCTTGGACGTGAAAACACTATCGTGTCCTGCACCGCTCATAATCGTCCGCACAAGAGTCTTAGGCTCTGGCGCATCGGCGACAACAGCCTCCGCAGACTGCTGCACGCAGTCGATACAATCGGGGTGGAACTTCACCGCCGGAGAGTCAAATTCTACGGTCCATTCAACCCGACAGGGTTTGCCAATGCCCTCGCCCTCCTTCGCGGCGATGGCGTCGAAGTCCTTCCTTAGTTTCTCTTCAACGGTTGTGACTAATTCGGTTTCAGGGCCACGTATGTCGAGTGAGAAGCTAACCAGGCCGGGCACGGTGTTGACACTGCCAGGCTTCGCCTCGACGATGCCAACGCTGGCCAAGCAGCCATGTGCGGCGGCAACTTCCCGGGCACGTACCATCATTTGAGCGAAAGCGTATAGAGCATCTGCCCGATGTTGGAAAGCTGTGGTACCTGTGTGAGTGTCTCTTCCTATTACATTGACCCTGTACCAGCGATAGGCTTGGACGGCAGTGACAACACCAACGCGTTGGCCTTCGGAAATTAGATGAGGCCCTTGCTCAATATGAAGTTCGAAATGGGCTGCCATCGGAGTTGCTTTATAAGAGCAGGGGACGTCCCCTAAGTAACCGATCTTTTCGAGTGCCGACTTCATTGACTCTGGGGCCGAAGATGCAGTGGGGAGAGAAGCCACCGTTGGTACTTCTTTGAGACCATGTGCTCGTGCAAGAGGGATACACTCTGCCCACACGCCGGAAGAAATCATACTGATAGGGAAACGGGCGCCCTCTTCGCTATAGGGGCATTGGTATAAGCGCTTCGAAATGGTTCTTGTTGATTGAGGGAGGGGGGGCTCTTACTTCGTCCAGTTTACAACGCCTATACCTCCCTCTGTCTCCAGTCCCATCTCCTCGATAACTTTCAGAGTTTCAATACCTGAGAGGACACCCAGGATCCCGTCGTAACGACCACCCGTTGGTTGCGTATCCAAATGGCTACCAATGAACGTCGGGGGAACATCTTTTCTTCGCCCAGGACGTACGGCGAAGATGTTGCCCATTTCATCGATCGTAATGTTGCACTTCAACGCTTTAGTTGTTTTAATGAACCAGTCTCGCACGGATTTGTCTTCCTCGGAAAGTGTCAGACGCTGCATTCCTGTGTCCGTCGGTCCACTAGGTCAAGAGTCAGTCTACCGATATAGATATTCGTGCGAAACTAGTTTACAGCAGGGAGAGTATATCAACAAGGCTTTAGGGGAAATAGGATGAACCTCGATGTGCTTAATTCTGATCAATGGATTGTCAAGAAATCCATACAATAACGAAGCGGGTTGGGACATTGCAAATACATGTATACTACTTACTCTCCCCAACGGATACCATAGCCCCACTGGCAACTGTGATGAAGGTCCTTTGCAAGACGGTCCTTGTTAGCTCGGAGCGCCGAAATCTCGGCTTCGGACAACTCTGTTGTCAACATGGCTTGTCTCTCGAAGAATTGCGAAGGCCTGGCGTGGTTATATTATCACTGTTCTTGTGAGCTGTACCGCTTTCAGCTTTGATGATAGCCTTCTGGCTGATACTGTTGTGAACCTAGGGTAGATGATAAATAAAGCATCACCTCATAAATAGGAAAAGAGGGGGTGATCGAGATACAAATACTACCTGTTGGAGACAGGCTGATAAGTATGGGGAGACGTGATAAGATAAGCGGGGTTAGCAGTATCTCTTCGGTGATTCCATCAAATTAAAAGGCAAGTCAGGATCAAGTTGATGAGTTAGGTAGTGTCGCTTCTCCAATTTGGTTGTTGGGGTAGCACGCCAACGCGTCAATTCCTTGTCAGAGATCTGTATAGATGACCGACAAGGAGAGGTACTGGCAGCGGACAAAAGTCCGCTCATATAGGGCATTACTCCAACTTATCGAAAGCACATAACACCGGTCCCAGTCATTATCGAGTAATGGGAAGATGTTGGGTCTTGTCTTCTTACAGACACGGCCTTTGACAGGCATCAGGCACGCACCGAGCTCGGAATTGAAGGGTCTACTGCACCTTACGGGCCGGGAAAAAGGGAGGAGGAGACAAGAAATTACTCATAATTACTATGATCAAAAAAGGAAAAAGTAAAAATCGACAACTGTGTCGATGGAAAAGTCCAAAGATTGAGTAGAGGAGTATAGTGGGCAAACCACGGCCATCTCTGGTAAAAGGCAAGAAATGGGTTCTGAACTAATTTGTCCCACTCCTCAACCCGGTAGTCCTAATAGTGATATATACTCCCTCATTTGGTTCCAAGACAGCGTCCGTTCGAAACGCCTCTCGGCCACTCCTTTTCTTTTCTTGAACTATTCTTCTTCCCCCGTCGTGTTCCGCCTTCAAAGCAAACCCCGCATTAACATCAAGTCTTAAGTCTTTTCTTCTCCTGTTGTACTCAGATTCCTCAGTATTTCCTTGCTATATATCTCATAAATATCAAATACAAGTTCTACTCTATCAACATGTCTTCCGCTGCGTGTATCTTCTGCAAGATCATCAAGGGTAATGCCCGTCCAATGCCATCCTAGACTTACTACGTTCTATTACCATTGTTTTGGCCCCAACGTCACCGAACAGTGTCTCTAACATACATACGCACCACCAACAGGTGATATCCCTTCTTTCAAGCTCTTCGAGAGCGACAAGGTCTTTGCCTTCCTTGATATCCAGCCTCTGAGCCGTGGCCACGCGGTAAGTCTTCGCTTCCTCAGCTACCTACTTTATCTTATCCCCGCACGGCGGTCTCCCTCTTCTATGGAGGGGTAGTACTACTAGTAGTACCTACCGTCCATAATGATGCCCTACCAATACCTACCCAGGCCATACCTACCTCCTACCCCTAGACAAGCAGCAACACTAACAGGCGAGAAAATATAATCGTCAGTAACAGCTCGTGATCCCCAAGTACCACGGCGAAAAGCTCACCGATATCCCCGACGAATACCTCAATGAAGTCTTGGTATGTACCCAGTGAATAAATTCCACCTGAGCTGGCCCCAGGTCAGCCTCGACTTAAATAAGGTCCCCCAGCAACTGAGGACCCTGCGAGAAGAACATTCCACAGGGCCCAACCTTCCCCGCAGCAACACCTCTCCTGTCAACCCCAAACAAAAGCTAACCACCGTCAAAACAGCCCGTCGCAAAGAAGCTCGCCCAAGCCGTCGACGCCAAGGACTACAACGTCCTCCAGAACAACGGCACGATCGCGCACCAGGTCGTCCCTCATGTATGCTTGAATCTCCCCTCCCCCTTCCCCCCCCCCTTACCTCACGTGGATAAGGCGGCTAATCTTGGCTTAACCTCTTAATTAGGTTCATTTCCACATGGTACGTTAGCTTCGCTCATTTTTGGTTTGACAGGACCACATGTCTGAAATGCTGAAACGATCGCGTCCCCCGGGAATCTACTTTCTGCTGCTCCGATGCTAACCTAACTTTATGCAGATCCCCAAGCCTAACGAGACGGAGGGTCTTGGTGTAGGCTGGCCCGCCCAGGCTACGGATATGGATACGCTTAAGGCTTTGCATGCGGAGCTCAAGGCGAAGATTTCGAAGATCTAAATGCCATAGGATTGTATGTCGTGCCTGGGGATCGATCCCGTGTGAAAATGCTGGGTGTTGGTGTTGCGACCATGATTGCATTTGTATCACGTATCTTAAAGGTGACATGGCATGCAAAATCTATCCTTGGATGTTGAGATGCTATGCTAAGCTATTCAATTATGTAATATATAGCTGGCTGGTGTTAGGGTCTGTATAGAGTGCTGTAACCGGCAGCAACAGGAGTAGGTACTGGCCACTTAAGCGTCGCTATGATCGCTTAGGTACTTAGCAGTTTTACTTGTGGTCAGGGCGGGCGTTCCCTCAAATCCCCTAAAAACAGACCCAATTTATCTGATAAATGGACGGCTCCACTGGTTTGCTCGTTTGGCAGGATCATTCCTTCTGAGAATGGTTATTATGAACATATCTCAATTTTGGGACAAGGACCATTGTTTCATTGGGTGGCTTTTCAGTTTTAATTACAGCATATAAAGTTGGACTGTATATGTCGATTCTACATGCATCAATCTACACACTATCACGATAGTAACAGTATATTTTGTACAGTAGTCAAAAAGAGAAGATCATATTTGGCACTGATATTGCATGAACACAAATAATCCCATTATATACATGATGCACGCATGATACTGAATAATAAACTGCCGTTCTATCAACGAAATCCAACACAAAAAATGACGTACAGTCTATCAGGAAGTACCATTTGTGGCGGTTCCATTCACTTTGGCTTCAGACGGGTAGAAATCAACCTTTCCACCGCCCTGAAGAACGTTCAGTCGGTCATATAGAGAGGTGGCGCGAATGTATGGGTCGAGCACCCAGTATTGAGCCCTCAACTGCTCAATGAGAGCCGTTCTTTTCTCCACAGCAGCTTTGCTGGCCTCGTCATCCTTCTTTCTGCTAGCGGAGATCCACTCAACCGTGACATCCTGAAGCTCTTGGGCAAGCTGGTGTCTTTCCTTGATCAACTCATCGCGCTTGGCCGTATCTTCCATAGTCTTATTTTCGCCGGCCTGGGGCTCCACATAATTATATTCCCAGTCCTCATCGCCCTCAAGCTCTTTATAAATGCGGTCCTTGGGGATGAACTTTTCAAGGTCCTGGACATTCTTGGTGAAGTTGATCTTGGATGCGACCACGGGGTCAAGCCACCCCTTAATGATATTCCAGATTCCTATAGGGCGCATATTAGAGTTTGTCAAATGGTTTATTAATAGCACAGAAGAAGGCACGAACCTGAAAAGATCCAAGGGGCTTTGTGAATAAGCACAACACCCAAGCATTCAGGATAGTTGGCTTCGAAGCACTTAATCATGAATTTAACGGGATGGTAGTCCTAGTACATATTAGAATATATTCATATGGTGAACACGAGATGGGATAAATACCATGTTTGCTAGAGAGAAGTTGGACATATCAAAGACAACACACTACCATCTGTTAGATGCTTGTACTCCGCTCGGGTAGTGGTGGAAAACTTACAGCTGTTTCGACAGGAGGAGAAAGCATCATCCGGGCGGTCTCAATGGTGTACACTGTGAATCGATCTAAAGTATCGGTGCTTTGGTCGGATGGCTTGTGCAAGCGCACTCTGATAGCCACAATCGGCCGGCCGGCCTTGTCGACACCATGCATGAAGCTCTTGCCCATGCGCATCTGCGCCAGGAACTCTTCGCCCTTCTTCTTCTCGGCAGGATCTGAACTCTTGGATTGTTCTAGAGCTACCAGTTCGCCATTCTTCATGACATCATTGTCGACTTTCACGTCTTGCAATCTCCATCTGATCGTAGAGATCAACATAATCAGTGCCTTTTTGACATCCCACTTGCGCGCCCGAAGGAAGCGAAGAAGCAAGGAGTCAGGGTTATCTTGCTTAACCATGTTCCACAGAGTGAGCCGGATTTCCTCCGGCTTCATGTCTGTGAGTGCTTGCTGGAACTCCTTCGACTGTCCATATTTGTCATCACCATCGGTAATGTTGATGGAAGAGATACTGTTTGTAATCCCGTTGGTTGACTTGGTGCTTGCGGCGTCATCCACGGTGTCGTTGCCCCCACCGCCGAAGAAGGTGAACCTCCGCTTCGGTGGTGGTGGTTGTTTCTTCTGTGATGAAGGACTTGGGGGAGCGGCGGCATCACCATTCGATTCGATATGTTCCACGTTGATACCACACACCTTCAGCAGCAGGATCCAAAACTCCTGGAGCTTGACTTCCTGCTCTGGGGTGAGGTTACCCACAGTTCCGGGGGCGGCTTCGATAGGCATGGTTTTAAGGGTATCAATTGCACCAAGAAAGGGAGGTTTGATTTGTTCAGAATCCGGAGTATTCGTAATGAGATGAGAATCGCTTCCAGGATGGCGGTATTTATCCTGAATCCAGGTCGCACCACAGACGATAGCTAATGTGAATGTGATCGTCCAAAAAGATGAAGCCTTCCTCGGTCCGCCAAGTTTTGATACAGGTAAAGTGGAGAAGGGGCGTTTGGGTGGATTGGAGAAAATTAAAGTACTTGAACTCAAGCCCAGCTTCTTTGGGAAGATCTGTGCACTGGTGGAACACGACGATGCAGATGAAATGGATCTGGCCGAGGATATAATGAGACGGCAGCGTAGGAACCAACTAGTATGCATGTGCTATGAGCGAATGAGTGAGTGACAAGGGCCTTTTGTGCTCCCCTCTTCTCTATATGAGGTGAGACAGAACGAAGATCTAACCCCCTGAAAAAGTTTGAAGGAGCCGGGGGTATGCGGGGAAACCAAAAAGAAAGAGGAGGGAAAAAAAAGGGAGTTAGACAGGAAGTGAACTAAAGAAAGGGTCGACGCCGAGGGTCCGCAACGCAAGTCCCCTGGACCACTCAAAGCCACTACTAAATTTAGGGCCCTCTGGCCGCCTGAGGCAACTGCCGCCAGTCATCCACTTGACCTTCGGCTCCAGCGCCAAAAGCGGGGGATCAACAGGACGGCGTCAACAAACAAAAATCCAATCTCACATCCCACTCTTTTAATCATCGGTTCCCCAATATTAATGGTCACTTTCCCCCCAGATTTGAGCACCTTTCGCACTCCTTACCCAATTCGTCCTCCCACACCTTGTGTCACTTGTCCACCGTACCTCGGAATTTTCTGACACCCTCAATGGAACCTACTGCCTTTTCCCGATCGTCCTCGCGTCCACGGCCTACCTCGAGGCCTACGACCCCTCTACGGCCCAGCTCTCGGTCGTCATTACGTGAGGCACATGGTTATGGAGGCAATATCAGCAGTCTGGGCTATACCCAGCCCGCGATCAATGCCCTCGAGCCTCAATTCGCAGAGCTCGCCGACTCCATGGCTGACCTTGAGGCTAATTTCATGCACCTCCAGCTAATGCATGAGAGTCTCTCGCGCTTCGGTGAGAGTTTCGCTAGCTTTCTCTATGGCCTAAACATGAACGCCTTCTGTGTAGATTTTCCAGAGGTATGGTCACTAACGATACCAAGCCATCTTACCAAATTAACCAACGACTATAGGCTCCGATCCCCGAATCATTTAGAAGAGCTAAACAAGCGGAGGCGGAGAAAGGTATCAATATCGCACTATATCCGATAGGAACGTGTGGCACTAACATCACTCAAGAAGCTGAAGTGGAGCAAATTCGATCGGCTAATGATGGCGAAACAACATTCATGTGGGTCATTGATTGTTCCTCCCAATGTCATATCTTTGATGGCTTTTGCTAACTAGAGACTTGAATTTCAGGACCACTGATACCACTTTCGTTGAAAATCCTTCAAGTACCGTCTCTCCTAAACCGGCGCGCAAGACCACTACTCCTTCGCGGGGGACCACAAGAGGGTCTAGTACTCGCGGTCGTTATACAACCAGAGGCACCAGCCGAGCTCGCCCGAGCGCACTGCCACGGGGCAGGGGAATCCGGTGAAGATACTTGGTTGTAAACGTACAACCTCTCTTAATATACGGGCGCGTGCGCACACGAACAGAGCTTATCGACCTCTTAGCCGGTATACAACGTATCTGCCACCGGCCAGCATTCTACTAGCTCTCCATAATGAGCCTCAACCAACTTAACCAACTTATGCGGCGCGACAAGTTCGGGGATGATGAATGCATGTTAGGGTGTCAACTGGTACTCTTATGGGAAGAGGGGCATTTTGTCTCAACGTAGCCAGGATGCGTTGCCTTCTAGGTTTCTAGGCGGCAGAAGTGCCTGAGTCAACAAGAAACCAAAGACCAAAACCTTTGGCAGCATCCAAGTGCCTTCAAATTCTCTGTCAATAGTACAGCGATCTTAACTCAGGACAGTTGAACTCGACATGCTATAACAATGTGAATCAGAAATGCAAAGGGTTATCCCGTCGCTGGTCACTTCCGTAAGACTATGGTCGATCGTAATTCAATCAAATGATTAGTTAGGCAGTAGAAATTTCCCCAGATTCTTTACTTTTACATAGGTTTGAACGTGACGGTGACCGAAACCACGTGGTGAGTCTATCAATACGTACCGTATTTCTCGGATCAAATGCAGTCCCGGTTTCTTATCGCTCGGAAATTCGTGACCCTTGCGGAAGAAAAAAGATCTTGCAGGACTTCTTCTACTCCGTTGCCAGCGCCACACTCCATTCCGAGCCCTCCCCGTAACTATATCGAAGGTTCACCCTCGGGTTGTCCTGTATCCGTGATATAATTATATATCTTTCTGTTCGGGTTCTCTAGTCAGCCTGGAAACATCCCCGGTGTGACGGAGCTAAAGACCTAACTTATCTGGGGTAGTGTTCGGGACCGAGCCGACAGCGGAACACAGAGCACCATTCGCATTCACCATAACCAGTTCATACATTCTGTGCCAATTAATTGCGGCCTTTCAGCGTCTTTCTATATTGGGGGCTGGCCTCCGAGGGACGCAATGCTGATGTGATACAGCCAGGGTACTTGACGGTGTCTTAATCCATGGATTCCTATTGTATCTGCAGTTGATCTCAACGTCGCTCTCTTCCGTTCATGCTCAGGGTCCCTTGGCGTCTACCTACTGTGATAGATCTACAATCGTTCCTCAGTGTCGCGGGTCCATCCTTGGTCCCTCAACTCTTTTAACAACTCTATAAAGGCTGGTGTAACGTATAGTCTCCCAAGTCCCGCTGTCGCCATGGCCAGCGTCGCTTGTGTGTCGCTCCTTTCCGAGGCCGAGTTTGGTTGCGGTATGCGACTACCCTGAAAGCTCTCCTCTCTCGTTCTTACTGCTAATCCGCCCGGAAGAGCATCTTGCTGTGCAGCTTTCCCAAGATGGGAGCACTAGTGACCAGTTCAAGGCCTACTTCATCAAGTCACATAATTCTTTGGCCCCTCGCAAACCTGGGGACTTGCCTGCCACACAGAACAGCCTTCGTACAACCAGCTTTCTAAAACCAAAGTATATGTGCTTAAATTGCTCCGGCTCATTCACGATTGGCGACCGAAAGGCCCATACGGAAAAGACTGGACACCAATTCTGTGAGTGGGCCAACCTTCCGACTAAAACTGTTTACTGATCTTCTCCCCAGACATGGAATCAAGGAGTCGTACGTTGTTCTGTCAGGGATGTGGAGACTTTGTCTATGATTACGGTCTGGAGAGACTGCGATCATCAACACCTGAAAGCACGCTGAAACGTCTGATTACCATCTGCCCTTCAGTTCGCATCAAGAACTAAAATCTATTTAGTTGCCCAAAAACGTCGATTTAGCGAAAGCTCAACCGACGAGCTGTATGTCAGGAGTAATGCGAACAAGCGCTCTTGTGCGAAACAAGGTGTTAGGGGGCTGTTCAACCTCGGGCAAACATGTTATTTAAATGTCATTCTCCAGACACTGCTCCACGACCCGATCCTCAACACCTACTTCCTTGGGAGCGGACATCAGTCCCACGATTGTTCTATGCCTGATTGCATAGCGTGCGCTGTCGCAGAAGCGTTCGCCGACTTCAATAGCAGTGACAAGCCAGAAGGTTTTGCGGCTCTGAACCTCCTCCTAGCAACGTGGCGTGCAAGCTCTGTATGTCGTCTTTTCTTTGGAAATCTTAATATCATGTTGAGTACTGACTTCACCAGACATTAGCAGGATATCAGCAACAGGATGCACATGAATATTACCAGTTTCTCGTCGACAAATTACACGCTAGTACAGATGGACATCACGAGAACCATGAAAAGGGTTGCCCTTGCTTTTTCCACAAGACATTCTACGGTAAGCTCCGAAGTAGTGTAACTTGTGACAAGTGTGGCAACGTTACGCGGACGGATGACCCCATGGTCGATTTGAGTTTGGATGTCCAGGTGCAGGCAAAGAAACGGGCAATGGGTGGCGCTGGGCCCTCAGCTACCCCCACGCTGAGCGGATGCTTGGAAAGCTTCACTTCCCCAGAGAAGCTCATGGCAGGCGTCTACAATTGCAGCGGTTGTGGCGGAAGTTCTCAGAAGGCCACAAAACAATTGCGTATCAAGAAACTACCAGCAATTCTATGTATGCAATTGAAAGTAAGTCGCTTGCTTGAGGCCTATCAGCAACGCTGAGCTAAAGAACTGCAGCGCTATGAACATACATTTTCGGTTTCGGAGAAGCTAGAGGGTCGCATAGATTTTCCACTGTCTATCAACATGCTCCCCTACACAACCAATCCTGACTCGCGAGTGGACAAATCGAGGTATATTTATGACCTCTCATCCGCGGTAGTTCATAAAGGGAAATTAGACGCAGGGCATTACTATGTCTACTGCCGCCAAGGTGACGAGGTTTGTTTCCCATCTCCCCTGCCAAAATACGTGAGCAACCCGTTCTTGGGCCCTCACTAACATGAACAGTGGATCCTCTTCAACGATGACCAAGTCACCTCTGTAACGGAAGCCGATGTCCTCAGTGCCGATGCATATCTACTCTTTTACAATCTCCGCTCCTTGGCTGCTCCTCCTTCCCAGTAGAAGGGTAGACTTGGCACTCGGTAATGCGGATTGCTTGCTCATTACTTACACGTTTTAGCGACCAGGAGTCGATGGACAAAGGGTTCATTCGTGGCTTTTGCAATGCATTCGAATCAACGTTAAGTCGCAGGGGTAGCTTTGGCCTATAGAAGACTTATTAAACACTTATATAATGCGGTGCCTTTTGCTTCAGGAGACATGGTGGCTTAGCTCGTACAGCTAGGTTAGAGTAATTCCTTCCTCCATAGGTATCGGACGATCTACATATTCCGTCAGTAACCAGGCAGTTTCTTTTACTTTGTCTATGTGAAAGCCGGGCTACTTTAGGCCACCTCTTTCGGCATTCTTGTAGAGCGCTTTGGACCGTGTCCCGAAGTCCGGCTTTGAGAGAGCAAGGCACGCCGAGATAATGGAACGGCGTATTCATGGCATGAATACCGGTCATTATTGCACAAACTTCTACCGCGATCCTTACAGGCACTACAAACCAACATCGCAGTGCAACAGCATGTGCTCATTGTATCTTTCAGTCATCGACCAGCGCGTCTGGAGCTGCAAAGGAAAAGGGGGGGAGAGATATGAAGCCCAGTAATAGATTCCAGAAAAGTTCCTCATTTCAATTCAAGTATGAATTGGGAGAAAAGAAAAAAGGTTCGACATGACACCCTTTGATAAATTGTCAACACCGGCAATCGTGCATGATTTTCCTCCAACAACTTTTTATTATTCCACATATATTCCCCGTCGGAATCCAAGCGAATCGGTGTCCTTTCCGCTATTTCCCATGGTTGTTACCGAGCGCCGAGGATGTAACGAATATCGTGAATAGGAATTCGAGTTGATATTGATTTAACGGTACTATAGTTTGGTAAGATGTGGGTTAGTGATGGGTTTCTCTTTTATCCTTTCCCAGCTACAGGCGGTGCCTTCATTCGAGAATGTGTTGTCGTTGTTGCTAGGTATGGCAATTTTCAATCGTGCAAGCCATGTCACGAACCTTGTGGAAACCAATGTCCTGAGACTTCTCACGGAAGCACTGACGGCAGATGTTCATCTGTTAAAATAACCCCATCAGTTATATATTCCCAGGGACGCTTTTCTCAGGGTTCATATTTCACATACACCGTACTTGCGGATCAGACCAGCGCGGTGGGTGCAAACGCGGCTAAATCGTGAAACCTCCAATCAGTCTTCCCATCCCGAACTTCACCGGTATCGTAGACCTCAAATTTTATCGTCGTCTAGGGGAGCTTCTTTTTACAAACTATCACATACCATCCACGGGAGCCCTTGCCGTACCTATCGCAAAAGAAGGCACATCCATTAGCCAAAACGTATTATCTTTAATTCCAGAAACAGGGAATCCTTACTTGCGGGGGCGGCTGTACCACACGGACTCGTGAGTCATCTTGAATTGATTCGACGGCGAGGAAAACCTGGCGGGTTGACGGTGTTTGGGCAGGCGGTTGTCGTCGCTGGGCGTTGAGGTTGAACGGAGACGAATGTTAGGGTTGGAAAATGCGTTGTGTGCTTTCTCTGTCCCGATTCGGACCAGCTCGCTTGAGTAGCGCTAAACTATGTTGGGTTGCGGGTTAGGATAAGGGGGTCATGTGATGGGCCGCGTTGCTGGGTTGGGTTTAGCGGATTTGTTTTCAATCTTTCTCCGGGTTTGGAGGATCGGCGGTGGTATGTTTCTCCGCCTTCCTTGGACGCTAGAGGGACTACTTTATTGTGATCTTAGATTTGCTGCATGTTAAAAGTTGTTCATGATGTTTAAATTGATGGCGGGGCTTTTAGGCTATTTCATTGATGTGAATTTTTGCATTGCCTTCTTTGGATCATTTACTAGGATGAGGCTACTCTTGAATGAGTTAGAATCATCTATACGAAATAGTTCTAACCCGAATCATATATGAGATTGTTCTATGAGAACGTTTATGGTGATCAATCGTGTTTTGTCTAACCATCGTCCTCGTGACGCAGGGCGCAGGATAAAAATATATTTTCTTGTCCAACACATAAATACCCTGTCCAGGAACACCAACAGTAAAACATTATGCCATTCCCTGAACCTTATGTCCATTTACTTCAGGACTCGCATACTCACCCAACCATTTTGCTTCCCGGCCGCAGAAGCACTGGACCTGAATTCGCCGAGCTCTTCTCTTCCAAGTCACCCAAAGGCCACAATCTATCCTCTAGCCTCCCTAACTGGCGTTAGGTATTCCCGACGTCTCGTGACCGTTGAATGATTCCGGGAAGACATATGTTCCTGGTTTGACGCATACTCCCAGGACGACATTCACGAGCGACAGGGCCTGCAAGTTGATGGAATAAAGGAATCAGTCACCCACATCCTGAGCATCTTGTACAACCGAATCGGACGACTTGGTGGGAAGACCCGCCATGTTTATCTAGGACGTATCAGTCAAGGGATGGCAACCGCCTTACGGACATGGATTTGTGCCACCAACCAGATTTGTCGGCCACTTGGAGGCTTTGTGGGTTTCTGTGGCTGGTTTCCCTTTGCGCAGCAGGTAGAAGATCTGTTTCAAAGGTCACGGGGAAGCGGTGCTCTCAGCATTCCGGACAAGCAATTGGTAAGATTCTTCGGTGGCTAATCTCTTTCGCAACAGGATATCCGGCTCCGAAACATCGCAGATAAACACTACCATCGACACATCTTTATTGGCAATGCCCTGTGTTCTTGAGCCATGGAAGTGACGATGCTTGGTTTCCTGCGGACCCGGACCGACAAGCGGCTAGGGTCTTACAGCAAATTCGAATTCCTGTCCAGTGGCATGAGTTCACTGGTGCGGATAGCGATGGCCATTGGATAAAAGTACCCGAAGGGTTCGACCAAATTCTTCAATTCCTCGAGGAAATTAACAGCCGGGCCTAGAAGAGACGCCACCTGTGCGACGGGACGCTCTAGACGACTCCTATCAGGTCATAGACATCAAAGACGTAAAAGTGGTACTGCTATCTATAAGTGAAACGATGAAGCAAGCACAAGTACAACACCTGTCATTCGAGAAATCCCTGGCCACCCGTGATAGCTATAAAGCTCGGTGCTATCTTTCAGCATCAGGCCATAGATATTAGCACTAATTACGTCAATAAAGGCTGTCATTCATCAGACCGCGGCTGCGCCGGAAAGAGCATCCTGCTGCGTAGAACATCACGATTCCAATTCTAGAACAATCTGCTTGAACTGGGATACCAAGGGACATGTTTCCGAACGAATAAACGACCCTTCATAGCCAAGCAAACAGCAATTCCATTTCTTTTTATTCGTTTAAATCCACATTCGGTTCTACCAAAATACCGAACCCCACTTACATAAGAAACGCCCCTAACTAACTAGTGCCTCGCACCTGTAGTTTAGTACACATTAGGTAAAAGGAAACAGCCACCAACACCTGATCAGTGAACGCCCAGTCCTTCATCCGAGATAGCCGAATCAAGCCAGCTGATTGGTAGGGAGGCACAGACGATCTCGGAGATTAGTCTGTCCAACGAACACCAGGTGCCGGATTTCCGATGCAGTTACTAGGAACAGTAACAAATGATCTACCCTGTAGAAGGGAGTTGCGTCCGTCGGGACCTTCACGGGCTAGATTAAACCTAAGTAGACAGGAAAAACGGGAGATGTAACGAGTATTGTGCAGTTTTATGTATGCATAATTGTTTGGGGAAATATCAGTCCACTCGTTCATTTCAATATAATACATACGTCATGGGGCTTAAAAAATCCACCGATGTCAATAATAATAATTGCCGAGTGAGACCCTTGTCATTGGACGCAGGGTAGGCAGAAATCGATACACATCATGTTGGGGTCTGCTTCCAAGGAGAATTCAGCCTCGCTGGAATGGAGCCGGCTCCATCCATAGGGAGACAGATAACCTAAAAGGGTTGTCCCTTCGGGTTTCCCGGTTTTAGTTCTATTGATTATGTAAGATATCGCAATTGGGCATTGACCGACTTTATAGTACTTTGTTTGTCATGAAGGAATAGTGTTATGGGTTAATCTTACGATTTCATCGAGACGATATACTTTGGTGTTGGAAACAAGGACATTTTCTCCATCACTGTCCAAAGGCCGTTCATTATCGCCAAGCCCAAAACCCTTACTAACAGAGATAGTGGAGTCGCTAACAGCACAGACAGTTTCTGAGATGTATGTATGAATATGTATAGTTCCATCACAGCTATGGCTTCATTTGCGCTGGTCGTTGATTATCCAGCGATATTGCATGTACTATCGGAAGCTTACGAGTATAATTCAGACCTTATGGCGGCCAGTAGTATCGAGAGATCGCTGTCCAGCAGGGGTCTGGGATTCGAGCCTCGAGTCCGTGAAGGATAGATCAAGATGAATAATGACGACAAGGATCAGGTCACGAATGACTAATTGAAGAGAGGATTAATCAATGAGTCATACCACTTGAGTGGAAAAGCATAAGCGACACGAAGGTGTTAGAAAGGAAAAGCTAATTAAAGAAATTTTTTTTTAATGCTCCAGGCCCGAAAGGCAAGTGTGACACTTAAATCCACATTTCCGGACGTGTATCCAAGACGAAGAGTGCGTGTGCATACATCCGAGTACCAAAGCACGGAGAACTAGGACAGATAGAAGATGCTTGGTCGCTGGTATGACCTTTTTTTCCCCTTTCCCTCTCTTTCCTCGCTGTTCGGGGTTCATACTACGGAAGACCGCGGATGCGGGTGATTACTTCATCCGTTCCAACCAAGAACCGACCAGTCAGCCAAGGGAGGATCGTCATTTGGGTTTGTCAGATGAGAACACACGGTCACAGGGCAGGAGCCCCGTCCATGTCAACCTGCGAGGCCCACTTAATGTGTTGGTGGGTCCTCTTCCTCATCCGAGGGATGATGACCGCACTGGGACTGGTAGAGATCGACGCTTGTTTGCAATCCTCCAGCACTTTAGTACTTCCGTCCGCCGTACCACCTTGTGGTTGTGTACTCCAGCCCTCGTCCTCTCATTTGTTGCCCGTCACATCTACCGTGCCCTTGGCCGCATTTCGCGGGATGGAAATACGATCTGGTACCTAAAGTTTTGAACCGCCATGACTATAGGAGCCCTTTATTATAAGAGGAAACAGCATCCCGTCAATCACTAAGCGCCCTCTCAGCCCCTCACTGCGCATCTAACTTCCAGCTTAGCCTCCACGGTGTATCTATCTGTACGGTGCCTATTGTAGAAACCAAATCTTAGGAACAGCGGTGGCTTAGTGCGACACAGCGTGCATTAAAGCGTCCTTGTCCTTCTACACCCGCATGGGATAGTTAGCCGTGATATCAGCCCATAAGGCTTCAAGACAACTCCTCCAGCCCTCCAATAAGCTACCTTAGGTGCCTTCCGGCTGGACCAATGAGAAGTGCCCCCCCCCCCCCCGGTCAAGTGTTCTGCTGTGTGAACTGACACATCCGTTATGGAGGAGTGCGCGAGGGCCACGGTTTGAAAATTGAATGTTGATGATCTTCATACAGAAGAGGGGTATACATCCATGCTCCGGCCCTAGTACTCGACTTGGTAGTTTCTCTCTGAGTTCCTAAGCCACCTGGCTGGTAAGTGAGTAGTCTGTAAAGTATAAAGAAAGTTTCACTATTAAGCTTGGTAAGGTATGAGTTTGCATAGAGTCCTCATTCTGTTATCTTTTTAGTGAAGGTACGATATATCGTGGTAGTATGTACCTAGTAGTAATATGTGCCTTCCCCATCCCTAGGGCTCCCCCACCGAGCCCTATATGCAAGGAAGGTGGATGGCTTCGTCTTATATCATCCTCCCGTTGTTGGAGCATTTTCTTTTATTAATAAAGCAATGGTCGATAGATAATGATAATATATTGGACATGAATGATTACTGTACTGTTCGCTGTATATGGCTCGCATCTATTTGGGGGCCGCGAAAATTAACAACAAAGCATTGAGTTGGCGAATTGGGATGCTCGTGGGAAGACTGTCTACATCAACTGATGTACTCCGGTTATACTCCGTACCAATTACCTCCAATATCATTTGACAGGGAAGCGACTGAGTAGGGTGAAAGAAAAAGGGAAGGGAAAAAACAAAGCGTGGTGTTGATAAACCAATTATACGCGAGGACAGGAGGACAGTATCATGACGATCATTCATTTATCAGACAATAATTGGATTAGAAGCATGTTTCATTATTGTTGCAGTTGACAGTATTGTGCTTGTATGGATTGGTTGGTCCAGTTGTACCTATGTTATGGAGGCCATTTGTAATTTCCTTATGTCTTTTTCTTCCCTCTTATAAATCAATTGTAAGATTGTGTATGATTATGTTTAGCATGGTTGTCCAGATAGACACCCGAGAAACAGTGCCTAACCCATAGACTATGGCTCTAGGCCAGGCGCTAAACCAGCCGGTACCTTGGGATGAGGTCATGCTTTTCAAAAAAAAAAAAAAAAATTTTTTTCTCTTTTCCTTTCCTTTCCACGGCAGAACTTGGAGAGCCGGGAACTCCGAGCATCCGAGAAAGCCATGCCAAGTCCTTCCTAATTGTTTCCCTCTTCTCCCTTCCCTGGAATTATTACGTTGTGCCTTCTACTCCGGAGTAAATCCTTGGCTTAGGTATTCCAACAAGCAATGCAATGTACTTTTTAGAAGTCCGTATTGCTTTCCGTGTTGAAACCCGGAATAGTCTGACCTACGGTATTTTACCTATGCTTTGGTAATTCCATTACTGTACCAAGATTTCATTTGAAGGTTCCAGACTTCTAAACTTAACGTATTATGACACCACCGGTTCCAAAAAGGACAAGTCATGATGACGAATATTCAGATCCTAGTACGAGAGAGAGAGCTCTCTATACCGCCTCATCTAGGCACCCAAGGTCGAAATCGACAACGGCATCATACAGTTCCAATCAACGAAGGACAGAGAATGAGTATTATGATCACCCAAAAAAGAGAGTGCATTCATATCCCTGTTAGTCCGGCGCCTAGCGTGAAGCGTGCTCCCAAGTCTCCACTTTCGGCACGCAGAGCTTTGGGAGCTTCAAGTCAATAAGCCAGTCTCTTGTTTCCACGGCCCTGTCGGCCTCGCTGCACCTTATCCCCGCCGACTCCGAAAGGACCGCAAAATGCTCGCAACGAAACAGGCAATATGCGATCATGAATAAAGATTAAAAGAATTGGCGCGGCCTGGTGGTACCCGCTTCTACGGTTCACGGTCGTCGGTTGAATTCCATATATTCTTCCTGCATTCTCCCTTCTATTTCCACTTCTTCCAGTCTCCCTACATACTTCAGCCCTATACACCCACCCGTCTAGTGCCTGCTTGCGCTCTGAGGAGCTGGCGCATCACCCACCATAATACCGAATAGTACATAATACCTCTGACTGGTTGTGCCCGGGTTCTATACAGCTCCTGACATAAATTTAAATCTTTTTGGAGCTATAGGTCCTGATCTTGGGCTTTCCGGAACGTCCGCTTTGCGACAAGATTCGCTTTCACTGGACTTCACCTTTCTACCCTTTTTTTTTTTTTTAAAAAAAAAAAAAAAAGATTTTAATAATAATTCCAAACGCTTAAACTACGAGCGTCGCACTCATGTGGCAGAAGGCTTCTCGCGCCGCGATCGCGGCCTCCTTACTATTAATCTCGGTCGCCAATGCCGTACCTCATGGAGATGACCATTCGATGGACATGGACATGGACATGGACACCAATAGCACGCATAAGCAGCCCGAATCGCATGCCGAAGCAAGCGATGACTCGCCCATGAGCTATTTTGCGTATGGAAAACATTCCAGCACAATCATGGCTCATATAGGTCTGATGATTCTTTCCTGGTGCTTTATCCTGCCCGTTGGTAAGAACCCTTGCCCTGTTTTGTTCCTTCCTTCTTATTGTAGCCAAGACTGATAATACCGTAGCTGTTATGTTTAGTGTTGCGCGATCACGATTTGCACTTCCGTCGCAATTTCTATTCCTGTTGTTCAATGCGCTGGGTTTGCTTCTTGGAATCATCTATAATAGCCAGACTCCTGATCTATATGAGAACAATGCTCATCATAAGATCGGATGGATCGCGACCTGGGTTTTTAGCGCGCAAGCCATCATGTCGCTCATATTTGTCTACGCTGGTAGAGGCAAGTCCGATGCGACTTCGTACGAGCGCGTCGCGTTCCTCCCCGTGTCTACCGACGAGATGGCCGAAACTCCGACACACCCAACTGGCATTCATCATGAATACCGTTGGTCCGGAGACAGCGGCCAGGGTACCGAGATAAATTCGGCTTCCCTCCATAGTCGCCCTAGTTCGTCCACCTGCGCATCTCCCTCCTCGGAGTATGACACCTTCGATAAGCCGGAGGGCCACTTCCCAGAACAACCCACCCAGAGCCGCAGCTGGCTGCATAGCACCTTTGTGGACCGCTTCCTCGCCAGCCGTGTGCCCCGTATGGTCTCTAGCCGAGCCCTCCGGATACTCAACGGTATCTACTTGGTAATTGACAGGATCATTTTGCCTTTCGGTTTCGTCGCTATCGCCACTGGAGCTGTAACTTACGGCGGTATCATGGTAAGTAACTTTGTGTAACACTTTGCTTGTTTGATATTGCTAATACGGGAGTAACCCTACAGAGGAACAGAGAAATTTTCAACGGTCTTGCGCATTTCATAAAAGGTGGCATCTTCTTCTGGTATGGTGTGTTAACTTTGGGCCGGTTTATGGGCTGCTGGGCCGACTTGGGCTGGGCATGGAATGTCAAGCCGTCGAGCGAGATTGTTGGCCGGTGGAAGGCCAAGGTCCCTTCTGGTGAATTTACCGAGTCCTTCGTAATCTGGCTCTACGGTGCCAGCAACATGTTCCTTGAACACCTCACCAGTTGGGGCGGTAAATGGACTGCCACGGATCTCGAGCATGTGTCCATTTCCATCATGTTCTTCGGTGGTGGCTTGTGCGGTATGCTTTTTGAATCAAAGCGCGTTAAGAGCTGGCTGAACAGCACTGTCCTGCAAGCACCATCGAATCTTCGCAGGCATGGCTCATCCGACGTAGCCTGGCAGGTTCCCGAGACTCAAGGGGTTTCCCTCAACCCAATGCCTGCTCTAGTCATCCTACTTCTGGGTAGCATGATGGGATCCCACCACCAAAGCAGCATGGTCTCTACCATGGTACATAAGCAATGGGGCAACCTCTTGGTTGGCTTCTCGTTTGCTAGATGTATGACATATGTCATCATGTACCTCAAACCACCCACCTCTTATCTGCCCGCCCGTCCACCAACTGAAATCGTCTCTGCGTTTTGCCTGATGTCCGGTGGTTTAGTCTTCATGCTGAGTGTAGGTGTCACCTAATTCGGGGAAGACATTCGACTTTGCTAACTGTTTTTAGACCCGGAATGTGGTCGATTCGATAGAGTTTTATGGCCTCGACGCGATGTTCATATTTACCGTTGTTATGGGAGTGACCGCCTTTATCATGGCGTGCGAAATCCTGGTCATCGCCATCAAGGCATGGGCAGTCAAGAAGGAAACTCCTCAGCTTCCTCCTTTCCAATTTCCCGCCTGAGGTGAATCAAATTCCCAGGCCAAAGGACACACCAAACGACTTTGCCTGATGGGTATAGCTCCTTGCCCTTCGCATTAGAGAGCCTGAATAGGGTACTGTAACTAGGTGGCCATGGTCCCCTTGGTGGAAATTGAGAAAAGGAACAGAAAAGAAGAAAAAGAGCCAAAGAGAGAAAGGCAGAGACCGAACACCCTTGGCTTGATTATTGCAGCGATATACCCCCTAAACTATTTGATTTCGGCCTGGTGTCAGAGCTCGGGCTTACGAGCGTATACCACTGATACCGGAGCTTTGTTCTATGAACTTTGACGCGCCTCTATGCTAATGAATGATATCCCTGATTGATAATGTGGTGGAAGTTAATGACTGATTGGGCTTTTGTGATATATTGCGTTGTTTATATAATGGTCTGAGTGACCTGCGAATCATGAGCTACCAATATATGCATGTGAAATGATCATTGCACCTGTGAATCAGTATTGAACATGCTTGAATAGTTTCTTAATGGGGCATTTCTAGAAGGACCGGCACTGACGTATTTCGTGCAAGTGTTCAATCACTGATACGAACTACTGTATATGATGCAGCAGCAGTACTACTGTAAGAATGCGGTATGGACTAGATCCTAGCTTGAGTGACCGCCTTCGGAGTTCAAAGTAAACGCCGAGCGCCAAAGCTTATCTCGGGTCAACTTCCCGGGGGAGCGGTCGGCAGATTGTGTCTCTCATTAACGGGACTTGGCAGGGCAGCTTATGCATCGTATTGGATATCTGATAGATCTATACCGTCAGCATCAGGGAATTATAGCTTTTCTTAGTTTAATTTACCGGATACCCGATTTATTAAGGCGGACTCGAAATGAGGATTCAAGCTGACAGCTATGTGGAAAACATTGGAAGGATCGTGATGTATTAATAATACCGATGGGAAGGAAAGTGGGGAGTGGAGTGGATATCTATTCCCTCTTGATATTAAAATGGGCTGCGGTGTCATCTTCCGAGGTTCACCCCTCCATAACCCCAGGATTTTTTTTTTTTCTTTTATATATCCTTCTTTCCTAATAAAGAGATCATTAACGACCACTTCTCAGAAAATCTAAATCCCCCACTACAGAACTTCAAGATGGCTTCTAACCCCCCCGGGCCTTGCTGCGCCACTGGCTTCAAGCATGAAGGCAACCCAGTTGGCGAAATCAAGAACGTTAATGGCAGTAAGTGAACCTGGAGACCTATGCTCAGGAAATCGTGAATGCGCAATATCTAATGGCCTATGCATAGTCGACACCTATGTCGTCTACCCCAAGGACAAGAACACCGAGAAGGCTGTCATCATCCTGAGCGACATCTTCGGTATCTACGTCAATGCCCAGCTCATCGCTGACGAATTCGCCGCAAATGGGTACCTCTGTGTCCTCCCAGATCTCTTCCAAGGAGACGCCATTAGTCTCAGTGATAAGGAATCTGGAAAGGCCGATCTCCAAGCATGGTTCCCCAGCCACCAGCCTACCCACGTCGATCCCGTCGTTGAGGCTACCATCAAATACGTCCGCGAGGAATTAGGCGCTAAGCGTGTCGCTGGTGCCGGATACTGCTTCGGTGCCAAGTATGTCTGCCGCCACATGAAGGATGGAAAGCTCGACGTTGGTTACAACGCCCACCCCTCCTTCGTCACTCACGAGGAGCTCGGTGCCATTACCGGACCTCTGTCCATTGCTGCTTCTGGTAAGTTGGAGTCTCCTATGATGATTGATATGTGCCGCTCTTCAGGACTAATGCGCTTTTCCCTAACAGAAATCGACTCCATCTTCACTACCCAGCTCCGCCACGAGTCCGAGGAGACTTTGAAGAAGACCGGCCAACCCTGGCAGATCAACCTGTTCAGCGGTGTTTCCCATGGTTTCGCTGTCCGTGCAGATCTCAGCAACAAGCATTTCAAGTTCGCCAAGGAACAGGCCTTCTGCCAGGCTGTCAACTGGTTCAGACAGTACCTATGAGAAAAAGATTAGCACGTATTATTAGTTATTAGCTTTCTAATGGATATGAAGAATGTCATGATTCGTCTCTCTTGGTAGTACGACCTGGCTACTGACCTGTAAATCTCTAACAAGTATAGCTCTGTCAGCCAGCAGTGCTCCATATAACTTATATATTCACCAGTCGGTAGACGTGGTAAAAGGCGTCCATGCTTCTTAGTTATCTGCTAAGCTTAATTACCATTGTGGACGATTCTATTCTTAGTAACATATCGATAAGCGTGTTGCTCATCCCATGAATATAGCCTCAAGGAAGTCAACTATGAGATGGTGCACAGCGCAAGCAAAAAGCTCGCGACATCCACCGTAGACAAAAAATCATGATCTATAGTTGCGCTGTGGTCAATATACGCCTTAGGCACAGTGTGATAAGCCTTATCGATGGCACGTGATCATGGGGATCCGCGCCGGCAAAAGAACCGTCAGAAGAACAGGTGGACTATCGACGGGCGAGAGAAGGGAGTGCAAGAAGCTCCGGTCTTGTTGCTCGCTCTTTGTTCTGGTCATTGAAGTCTCTGGATTTCCTGCCGCTTTCACCTTATTTGGCCTTTTGCATCTGTTTTCGAAGCTTCCGTAATCCAATCTTCAATCTCTTTGTCGAGTGATTCTAGCGCTTGCGATCCGCGTTGTTGCCCCCTGTGGTTGACTAAAGTGCCAGTGATCATTGCAATTCACCCACGATTTCTATTCCCATCATACGCTAGCATTTGACAAATTTACGGCATTGTGTCCCTCTTTTCCATTCAAGTCTTCTAGCTTCGACTCCTTCGGCGACTGCATTTGGATCCGCGAATTCGATATTGAACCTTGGTGAACTACCTCTGTGACGGTTCCTACTTACAACCTGTGCATGTACAGCTAGTTGGTCTATCACGAGCCACCTCATTCTTCGTGTTAAAATCTTTCGCTGCGAAAATAACATGGCTACTCCGGCTGCCTTACCGCCGCTTCCTTTCAACCCTGCAAGGCTACGGTCATACTTGCTTCGCCTGCCTCTTTTTACGCGACTTGTGGTGCTGGTGATTATCGTGTTTTGGGTCCTGGAGTTACAAACAGTATGGAGCGTGGTACAATGGGGTTCGTTGACACCGGATGAGATCGGTATTGGTAGCAGTACGTATCCTTACACTGTTGCGTGTTACTTCTGGAAGACGAGTATAATACCCATGCCTGGCTCTGACACATTCATAGTGTACCGGATTAACACGTATCCATTCATCCACATGGGATTCTTCCATACTTTGCTGAATCTTGTGGCGCTTATGCCGTTGGTCGAGCGGTTCGAAGCTGAACATGGCACGTTGACTTCCGTGGCTCTGTTTTTAGGACGTAAGTCGTACTCGAATTGCCAGGTTCCACACGGATGTACTAATAGTGCTTATTTGCGTAGCTCTTTCTACGTTCCCTGCAGGGCTCTATATTCTGATTGAGAAAGTTCTTCTGCATAGAAACACCACTGTAGTTGGCGCGAGGTGAGTAATATGTTCTTCGGCCTTGCAATCAAGCCTGTCTAACAATCCTCAAGTGTTTGGGTTTTCCTCTTACTAGGCATCGAAGCTATCAAGACTTACAAGTCTCACCCATACTTCAGGTATTTACCCAGATATTGAGACCGTGTACAATTTGTAATCCGCTAACGTACGCCTAGTCTTGGGAATTACGGGATCCCTACCTGGACGTCACCATTGTTTGCGTGTGTTGTTATTGCGATCCTTATACCTAATACTAGTTTCCTAGGCCATCTGTGTGCTATTCTTATTGGCTATCTGTGTGAGTATCGCCTTCCCAGTAGCCAATGTCATTTATACTAACAATTCTGCATCAGTCGGCCTTGGATATCTCAAGGTGGTTGTCCCGCCTGAGAAGATCCTGAGATGGATCGAAGGAAAACTGAACCTGTTGGGACGGCTGCCACACTATGTCTCCGTTGACCAAAAGACGTATGGCCGATATGGAGTGCTCCCCACGACGAATACCATGGGCGAGAGAGGCACCCCTATGAGCTATCTTGGATCATCGCAACGCCTGGGTCCTTGAGATCGTTGGCTGCTAACGCTGTGTCAGACTGTTATATTTACAATTCTTGTGCATATTTTAGGACTATAGTAATCATCTGTTATAGTGGTCTAGTGAGGGGGAACATATTTTTGGGCTTATAAATGCATTTAGCGTGTTTCATTGACATGACGTTGAGCAAGTTGTGCAGTTGGTCTTTAGCGGCCGACGTAATAATCCGCGGAGTGGACTTACTTGTCCCCCCAATGCTCCCTTTGAGACACCGCGGACAAGTATGCGATCGACTCCGCGAATGCCTTGATTCCATGGCGTTAAAATGTAAGTACTTGAATAGTTATAGGGTTTAATCAGGCTGCATCAGCTTTAGCCCACTTACATCTAGCATCCTTTGTTATTACCCCGGATTCTACTATCGCAAGGACAACGCAGAGTTAAGCAAGCTGATTGAGAACCAATGACAGCCGCAATCCGCAAATTGCGGAATAATCCCCATTTCCTTTTCGTGCATTTACCGCACATCCTCTCGTTCCTATGCATCCTCGCCGGCGTCGTCTGGCTTCTTCTCCTTCCGCTCAATGACTACTCCCGTCAAACGTACATCTCCGAGAACGCGCTTCTCCCCGGCCAAGTCCATGCCTACTTCTCCGGCAGTGAACAGAACATTTTCCGCGGATACAGGAAGGAGCTGGAGACGCTTTTACCTAGTGGGGCTCCAGGGGAGGGGCCAGAAAGGAATAATCTTGAATTGACACCCGAGTAGGTTTGGGGTCTTGTCTTTGACGTCTGCCTACAGCCACGTACTAAGTCGAGCTCTCTACCAGGATCTCTGATAAAATACAATCGGTCCTCAGAGCTTCTGGCTTGAAAGTCGCGACACAGAATTATGAATATACTTCCGCTGGTATCACGCATCAGGGACAGAACGTCTATGCCATCATCCAAGCGCCACGGGGCGATGCGACGGAGGCGATCGTACTGGTTACGGCTTGGAAGACAGCGGATGGGGAGCTCAACCTGAATGGGGTTACCCTTGCGTTGACGCTGGCGAGATACTTCAAACGTGGGTTGCTTATGATTCCGCCGTACAACAAGGGTCATGGCTGACTGGATTCTAGGATGGTCTCTGTGGTCGAAGGATATCATATTTTTAATCACTCCTGACAGCAAAACGGGAACACAAGCGTGGATTGACGCGTACCATGACATGCAGCCGCCATCTGTTCAGCCCCTACCGCTGAAGAGTGGTGCGTTGCAGGGAGGACTGGTGGTGGAATACCCCTTTGATCATCGATTTGAGTCCCTACATATTGTCTACGACGGTGTCAACGGTCAATTGCCGAATCTGGATTTGATTAATACTGCCGTGTCGATTGCCGGTGGTCAAATGGGTATCGGTGCCAATTTGCAGGAGATGTGGGACCACGACGACAGCTATGAAGCCCGTCTGCAAACTATAGTGAGAGGTATGGCTAAGCAGGGTTTCGGGTACGCCACTGGAGCACATAGTAGTTTCATGCCATATCATATTGATGCTATTACACTGCAAACGAAAGGTGACGGCTGGCAGGATGAAATGGCCTTGGGCCGGACCGTGGAGAGTCTCTGTCGGAGCTTGAACAACCTCCTGGAACATCTGCATCAAAGTTTCTTCTTCTACCTCCTTATGCAAACTAACCGGTTCGTCAGTATCGGCACTTATCTACCCAGTGCGATGCTGATCGCTGGCAACTTTACCATCATGGCCATCGCGCTGTGGTTACGCACTGGTTACTATATGGGCTCTAAGCCCAAGCCTTCAGCCGACGCTACTTCGCCGAACGAAAAGGAGAAGGAACAAGCAGCAAGCCCCCAAGTCAAGGGTGAACCAGAGGTTACGAACGTAGAACACAAGGAACAAAAGAGCGATACCAATAGCATCAACGAGCGGCAACTAGCGCTTCCACTGAGCTTTGTCGTCGGCCTACATTTATTAGGCCTAATCCCTCTCTTCATCTTCAACAACCTCTCCCACAAGGTCAGCACCCCAATACTCTTATTTGAATTGCTCTGCTTGATCTTACACAAATTATAGTATTTCACAACCGCCACGTACATATTCGTCGTAGCCGATGTCATCCTCCCGCTATTCCTCGCAGTCTTGGTCAGCCAAGGCTTCCACCCCGAACCCCAACAATACCTCCTCATGAAGTCCTTCTCCCTCCTCCTTCTTGGAATTTTCCTCTCCACACTGGCCACCTTGAACTTCTCCCTCTCATTCATGATCGGCCTGCTTTGCGCTCCTCTCAGCTTCGTCAGTCGCATCAATCCTACCACCGATGCACCTCTCCGGTACGCACTCGCTCTCATAGGACTAGTACTTCTGAACCTTCTCTCGCCCCCGGTAGCCCTTCTCGGGGGCTGCTGGTACACTGGAGCCTCGGTCGAGACCGTCCTAACGCAAGCCGCGTTCGGATGGGATGTATGGGGAATGTGGACGCAAGTAATGGTATGGTGCGTTTGGTGGCCCGCCTGGATAATCGGATGCGCATTGCTAGGCTTCTCCCTATTCTAGAGAAGGCTATCGGAAGGTTGCTAGATACTCAAACTCCTTCCAAACTAGACCAAAATCTAGACAAACACCAATGTATATCATATCATATCATATCATAACATAGCTACATATACGTATCACCACAATGCAACAACCTCCCCCATCAGAACCAAACCAAGCACAACCAATCACTTCAAAACCACCCTATTCTAGACCCCCTCCCTTTTCCTAACAACCCCCAACATCTCAAACCCCGCCAATCCCCCCTCAATTCCAACAACCCTCTCCACCCCAAAACCCCCAGCAAAACACCGCACATAATCCCCCCAATCCGCCCTCGGCCCCAACCACAAAATAACCTCCACCTTCCCCATCCCATACATCTCAATATACCTCTCCACCAGCCTCGGGTCACGCGGATAGACGAACATCCACGCCGTGGCGTCGGGGGCCCGCTCGTGCAAGAGATCCCATGTGCCGGTGACGACGTGCATGTCTTGTTCGGGGATATAGCGGTTGACGGAAGAGGAGACTTCGACGCCTTCGATTTGGAGGGATGGGTAATGGTGGGTTAGGAGGGCTTCGAGGAGGCCGGTGCCGCTGCCGATTGAGAGGGTGAGGGAGGGCTTTGTGGGGAGGAGGGTGGAAAGGGTTGTTAGGAGGGTTATGGAGATTGAGAGGCAGCAGGTTGGGAAGGCTTGGGGGGTAGTTGTTAGGTTGGTTGGTAGCTCTGCCATTTTTTGGGTAGGTTTGGTGTGGTATGGTATAGTATAAGGTAATAGGGGGTAGAAGGAAGTTGAGTGTAGGGGGAGGATGAACTATGGTGGGTGAAAATTCTGCGCGATCGTATCTGTCTTTCATACGGGTTCAATGGTGGGTGTCAAAAGTCTAGTATTCATTTCATACATATAACCCCCAAGTGCTACTCTTTTTGCAGGACTCTTACATTAAGGATATGAGGAAACGACACTGGAACATAGCTCATGCAGCCCACACATCTTTACCAACACCTTCAATCCAGTGTCCCAGTTGGTTAACACCTGCGTCCCAGTCCTTCAGCCTATTCCGCATGCCCTCAATCTGGGCCATATCCAGAACCTTGGGCTGCACCCAGTTAATCTGCGCGATCTGGCCCACCTGGTCGATGGCACCCTTCAGCAGACCGAGCGACAGAGCCTTCATGATCAGGTGTTCGATCTCCTCGGGCTTCACCTTCGTCTCCGCAGAGATGGCCGCGAAGGTCAGATTGCGGTCATGCGGGGGCCGGCGGAAGACCATCTCTGTGAGAGCCGAGAGGGAGATCTTCTGGTAGAGGAAGAATCGATGTTGTTCTAGGAGCTGGTTCTTGGAGATGTTGCCAGCCAGCACGTCGTAGGCAGTGAGATCTCCACGGTTGAAGGCGAAGAGGAGATCGCGGAGCCAGCTATGGGGGGTCTCGGTGAGAGAGTCCAGAATAGGATGCAGAAGCAGTTCGCCAAAATTGTAGATAGAGTCGGAAACTAGGGCGGCGACACTGAGATTGTATGCGCGAGAAGCGCGCTCGGCTTCGCTGAGATCCTCAAGATTTATGCATGCGAGATAGAGAAGGGCGTTCTTATAGAATGAGGCGAATTCTTGTTTTTTCTAGGCGGGCATTATTAGTTTGTCTGGTAGTCGGTGGCGCTTTTATGTGACACATACATGGTAATAGTCGGCGTTGACTTTATAGAAGGAGGCGTGTACGACAGTCTCGACCGAATCGAAAGTATCCAGGACCTTCTGACACGTTTCCAGGTCTTTCTGTGCTCCATCCAGATCATTGAGCCGTTGCTTCACATTGGCGACGTCCGCAAGGGCATAGATATAAGCTTCTTGTGTGTCGGGCTTGTTCACCTTGTCGGCGAGTGATGTGAGGAAAGAGAGTCGTTCTTTGTCATCTGGGAGATAGAGATTTAGCAACGCCGTCTAGACCCAAATGCAAGGTGAACCATTGCCGAAGCATACCTGCACACTCTGTCGATGCCATCAACCCCAACGAGACGAACTTCAGCTGATTGATCTTGTCGGCGAAGCTGAGCACGAAGGTCTTAAATATCGGTAACCGCTGAGGGGCGCTCTCTGGAAGACGGAAGAATTCAACCAAGGAGTTGGTAAGCTGGTGCCATAATTTCCGCTCCCAGTAGTCTTCGAAACTGAGGAAGTATGCCTGGCATTGTTCGGGAGCTTGCTGAAGCTGGTCGGCCAGGAAGTCGGAGATCTTCTGGTTCTCCATCGCGGGGAGAGCAGGGGATGCGAGATAGAGTCGTGTGATCAGATGCTGGGTGATAAGCAAATACTGAAGCTTGGCGCTGTTGAGGAAGAAAGGAGAAGTACGAGAAGAGGCCGTCGGACGAAGAGTATGAAGCAGCAGTTGATGATGACGATGGAAGCGTTGATGGGGAAGTGGAGCGAAGCTCACTCAAAGGCTCAAAGGCGGTGTCTTTGCGCCGCCCGAGCACATGACACTAGAGGTAAACACCAGTAGACATCTATTGAAGTATAGAGCCCTGTGACACGAGTACTATCTCTCTCCATGTCCTTTTTTTTCCCACCATATACGACTCCGAAGTTACGTAGACTGACTCACAATGAAGACACACATAGCTTTTATTGGTTCAACCAGTCTTGGGGGCTCATCTAAGGTACTTTGCGGTGGAGGGTCATACTTTTAGCTCCATAGAAGTATCCGATATGTCTCCGAAAGAGGTACAGTAGGCACCAACTAGAATTTCCCTTGCATTGCCGGATATAAAATCTGCATGTTTTCCTCCGTTGTCTTTCAGCTTTTGTATCTCAAACCACTCAAGCCTATCGATCAGCTCTCATAAGACACCTTCACCGCCACACTATTGTATCTTTAAGAAATCATTCATACACCACCCAGCAACCATGTCCGACTTTACAGAAAAAAATAGACAAGTCTTTGAGTAAAACCTCCTTTCCCTATATCTGAGAGTCATGGCTCACGATCTGTAGCAAAATGTCCAAGACATACAAGGCCCAATTCGAAAAGGGCATGAAGATGATACACCGAGTAGTCCAAGAAAAGCGCCTTTGGGCTAGTGATACTTGGACTGACACTGAAACTGGACAAGGCAAAGAGATCAAGGTGCTGGAATACGCATGTGGACCAGGAATTGTCTCCACGGTTAGTCCCATGTCTTCGTTAGTTGTCAGAGGAGGATACATGAACCGAGCTAATGCATTCACAAGACACTAGCACCATTCGCCACTAAAGTTGTTGGGCTAGACGTTGCGGAAGGAATGGTCGATGAATACAACTCGAACGCTCGTGAGGCCGGCTTTGCAGACAAAATGGTTGGCCGCAAAGGCGATCTTCTAGTCGAATCAGTGTCAGACGATCTTTCAGGGCCGGATTATTCGGATTTTGATGTTGTATTCGTCAGCATGGCCCTACACCATTTTGAAAAGCCAGACTTGGCCATGAAGCGCCTCGGCGAACGGCTGAAGAAGGGCGGAGTGTGTCTGATCATCGATATACTCCCACATGGCAAGCATGACCACAATGCTCATGAAATGCACAATGAATTTGCGGAGACCACACACACAATCAAGACCCATGGGTTTACCCTAGAGGATATGCACAAGCTTTACGAAGCTGCTGGGGTTGCGATGAAGTTCGACTTTCAAGTCATTGATGAGCCATTGGAGTTTGAGAGAGATGGAAAGAAATTTTCCAAGACTATTTTCATAGCTCGAGGCCAGCGCCAGTAAGCTCAGCCCTGTTGGATAATAGGATGATATAACGAGACTTGCTAGTTGTTAGGTTCTGGGCTTCTGTCAATGAGTACATGTTATAGTGATCAGCATATGTAGATTTCATAATCAGAAACAATGCTTCCAAGTAGGTGAAGCTAGCTGTGTATTTTTTTGACAATAAATTCTGGTTGTTACAGGTTCAATGGCATTGGAAATATTGTGGAATGTTGTTGCGGATGATGGATGAGTTGTAGTGATGGAAAATATCCAATCAGATTTCAGGAATAGTCAGACACCATTGAGGTAGATTTGGGGTTACGCTCCTTCAAACGGCGAGAACAACCATTTCATCCACCCATTCTCGAATTATGCAGCTGATTGGATCCAATCCCGTCATTGACAACGCTGAACTATGAGGTGAAGACAGGTGAAAGTGTCGAAAATGAGGTTTCAAACGAGGTCCCAGGTCGTCCGAATCAGGACTAGCGCCTAGGTCCCGTGCCGGCAGTTTGCGTTCTCCGAAGAACAACCGTCGACAAGTTCAGCATCAAGCACGAGATCGCCCGCTGAGCGTTGCTCTCTCCATTCGCTTTTCCTGTCCCACGAACCCCCGATCCGGACGCAATCCGGTGGTCTCATCTTAATTTAGACCTGAAGAGAGACCATGCAGAAGTGCCGGGCCGTCAATTCCGCCTTGGGCTCGAGGGCATTCGCCCCCGCCCCTAAGGTCCAACAAGTGCAGCGCCGGAATCTTCAGGATGTCGCGATCACTAGAACTGGAAAGCCGATCTTGAAGGTCCAGGGTGGACGGTACGTCTATAGTGTTGAAGCCGTGCGGGTATACGGTGGCTAATTGATGCTCTATAGGTCGTCTCTTGGAGGTACCAAGTCCTTTTCCCAATCGTCGCATTACCTTCAGACGATCTAACTGGAACTGTCTTCTAGGCTATACCGCTACCGTCTTCGGTGCTACTGGTTTTCTCGGTCGTTACATTGTCAACAGGCTGGGTAGGTCAATACATGGTCCGCAGGAGGAATATAAGTTAATAGCGTCCAGCTTCACAGGGATGCACGGTTGTAGTTCCCTTCCGTGAGGAGATGACCAAGAGGCACTTGAAGCCCACCGGTGATCTCGGAAGAGTCAACTTCTTGGTACAGTCTCCGAAGCTGAACACTCGAGGTGACTACCCCAACTAACCAGTGGTAGGAATACGACCTGCGAAACACCCAGTCGATCGAAGAGAGTGTCCGTCATTCCGATGTTGTTTACAACCTTGTCGGTCGCCAATATCCTACCAAGTCAGTTATACATGGTCGAATGGCTTGAACGGCTATTGACAGCTTGCAGGAACTTCTCCTATACCGACGTGCACGTTGACGGCACGGAGCGCATCGCCGAGGCTGTCGCCAAGTATGATATTGACCGATTCATTCATGTCTCTTCCTACAATGCCAGCAGGGACTCTCCTTCCGAATTCTTCGCTACCAAGGTCCGTCTTTAAATCCAAAATATATCACTTTGATGCTAAGCTGTACAGGCCTGGGGAGAGGAAGTTGCCCGTTCCATCTACCCCGAGACCACCATCGTCCGGCCTGCTCCCATGTTCGGTTTTGAAGATAACCTTCTTCACAAGCTTGCCAAGATCACAAACCTCTTCACCTCCAACCACATGCAGGAGCGCTACTGGCCCGTCCACGTAAGTTGAGTCTGATCCGTCTGCGGTACATATGAAGCTGATTCAGATAGGCCCCCGATGTTGGCATGGCTCTGGAGCGTATGCTTCATGATGACTCCACTGCTGGCCAGACTTTCGAACTTTACGGTCCCAAGAACTACTCTACTGCCGAGATTGCCGAGTTGGTTGACCGCGAAATCGTCAAGCACCGCCGCCACATCAACGTTCCTAAGCCGATCTTGAAGCCTGCCGCCCACTACCTCAACAAGCTGCTCTGGTGGCACACTATCTCGCCTGACGAGGTCGAGCGGGAGTTCATTGACCAGGTGATCGACCCTAACGCCAAGACCTTCAAGGACTTGGGCATCGAGCCTGTTGATCTGGCCACCCTCACTTTCCACTACCTGGTAAGCACGCCGCAATGGTTTCTATTGTTTCTACCGCGTACTGACAGTCTTGTAGCTGGGCTACCGTAGCGCCTCGTACTACGACCTGCCTCCAGCCACGGAGCGGGAAAGACAGGAGGAGAAGAAGTATCTGCACGTCTTGGACGACCAGTAGTCTGTGTTTCTTTACTGTACATAAGCTAGACATCCATTTCTTTTTCTTTTGTGCCATTGATATTGTATGCGACTGTAATTGGACCGGACTGCCCAAACGAAGTCGTATCCTAATTCCATACAAAAGTTCATTTATATTAGAAGGGGATAAAAATCTCCCCACTCCACTTCTAAATCGAATCCACCTCCGCACTTATCCTCTCCCAAATCCTCCCAACACCAACACCCCGAGACAACAAGAAAGCAAAAGAAAAAAACAAAAATGCCACCCCCTCAATACACCTTCAATACCAGCTCAACCCCCATCCTCCTCCTCAAAACCAAATCCTCCCCCAAAGACAGCTACGAAGAGTACTTCTCCGCACACGGCTACACCCCCACCTTCATCCCAGTCCTGGAACACCACTTCCACACCCCGAACCTCTCAACCGTGCAGCACCTCTTCCAATCCGGAGACCTAACCCCAGGCCCGGGGCGCAAATATGGTGGGCTGATATTCACAAGCCAGCGAGCCGTAGAAGGGTTCGCGGCCACCCTCGACGACATCGACGGTGAGTTAAAACAGTTCTCACTTCCACCCACATACATACTACATACATACATAGATTACCTACCTCTCTTTAACTCTTCTTCTGGCAATTACAATCTAACCTAATCTGATTGGCATATTACTATATGCCAATGAGAGAAATATAGTGCCTACATACTAACAAACAAATCAAACTAAAGGCTCCATCAAACAAACCTCCTCTCAATCCCTAATCCTCTACACCGTCGGGCCCGCCACCTCCCGATCCCTAACCTCTATCCGAGACGAGCACCTCCCGCACGCTACAATCCTCGGTTCAGAGACAGGGAACGGCGAGAACCTAGCGCAGCTTATCCTCGAGCACTATAACTCGCTGTATGATGCGTCGCACGAGCCGAAGCCGCCACTGTTGTTTCTTGTTGGTGCACAGCGGCGGGACATCATTCCCAAGACGTTGATGGCGGAGTCGCTGGCGCCGGGCCAGCGGATCGGGGTTGATGAATTAGTGGTGTACGAGACGGGCGTAATGGAGGGGTTTGAGGAGAGTTTTGCGGCGGCCGTTCGGGCTGCAGGGGAGTTCTTGGCTGGGGGGTTGGAGAGGGCGATTTGGGTGGTTGTGTTCTCGCCGACGGGGTGTGATGCTATGTTGCGGGTTTTGAAGGCGCTTGGGGGTGGGAAAAGGAGGGTGTTTATTGCTACGATTGGGCCTACGACAAGGGATCATTTGAGGAAGTACGAGTTTGAGGCGGATGTTTGTGCCGAGAAACCGAGTCAGGAGGGAGTGGGGATGGGTATTGAGAAATTTATGGAGAATTGGAGAAATAGGGTAGGGCAATAGGTCCGTTTGCCTCTGATCGAGTTTGTACCTATACCAGTATCGTAGTATATACCCGTCGTTATGTTTGATGACAGTCTTACCCTGGCTGAGCTCCTAGACAACAATGTATTTCCAGTTCAAGACTGACAAGCGTAAGACCGGCTTATCCGTTAAACAATTGAAAGCACCAGACGCCCGAAAAATTGTCAAAAAGGCCAATCATAAGACTCTGCCAATATCGTAGTCGATGCGCGAGCGTACTACCCTGGCTTGTCGTCTATGCAACTAGATATTAAGTGCATGGGTTCGGTCATCCCACCCTATTTATCCCGACCTGTATTCCATCCTCGCCGATGGATAAGCTGTCCATGGCATATGCATGTTATGTTCAATCGCAAGCTCACCGCATGATCTCCTCATAAATTAGGGCTGTAATTGTTAGTATGAGAACAAGAGAAAAAAATAGGCCCGTCCATTTGAGACAAACTCACTCTTCAACTGCTCCTTGCTAAGGGCATCCTTATTCTTGTCGAAGTCAAAGAACCCTTCCGGAATTGGAGGTGCAGTAGGTTCATCATCAGGGTCATGATACGGCTCCAGATACGGGTGACGCAAAGCCTCCTCCACGGTGATACGCTTGGCAGGGTTGAATGCGAGAAGCCTCTCCAAGAGGTCCAGTGCCAGATCGTTGGCCTTCGGGAATAGCGCCTTGAAGGGAATCTTCTTCTTAAAAGGGAGGGACCGAATGTATTCCCGAGCCCGTCGGGATTTGATTCCATAATAGTCCTCCATTGTCGGCGTACCGAGAACATCCAAGATGAGAGTCAATTGGTGGTGGTCTTGAGGATATGTTAGCTAGCTGGTTTCAGAGATCGGTAGTAAAAGACGTACAATCCTTTCCAGGGAATAGAGGCTTTCCACTCAGCATCTCTGCTAGGATGCAACCAACACTCCATACATCTATGGCTTTGGTGTATTCCTTGAATGTCAACATAATTTCCGGAGCACGGTACCATCGGGTGGCCACATATTCCGTCATGAACCCGGAATTGTCATCTGTTGAGGCAGCCGAACGAGCTAAGCCAAAGTCACAAACTTTCAGATCACAATTTGCGTTGAGGAGAAGATTTGATGGCTTCAGGTCACGATGAAGAACGTTCGCTGAATGCATGGCTTTCAGGGCACGTAGCGTTTGGTAAATGAAGTATTGACAGTGATCATCCGAAAGATCTTGAGTACGAATGACCCGATGCATATCGGTCTCCATCAATTCCTGCGAATCGGTTAATGCATGATGTTTTTGTCCATTTTTCACATGATAGTACCTGAATCAGATAGACCTCGTTGAAGCTTTCGTAGTTGCGCGGCCTTTGAATATCCAAAATGGAGATGATATTCTCATGGTTAAAATAGCGAAGCAACTTCATTTCACGCAAAGTACGCAAGCAGAACATCGAATGGTCGAAAGGGGTGATTTTCTTAATGGCGACTTTTTGGCCAGATGGTTTATGGATCGCAGAGCTGGGCGGTCAGCATGTCATTATCAAACAGCTCCTTAAACCAGCACTTACCAAACCACACCGTAGGCACCTTCGCCAATTACATCTTGGATCTCATATTGGTCGGAAACGTTGAAGGAGATCTTTCGCGAACCTCCTTGAGGGGGGAGTTGCTGCACCATATTCGTGGACTGTCCGAACTAGAACTGTGTTAGCTGAATATGTACAGCTTGTGACTGTAGTGATTGGTTGCTGAGTATACTGCGCTTCACTTCCGCATTGGCTACCACGGGCGAGGCCGATCCAGACGGCCTCGACCCCTAGCAACAACGCATCGTGTAGTTGTGTCACAGACCATCCGTGCATCATTGGCGGACAACGTCGCAGGAAACATGACGGGTTCGCCACGGTGGCGGCAGTAGATACTGAAAACGCGCTTACATTCGCTCAGACGACGGGCTCCCCTTTTATCAATGCTCTTGGACCTCTTGCAACGAATGCGTACGCCTTGGTCAACGCTGAACAAGTAACGGTTCTCGGGGTCTATTCGGATCGAATGCGGGGTAGGTATGGCGTTGTGTCTGGTATCAAGCGATTTGTCGTGTGGTTGCGGAACGTTTGACACGGGGATGACAATGGCTGAAGCGAATAGCCTAGTTAAATGGGGCTAACACATATAGCGAACGGCGCTTGTAGCGAATGATCCAGTGTTCTATGAGTAGGCATATCAGTAACTTCCCAACCACTGAAACAAAATCCACAACAGATCGCGCCGAACAGGCGTCAAATAGGTTATCACCATTAGGAGGGAATTATCCATACATGACTCGGAAACTGGCCTTTGTTCTTTAGTCTCGGAAGCTGGTGTTTCAGAATTTTGTTCTATTTTTACTTCCTGAACTGTTTGTTCCTCCTTTCCTGCGTGGCTTCAGTGATTAGCTTGAAGCCTTTGGACCTCGGCAATGAGATTGGAGACTAGATAATGGGTAAAAATGTGGGAAGTTGGTGCTTCTACAAGTGCAGCACCGTGGAAGAACAGGAGGAAGCAAGAAGTAATCGCAGTAACCCAATAGTCGCAGCAATAGTAGGAAGTTACTAACGGGGTGCGGATCAACTAAAAGTGGGGTGGTGCAGAATGGAGGGGAAAGAAGGAGACGACCTTGAGAGAGTCAAAAAGATACGTACTAGTCAGTTTGTTGACGATCGTAAACAACGAGGATGTTCCAAGAAAGGGGCGGCAAGGGAGAGGATCCAGAACCAGAGTTGTTCGATTTCTTGGATCTTCTAGATCGGATGGAACCGTGGATCAGCCCTTCTCGGTATGGGATGATATACGGGGGGGAGGCACGTTCTAAAAGGAGAGGTAGAAGGAAAGACACACACACACACACACAACAAGGTTGATTCCGCTGGACGAGGGGAAGCAACCACGTTAAGTGCTGTTTAGCTCGATAAAATTCCGAAAAAAATGGAAATACGAAGAGACGGAGGATGGAGAATCTCCTCTGCCTTTTTTTGGGGGGGTGAATGGGTAGATGATGGATCACGGGGAGGGGCGGCGGATAGTGTATTTATTAGTATATTATAGTATAGTATAGTATAGTATTGTATGTGGTCCATACCTATACTATGGTACTATACATGTGTATGGATGTACATCCAGGGTTACCTTAAGGCTTAGGGTATACGGACATGCCTCAACAGGGAAAAGACAAGACTTGTCAAAGTTCCTACTAGCTGATAGTATCGAGTATTACGCTCGTGGGAACATTAATACACTCTCCAGAGAAAGCTAGGATTGAGGATTTCTTAATTAAGCAATATAACTATACAAAAATTATACCAGGCAGAGACATGTATCATACTGGGATGGTTATGTACAGTATATGTATGTATGTATGTATGTATGTACCTTCATCAACAAGGACCCGCCACGTTCTATATACAACTCAACTACAACTACGTATCCTCTCAGGGTCCAAGGAGGACACTAATACTACGGTCTATACCTAAATTGAATCGATTTTTTACTTAATGTATTACCAAGGTAGAAATAAAAAACCCCAAAACCGGGATTGTTGAGAAAGTAGGAATATCCTAAACGACGGTCAATTTCGCTGCTAGGATGGGTCCCCTCCTCCATTAGTGTCTTTGGCCAGTGTTTCAATGCACATCCACCACCAGGTAACCCGCCACAGCGCCAACTGCCTCCTGATGGAGTTTAGTTTACGTCTCAGTGTTGGCCGAGTGGAGAGGGGGCAGTGCCATTGCCAACCTTCAACTCCGCGCTACTGCTCATCATCACAGTTGTCACAAAGTTCACTGCATTTCACGCTCTCCTTTTATTGTCTAATCTCCCGCATACCTTGGCACCTCCCTCGTTGTGTTGCCAACTCTGTCGCCATTCTCGTCCCTGATTCGCTCTGAGCCTCGCGGCCTTGTCGACTTGAGCTGACATGCTAAGCTGTGATCTAAAGTCTACTTTGCATGATCGGCCTGACAGACGCCGGGGGCTCATGCACGCTTTCTCCTATGGAACACATTTGCATGAATTGAAAGATAGGGTTAGGTCACTGGGAGGGAAGAAAAAAAATTTCCTCTTTGCTTTTCGAAAAATAAATAAAAAAATAAAAAAGAGGGAGAGACGGAGCGGTCTATATAGTCACCTCCAGAGAAAACTAGAATCTCGCTAACAATAACCCGTAAGGAAAATCTCTAGTAGTACAGAGGATCCCAGACAGATGAGCAATATATTGATATCTGTTGCATATAATTTACCAAAAAATTAGAAAGAAAAGAAAACTTGGGAAAGCTACCATTACTGCACAACCTGTAGGCGTGTTCATCCTCGTCAGCCTAATGACTTGGCAGGTCATAGGTTTGGGTGATAAGTACAGGAGAAAAAGTAAAAAATGAGAACCTAGGAAACGGGGTCAAACCTTTTCCCGCAAGTTGCCCATCCATTGTACCAGACTGGCGCTCTGGTCGGCTCTGTCCTCCACCAGCATTGTCTGTGCCCACAACCGGAGACCGGGTTCTCCATCCTCCTTGACCACGTACAGGTGTGGCACCACAATACTGCCGCAGCCCTTCGACCGGTGGTCCCGACTCTTCTCGATGACCGCCCGCACGCGTTGGTTCATGTCGTTGTCCAAATCGGGAAGGTTTTGCTTGCCCACGCGCAGTTGCGACTTGTCTGGCAGACCGAATACATCGACAAGGAGCTGTGGCACAGCATCACGCCCCACCCAGAGAAACTGTGTCTGGCCGTCGTCGATGAGGTAGAGACCGTATGGAACTATACGCTCAGAAGACAAGTTCACCGGTGGAGGAAGAACAATTTCGCCTGTTTGTTCATCGGGCAGGCCGGCATTATCCGGCATGTCGTGCAGAGAGTACATCTTTGGGTAGATATATTGCATGAGAAGAGGGAGGGGGAGCGTCGATAGCAAGCAGAGTGCTGCGGAGCGCATATCAGTTGGTATCTGCGCAGATTTCCGAAGACCAAGCTATATCATCATGTTAGTCAATGCCAAGCCCAAAAGGGGGGAAAGGGGACGATAATGATTCCTACATTCTTGATCAACGCGAGGAAAAGAACAGGGAGTCCTCTCAAGTTAGCAGGGAACTGCAGACCTCCGCCACTCACACTTCCGCCAGCGAGTTCTTTGCGGTAAGTCGCCAGAAGCTCCACGGCCTTGGCTTGCAGGGCTTCTCGGGCAGGTTCCAAGCCGCTTCCCAGGGCCCGTTCAACAGCCTTGTGGCTAAAGTAGGTAGTAATCGCCTGCTGATCTGCCGATGCATAGACATCTGCAAGTGACTGAGTAGTGGGAAGCGCCAGAGTCAACACCCGGATCCTCCTCTCCCCATTACATGTAGTGTGAAGTACGGCAGTCTGCATGCAAACAATAGGTTTCGTGACAGTCTCATCAATGGCCACTTCAACAACGTAGGCTTGATCGCGGGGGAAAGCAGGGAATGCGCAGAGATCGGAACTGCGGTTGAAGAAGTTACCGTAAAATGTGCTCATGCGCAAGCCGGTCGTAGCACGGACACGGAGGACGGCCTCCAAGCCAATCTCTGACGAGAGATAATCCGAGAACTCCTGTGCAAACTTGATCGCATCCTCTCCCCGAGCAGCGTTCCATCCAGGGTAGAAGTATGTCTGGCCACCGGTATACCTTGGCAGGTTGCTGAGAGATGCCACATCCTGGTACTGGGACGAGAAGAGGAACATATCTACAGAAACTTGTGCCTTCGAGCATTCAACAGCAAAGCTCTTATAGAAGCTGTTTGCGGTTTGCAGCAGACTGCTCTCCTTGCTGGTGCCCAAGACTTTTTTATCCTCTCTCATGGTCAGGGCGCCATGTCCAACGTTGGGGAGAGATGAGCTGAGAACGCTCATCTTTCCTCCAACAGGGGCAATCAACTTGTAGCCAGCACGGAGCGCCGATCCCATGGCGCAGCCATTGTTTTGGGTGGTCTGGAACATTTCCTGCAACTTATCGAGGAACGTTTCGATGTTTTCACGGCATTCGCTCAAGGTTACTAGCAGGTCACCGGGGATAGGGAGGAATGGCTCATCCAAATCGCTGACAACAAGCATCCTTGGGTCTGAGTTCTCCGAGCCATCACGCGGGATGCTAAAGTAATGGAGGCTTGAATCAACAGCTATAAAACCCAGTCGCGTCCGACGATCGGCGTTCGGAATGCGATCGAGGCTTTCCTTAATGCACCGAGCACTTGTAGCCAAAAGGCCGTTGGTGACAGAGGCGTAACTAACATCGATCAAGAAGAGGTAGACGAGTGGCTGCGGGGGCCGCACCATGTACTCTTGCGGTGCAACGAACTCTACAACTGCATGATTGAGGTCAGGCCGCAATGCCCTATCCGCTGGCCGTTGCAAAGCTGTGTCCCAGTCGAAGGCTTGAGGTACGTCGTTTGTCAGATTGCACATGTTGCAACGCCAGCGATGCCCATGGTCAAGGAAAGTCACAAAAGGATTAATATAGGATCGGCAACGGCGACAACGAGAGATAACTTGGTCCGGAATGACGGGGACCAGGTCTTCGGAGTCATGGAGCGCTCCATACGGCTGAATGACAAGAGCGAAAGGCAGTTTCGACTTCTTCAAGAGAGAGTGGGTGGTGGGAACGGCGTTCAGCGTCGACCGGACATATTTAGGGGGGCAGTTCGCAGTAGGGGAAGGATACACGCTGGTCTAATAGAGGGTTAATAATTGACAACATGAATGCCGACACTTGAAAAATTCCGGTACATACCCCTGGCGGTAGGACAATGGGAGGTGGAGGGTAGTCAAGTTCCGCGACATTGAATGGTTGGGTGAGGAGGTCTGTTGGATAGAGCTGGTTGAGAGGAACAGGTCGCGGGGCCTGGACAGCTTGGGGAGCAGCTTGCGGCGGCATTAAATGCGGATCAGTTACTCCCATTGCACCGAATTGTTGAGTCATCTGAGCCACTGCGGGCGCAGCAGGAGCAGCATATCCTTGAGCCGCGGCATGCATCTGAGTGGGATCCGCTCCGTACACGGGTTGCTGATATCCTGCGGCTTGCGGCTGGGCTGGGTAACCCCCGTAGGCACCACCAGCCGGTAGTTGACCACCTAGACCAGCATTGGCACCGGAACCAAATCCGAAGGCTTCACCAGCGTATGCTCTTTTCTTTTTACCGCCATGTTGAGCCGGGGCGGGGGCTCCAGGGGCTAACCCCGCAGCTTGCTGTGAAGGAGACTCATATCCGGCAGGTTGGCCGTACCCTTCCTGGGGAGGGTAACCCCCTTGTGGTGCGGCCATGAATGGCTATATCAATATGTTGTAGCAGTTGTCTGATGGGTTATGATCCCTGTGGACTCGGTTGAGTGTCGACTGGGGTGTTGGTCAACGTCGCGCACTAGAATCGTCAAAGGCTCACTATGTTGGCGGTCAACACTGCCTGAGCTTGAACAGGAGGGGAGCGAATGATCCTGGCAATTTGCTCACTAACAACCAAAATCCGTAACAGGCTCAACCTTATAAATTGAGAATATGACAAGACCACACAGATACGCCTCACTCAAAATCGCTCGACGTGTCCTTGGGAAGGTTGGGGTAGCTGTGGGAGCGGAACGACAACGGCGACGGTGGTGTACGGTGGCCTTTGCGGCTGCTCCCCAGCGGGCCAATCAGAACCCCGCATGCTAACCGACCTTCACTGCCTGAGGTTCCCCATTGATATTAGTATCTCCATTGCAACTGTACAGCAACACTGGACCCTTGATTCTAATGCTTTTATGAGGTATGAAACTCAGCTATACTCGCACTGTTCAGTTAATCAGCGCCAGTCATCAAACTGTTACGAAGCCCTTGCCCTGTACTACGTATAGTATAGGTTAGATGTATGATCTCATACTTCGCGAAATCACAATACTCGAGGTACAGGTATAATTTAGAAATAAGGTCTTATTTCAAGGTGTAAGGCAGATTTGAGATTATTAAGACTGGTTGACTGATTTACTTTATTCGGATGTCTTCTTCTGTAGGTCTTCTATGGAAATCTGTATATCTAAAGTAGTACAACTTTATCAGCCACTGATATATATAATGATGCGAATATCGTTTATAAACCGCACCCATAATACGCGAAGCTGATGTATGAGTAGTACTCAACATTCCGTATTCTACAGGAAGAGTAACTACCTGAGTCATGGCTTAGATTATTACGGTACATGAATAGCGAAATGAAACCCACGGCTCTTTACTGGAACCAAGAAACCCCATAGAGTAATAGAGTGGGTGTGGAATGCCTGGGGAGAAACGTGGGAGGTCACAGGGTTGCCGTGCCAACAGCGTTGACCGCTGCCAATCGCACCAAAACGGCGGTGTTCACACAAGAGCCTCTTTCTGTCTCTCCGACCTCAATTCACGGTGTCGATCTGTTCTAGTGTGTTTGCGCTGTCTTTTCTTCTTTTTTCTTTTGTTTCCTTAATTTCATCGATTCAGTTTTCTGTCGTCGCTTGTTCTTACCTTTGCATCATAGCGCCAATGCAGAAAGGTCTTGCATTGTACTTTTGTTGATTTCGAAATTGCGAGACAGCTCCTCGACAGCGCCAGGTTGAGCTGCTCACCGTATCTCACTCTTTCTGTTTAGATTGCATGCTTCTGTTTCTCATGCAGCAGGAATAGTGTGACGGAGAGACTATAGACGGTGCGAAAAGACGGGCGACTGCGAACTCCGATACGACATAACTAGGTATCTAGCTTGGAAGCGATTCCTCGATCACTTTCTTCTACGATATACAAGATGAGTGTCCGAGTCGTTGCGCGGGTTAGGCCGCTTTTGAAATCCGAGCGGGAATTGGATGTCATCCTCCGCACCGGCTCTGCCACTCAAGCCGTTCCGAACAAGGCCGAAAAACAGAGCTCCCAGGACAGAAAATTGTCGGCGTTGCGGGATAGGGATACCATTGTACGGATCCCAAACCCCAAGAATGAAAATGAGGAGTACTCTTTCCAGTTCAATGCTGTCTACGACGCGGATGCTTCACAGCAAGAGCTCTTTGATGCCGAAGGTTCGTGCCATGCTCGCTGTGCCTGAGTTGGTGATGGTGTACTGATCAAAGCGCACAGTTGCTCCCACAGTGAAGCATCTCTTTAACGGGTTCGATGTTACCTTGTTCGCCTACGGAGTCACGGGTACCGGGAAAACGCACACCATGCGAGGTGGTAAAAGCCTGGCTGACAGAGGCGCCATTCCCCGCCTACTGAGTAGCATATATAGGCGCAGTCGGAAGCTCGAAAAAGATAGCGAGGGCGAGACGACGGTCAAGGTTTCCTTGAGCTATTACGAGATCTATAATGACAAAGTCTTCGATCTGTTCGAGCCCCCGGAGAAGAGAACGCTCGCCGGACTCCCTCTGCGCGATAATGGAGGGAAAACAGTAGTTGTAGGCTTGACAGAGAGACCGTGCTCTAGTCTGAAGGAGTTTGAGACACTCTACGACCAAGCCAACACCAACAGATCTACATCTGCAACAAAGGTCAGCAAATCCTGGGGCAGTCACAGGTTCTAAGCATTATGCTGACTTCTGCTACAGCTCAATGCTCATTCGTCACGGTCTCATGCAATTCTTTGCGTTAAAGTAGCAATCAGTGCTGGTGACAAGACTCGCATCAGCACAGCATCTGCTATTGACCTAGCGGGATCGGAGGATAACCGTCGAACAGACAATGACAAAGAGCGCATGGTTGAGTCTGCGAGTATCAATAAAAGTCTTTTTGTGTTGGCACAGTGTGTGGAGGCTATCAGCAAAAAGCACCATAGGATCCCCTATAGGGAGTCAAAGATGACAAGAATCCTTTCCTTGGGCCAGAATAACGGACTGACTGTTATGATCCTTAACCTCGCCCCAATAAAATCGTACCACTTGGACACATTGAGCTCACTGAACTTTGCCAACCGGACAAAGAAGATCGAGGTTCGTGAAGTGGAGAACGAGCCTATGTTCAAAGGCCCTCCGAGACCAGCGGCATGTCCTTCAGTGACCGCCCAGCGGCAGCCTCTGCGACCACTGGCAGCTTCAGCCAATATCAATCTCACAGCACTCGCCAACAAGGACAAAGATGCATCGAAGGCCGGAGAGAAGCCTGTGAAGGCGTTCCACGTATACTCTGACAAACCGCGGTCCAGGGATTCCACGCAACTCAGAAAATCCGAGCTACCGAAGCGTCCTTCGCTAGATTCTCACACTCGCTTTGTAAAGCCCAGCCGAATTGCGCAACCTCCTCAGCCACAAAAACACTATGAAGACATATCAGCTGCCAAGATTGAAGAGATGGTTGAAAAGAAAGTAGAAGAGATTCTAGCGGTAAGAGCCGTTAGTGAGAAATCGAGGCAGACGCAGGTTCGTGAGTTGAACGAACAAGTACAAAAACGATTGGAATTGTTGGAACAGCGCATTGAAGGAACGGAAGACGCAAGGGCCGAAGGATTGTCGTTCTTGCTTATGGCAAAACAACACCAGGCACGTGGCGAGGATAGCTTTGCATTGAAGATGTACCAACTTGCGCTTCCTTTCTTTCCAAACAACGAAAAGCTTGCTAGAAAGATTAGCACTCTTAAGCAGCGCATTCAAACCAAGCCTTGCCAAGGCGATGACACAACCGGCAATCTTACAGTTACGGCACCGAAGAGGGAGCTTGGAAGCCTTCTTTCGATTAAGAAGCAGTCCCCAGGTACCACCCTGAAGCGTCAAGCTGATGATTCGGACGTTGAATACAGCCCCGAGGATAGCGTTGAAGAACCAAGTGACGACAATATTGAGGAAATAGCACACTCGAGACGCAAGAAGCGCACCAAAATAAATTCATCGATAGATGAAGGGTCTGCCAACGCTGATTGCTTTGAAGCCCCTTCTCCCCGGACAATTCACCTTCTCTCAATAATAAACTCCCGCGACGTGAGTCAGATCAAGCTGTTGAAGGGTGTCGGTGTAAAGAAGGCCGAAGCTATAGTCGACTGCCTTTGTGAAATGGACCAGCACTCATACGGTCGGGACAGCGAAGGACCAGTTCAAATAAAGAGTCTTACCGAATTGAGCAAGTTGAAAGGAGTCGGCGTGAAGAGTGTTGAAAGCATGAGAAACGGTGTTTTGGCATAGGAGGGCATAGCATACGTAAAGGAAAGTTGATATCTGCATTCGTGGAGCCTAAGTTTAGGATATCCCTAGCATCCTGAGCAAACTGCATATTGTATATTGCATCTTTCATATCGCATTGCGGAATCTGCATCTTTTCGCGCAGGTGCAATTGGTATGGTCTATGCATATCTTTGTTTTATCATTCGTTCAGCGATGGTGTTACGGTGTTGGTTGGTAGATATGTTGTTTGACGTTGCACTCTGGACCTTTTTCATATTTGGATATACTCCGAGCGTGAACAATTTCATTAGAATACCATTCATTACCTTCATTATATCCTACTTTATGATCCGCCACCTAGACAATTAGATTCAGCTGTCTCTGCTAAAAACGCCTAAACAATGTCTGTTACTCATTAACCGTCCCCTAGACTTTATGCATGAGTCCCCAGCCACTAATCCTCCCCCTGGCCAAGAGATAAAACACAACACCACCAAACATCACCACACCGCAGAAAATCTCCAACTTCGTATATGACCCATGCAAAGGATCAGGTAACAGAGAGCCTGCAATCGGCATCCCCGTCAAAGCAGCAAAAGACACAATACAGAAATAAGTTCCACTCCGAACACCGATCTCCCGCAGATCCGAGATTTGCGCAACTAGCGCTGGCGCAAGAGAAACAGCAGCACCGGAGCTGAAACCGTAAAGAGAAGTGAATACGATTGCGGGAGCATTGCTCCGCGACGGAAGCCATAGAGCGAGAACAATGATGACCGAGAATAGTGATGTAAGGATCATTAGGTTGAACCTGCCGAAAAGATCTGCCAGATAGGGCGGTACAAGACGGCCGATAATACTGCGAAGTTTATTAGTATGAATGCTAGCCCATACAATAGATGTGCAACACGAGAGAGACAGAGAGGAATACTGACCTTGCTCCGTTAAGAATCGGGATCAAATACGACGCTAGATAAGCTGACATGCCGTATCTTTCGGCTTGAGTCGGGATGAAAGCGAACGGCAGAAATAGGCCCCAGTATACACAAAAGGTAGCAGCAGTGGTAAGCACGAAAGGTAGCTCGCGGAGTGGACGCACAAAATCCAATGGTCGGAATGGTTTCCGGGTATGCTGCAGTCTCGATTGCACGGTAACGTTGGCGATGATTAGAAGCCCTAGACTCAGGAATCCGCAGATTCTCATTGTCCAGCCGAATCCTACTCTGGGAATGAGCCGAGCTACCATGATTGGGAAAATCACTCCCCCAACGCTTGAGCCACAAGTTGTGACACCTAGGGCCAGCGCACGACGACGCCGAAACCAGGTGCTTACGGAGGTGAGACAACCATGGAAGATTGCACTTGTTCCGATGGGGCTGCAGACGCCTTGGGCAAGGATGAATTGGTAGTACTCCTTCGAAATCGAAACCATCATCAGTCCAAAGACGTGGAAGAATGTGCCTGCTATCAGAATCCAGCGAGGACCGAAATTGTCGAAGAAAATTCCTACAATGGGACCCTATTCGTGGATCAAACGGTCAGTATTACTCTTTCGCTGTTGTTTTAAGAGAATTTGTGTGCGTACCCCAAAAAACATCATAAAAATTTCCAACGAAGTAATCCACGTTACTGTGCTAGTGGGCAAGTCACTTAATTGATGCGATTTGTAGTAGTCGAGAAAAACGCCAATACCTACGTACCCCAGTGTTAGTACAATTGAAATTGTTAAAGCACCAAGCATAGGAAACTACTCACAATTAATCCAACCAAAACTGACAAACAGCCCACAGAAAGCGCCCAGAACTACCGTCCATGCCATAACACCCCCATCCGGGGGTGCGCCTGGTGCCTTAGTTGGTGCAGAAAGAGTAGTTGCACCGGATTTCTCCGGATCACCACCTATTCCGGACCCATCTTCTATAATGGGTTTGGATCCCGCCCTGATTCCCTCAAGCTGATATCCTTCCTTCGTCTCTCCAGGGTTCAAATGAGCGTCTGAAGCAAAGACAGGCGTGGTCGAAGGTTCAGACGGTCCTATACTTTCGGCAACGACGCTCTCGGCGGAGTGTTGGATTTCTTGGGGTGAGGGCATGTCGGCCAACTATAGGTATGGATGAGTAGCTTTTGAGTAAGTGACTCGATTTTGTGACTGAAGCAGAGATGCAGTAGTCTCAAGTGAAGCAGCTCATGGGGTTGTAATTAATGAGCACAAGATCAAATAATCAAGGAAAGATGAAGGCAATTCATGTAATATTTGAGGTGATCACACGGAGATCGACAGAGCGAAAGTTCAAGAGAGGATACTGCTATGATTGGACTATCGATCATCGACAGTGGAAATGGTCTTTCCGAGCATAATTGTTTGGGGAAGGGGTGAGTTGATTGCACATTTGTTTTTCATAACAGAGTTCACATTCCTCGCGCCCTAGTGTTCCACCGGTAACTACGGCACTGGAAACTTGGCATTGAATCAAGGGATGGATTTTCAAGACCTGACGTTATTGGGTTACATTGCCCAGAGCACTCATAGGGCTGGGACAGCTGACACTGGAGAAGGAAGCCGAATGAAGGGAGTCGGGGCCCTTGCAGGCTTGGCCATCTAACGCTGCTTTACCCACTGACCGTAAACCGCCTGCCTGATATAGCAGAAAGAATTCCTTGAATTCACCTGTAGCGATATTTGATATGCTCCTGACCTAGAGACTGAACAAATGCTATATGAGAAAGTTTTCATGCCCACAAAAGAGAAAGGAAAATAAAACGGTAGTTCATGTTGAAGCGCGGGACATCTATAATACATTCAGCTCATAGTAGAAAAATTTAGAGACCATTGCCCTATCATGCACTAACTGGGAGAGTGGATGCCAAACGTTAGAGCCTAGCTTTGTTGGCTTGGCTTCTCAAAGATCACCTTGCCCTCCTTCGTGAGAGTGGCAATGCTTTGAGCTGACCCTTTGATTTCCTGTTCTAATTCTTCCACCGTCCTTGTAGGAGCCGGCGCGGCATTGATAGCCTCCTCGGCTGCCTTCCTATATTCATTGTCGGCAGAGGGCTTCTTTTCTGCGGGCTTCGCAGGCCCAATGGTTAGCCCCCTTGGGGCGCTTGCGATCTCATTGACTTCATGGGAGGTAAGAACTTCGTTGATGCGAGGGCCGCGTGTTTGTAAGAGAATTGTCGCGGGACCATCGAATTGAAGGAAGAGCTGGTTACAAACAATGTTAGCTTTAGTCTAGTATTCAGATTGGGATGGGACCCGTACCCTGTCTCCCCAGATGGTCATCCGAGACCAAGTCCGAACTTTATGGAATATTCTCATCGCGGTCTTCCATGTACTTGAATCCGAAATATCCCGGATGAATTTCGAATCTTGAATAAAGCTTGGCAAGCCCTTAAGGCCCGGGACCTGGAATTTCAAGGTTGTGGATTTGAAGCGGTACGGACGAGGGGGGTTAGATGTCATCGTGTAAGCCACAACATTGCTTTATAGTGTTAGCATGCCTTAACGTTGAGAGAGAACAATGGGTATATATGGTCATACCTTGGGTGGACAATGTATTGTTCGCCAGCTTTTACCTCGACCTGGTAGAGTTGGCCCGTACCGACCAATGCTAGCAGGCCTCTGCCAGTCACCTCAGAACTTCCCCAGTGAGACAAGCTCTGCGTAAGTCAGCCTGACTTTCAAGTTACGGAACATGCACAGGGCTAACAGACCAGGGTTGTGTTGATTGTTGGTTTAATAGTGAGAGAACGGCCCGTCCAGGCAAGCAAGGCGCGTCTCTGCGCCACCATCCAATCCACGGAGCCATCCAGATGTACAACAGCGAAGGACGTGACGGGCGACCGAACAGAAACCAAGGCGGTTACTGGACTAGCCGACGAGACCTACCCAGGCGTCAGTTTGACATTTCCAAATACCAATATTGAAAAAGCTAAGCGGACCTTCTGGTAGAGAAATGGAACACCAACAACCGCTCTCCGGAATGGCTCTAGAACGCTCAATGTAGAAACCACCTGACAAGACACCAGTAACCGTCAATATGACCTATCGTAGAACATCGAATCGCAAACCGTGAAGGTATCTCCATACATTATCGGCCTTTCCACTCAAGCCTACCAAGGTTCCCCGTCGAGTGAAGAGATTCTGTGAAGCGGATAGAGAGACCGACAATAAAGAGTACGGAGCGCCGATGACATCGAACCGCGCATCTGCATATGTTGACCGTCAGCTGGGCTCCTCCCCTCGGTTCAAATCGCATCTTTTCGATCGTCCCCCTAGAGTCGCAAAGCACATCGACGTACCTGCAGATTCAGCTGAGCTAGGAGTGCCGCTCACGGGCAAAGTATTTCCATTGGCCGAAGCTGGTTGTTCCGCAGGCGCGGCACGTATCTGAAGGCATCTTGTCTGCCCTCCGCGGTGTAAAGATAGCCCTTGTCGCGCCAGCGAAGGGAGGACTCGGGTCCAGAACACAGCCCGTACACCTCGCCTCAAGGGTTGACTCATTGTCGTACCTGAGGATATGGACCGGAGGAGGTGCAGGAGAGGTGGGTAAGGATAGAATGTATAGGATTGGATTTCTCCGCAGCGGTACCAAGTTTAACTGTTCTGGTACTGTACCCAAATTCTTTGGTTCTCGATCGGGGAAAGCGTTGATGATGGCCTTGGAGCCTGAGGACGATGGATCAACTGGGGTTAGCGGCAAGATTGGGATTTATCCAGTAAAATCGGCCTTACGTCACCGCGCATTTTCCCGCTTTAAGGCATCATTTATGTAATTCTGGCTGCCAACACATCTTTTTTTGTTTTTTACTACAACTCAATCCCCACATTTGATAGGATACTGGTGATCTCAACGAGTTGACGTTTGTCACTCATTCATACTTGATTTTTTCTTTTCCGTGGAACTTTCAACAAGTGAACTTGTCCTAAGGCCCATGGCCCCGAATAGCTACAACTAATTATTAGCTCTTGACCCACCGCCCGGCCAGACGTCGCTTTTCCATCATGACCTTCATCATCGTCTAGTGAACTGTGTGACGTAACAATCCTGCACTGGATGCGGTTCTGAAGCGATGGAATCCTCGATTCAGCGCTTGCTGAATGATAAGCTCTATGATCGGAGGAAACAGGGTGCTTTGGAGTAAGAACAATGAGGGTTTCACTGCAAAGCTATCCGTGCTGACGGAAATCAAACTGCAGACTCGAGAAAGTCGTTCGCGATGCCGTTTTCAAAGGCGCACATGAAGATATTCAAAGGATCGTCGACCAGCTCTGTCATGACTACGCCTACGCAGTACATCAACCTCATGCGCGAAATGGTGGGTTGATCGGGTTGGCCGCGGCCTCAATAGCGCTTGGATCTGTGAGTATAACCAGGCATACAGCGCCCGCTGTTGCTGATGATGGGTTACTAGGAAGGTGTTGCCCCTTATCTCAAGGAAATTGTGCCGCCGGTGCTAGCTTGCTTCTCCGACCAAGATGCACGAGTCAGGTACTACGCTTGTGAGAGCATGTATAACATTGCCAAAGTTGCTAAGGGGGAAATATTACTGTTCTTTAATGAGATTTTTGATGCGTTGAGTAAAGTAAGTGGCTGAGTTTGCATATTAGTTTTATATTCCCCCCTCCCCTCTTTCCTCACTCTGATCTCTTTTATCGTCTGTTTCTCGACTAATATAAGGTTTTAGTTGGCATCCGATTCTGAGCTTTCGGTAAAAAATGGCGCAGAACTCCTCGATAGGCTTGTTAAAGACATCGTGTCGGAATCAGCTGCCTCTTATGTCTCAGTCTTGCAGCTTTCCGAGAAACAAGAGGCAGACCCGGAAGCTTTGGAAGACCCTGACCTTCCAACGGCATTTTCTCTTCCAAAGTTTATACCATTACTTAAAGAGCGGATACATGTTATCAGCCCATTTACTCGGATGTTTCTTGTGTCATGGTTGACTTTGTTGGACACGATACCAGACCTTGAGCTTGTCTCATACTTACCAGAATTCCAGGGAGGGTTAATTAAATTCCTTGGTGACCCTAACAGAGACGTGAATATTGCCACTCAAAATCTGCTTGACAGGTTCTTATTGGAAATCAAGCGCATCGCTCGTCTCAAGAAAGGCATCGAAGAGAGCCGGAAAGGCCAAGGAAGCGACAATAGGCAGTCAGCTACGAGCGACAGCATTAGCACAACTACGGACCAGACGGTTGCCGTCGAAACCGAGACCGAAACCGGAACAGATGACGTTGCTGTAGAAGATTCTGAATCAGGCTCCGCTATTGATGAGGAGGTCTTGCACGCTGACGGAGATTGGATACCAGGACAAGATGTCCAGATAGATTATCCCAAGATATTAGACATCTTAGTGGGATTTGTCGACACGTCTTTTGGTAAGAAATGCCGTGAATAATTTTATCTAATGGCTTTCAACTTACCGCTAGAGCAGAGGAAGAGATGCAGTTGACAGCGCTACGATGGATCGACAACTTCTTCGAAATAAGCCCCGAAGACATATTGCCATTCGTTCCACGACTTCTGACCCAAGTACTTCCAGCGATGTCCAGTGGCTCAGACCAAGTGCGGCAGGCCGCAAATCGAGTTAACACATCGTTGCTGGAGTATATTGTATCTTTATCCGAAGACACATCCGATGAGACACGACAATCATCATCTTCGAAGATAATACCCACACCCAGCAAAGAGAGTGAGAGGAGAGATTCTGTACCGAATACTAAGTCCACGGATGCATCAACAAATGGCTCCAGGAAGCAATCCGTGCAGGAGTTCACACAAGACCTAACACCTCGAAGTAGTATTACATCCACACCAGTGCCACCTGCCGACCTTGATTATGCCGCGGCAGTCAACTCGCTGACTTTGCAGTTCCTGAATGAGAACGAAGCTACAAGAGTAGCAGCTCTCTCTTGGCTGATAATGTTGCACCGGAAGGCTCCCAAAAAGGTGGTGGCATTCAACGATGGAACGTTTCCTGCTCTGCTGAAGACACTGTCCGATCCAGCGGAGGCCGTCGTGACCAAGGATCTCCAGCTCCTATCACAAATTTCGAGGAATAGTGAAGATAGCTATTTCAAGTCGTTCATGGTAAACCTACTTCAACTGTTTTCCACCGATAGGCATTTACTAGAGGTTCGCGGAAACCTCATCATTCGTCAACTCTGTATGAATTTGAGCCCAGAGCGTATATACCGGACCCTAGCCGATTGTCTGGAAAAGGAGGAGGTCAGTTTTCTTCACCTTAAGCGCTGATGAGGTTATTGATTTCTTTTTGTTATATCAGGACATCGAGTTCGCCAGTATAATGGTTCAGAACCTGAATAATAACCTGATTACTGCGCCCGAGCTCTCCGGACTGCGAAAACGGCTACGGAACCTGGATTCTAGAGTAAAACACGCCCACTTCAGCTCACGTTTTATATAGCTAACAGTTTGTATAGGAGGGCCAGATGTTCTTTGTGGCTCTATTCAGGTCTTGGTGTCACAATGCTGTCTCTACATTTTCCCTGTGTTTGCTCGCGCAGGCATATGAGCAAGCCTACAACCTTCTCCAAGTCTTGTCAGTATGAGCCTATTTATGCTTGCAAAAGAGTCCTAACCAAACCTCAGTGCTGAGCTCGAAATGACTGTCAATATGTTAATTCAAATCGACAAGCTGGTCCAGCTGTTGGAGTCGCCCGTCTTTACTTGTAAGCTGTTTCATTCGCCGCCCTTTCAACCGCCTGGGATGAATCCTAAATTTGTCGATAGACCTTCGACTCCAATTGCTTGAACCAGAAAGCTACCCATATCTCTATAAATGCCTCTACGGCGTCCTCATGCTCTTACCACAGAGCTCTGCCTTCGCAGCTCTGAAGAACCGTTTGAACAGCGTGAGCAACATCGGTCTTCTCCATACTGGACCCCGACTGTAAGTACTCCAAGGCCTACGAAACCCAGAGCCAGGAAACCTTGTACTGATATACACCATCAGGTCCACTATGGTCTCAACCTCCGGATCGAGCACCTACGACCGCTCCACAGGCAGCCGCCTCAAACGGGAAGAAAACGCCATCCGTTGGGTCGAACTTCTTGACAAATTCAAAGCCGTCCAGGAGAAAGCGCGCCGAGCCCAACGTGCAAACCAGCGTCCCTTCGACACCGAAGGTATCACCGGGTTCCAGAATCATTCGCTGGCCGCTGCCCTTTCCGCTGCAGACCAGGCTCGAAATAAGGAACGGGCAAATCTTCCTGATACACCACGGACGGGGCTGGGCCCGAGTGGGCTTGGTCCCGAGGGACGAAGGAGTCCTGCTGATGGGGGGAACCAGAAAGGAGGGTCTATCCTCGGCGGTGCGCATAGACACAAATCTAGTCTTCCTAATCTTGGGCGTCTGGGTATTGGGAGTAGGAAGTCGAAACGGTGATGGGGCCTGTTCTTTCTTTTAGAGAGCTGAAGCCGGTGGGTTTATGAAGTATCGGTACGTGCGTGAGCCTAGTTACACGGAGGGTTTTTCGTCTGTTATCGTGTACTGTTCTAAGCGTTCCTCCAGAAAGATTTGCGGCCGCTTGTTTGTCGTATCAATCGCGTTTTAGCGTCCAAGCCTAACTTCGTTGCGCAAAACCCCTCCTAGGTCTATGGCTAAATGGTCATTGCATCTTGTCTTGAATTTCTGAAGAAGTGTGGATAGAATGTATGTACAGTTGAAGAATCAAATATTTAATGAGAAGGGGAGTCAGCCAAGTCAGTAATCAAAACTCGCTCAAGTTCAGAAAACGTATAAAGGAATCAAGGAAAATCTACCATGGCGCTATTCCTTTTAGTTCTGGCATTGCTTTGCCGAAACCAAAAGTTAGGTATGTCAGGGTCGAAGGAGATAGACCCAAAAAGAAAAAAGCACATGGATCGTGCAAGCCAAAACTGTGTGGAAAACCCAAAGACTCCGGTAATACCAAACAAATGCCAAAGTACAGATGACGTCAGGTAGGCTGAGAAATGGAAACGCATGCCTGTCCTTCGGGGAACAGGTTGCTTGCATGGTGAAAGCATGCAAGGTAAATCGGATCATGCCGAAAATAAACAAGGGTTGCTTTTATCTTGGAAAGAAATAGGCCCTGTCCACTTCTTCAGATAAAGAAAATCCGAACTTTTTGTTTCGTTCATTTCTCAACCGTAAATGGAAAAGAGGGACATATAACGGTCGGAAGTGTCGTCACATCCTCCACATGAGACGTAATGCCGAGGATATACAGTCAAAAGGAAGAGCAGAAAAACGCCGAGTTAATTGATTTCGTCACCGGCAACGGGAATCGCTGGACGATACAGTCCAGGTAGGTGTTTTCCAGTAGCTACCTGTGGAGTGCTTGGAGACTGTCCCTGGCGAGCTCGACCCATTGGTGTACACATACTCACCGTCGACGTACTGAACACCCGAGAATGTGCTGCGGTGTTTGCGACGAGCATACCGCTGCTCTAACCGATAGAGCTCGATTTCTAAGCAGAATAACGATTAGCGATGTGAACAGTTGAACCAATTCCTCTCTGCAAGCTCGAAATCGGAATTGTGCAGGAGACATACTTGCTTGCAACTTTTCGATAAGACCCATTGCGTAAGTTTGACGACTGTTAACAAGACAGACTTCCGACTCCTTGAGTACCCACAAGTACTTAGAAACGTCCAGTTAAAGCGTCAAGTGAATTGCCTTCTGGATGGATACGTGAGATGTTTCAATTGGTGCAAATCAAGAATTGCAACGGCTCGAATGAAGCTAAGCGCTGGCCTGGGAAGGAAACAATGGAAGCGGTAACGGACGATTGTAGATAAGAGCTAATTGGTTCGCTACAGACGTCTCCAGGGTGAATTAGCGAGTAGAAACAAAAGGACAACCGAATGACACGCAACAATGACTTACGTGGTGGAACTGGGATAGGAAGAAAGTGGTATGAAGTATCAGATACCAAGGCCTTGAGGCTTAGATCAATTGCCGGAAGGGGAGGGAGAAGAGATGAAGAAAAAGAAAAGAAAAAGAAAAGAAAAAGAAAGAAGGACTTGGGAGACGAACGACCGGATTCAACAATTCTGGGGGCAAGCAGTAGGTGAGAGACCAGTCGGTCGAATATGATATAGCAGCCAATAGTAATGTAATAATGAGTGGTTCAGAATGGATAGTTGGTGTAGCGGCAAGAGTGATGGCTGAAGGAATGTGGGTAAATTGACGAATGACGTGGTGGTCCAATAAGCCACCGAAAGCTATGTGCACGGAAGAGACAAAGAAAGTGGGAAAAGCGAAAAAATGATGAACGGTTCGGGGGGGGAAAGCAAAGAAAGGATCGTCTCTGTGAGGGAAAAAAGAAGGGAAGAAAGGAAAGACGGGGGAAAGTCGACGGGCGAGTCTAGAAAGAGTGGTCGTACGTCCTTGACAAGTGAGAGGGGCAACACAAAACGTGGGATGGGGTTACTCACTAAACCCTTTCCGCTCTAGCCAGGGGTCGGTCCCGTTCTCGGGCCGCCAGTTGGCCCGAAGCATCAAATCATCGCCTCTGATCTGATATTAAATTCCACACTAACGGGATTACTATCGCGTATTAAATTCGCTAGACTCACTTTGATGCCCCTGAACGCGTTCTAGTCCCTTGGTAATCTATCACTCTCCATCGGAGCAGTCCGAGCTTGCTCAATCCTGGAATATGCCCCGGTTCTTCCGGGTTCCTTCGGACCATGCACTTTCAACGATGGAGCACTTGGTACAGCACCAGGTTGGGCCATCGAATTGCGTGCCGCATCGCTGGTTCGGCACTGTCTTTGGACCCCACATAATTACCCTTACCCATGGTTTTTCCCACGAACGACGTCCGCAGAACTACCGAACCGAAAAGCAGCTTTGATAATTGCCCGCAATAGGAATTCTGAAGTTCGTTGTGTGGTCTAACTTCCGGGATACCAAGTACGGGAGATTTTAGAATAGCTTCAAATGCTCATTCGGAAAGATAGTCTATCGAAGTTCAGCTAAATTTATGCCAAAATGAACCAGCAATTGTCCATTTTACGAGCCAAGGTCTCAAAGTAGTTCACTTCTGTCTAGATTCTGGCACCGTATCCTGTTCAGCATCTTCCTCGCTTTCCGCACTGCGTTCACCCTCTACGCCTTGCGCGAGGGACGTTTCTTGGGCTGTACGATATGTTAGCTCTTGGTTCAATTGACCCTCAGCTGAGGCTAATGGTTATTCCCTTACCGTTCCAAAGTTCAGCATAAATGCCACCGAGCTCAAGAAGTTCACGGTGCGACCCCATCTCTGCTACACGACCCTCCTTCAGCACAAGGATTTGGTCGCTGTCATAGATCGTTCGCAGTCGATGAGCCACGAAGACGCTTGTGCGCGCCTTGTCCTTGAGGATGCTGTTAATGTTTTGTAGCAATGCCTGCTCTGTGTATGTGTCGAGGGCCGAGGTCTGTGGTGGCCAGTCAGTTAGTCACTATGTATAGGATAGTATCCTCGAAAAGGACTTACAGCTTCGTCAAAGAACAAGAGTTCCGGGTCTTTCAATATCAGTCGTGAGATCGCCAACCGTTGCTTTTCACCCCCGGAAATCATCATTCCCCGTTCACCAACAGCGGTCTTATATCCTTCGGGCAACTTCTCGATCAGCTCGTGGATATGCGCCCGTTGCGCAGCCTTGCGGACCTCCCCATCACTAGCATCCATTCTTCCGTAGCGAATGTTATGTGCGATGGTGTCATTGAATAGAGGTGTATCTTGAGGCACAACACCAATCGCCTTTCGTAAGCTTTCGAGAGTTACATCCCGCACGTCCTGTCCATCTACTAGTATCCGACCCTCTTGAACATCATAGTACCGGAAGAGTAGTCTCAGGATGGTTGATTTGCCGCAGCCACTGGGTCCCACGATAGCAAACTTCTGGCCAGCAGGAATCGTAAAGTTTGCATTCTTGAGAATAGGGCGGTCCGGGTGATAGCCAAAAGTCACGTTCTCGAATTTGATTTCGCCTCCGCGGCGAAGCTCCAGAGGTTTCGCATCCGGTCTTTCCTTGATGTTTACATTGAGCTTCTGCAGGTTGAACAATGTCTCCATGTCCAGTAAAGACTGGCGCAACTCACGGTACACAGAGCCGAGGAAGTTCAGAGGCACTGAGAGCTGGAAGACGAGCTGATTGACCATAACCAGATCTCCAACTGTCATTGATCCAGTGGCGACTCCATTTGCTGCGAGGTACATCATAGCGGCAAGCGCACTTGAGAAAATCATATTCTGACCAGAGTTTAGGAAAGCCAACGATGTCGTTACCTTGATAGAGGCATCTTCATATGCTTTGAGCGCCTTATCATATCGTGCAACCTCATATTTCTCATTGTTAAAGTACTTAACCGCCTCGTAGTTGATTAAGGAATCCACGGCTACGGTAGCACCGCGGTTATCCGCCGCATTGGCCTGTTTCCGGAACTTGGTTCTCCATGCAGTAGTTGTTATTGTGAACGCAGTGTACGCTACCATGGTCGTAGCCGTGATCGCAGCAAATTGTGCGCCATATTGGTATGTCTGTCAATTTGTTAGCACAAGCCATATCTATACGAGAAATATTTATTCCGTACCAATATTCCACACACAAGAGATATCTCCAGGGCAGTGGGAACCACGTGGAAGACCATTGAGGTCAACAGGAAGCTGATGCCTTTCGTTCCGCGATCAATTGCCCGGGTCAGACCACCGGTCTGCCTGCTAAGGTGAAAATTGAGATCCAGTCGTAACAAATGCTCAAATACATTTCGCGCAACTCTGCGGATCGCCTTCTGGGCAACACTAGCGAAAACGGCGTTTCGTAGTTCTTGAAAAAGGGTAGCACCAATCCTAGTAGCACCATCTGAAGAGTGCAGTTAGACACGGTGACTGCCTTATCGGAGCATGCTTCCCTTACAAGCTATGATCATAGAGCCCGCAACTGTATAGGCTGTGCCGCCAACGGCGGCAAAGTCCACGTTCATCGAGTCGACAATGCTCTTAAAGTAGAATGGCACTTCCACATTCAGAACCTGGGGTATACAGTAAGCACCAATTGCAGAAATTACAGCAAGTGTAAAGTATTCACCAACCTTTGCTCCAATTAATAATGACAGGGCAGTTCCGACGCGAAGCTTCGTACCCCAGTCATCCTATCGTCTCCCAATTAATACCAAACGATCTCCGATCCACAGCGGCCACACCAGTCCTCACCTTAGGCCAGAGATACTTGGCCATTTCCTTCATAATTGCCCAATCTGCCTTCCTTTGCTCCTTCTTTCCCACCGTCGCTTCGCTAAGAAGACCTCTCTTCGGCGTGCCCGCGGCATTCTTCGCTTTCTGGTCTGGCGATTGAGGGGTAAGCGGGGAACTGGCGCTCGGCGTCTTTGGTGGTGAGGTAGGCTCTGAAGCGACATTTTTGCTCAGCGAGCCTTTTCCCGTCGAGAATACTCTCAGCGGAATGCCATGCCATGCAGCTATTCGGGGCGTCGAGCGCGGGACTGCGGGACCGCGATGTACGAAGTGCCTGGAGACACGGAGGCAGGGCGGTCGGGCTGCCCTGGGCAGCATTGTGGTGGTATGGATTTCGCAGCGACCGGGAGAACGCGATAACTCTGCCTTTATTCAATGAACATTGCGGAGCTGCTGCGGAGCTCGTTGTCTCGTGAGGACCGCCGGGTTCGGAGGAAAAGGTTCGGACGTAAATTATGACTTCACAGCTCGATATTCCGAGGAACTGCTTGCCTCTCTTGCGAGGCACGAGAGATTGGTGGGATAATAAGTATTTGTCTGGCAAAGAGAAAAGAATGATAGGCTTCACCAAGGTTAGTCAATGAAGCCAGGCAAGTGACGATATCAACTTCTGAAATAGCACCAGTTGCCGCGGATCTGTCGCAATCGCAACCCCCAAGGTAGTATTTCATGGTATTTAATCTTACCGACTCGCGGTAATTACATTACTCGACGAAACGCCAATTTAATTCAATAACGCGAGATGCGACATTTTTGGTGCAACACTTCTTCCAGGAGCCAGAAAAATATCGTTAATAAGTTCTCCTTGCCTGTACACTACTTGGTGCCCAGAAATGCCCTCGACAGGTCTACAACACCTTTGTACATCTTTCAAAGTGAGCAAAATGGCAAAAATAACTACAAAATGATCAACAATAGAACTTACCATAGTAATAATTTGTAGTCAAGAAGAAAAGTAATAGACGGACGTAAGTAACAGCGCAAATAATTCACGAAATAGTTGAATTTTACATTGTTTCCGGTCTGAAAACAATCTAAGGAAACTATCACCAATGACCCTATTCTATACCTATAAACTATGGAGTATATTGGCCTGCTTGTGGGAATACTCAGAATACTCAAAAGACATTAGTGCACAGCGGTAGGAAACAACAAACCCCACTGACTGTTCAATATATTCGTAGCCAGAAAACATGATATCTATCACATATTCAACACCCTACTGCTTAACCCACATATTATCATCTCCATATCCATAGGCAATCCACGACTGGGGGAAGTATGCCTCCGTGACGGTCTCCATGTAGGACTTGTCATCCACACACATATCTCCTCCACTTGGTCCGATGTGTGGGCAATGCTCCGTTGGTCGATACTGCACCATATGCTTATGTACCTCCCGGCAAAGCAACGTATTCCGCCCCAGCTCAAACGGCTTCCCGAACCTCGTCTGCTCTGTCAAGAACTGCCTACATTGCTCCTTGCTGTCATACTGCTTATTGTCACCCGTACAATACTTGTCGCTCGTCTCGCAGATAGCATCCGCCAACAGCTGAGCCAATTTGCTCTGGATCTCAACGGGATCCGTCAGCTGGAACTTATTCCCCGCAGCCTCGAGCAGCGTCTGGACGAGCCATTCGAACCACCGGAACGTGGCATCGTACTGGATGACTTTCCCGTCTTCATTGAAGGCCATCCACGAGTCAACAGTAAGTGGGATAAGCACATCAAATGAAGTCGCATTGAAGATAATCACTGTCGTAGCTGAGGCCATGTTCTGGTTGGCGACAAACTGGGTAATGTTGTAGGCAATCGGAATACCGGTCAAACTGAGGGAGTCTGGCTGCGAGAAAAGGCCGAAGATGTACTCATTGTTTAGTTCTCGACCCGGAAAGGTGCGTGTGATGTCGACGCGTCCTTGGACCTGTTCCTGTTGGTGTCTATGTACAGGTAGGGGCTTTAGGGATAGGGTATTGGACGTACATCCTCGGCAAAAACGGACTTATCGGTGGCATTGATTTGCTTCAAGTTAGCTGGGTAAAGGAAGTTATCCCAGATGTTGGTTTCTAACTTCCAGAGTTGATCAAAGGTGAGGTTGGGAGGAGCTGCCGCTGCGAGAATTGCAGGGAGATATGAAGCTGCTACTAAGGCTAGGGAGCGCATGGTAAACATATCGATGGTCTGACCCTTGGATTTCCCAAAGGACCTCTGCACATCTTGGATATGAAAGGGATTTATATGCGCTATCTAGCTATGGACAAGGTGGTCAGGAGCTAGTGGCTGTGAAACAACAATTGGGTCTGGAATGTTACAATATCAGGTGGACCAGTACGAGGCAGCCTGACATGGATGGAACTTGTAGCGCATCAGAGATACGAGCCACCAGACGCACCTTTTCTCCATCCCTTGCATGGTATCTGCTGGATTAATGGATCGCCCCACGCAAGCCCGTACTTGTTATTCGTTGAGAATGCTTGGGGAGAAGGCGCCAGCTCATGTTTTCCTCCACAATGTATTCCATTTGGCTGTTGGACTCGTTGGGTCCTATTACCAGCTGAGGTTAATGTCCCCATACTATATGAAGATCAGTGGAATGGTCAGTCCACATGAGGAACGATCTCGGCAGCCGATATACAGCCCATCAAGTTCTTCAAAGCAGGTAACGACGTGGAATAAGTCTCTATAGTTGCTATTGGACTCTTCATGTGGATGATTTGGAGCTGAGCAGGTTTTACGCCGGGCGCTGAATACTGTATCAGAGGCATGTGGGGAACATATGTGTTCTGCAAAAGCAATGAGACACATCCGATGATTATGCTGCATGCATGGATATTCGAAGTCGGATTAAATTCCTTTAGCCATATGGTTCAATCACACTTTACAGATTTTCTTCAGCTTGAATCGATTGAGGCACTGCCGACTTTCCTTTTCTGCTTTAGTGTTTCAGTCTATAGGCTGGAATAGGGTTCGGGGAATCGTGTTCTTCTCTTTTTTCCTTTCCTTCTTTCGTTCCTTTTTGTTAGGGTGCTCCTTGCAACTTATTCGCAATAGTCTCTTACGGCTATAGATAGCTCTTGATTCCAAATCTCGTCGGGCCTCTCCGGACTAGATCAGAAAAGGGCTTTAAAGCTCGATTCCTGACTCTTTCTTGCTAGAAGGCAGACTAGCAATATATTTGTTGAGAACGGACGCTGAGCAGGTTCTCTACGGCGGACTGAATCGAACTTTTCGCTCAAAATTATTTTAGGCTAAAACCACATTCTATATTATAGGTAGATATCTCGGATTATTGACTAGTTCGATTCCGAGGCTCTATTACTACCTTGTCGTATAAAATAAACCGATACATCTTGTTTTTGAGCACGCTGAATACAAGTAAGATCAGAGCTGGATTAATTGATAATTCGAGAACTGTTAATTCCACGAGACACTAATATTCCCTAAAAATTTATACTAACTTACAGTAAATTTAAGAAAAACAAATGGCATATAGTAAGTAATGTGCTATATCTATAATTTATTCTTAAGACTATAAAATGAACCTAGAGTTGGGTGTGCTGGAGAGATTTTTATCTCTGACTGTCGAGCGTGGTTATAAGGGACTTAAATTTTGACCGCAGCTTCGACCCAGTCCACCGTAAACCACTACCTCAAACAATTTTATCGGCTAAGTCAATTTCTAAATTGAAACATGACTGATAGAGTGAGACAGCTAGTAACAAACGTGTAGCATGTAACTTTCCATCTTGAAACTTAACGTACACCAACGTTGAAAGCATGCTAGAACCAGGGTTAGCTCTACTACTATCTGGGTGGCCGAAGCACTGAGATTCTTGGGCATGGAATTTAAGTGGATGTGCAGTAGGGCTAGTGAGTTCCAGTATTCATGACTTGGGATTTATCATCACGGGCCTCTTTTCGGTTTTCGGCCTTGATTCTGATACCGAACACAACTCAACCTTAGTAATAACGAAAAAAACTCGCAGGTCGTGGAACCAAACAATGATGGCGAATAATATAAGTACCAATGGCTCAAATCGAATGACTCTAAAGAGAAGGAGGCTCGGTTTTGATTGCTGGCCACTCGTGAGGGTTCAGAAGTTACTTACCACATAATAGCTAGCTCTTGCACATCTTTTTGACAAGTCCCCGAGGTAACCACACCAGTCTCAAACATGACCCCTCGAGGGCTTCGCGACAATGTCTCCCGGAAAAAGGGCCCCTCTCCCGTTGGAAAATCTATCTTCGTTGGTTTGCGAGCGGCGGACATTCTATGGCAATACGCCCTCTTTCGTCGTGGCTGGGCAGCTCGTCTCATAGAATCGCTTGGGGGACATGTCGCTACATCGTCGCTAGTTGCTAGCTCCAACCAGACTTGGGAACTGACAACACTTCTTCCCGGACTGGGTCCATATTCCAGCGTAGTCTGGCTTTTGGCTCTCGGCAGCAGTCTGAAACAAATCGCGCACATCCTTCTAGTCTCGGAGCAAGAGATGGACGTGAGTTCTGCCGCGGTAATCGCAGCGTTTAACACAACATTCAACTCACTCAACACAATCCTATCGCTCTGGGCATTGACCAGTCCAGTATCCGGATCACCGAGCGGCCTGATCAGCCTTCTGTCGTCGTCTCCTCTGGTATCGCTGGGACTCGCAGCATATACCCTTGGCATCCTTACCGAAATTATTTCCGAGTTCCAGCGCAGCGCGTTCAAGAAGGATCCAGTGAACAAAGGGAAGCCCTATGGAGGAGGGCTCTTCTCATTGGCAACCAATATCAACTATGGTGGATACACTATCTGGCGAGCGGCGTACGCGTTGGTTGCCGGCGGTTTGCCTTGGGGGTTTTTCACATTCTCATTTTTCTTCTATGACTTTGCGTTCCGTGGCGTTCCTGTCTTGGATCGGTATTTGGAGCAGAGAGTGAGTTCGCCCTGGAAGATCAAGCTCGCATGCGATATGATAGCTGCTAACATTATACATGATAGTATGGTGAGGAGTACAAAGCTATCAAGGCTCGGGTCAAGTATTCCTTGATCCCGGGAATCTATTGAGCTTTATCAATTTACGTCATAACGGCAGATAGGCAGTGTTGTATTGACAGAAATCTAATTTGAAGCCGTGCATGTATATATGGATGCTCTTTTTAGAATGTACGTTAAAAAAGGTGGATGACAAATTATCTGCGCTCAAAAGACCCACCGGAAGTACTCACATGAGCACTAATAACATTGGAAACAAAATTAGTGTAAACTCGAGTTCTTAAGAAGGTCGCTGATAGTACCATACATGAGCACAATTGATGCAAGGTACAATGGCGCTGAGACCAGTACTAGCTGACTATATCTCGCTCATGGATGAATATTCTTTGGTACAGAAATTCGCATTAAAATATGCGCAGGGAAGATCGTATTGACGGACAAAAGAAAGAAAACATAATACATAATATACCAATGTTGTTATCAATATCGCCCGATTGCACCAAAAGTCCAAATTGATCCAAAACCATACTTGTCATAACAATCACCGCCTCGAACATCTAGACGGTGCAATACATGAATAGTGACTATAGGTTAGTGGCTTATGTACTGGAATACCGCGGAAACATCTGTCTCCCCGGTTTCCTGGCGTATCAGCAGGTCCTGGATCTTGCTGAGGGCACCCTTTTCGCCATCATTAACAAAGTGATTCCAGGTACTGGTGTCGCCGTACAACATAGCTTGCGCCTTGATAAACTGTGTCCCATCGGGTCTGCATCTCTTGCATTTAAAAGTGTCATGGGTATCACTTCGAGTTTCCGGTTTGAATTGGAATAGCTCACGCAAAGATTCCAAAGAAAAATGCCGCTCAACATCCTCCGCTGAGTCCACGACACATGAGGAGAGTGATTGCTTATGAGACTGACGTTGGAAAATTTTCTCTTCGATGGAACCAGTCGCGATGAAACGATAAACGAAACAATCTTTCTTCTGACCGTCACGCCAAACTCGTGCTAATGCTTGTTGGTCAGCAGCTGGATTCCAATCTGGGTCGAACAGCACAAGGCGATTCGCGCCTATCAGATTCAGACCGCAGCCTCCAGCCTTGCTGCTGAGAAGAAACACAAATTCTTCCCCATCTGGATTGTTAAACTTGTCGACTAGCTTTGATCGCTTATTCACGTTCATGGTGCCGTCCAGTCTCAATGAGCCATACCCCCTTGACCTGCATAGCTTCTCGAACAGATCAAGTGTTTGTGTATAATTGCTAATAAGCACAATCTTGTCGTTTGTATCTTGACGTATGCGTGCTAGCATTCGGTCCAAAACCATCATTTTCCCCGAATACCAAGATTTGATATCGCGGTCACGCCCTCTTGCCTCGGGCGGCACGTAGTCCTCTGGGAAAGTGTATTCGCACCCGGGAAGATCTGTGGAAAGGTTGAGAAGGTCTGGGTGATTACAAAGCTTTTTCAAAAGGCCAATTGCCTTGAGAGGCTGACTGCCCTTGCCCTTGAGCAAGCTCCTAATCTCTGGGCTCTGAATGAAATGGTTATATAATCCAAGCTGAAACTGAGACATGTTGCAAAAAACAACGTGCTCGTACTTGACTGGCAAATACTTCGTCAGTATGTCGTTTGTTCGGCGGATAATGAACTTGTTGACGATGGTCGAGAGTTCAGCTAAACGTTCATCGCCTTTCTTCTTGTCTTCGTCTGTTCCTGCAGCATCTCTACCCCTGAGAATGGGCAGCTCGAACCTTTTCCGAAATTCATTCTGGGACCCTAGTAAATCTGGGTTGGCAAAGTTGAGCAAGGCGAAATATTCAGAAAGATCGTTTTGGATAGGAGTCCCAGATAAGATAACACGACGTTGCACATTCAGACTATTAAGTGCAGTCCATGTTAAGCTGTCCTTGTTCTTGAGTCGATGGCCTTCATCGCATAGAAGTAGCCCAATTGGATTATCCTTCAATGTCTCGACATACATCCTGAGCGTTTCGTAGGATACAATAAGCACAGGCCGAACAACGGCGCGACCCGAAGCGATCGCCCATTGCTTGATCTGAGATGTGAGCTCCGCCTTAGAAGCTTTGCCATCCACAGCAAAGGGAATGATGGCATCTTTGCCCAGCCATTTCACTGTGGCAGTTAGTAAATGCAGATGACAATATTGTGCGTTACTTACCAAGCTCATTGGCCCAGTTGCCAACCAAACTTGAGGGGCAGGCAATGATACATTTTTGAATAAGCGTCTTTCCTGCCTCTGGAGACTGTTTGAGCAGTGTCCACATCAATGAGATGCATTGTAGCTATCACCGGTCAGTCGTGGCTCTTGCTATAGAGGACTATTAATCCTACCGTTTTCCCCAGACCCATTCCATCCGCCATTATACAGCCATGCGCGTTCTTATCGATCATACCGGTTGTACAACGATACAAAAACTAGCAAAAAGTCCTCATTAGTTTAACACCGCAGGGATAGTAGCACGCATTGAGATGATCGTGTTACCTTTACACCTTCGATTTGGTGCGGGCGTAGGACCTTTGCCAACCTCGGATCTATCACAACCGGGACCTTGGGACGAGACTCAACCTCCTTCTTGAGGCCAAGTATATCCGCTAAGCTCTTGTGCACAAGGGGGGCATCTAACTTGGGCTGCTGCTCTTCCGTTTTCCCATCTTCTAATGACTCTGCTTCAGTATTCTCATCGACGTCATCAACAGTCGGATCATACAGCACTATTGCAAATTCTCCACTAGGATCGTGCAGAGGCTTCACAACGAATGTAGCACCTTGTCTCATCCCCAGCGTTGGTGCCGATCTAGAGCCATTGTAGCTGTCGCCAGTCTTGTTGATCAATGGTATCTTGAATTGTTGTCTGAATGCCGCCTCTTTATCTTTTGGTTTGAATACAGGGAATCTATTCACATCTCTAGTGGCGAGTGCTAGACGATCCTCGTTGGTGTATGGTTTTTCACTGTTATCATCCACAGACTCATCAGCCCCGGCATAATTCACTTTTCTTCGTTTTCTCGCTGGTTTATCCGATGTTCGTGTGGGTGTAGCAGATCCAGGGCATCTAAACGGCTTGGACAGACGATCAATAGGTTTGGACGACGGGGTCTGAAGGCCGCCATTCTCTTTTGCACTCGTTCGTGGTCGATACCTTCAGGAATTAGTGAGTTAAAGTATGATACGATTGAATGGATCATTTCCTTACATGAATGATGGCGGTATTATACAGATTGCCCTTCTGGTACACGCACTAATAGGTGGGCTGATGTCTAGTCAAATGTCACAAGTCGTCGGGAACGCGTTGCCACCTCTTGGCGCGTTGCCTTGTGGTTTGCCTGAACACCAAAGCATCACGTCATCACGTGCTGATATCGGGACTACCCCGCGGACTGAGATCAGAAGGAGTACCATGGAGCAATTTTGTCATTAACGACTACGGTTCAGAGGTTGAAATCTGATCTCATGTCCTCAGACTTTTGGGCTGGCTACCTTAGCGGGGCCATTGGGATCATCATCGGAAACCCTCTGGACCTTATCAAAGTTCGATTACAAGCAAGTCGTGCTGCAGATGCAGCTGCAACAGTCCCGCACCAGCATCTGGGCCGCTTCGAGAGCGCCAGCTCCCTCGTGCGAGGTTTGCCGGCCGCCGTGAAGGTTTCATGATTGAACATATCAACTTACCCACATACTAGGTGCTGCGGCTCCAATTCTCGGATATGGAGCCTTAAATGCTATCCTTTTCGTTGCATATAATCGGTCATTGATGCTCTTGGATGATTCTGTGACAGACCCCACAGACCCTCAGGGTATCTCACTGTATAAATTATGGCTTGCCGGTGCTGCAGGCGGGGTGGCTAGCTGGACTGTGTCGTCTCCGACGGAGTTTATCAAATGCCGAGCGCAGCTTGATACACGCCCCAGAGTATCTTCCTGGACCGTCGCCAAAGATATTGTCAGGACCCTCGGTTGGAGAGGATTTTATTTCGGAGGTGGCATAACCTGTGCTCGAGACTCTATTGGCTATGGATTTTAGTATGCACAATGCTTCCCCGGATTTCCCCCGCAAGTTCTATTGATAGCACACTATTTAACTAATTTGGCACAGTTTTTGGACATACGAATATTGCAAACGTCTCTTAGCTTCTAAGGACGATGATACACAGAACATTGCAATGAAAGTACTTCTTTGCGGTGGTGTTGCCGGAGTCGCTACATGGGCCTCGGTATACCCACTGGATATGATCAAGACCAGGTTGCAGGCGCAGGCACTCGGGACATGCCCCGAAAGCCAGCCACTGATGCGGCCTCAAAACGATAGACGAATTCTGAGCAGCTTCCAGCTTGCTAAGGCGACCTATCGGACGGAAGGGCTGAAGGCCTTCTATCGCGGTTTAGCAGTCTGCAGTATCAGGGCATTCATAGTGAACGCTGTCCAGGTATGTTTTCTCATGAAGATTTACCGATCAAGGCCGCAAATGCTGATCAATCAACCTGCGAAACAGTGGGCAAGCTACGAATGGCTTATGAGATACCTTAACAACCCCTGGAATCAAACACATGCACAAATTTCATAGAATAGGGACATAGATCATCTACAGAAAACTAAGTTGTTTCCATGTATTGTGACTTGTAAGTAATATTCACCCTAATTGAGTAGCGGCCGATATAGTGGGGCCAATACACAAACCTCCGAGAAACGGCGATTCCGGTCGGGTCACCGCAACAACGGAATCACCGTACTCGGTCAATCGGGCGCCAAAACTCTGGCGGTTTTCGGCGCATGTGGCTTCACGTGTTTTATGTGACTGTGCCGATCGCTGATTGGGCGAAGGGTCTTGTGCTGCGCGCAACCAATAGCATTGTCCTCAAGACAACTTCAACCTTGGAAGGATGAACTTTTTGTCCCTTGCTTCTCATTTATCCTGTCAAAGAGACATGCAAATATCCTCTTCACATTGGCTATTGTTCCCGAATAGCCGCAGATGCTCATGATTCGCGCAATAATCGTAGAGTCTTAATCCTCCATGTCGACGACGGGTTCTTCCGAGCGTACACCGTGATCAATACCCAAACCAACAGCAGCTTCAGCGACCTTTTGCGTATGAGGTTCTTCGCGTAGGAGACGGATTCTGGATGTATAAGTTGATATCGAGTCAGCTTCTGATTGCTTGTAGATGTTTGCGCCGAAACCTGCAGGGCGTTGACTGACCTCCGCTTGTGGTTTTTGCCCTTCGTATGAGCAACTAAGTTGTGTTCGCTTTCAAACCATTTTGAGCACTCAACGCAGTAGTGCTTTCCGAGCCCTGGCAGATCCTCCGGGTCCTTGGTGGCTTTGTACTGCGAAAGGTGTTTGGGGGAATCGATATCAGCTCGGACCTGATCGTAATCCCTGCAGATATCGCTCGAGTCAGAAGATTTTTCGGATATTACTAGACAATAACTGAGAGATGCAGTACCTCGTCCTGCGCTTTGTCTTAATTCTTCTGAGAGCGCCCATCTTGGATATCTAATTGCCAAAACTAGCCTGCAGGCACTTTTTTTTCTGTAGTCGCAAAGTCTTATCACCGATATACGGAACGATGCTAAAGCTCTAGTTGTTGCGAGAGCGGGTCAACTTTCTCAGAAAATTCCGCCTTTGTGCGCGAGAAAGAATTTAGTGAAACATGTCGCTTGTCATTGGCCAAAGGCCTGCGGTCTTGGCACCGGTCCGCGGGATGGATGACCATCGGTAGGCCTCGGCTCTGGCTCGGCTCTGTCAGCAGGCTTAGGGTCGATGTTACGTCCATCTTTCGCAGCTTGTAATTTATGACGTTTCCATTTTTCCCGGCACGTTTACTCCGGAACAACATTGCCCAGTTGCGTTTTAGGAGAAATAATACAACTGAAAGGAGACCCAATCAAGTTACTTTAGTAACACAGATCTTCTTGTGTGAAGTCAGTCTGTATCATCCGAATCTTACAGTAAAGGGTTAGAAAATGTTTGTACTTTGCCACATTATGTGTATATCCATCATTATCCGAGTAGTCGCTGTTCACAACTGTTGGATTGTCTCGCTGTGCGAAAGTTGTATCTATGATGTATTCCGGTGTGCTGGAGCTCGAATTTGATGTAATCACTCATCCATGATTGGTTTATCACAATCTCCGCTCACATGCGCTGGTCCACTGGGCACGCTTGTATTATTACCATGTAACCGGGCACGGGTAACAGTGGAAGAGGTAAAGCAGTTCTATCAAAAGCCACATGGAAGGTACAAAGGCCACTGAGAGAAAGCGCTTTTCGAATCAATGAGAAACTCTATGTCGCCGATTAATGATATTATGGGTCCTGTAATAGGGAGGCTTGAAGGTCAGCCGAAACATAGTAGAGAAAGGGGGGCAATCGCGGATTGCCCAGCCCCTTCCTTGTGTCCGGTCGCATGCTTAGGTTGGTACTAGGTGTCCCGAATGCGTATGGGCTCCTGTATTGTCACGAGCGGTTACGGGTCATCTTCGCCGGTTCAGTAGTAAAGCAAGACTTCGTTCCCACTTTGAAAAACACCAGAGCTTCCTTTTTATCTGCACCATTTTCCCTTTGACTTCTGACCTTCTTTTTTTCTCTCTCTTTCTTTTTACTCTCCACTCTACTTCTGCCTCTTCTACCTGTTGAAGCTAGCTCCTCTTGGATGTGTTGCGATCTTGCTCACCTCACATAGAGAGCTTCCAACATGATCACCACAAGGCTCGCGCGCATGGGTGCGCTGGTAAGTCGTCCTGGATATCTTGGTCTGCCCAGTGTCGAGGTACCTGCATCATCTACAATTTGATGCTGGGTATCTCAGCTGGCTTTTACTTAGATCGCACTGTACTAACATGATCTTTTATCTACAGGCCCCTAAGTCCCGCCTCGTAAGCCATCTCCTCGTCCTTGCCTAGATGCTCTGCGAGAAACTGGGGCCATTATGCCACTAGGAAGAAGGATTGAATACTAACGTGCTTCATAGCTCCTCGGGACTCGGGGTTTTGCCACCGTCAGCGATTCTCCTCTCGACAAGAAGGTCGAGATGTCCAATGTGGAAAAAGTGAGTGGTGGAAAGATTCTGTACTCCCGGTTGTTTCGGGAGGGACGGGTCCTACCCTATACAGCAAACAGTGTGCTAACGATATCTTTCATAGGGCAACTACATCAACTATAAGTATGACAACACCTTTGCTTTCATACCAGAAGCTTCTTCCTAGATGAACAACAAATTACGCACTACTCTACTTAATTGACGTAATTGCTAACATGTTCACCAATTATTTAGGAAGATGTCCGAGAACTTGGACGTTGTTCGTCGTCGACTGAGCCGTCCTCTCACTTACGCCGAGAAGATTTTGTACTCCCATCTCGACGACCCTCACGGCCAGGATATCGAGCGTGGTGTTTCCTACCTGAAGCTACGCCCCGACCGTGTTGCTTGCCAGGATGCCACCGCCCAGATGGCTATCCTTCAGTTCATGTCGGCTGGAATGCCATCTGTCGCTACTCCTACCACCGTTCACTGTGATCATTTGATTGAGGCTCAGATTGGAGGTGAGAAGGATTTGGCTCGTGCCAACGAGATCAACAAGGAAGTTTATGACTTCCTTGCCTCGGCTACTGCCAAGTACAACATTGGTTTCTGGAAGCCCGGCTCTGGTATCATCCACCAGATCGTCCTGGAGAACTACGCTTTCCCCGGTGGTCTGATGATCGGTACCGACTCTCACACTCCTAATGGTGGTGGTCTTGCTATGGCTGCCATTGGTGTCGGTGGTGCTGATGCCGTCGATGTGATGGCTGGTCTCCCTTGGGAACTTAAGGCTCCTAAGGTCATCGGTGTCAAGCTCACCGGTGAGCTGTCCGGATGGGCTACTCCTAAGGGTAAGTGCTACGATTCGCTCAAGGACAAAGAAGCCGCTTATTGATTGTGTCTAGATATCATCCTTAAGGTCGCTGGCCTGCTTACCGTCAAGGGTGGTACCGGTGCTATCATCGAATATCACGGGCCTGGTGTCGACTCTCTTTCTTGCACTGGTATGGGCACCATCTGTAACATGGGTGCTGAAATCGGTGCTACCACCTCTCTTTTCCCCTTCAACGACCGCATGTACGACTACCTCAAGGCTACTAAGCGTCAGCATATCGGTGACTTCTCCCGGTCCTACGCCAAGGAGCTCCGCGAGGACGAGGGTGCCGAGTACGACCAGCTGATCGAGATCAACCTGTCTGAGCTTGAGCCTCACATCAACGGTCCCTTCACTCCCGATCTTGCTACCCCTATCTCCAAGTTCAAGGAGGCTGTCGAGGCCAACAAGTGGCCTGAGGAGCTCAAGGTCGGTCTTATTGGCTCTTGCACCAACTCCTCGTACGAGGACATGTCCCGTGCCGCTTCTATCGCTCGGGATGCCCTTGACCATGGAGTGAAGTCCAAGTCTCTCTTCACCATTACCCCTGGTTCTGAGCAGATCCGGGCTACTATCGAGCGTGATGGTCAGCTGCAGACCCTTGAGGAGTACGGTGGTGTCATCCTTGCTAACGCCTGCGGTCCTTGCATTGGACAGTGGGATCGTAAGGATGTGAAGAAGGGTGAGCCCAACTCCATCATCTCTTCTTACAACCGTAACTTCACTGGCCGTAACGATGCCAACCCCGCTACCCACGCGTTCGTTGCCTCTCCCGACCTCGTTGTTGCCATGACTGTTGCCGGTACCCTCAAGTTCAACCCTCTCACCGATACCGTGAAGGACAAGGATGGCAAGGACTTCAAGCTCAAGGCTCCTTCCGGCGAGGGTCTCCCTGCTCGTGGCTACGACCCCGGCCGTAACACCTACCAGGCCCCTCCTGCGGACCGTTCTACCGTCAGCGTCGCTGTCTCTCCCACCAGTGACCGTCTCCAGGTTCTCCAGGGATTCCAGGCTTGGGATGGCAAGGATGCCACTAACATTCCTATCCTGATCAAATGCCAGGGCAAGACCACCACTGACCACATCTCCATGGCTGGCCCATGGTTGAAGTACCGTGGCCACCTTGACAACATCTCCAACAACATGCTCATTGGTGCCGTCAACGCCGAGAACGGTGAGGCCAACAAGGTCAAGAATGCTTTCACTGGCGAATACGATGCCGTCCCTGCTACTGCCCGTGACTACAAGGCTCGTGGCGTTAAGTGGGTTGTCATTGGTGACTGGAACTATGGCGAGGGTAGCTCTCGTGAGCACGCTGCTCTGGAGCCTAGACACCTTGGGGGTCTTGCTATCATCACTCGCAGCTTTGCCCGTATCCATGAGACCAACCTTAAGAAGCAGGGTATGCTTCCTCTGACCTTCGCCGATCCTGCCGACTACGACAAGATCAAGCCCGAGGATAAGGTTGACTTGCTCTGCACCCAGCTTGAGGTCGGCAAGCCCATGACCCTTCGCGTCCACCCCAAGGATGGCGGTAACGCCTTCGACATCCAGCTTAACCACACCTTCAACGAGTCTCAGATTGAATGGTTCAAGGATGGATCTGCCCTCAACACCATGGCTCGCAACAGTGCCAACTAAATGTCCAACAGCTGTACCTTTGGCGTTGGGATTACATTGATCCGTTTGTAAATTATACTGTATATGTTTCTCGACACTCGGGAAACATGCCAGCTTAGCGCCTTACCAAAAGGTTTGGCGCGTTGTCGATGAGTGGCAGTTCTGAGGGTGATTGCTAATGGTGTTTTCTACGATGGGATATTGCGGAGTCGAGTTTCAAAATTTAACGACCTGTTTTGTTGTCTCTACATTTTACTGGGCCCCTTTGAGTTTGGGTGGACTACATGAATATAGTCTTGTGTTTATTTTTTCCTATATCATCTACTGTATGCTAGGGACTGCAAATCATACCATATTTCCTTTCTGTTCAAACCTTGGCCTAGTAAACTTCAACTGCGCTGACATAAGATTAAATCGCGTGCTCAACCGAGGCCTAAGGTTACCGGAAGCCCCGCATCAAGTATACTTACTATATCAAAGAGATGGGCTAGTAAATCCAAGATAGAATGAATGTCCTTATATCCTCGTCCTAAATTCAGTCGTGGTCAGTTGACAGCTCAAAACTCAAAAACACTCCTAACAGGTAGGCAGATCGTTATCTAGTCCCGTTTCCGATTCATCCGGCATGGGCAACTGAAGTTAAATAAGAAGTGCTCGGCGAATCCTAGGCAACGTTGGAAGCACAGGAACAGGGCTGTGGTGCTGGGGGACAACTCCTCTATTGACCGTGGTGTAGTAGCTGCAAGCCCACAAATTCTTTTTTCCACTCACCGTTCCCGTCGGGCCGCTATTTAAAACCTATTATTACCCTTCAACACTCTCCCCTTCGCAGCTCGAGCTAAGTTTGTCGACGAATCCAGATCGAGGGATACCTGAAAGATAAGCCCCAGACCGTCCTTTGCTGCTTGAATCGATCCGGGGAACGTTTGTGCCCAACTATGGCCACTCCGCTCGTTCCTCTGCCGGAGGTGGAGAGACTCAGTGCCTCGGTGGTGAGGATCCTAGGTGGTAATCCTGGCAAGGTGGGTTCGGACCGTGTCATTCAAAACACCCAGCTCGATGACTTATCCGGTGGCAACGAATCAGAAATGCCTCAGATTGTCTCTCGGGACTTGATGCACGTTATGTTAAACTAGATGAAACAAAGAACCTATGTTAACTTGGCACTGCATATAGTTTACACTGCAGGGTGAGTCACTTCCACCTTATCCAATACGGTTCGCGGCCTCTAGACCTGACCTGGATATGTCTCAGGAACGAATACGTATCTGATTGGCCGAGGGCCTCAACGGATTCTCATCGATACAGGTGAAGGGAAGCCTTCGTGGGCTGCTAATCTGAAGGCGATCCTATCGGAAGAAAATGCAACGGTGCATAAAGCGCTCCTGACGCACTGGCATCATGATCACATTAATGGCATCCCAGACCTTCGCAAGCTTTGTCCTCAAGTCACTATCTACAAGAACCAACCAGCAGAAGGACAAAGTAATATCGAGGATGGTCAGGTCTTTAGCGTTGAAGGGACTACATTAAAAGCGTTCCATACGCCGGGACATGCAGTTGATCATATGGTATTTGTGCTCGAGGAGGAAGACGCCATCTTCACCGGTGATAGTGGGTCTCACCCTTCTCTCCCAGTCCGTATCATATGGTAATATGATCGTGTATAACTGATGTGAAAACCTGTTAAGACGTCCTGGGTCATGGAACTGCGGTGTTCGAGGATTTGAAGGTGTATCTGTCTAGCCTACAGCGGATGCAAGACCGAGTCTCGGGACGCGGATATCCTGGCCATGGAGCGGTGATTGAGAACGCACCGGCGAAGATTACTGAATATATCAAGCATCGACAACAGCGAGAAGACGAGATAATACGCGTTTTGCGCTATGGAAAACTTGACGTCGACGATGACGAGCCATCCCCAGACTGGAAGGTCTATTGGACCCCCCTTGAGATAGTGAAAGTGATATACTATGATGTTCCGGAAAGCCTTCACCTACCAGCATCGCGTGGGGTCCTGCAGGTGTTGATGAAACTAGAAGCTGAGGGTAGGACAGTTCATGACACGGAATCGGGAAAGTGGAGACTGGAAACCGGGAAGTCGGCGCTATAATCATCTTCCATTATCTCACTTTGTGACAGAGTAATCACGTCTTTCTAATGACATCTATACAACTGTGGGGGTTTGTTCATGACGTGGTCTGGAATTCCTGGAAGTAGAAAGAGTGGACGGTCACCACACAGCAATAGGGAGAATTTTTTTTTTTAAAAAAAAAAAAAATCATTAGAGGCCTGTCGGGTTGGCCAGACCCTCTACTATTCAATCCTGGTTTTCCTGCACAAACATGGAGGGTGCTACTAGAACAAGTCTGATTTTTTCGGCAGGGAAAAGCCGGCGGATGAGCCTTCTTTCGGCCTTGCCTGGACTTGTCAGAAGTGCCCTGGTGTGTGTGAGCTATATAACGCCACTACAAGAGTGTACTGGACGTTAAGGAAAAAGAAAGGTAAGAAACCACCATTGAGGGGTTGGCATTACATTGCGAAATCGTCATCCGACCAACAGGTGGGCTCGGCGCGCCTAAACATTTTCCAGGCTGGAAAACAGATACGATTTCCTGTTGAGTTTTGTATAATACTTAAAGTCATGAGGGGAAACCCCTCAAAGGAACATAAAGAGTGTTGGCATCATCAGCATTCAGTGGTTGGCCATACCTGCGGGGCCCGTGACCTCATCTTCTTTGCATAAAACCAAATTCAACCCTTCACTTCAACCTTTCATTACTACGTTATCTTATTTTTATTCTATACCAGACTAATATTCCTACTTTTGCCCAAAAAAAGATAAGAAACTAACCAGCTTGTCTTCTGGATCTTCTTTTTAGTCGATGAACTTGTTAGTGAAGTATTATCTACTATTACTCCTAGTACCCGGCTGGAAACTCTGGGTCAGTTGGTCCGCGCGTCTGGTCGCTGAGCTCTGAGGTCACTGATTTCTCTCCCCCGCCGGACCGCACCTTCTTGTACTTCACTGAAGATCCTCCCCGCCTTCGCTGTAGCGTTGACATTTATTGTCCTAGTCTAGCAGTCTTCTTTGAACTGCCAACCGTTGTTATCTTTGGGGAGCGCGAAAGTTGTCAATCGATATTTTTAAGCTGGGATTGCCTTGCTTTATCTTTATACATTGTCATTTTATATCTTGCACCCCTCCCTTGTCTTTTCTATCGTCAACCCTGATTCCACTTTGCGATAGGTTTCTTTGGACTCAACATTCTTGATTTTATTCCCTCCTTCGATTAACGAATCTGATCATTCCCAACAATGCCTTCCCTCGAAGACGGTTCGAAAAATGACTCGAGACTACTGCTCATTTCAAATCGATTACCGATTACGATAAAACGATCCGAGGATGGGAAATATGACTTTTCCATGTCATCTGGTGGCTTGGTCAGTGGGCTCAGTGGGCTATCCAAATCTACGACTTTCCAATGGTATGGCTGGCCCGGCTTGGAAGTTCCCGAAGTGGAGATACCGGTGGTCAAGCAGCGGCTGAAGGAAGAATACAACGCGATTCCAGTATTCATCGATGATGAGCTTGCAGATCGACACTATAATGGATTCTCTAGTTAGTCCATCTTGTCATACACCTAGGAGTTTGAGATTAGGTCGTATTATGTGCTAACGTGTCTTTTCTTGGCCAGATTCTATTCTCTGGCCTCTTTTCCATTACCATCCGGGTGAAATTACCTTCGATGAATCAGCCTGGGAAGCGTACAAGGATGCGAACCGACTCTTTGCGAGAGCCGTCGCGAAAGAAGTCCAGGATGGAGATTTGGTTTGGGTGCATGATTACCATCTGATGCTTCTTCCCGAAATGCTCCGAGAAGAGATAGGAGATAAGAAACAGAATGTTAAGATCGGATTCTTTCTCCATACCCCCTTCCCTAGCAGTGAGATCTATAGAATCCTCCCCGTACGAAACGAGCTCTTACTTGGGGTCCTCCATTGCGACCTCATTGGCTTCCATACCTACGACTATACAAGACATTTCCTGAGCGCTTGCTCACGGCTATTGTACGTTGAGCCTCGTCGATCTCTTCCAAAACTCGAGGACTAACGACAGATATCTAGGGGGCTGGCGACGACTCCCAATGGCATAGAGTTCCAGGGCAAGATCATTGCCTGCGGAGCTTTCCCGATCGGTATTGATCCCGAGAAATTCCAAGAGGGTCTTAAGAAAGAGAAGGTTCAGAAGCGGATTGCACAGCTTGAGCAAAAATTCCAAGGTGTGAAGCTCATGGTTGGCGTTGACCGCCTTGACTATATAAAGGGCGTTCCGCAGAAGCTGCATGCGCTGGAAGTGTTCCTTAGCGACCATCCCGAATGGGTTGGCAAAGTTGTCCTGGTTCAAGTTGCTGTTCCCAGTAGGCAAGATGTCGAGGAATATCAGAATTTGAGAGCCGTTGTAAACGAGTTGGTCGGCCGCATCAACGGAAAATTTGGTAAGTAATCTGGGTGGAAATATATGATACTCCGATACTGATCTGGCTAGGTACTGTGGAATTTATGCCAATCCACTTCCTGCACAAGTCCGTCAATTTTGATGAGCTGCTTGCTCTGTATGCCGTGTCAGACGCATGCATCGTTTCGTCCACTCGCGATGGCATGAATCTAGTCGCGTATGAATATATAGCCGCGCAGCAAAAGCGGCACGGTGTTCTGGTCCTCTCAGAGTTCGCCGGTGCTGCTCAGAGTCTCAACGGGAGTATAATAATCAATCCCTGGAACACTGAGGAACTTGCCGGTGCCTACCAGGAAGCTGTGACCATGAGCGACGAGCAAAAAGCCCTGAATTTCTCCAAGCTGGACAAATATGTCAACAAGTACACAAGGTATGTGCTGGCCTAAGTTTTCGACAGATGAATGACGCTAACCTATTTCAGTGCCTTTTGGGGCCAGTCTTTCGTGACGGAATTGACGAGGATATCTACCCAATCGGCGGAGAAATTTCAGTCTAAACGGGCTTCCCTGGCTGGTGCGTACGATGAACAAGTGAACGGTGTGGAATCTGAAGGTTCATCTTAACCACGCACGCACGGCAAAAGACACCGGCTTCTATACTGCCTCTGGAGTCTCAGAAGGGAACGCAAAACAAAAGGGTGTGACGGATGGTCTAGAGCTTTATATTGGGTCTATGAGCACTGGAAGGCGTAAAATGCTTTTTGAGTTTGATTGCATTGGTTTAATACTCTCGGTCACTAGTATGGAATACCTTCAGAGTAATCTTGTTCTTAGATTCCTGGGTCCGGGTCATGGATGGGTATAAAAGGTTCGAGGTGTTGCTGGTGTACATGAAGCGTTCTGTCTAGGCTCTCAACTCCGTGTTATTTCTATCACTATTTGTATTTAATAGACCTGAAGAACTCCCACTAAACACTATTGGCCTGCTAGTTTAATGCTCGCTGCGGACCGACCACTTATATTTGAATAAAGGACCTGAGAAACTGTATGTTGTTACATTAAATGGTGGTGTGCAAACAATGCAAACACTGGAGAGAAATTCTGGACGGCCTCATCTGCGGATTTGACGCTCCTCCAGCGAAGACGCCGCTGAAGCAAAACAGTTGCCTGAGATTTTTTGTTGCAGCACAAGAGGATATCGCTCCGGTTTTTTGTTTACCGGACGAAGATTGGGAATTTAGTCAAAACATCGCGGATACCCCTACAATCTCCTTCCGCTTCCCGACACAACGGCCCGCACTCCTTGAGAGATCACCAGGTCGGACTTTGACGCACCCAAAAAGGACACGAGCATATAAAGATCACACGAAGGAAACCTCTACTCGAATTGAAGATGCGTCCAAACAATATATACCGGGCGATGCAGCCCCTCCGCTCTTCAATTGTCAGATCTACCACATCGACCTCATCCCCAACAGCACACATTTGCTCTGCCATCGCAACACCCTTCCGCCGCTTGAATTCGACCATTGCTACCCCTACCGAAGGTGAATCATCCCTAGCACCTTCTAAACCATCGGTGATACCTCCTTCCCTCCGCAGCTATCCTTATACCTTGAAGACCGGCACCGTGGTCTCCGTTGGCCGTATGGACCGTACCGTTCGTGTCGCCCACCGCCACACCGTCTGGGACAGTCATATTCGCAAGACATACCCCCAGGTCACGACATATCTTGTAGCCGACCCGAAGAACTCCCTGCGCGAAGGGGACGTAATCGAGTTCTCCTCTGGCTATCCGAAGAGCCGGAATGTGCGCCATGTCGTTGAGAGGATCATTGCGCCGTTCGGCGAGGCAATTGAGAACAGACCGGCTGTTTTGACGCGCGAAGAGAGGGATGCAGAGCGAGTGGCCAAGCGAACTGCCAAGTGGGAGCGCAGGGAAGCCAGGAGAGCAGAGGGTGGCGAGAGCCAGAACTTGGGAGGACGCGAGCATGTTGGGCGGATCAGGAGGTTGGTTTATGAGCGAACTGGGGCATAGTAGGAGGTGGATTCGCTCTATTTGACCTCCATTGGCATTTATCTTTTGATTGTATCACATAGATAACGGGCTCAGAGGACTGTATCTATCTTCCATGTGTCAACTCTTTCTAAATGTATTATATCTCTGTGCATGTGTGTCACTATTATTTTCTTTGCTGCTCTTACTCATATTGGTCGGGTATATTATAAACATGAGTCTTCCAGTATATTTAACCCTGGTCTTTTACTTTACTGGCGACTTGCCACGAAGAACAAGACTTAAGAACGCCTGCCAGAAGGCTTTGCCGAAAGTCAGCCATCATTTCTTGAGAAGAAGCATTGGTAGCACTGCAGGATTCTTATTGAATTGCCAAAACTCGTTCGCGAGGTCATGGGAGCAACTATATAACAGACTACTACACAATGTTCCCAACAAGCCATCTAAAAAAGCATGTATCTTTTATATGGAATGCCCCCATAAAAGATACTAGTTCGATTTTAAAGCAACTATACAATATCTTTTTGATATAGTTTTAGATAATATTCATTATTATATGTACTGTTTTTAATTCATAAGTCAATATATTTTTGAATTGGTGGTGCTATCTAAACAAAGCTACAAGTATCTTTCGTATGGGGTTCCCATACAGAAAGCACCTTGCTTCACCTGTGCCCGTTCAGCTGGCCTGGGTCACGCGCGGAATGCATGCTGTGTAGGGGTCTATGTATCTCCGCAATCCGGCGTACAAATACTCTCTTCTCTTCTAGAGGCCAAAATGCGTCTTTCTATTTTGTCCATCTCCAATCTCTCGGGCTTCTTTCCAACAACCCTTACGAATCCGATTCCCGACTCTTCCCTGACAACTAATGGCGTACCCTTCTCAACCAGAGCATACTGGATGCGTCAAGCGAATAAGGCACTCGTGGAACTGAGCCTTTCTCCCTGTCCCTTCAGTGCATTTAGCACTGTCATCGTTAATCATACCAATACTGATGAACTAGGAGATCTAGTATGTATGGGGGTCAATCAGAGGCTTCAAACGGGTAACCCGGCCATGCATGGTAAATTGACCCATACTCCCTTCACATCGCCCTATCCCTCACATGTTATTGACGAAAAATGACATACTCCAGGCGAAATAACCGCCATCACGAACTGCACTGCTATTCTCACAGATCCCGCTGGTCGATTCCGATTGACACCGTCTCAAGCCCAAGCAGCCTTTGCCGACTTGACGCTATATACCAACGCGGAGAGCTGTACTATGGTGTGTATATTCCTCTTAAAAATATTCTGAGCTCCCAATTCTATTCTATTACTTAAAGTTAACCAATAATCTGAAAGTGCGCCTCTGCTATTCGATGGGCGGGTTTCAAGGAATACGTCTACGGGACTTCGATCGATACGCTTGCCCAGAAGGGGTGGGCTCAAATAAATATTTCCTCGTCGGAGGTCTTTAAGGCTTCTTTTGATTTGCCGTCTCGGACCCGGCTGATTGGGGGCGTTCTTGCGAATGAGACCGATCCGTACTTTTTGTGGCAGTATGATCGTTCTTATCCTTGTCCTGGGGGTTGTGCGCGTGCTGAGAAAGGGGCGAGTTGTCGGATCGCTATGTAATACTACGAAAGAGTTGGACTATGGAGTACTAATGTTGGGCTATGGATGGGATGTACGTACGTATATGCATGTTAAGGCCGTTATGTGAGATGGTGTATAGTTATGATAGTATGCTAACTGGCGTGGATATTTAACATTTGAAGGGTAGATTCCTGAATGATAGAAAATATGATTAATTATAGCCTACCTCTACTGTGATATATGGATGGTTCATACCCCAGGCCTGCAAGGCACTAATCGCTCAATACGGAAAGAAGCTCGGCCGACATTATTTCCCGAATAGGCATGTTTGAAGGGGAGTTCTCCGAAACCCGCTCATAACCACTGACATATATGATGGTTATCTATACCTTCTACAGTAAGAATATCGGATTGGCCCTTATGTCCGGGCATGGCATATTGTTACCAGTATTTGGGAGAGAAGATGGTATATAAGGGCAATAATGCCTTGCGTCTTCGTGGACAGCTATTTACTAGTAGTATTCACCAAGCAATCCAATCTAGGACCAATAGCGAGACAAGACTCAATATGGCCTCTAACCCAATCGTTTTAATCACCGGTGCCAATACTGGCCTCGGACTCGAAATAGTCAAGGACTTCTTCCGCTCGCCTAAAGCATACACCATACTTCTCGGGGGTAGGAGCCTCGACAAAGCCAACGCCGCCGCTAAAGAAGTGCAGGCGGAATTTTCCGAGAGCTGCAGCGTTGTCAAAACGGTCCGAATCGATCTTGAAGAAGACGACTCGATCTCTAAAGCATTCGAATATGTTGCCAACGAATATGGTCGAGTGGATGTCTTGATCAACAACGCAGGTAAGTAAGTCCTACACCTTTCACACTCAACGACTAATACTTGGATGTAGGGGCATTGTTTGACCCTCAATTATCCGCCGGAAGTCTGACAATGCGAGAGGCGTGGAACAAGTCATGGAATGTCAATACCACGGGGCCACAGATCCTTACTCACACTTTCGTGCCTCTTCTCTTGAAATCGACAGATCCGAGACTCATCTTTGTTACGAGTGAGACGTCTGCACTTGCTGAGACCGAGGATGCCTTGTACAGCTACGACCAGTCCCCCCCGATGGGTTGGCCCAAGAAAGAATTTTCTTATACAGCATACAGATCTAGTAAGACCGGCTTAAACATGATGATGCGTGAGTGGGTTCGGATTTTGCGAGAAGATGGTGTTAAGGTCTGGGGTATCTCGCCAGGATTCCTAGCAACTAATATAGGCGGTGATAGCGAGAGGTACAAAAAGCTGGGCGCATTGGATCCGATCATCGGGGCTGAGTTCATACGGGGTGTGGTTGAAGGTGCTCGCGATGAAGACACTGGGAAAGTCATTCGTCGAGACAGGGTTCAAGTTTGGTAGCTGTATTTAGCCACAAAGCTGACAAGTCGGGTGCGATTAGACGTATACGTGTATTTTAGACGGACAATTGAGAGTCGAAAACGGCCCAGTCGATATTTTCAAAGTCGATGCCCATGATGTTGAAGGGGTCAAACGAATCAAAAGGAGGTATATTTGTCTGGACATCTGTATTCTCTACCTGCATAGGCGGTAATGTAGAGTTGAAACCCGATGTGACATCGCCTGCAGGTTGTGATTCGGGCTCCCCGGGCGTCTCAGTGTGGTTCAGAACGACATGCAAAGCATGGGAAACTCGTCTTGCTTCTTTGCAGACCTGGGACTTCTCCACGCAAATTTCATGCGACTGCTTAAGCAAAGAGAGCACTTCAGCTTCTGTGACGGAATCGATAGTACTAGTCCTTGGCGTTCGTTTGCGATGGATATGCACCCCCAGGCAGAGCACCATGACGCCCAGCAGAAAATCACTCATGGTGAAGTTTGTCAGCATCCAGCGCACCGCATGTAGTTGACCATCGGGAGAGAATTCTTTGTGCATATCGATAAATTGACTAACAAGCCTCCTCGCAGCCGCGACACAGGATTTAGTACTGTTAACATTACCTCGGACCATATATCCGCGGTGCAGAACACAGAGACTCTTTAGATAGATGAACTCGATGTATAGTCTGGTTATTATGAGAGAGGGCGCATCTGTAATCGACTCTGAGAGAGGGCGAGCTCGCAAAACATCGGGGGTTGTCGCATACATTTGCCGGATTTCTTCGTCCAGTCGAAGCAAATCAACTTCTGGCTTCTCTCTAAACGACAGCATATACTTGCAGACCTTGCTGAAACTGGTAATTTGTCGGTCTTTGACAACAAACCACAAGAGATTTGTAGGTTCACTCTCAGGTCTCGACTCGGGCAAGACCTGTGTATCCACATCAAAGTCCGAGTCCAAGAGATTCCTTGGGGACTTCGTGTCACAGCTCTCGAGACAAATATTGCTCGGCAGACCGAGCTGGAAGCTGATCATCACATCCATATGCTTACATGAAGCCCAGAAACGTCTACGTATTTCGCCTTCGAAGACGCTCAGAGATCCGAAGGTATCTGGATCTCGGTGGTAGCCCATTTCGTACGCCATGCGGACAACCATGGCTAGAACCGCCCCGGCTTCTCGGCACGGGTCCATGCTTTGTAGATATTTGCACTGTGCATAGAGCGTAAGTGCCTCCACTGCAAGTTTCCGTGGCCGATGATACTCTCCTATGAGAAGGCATTGTCCAGCAGCCGTGTGGAGCTTAGCACTTTCGGGGGCCGAGTTCTTTCGCAAGGAACAACCCGGGCTAGTTGTCTCCTTAATTAGAGATACCGAGCAGCAAATAGAGAATAGAATGGAAAGCCAAAGGGGGTCGACATTGTTCGGATTAGCCCAGAATTCTTGGTACTGGCGCTGAAAGTGATAGGTGTGAATGAACGGAATACCGAAGGTTTTGCCCTGAAAGTATGACGAAAGGTAACGATCAACCTCAACTCTCGAAGGAAGATATCTAGATATGACTTGTTGCAAAGAGTAAAGATGTGGCGACCCAAAGATCAGCTCAGTACCTGGGACAGGAGTCTCTGGCATAGTACGTCTCCCAAATTGCTGGACCTCAGAAGCGCCACTCAGAGTCGACTTCAGCTCGTGAATGTCGTTCAGAATAGCAGACCAATGTGTGGAACCGACATATCTTGCAGAGTCAGGTGTGTCACTTTGAGACGAAACAACAGCATCGTTTATTGAACAATGGGATGACTCTGGAATTAGTTCATCGTTCCCCGATGGAAGTTCTTCCTTATGCATCACAGACTTAATCAAAGACTCCAAATGCGTCAGCCTGGCTTCAATGGTGCTCCGGTCGTTGTGATTAGCTGGTGAACCCGCAGTCCACTGATAAGAGCAAGCATCTGATCCATGTCTCATAACGCAGCTACTGCAGGGCTGGCCTCTATCACATCGGAGCTTGGATTTCCTGCAAGGATCGCATACAAAGGATGCTCTAGGTGATTTCGTGACTTTCGCAACCGAAGTCCTACTTGAAGGACTCGTAGGTTTACGAGCTCGAAATTTGCTTGTGAACCTTGAGATGTCCGACATTCTATGCAACAAAGCTATGCTTGAATTAAACAGATTACGGTGATATTGTGATGCATCAGCATCGGCAGGATTATGCAATGTAGTGCTTGTCCTGATACTAGAATCCAATGAAATCCATCCAATAAAACAGGTCACGTGGCGTTAGACTAAATTTGGTCAAGACTGTTTGTCCTACAAATTGCCTTAGTCATCTCTAACTAGTCGCAAACAATGGATGCCCTGACCAGTCATACAGGAAACAAGCGAAATAATCATGAGCACTCCTTGGCAGAACATACGCCGTAGCCAAGAATTACAATATTCTAGACATGTACATTGAGGTGGCCCAGTTTGGCTTATCTCCGTATAGCTGCGCGGGACTTTGAAGTTTTTCTTACCCCAGTTGAGCAAGAAAAGAAGCGTAACGATGGCATATATCAGAGCCGCAGTTCATTATGGCGAGTACGATGATGTAGCTACTGTGTAACAGACATATGTTAGCACCACAGAGGTTCCTTGTTCTGTGACATGAGAGGTGCTATTCCGGGCTGTTTAAGATTTTCCAGGGTGAATCTACTTCATGCAAAGATATTTTTAGCTATAAATATTTCGTTGGCCAGCAACGGTGTCAGGATATAGATCACCAGCTTTTAAATAGGGGAATTGATGTGGAAGCAACCTCCAAAGATTGAAAAGTCCAACGGAATTCGCAGTTAGGGGTATGCGGTTACAAGGGATGGATAGTAGTGGGCCTTTGTTGGATGTCACGATGGAGTTTAGGCTTTAAGCTTAGGCTGTCTGAGATGGGATACTTTGTAGGGCTAATATTGGTTTTATACCATTGGGGGAGGGGGGTCTTGTAGTGACTACTCGCGTGAAGGATGAACTATTTGTGATTCATCAGGGGTCTGCTTGTTAGGAGATGTATTCGATTTTCTCAGGCTGTTGTGATATTCCTTGAGTTTTAGGATTGAGGCTCTAGGTGCAGACTTGCTGGCACATACCAATGGGAAGTATGTACCTGAATGTCCGATGAAAAGCAAGGGCACATTTCACAATAGTCCTAAAGATTAGTCTCAGACTTGTCCAACTATGCGATGAGGCTACATAATCTTGTTGCAATGTTTCGTACAATGTTTATAGATCAAGGAGAGATTTTGGGTCTGTTCGCGGTGCCTCTCTCTCGAACCCTAGGAATTTCAATATAGCATTCTCTAGAATCGTTTGAATCCAACGATAAGAGAAAGAATATGAAAGAATATCGAGAGAGAAGGGTTCAGGGTATTTTTTTTTTTTTTTTTTTTGCTTTACTTGAGTGATCCACACCTCTTAATTGGAGGGAATACACAAGACTTCAAAACTAGTAGGAGTAGTTAGAGGGCTCCAGTCTGTGGCCAATAAAGGTTCAATAGTGTATATTATCACTGATATGGATCATATGATACATTAGTTACATTGATACTTCAAGAATATTTGGTTTCTTTTTTTTGGATTGCAAGTCAAACTTTGTTGAAGCCCATATGTATTTCTGACTGATTAATAAGGTAGTTTATTGCAGAGAAGGATGAATGAGAATGTATTGAATTATTTGTTTTTGTGTCTGTGTTGATCCCGCGGGGAAAGTGGTGCCGGAAAACAAAGGCAAAAAAGTAAAAATTAATAAACAATTCAAGCCACCCTTTTCGGGTCGCGAAAGTCACCGGAGTGACTCGAACTCGCCCCGTTGTTTACTCCGTCTCTTTCCCTTCCTCCCACCATTCATTTATTGATTGAAATTCCATCCTCCATTTTGCCCCACGAGTTCTGTCCGGTTTAGACTACTGACAGCAGACCATCCATAACCTCTTTGGCAACCATCGACATTGAGTTATTCTTTCCTTCGTCGAGCGTGGCTAAACTAAACATACGGTTAACTGCCCAACCGCACGGATCCTGCAACCTTCTGCAAGCTTAAGGTGTGTGCGATGCATAAGAGAAAATCTACCTAGCTTTCAATTCTTGTGCTCTTCTTGTCTACTCGAATATTCAAACGAGATCTACTTTGCCTGTTATCCTACAAATCGCACATAAATGGCACCCTTGCCTTCGCCGAACCTCAGGAAACCAACTAACCCGTCCCTCTGTCTTCTAGTACAGTACCCTCCAAACCGTTATCATGGCTGACGGAGAGGAGGACTTCTCCTCTCTCCCATTGCCTGAACGATTCACGCACAAGGTTAGCCCCATCCGTCGACGATCTCCCCTGATTCCCCGATAGCATGCAGACCCTAATGCCTTCTCTGTCGCGCTTGTAGAACTGGAAAGTCCGGAAGGGAGGGTATGAAGATGCCAAGCAGCAGTTTGAGAAATCACCAGATGAATCCGATCCCGTTTTCACACCGTTCATACAAGACCCGGGCCTATGGAAAGGGGCTGTCGCTGATTCAAACGTCGCTGCCCAACAAGATGGCCTTGCTGCCTACTGCTCCTTCTTAAAATTCGGCGGCCTTCAAGCCTGCACAAGGTAGGATTTCTTTTTTCCCTCGATGAATCGTACTACCATATTGTAGGCACGGCTAACTCTCCTCGGAATAGGACCCGTGCAACCACAGTTTTTCCCATAGTAGAAAAAGGCCTTCCGTCCACAAGACCCGCAGCAAAAACAAACGCCCAAGAAGCACTTCTACTATTAGTTGAACTAGACAAGGCGGACCCAGTGATCGAAGAAATCCTGCCAGCACTGTCACACAAGGTACCCAAGGTTATTGCTGCGACGCTGACTGGTTTGAGGACAATCTACCACAACTTTGGATGTAAGATTGTTGATCCTAAGCCAGTCCTCAAGGCTCTCCCCAAAGTCTTCGGACATGCCGACAAAAACGTTCGTGCGGAAGCGCAAAATCTCGCAGTGGAACTTTACCGGTGGCTGAAAGACGCCATTAAACCGCTTTTCTGGGGCGAGCTGAAGCCAGTCCAGCAAACGGACTTAGATAAACTATTTGAGAATGTTAAGCAGGAACCGTCACCAAAGCAAGAGAGATTCACTAGAGCCCAGCAAGACGCGATGGCCGCCGCCAGTGCCGCCCCAGAAGATGGCGAAGCCGAAGACGGCGGCGAGGACTACGAGGACGAGGATGGCGGAGAGGTTGATGCTTTTGATTTCGCAGAACCTGTCGATGTGATGCCCAAGGTTCCAAAAGACTTACACGAGCAGTTATCATCGTCCAAATGGAAAGACAGGAAGGAGGCACTAGATGGTCTGCAAGCCGCGCTGAATGTCCCGAGAATTAAAGATGGTCCATTTGACGATATCGTACGAGCACTAGCTAAGTGCATGAAAGACGCTAATATTGCAGTTGTGACTGTCTCCGCTAACTGCGTCGATCTACTCGCCAAGGGCCTTCGCAGCGGATTTGCTAAATACCGCTCAGCAATAATGTCCCCTATGCTGGAGCGCCTAAAGGAAAAGAAGCAGAGCGTTGCAGATGCATTAGGCCAAGCCTTAGACTCGGTCTTCGCCTCGACTAACCTGACAGAATGCTTGGAGGAAATCCTTGAGTTCTTGAAGCACAAGAATCCTCAGGTGAAGCAAGAGACCCTCAAGTTCCTGATCCGATGTCTCCGTACCACTCGGGATGTTCCATCAAAAGCGGAGGTCAAGTCAATCGCTGAAGCGGCTACCAAGCTCCTTACCGAATCTAGTGAGGTCAACCGAGCCGGAGGAGCAGAGATCCTTGGTACATTGATGAAGATCATGGGCGAGCGAGCGATGAATCCCTACCTCGAAGGACTTGATGATATCCGAAAAACGAAGATCAAGGAGTTTTTTGAAACCGCCGAGGTTAAAGCAAAAGATAGACCTAAGCCTATTGTTGGTGCACCAAAGGCTGTGCCGGCAGCTGGTAAGAAGGTCGTCGGTGGAAAGAAGCCAGCGATGGGAGTGAAACGGCCCGCTCCGGCGGCGGCACCACCGCCAGCTGAAGAGCCAGCGTCTGCCCCATCCCCTGCTAAGAGACCTGTGTCATCGAAATTGGGGGGCCCCAAGGCTGGTGGGCTTCCCACGCCCGGCTCTAATCTCAAGAAAAGGTTAGGCGGTCCTGGAGGTTTAGCGTCACCACAACGACGGGTTGTTTCTCCTCCCGAGGAGCCCGCCCCTCCTGCTGCTCCAAAGTTTGGCCTTGGACGAGGACTTGCAGGACGTCCTATCACCAAGCCAGCTGCTCCTCGTGAACCTTCGCCCCCACCAGCAGCGCCTCAAATGAGCGGAATGACAGCTATTGAGCGAGCTGAGTTAGAGGAGTTGCGTGCCGAGCAGGAGCAGTTTACCAAGCTGGTCGAAGATCTGAAGTCTGAGCGGACCAAGTTGAAATCTCAAGTGACAGAGCTCCAGGATCAGAACGCACAACTCATTGAGGATCATACCAGGGATGTTCTGAGCGTCAAAGCTAAGGAAACGCAACTGGTAAGGGCGCGGAGTGATGCAGAGACCGCCGAGCAGACTGTTCAGAAGCAGCAGCGGGAAATCGAGCGGCTGAAGCGGGAGCTGGCAAGAGCTCTCCGTGCCAGCGCTATCAGCCCACCCAATACTTTGCCCGATGGTATTAACATGCCATATGGAGACGCCGCATCGGTTTACCAGGACACGGCCAGTAATGGGCACGGTCATTTGTCACGTGCCCACCACATGGGGTCACGGTTTGAGAGCTCAAGACCCAGGAGTTATGCTTCAGCTAGCCCAAGTGAAGAGAAGGAGAACAATGGTCTAGACTCTCCGGGGCTAGGCAGCAGAGACGGGGGGCTTGGTCGACGAAAGCTAAGCCCTACCTTTGGCACCAGTTATTCCGGAATGGGTAGTCCAACGCGGTCTTCCATGCTGGGATCTAGCAATGCCTCCGGGGATGATCAGCCCACGAGAAGTACAGAGCCAGCGGAGAACTGGAAGCGAGCTGCTGAGGTGACGAGCCAGCTGAAGGCAAGGATAGAACAAATGAAGGTACGAAATCCCATATCCCATACCGTATGAACCATATCTGACGTAGAATGGTGCAGGCTAGGCAAGGACTCACGCGACCACCTACCCAACGCTAACGACTGAACGATTTCATGTTTTCTCTCTCCCTTCCCAGATTCCCTTTAATTCTACACGGTTTCTATTCTCTGGCTCGGTTGCGTGCGTGTTGTGTTACATACGGTTTAACGGGCGCACCTTTTGCTTGGGTGGGCTGGCTAGCTCCTTTATTGTTCGTTTTGTGCCCTTCAGACTGCGAGATTTGCTTGTCTTCAGTGGATCGCTAAGACACGAAAGGGGGTATCATCTGGTTGCATTTTATTTTGGGATTGTGACTTTATACCACTATGTTTTCATGTATAGATGTTTCACCATGCGCATGCAGGTGGTGTATTGTACGGGTATTGCATTTATCAATCGGAGGGAATCGGTCCCGGGGTTAATACAGTATATCCGTTCATGAGGTTCTAGGCCAGCCGGGGCTGCATTTAACATTATAATACTTAAGATAGGATGGGTTCAAGAAATAGAACAGGAAGGCTCGTCGCTACGGTCGACAACTACGAAGGCAGACTTCACATGAATGCTTAATTGCATGGGGACTACAAGCACGGTTGGGTTGAAGTCTTGAAATAGCATTCATGGGTATCTGCGACGTGTACATAAGATTGAAAGAAACAGAAGACCATCAAGATGGATTGGGATTGAGAATTGGGTGCCAAAAGCTCTCCACCCATCTAAGCTATTATGCCATCAATAAGTTAACTGAGCCGTTAACACCATTCCCAGGAACCGAGGCCGTAATTTGCTTTTGAACAAATCCCAACTTTTCTTTCGCCGGAAGAGCGCAACAAATTGTCATTAAGATCGTTGGAAAACCCGTCATTGCGGAACTAAGCTAGACATGTGGACTAGTTTAGACCTTGACAGCGGACTCAACAGCCTTGCGCTTCTTCTCCTGGCGAGCAATGGCCTTGGGGCCCATAATACCACCACCCCAGTGACGACGGGACTCCTCGTACTTGTCGGTGTAGCCCTCCTTGATGGTGGAGAGGAGCTTGGCGAACTCAGAGTTGTCCTCAGAGCGGACCTCAGTCAGAGCGAGGACGGCAGCGGTCTAGTGGATTGTATTTAGCATGTGTGGTTACGGAGACATGACGGAATATCAAACTAACCTTCTTGTGGACAACGGTACCGAGACGAGCCTTACCCTTGACAATGGCGTAAGGGACACCCATCTTGCGGCAGAGAGCGGGAAGGAAGACAACCAGCTCAATGGGGTCAACGTCGTGGGCGATGAGGACAAGGGAGGCCTTCTTGTTCTCAACGAGACCAACAACGTGGTTAAGACCGTACTTGACGTGGTAGGGCTTCTTGCTGACGTCCTCCTTCTTCTTGCCATCGGCAACAGCGGTGGCCTCAGCGTGGAGACGCTCCTTCTTCTCGGCCTTGGTCTCAGGGCGGTACTTGTTGAGGAGCTTGAAGGTCTGGGCAGCGGTGTTGCGGTCCAGGGTGTTCTGGAACTGAGCAATGGCAGGGGGGACCTTGAGACGGAGGTTCAAGATCTTCTTCTGGCGCTGAAGACGGACATACTCGGGCCACTTGACGAAACGGCCGAGGTTACGCTTGGGCTGGATGTCCTGGCCAATGCCGAAGTTGCGGGTGCGCTTCTCGATGAGAGGGTTCTACAGCATATTAGCACACCTTGTTGTTGTGCAGAACTAATGGGCTCTCTTCTCATCACATACCTTAGGGGCCTTCTTAGAACCAGCCTTACCCTGGGGGTAGGGCAGAGGGGCGGCCTTCTTTCCGGACTTGGGAGGCTATCATTGAGAAAAGAAGATCAGCACATCGTGTCCACCAACGCTGCATCTTCCTTGAACTCTAAAGAGAGCATCGACCTAGTGTATATTCCAACGACTAGACCGATGCCTCCAGCCAAATCATCGCTGGCGCCCTCATCCCGAAGGATTTGTGCGACCAACGGAATATTGCTTTTGAGACTTGCGACAGAAGCCGACGAAATCGTCTTACGACATGTCGCAGAGGTTTTTCGAAAGCATATTTTCGAGAGAAACTAAATCAACTGGGCGTTATATGCTTACCATTGTTGTCGACTGTGTTCCGCAACGGTGCTGGGTGATGGGCTTGACGGAGAGAAGAAAAGAAGAAAAGAACAACTGAATTCCAGCTCAGCAGAAAAGAAAAGCCGTCGGTTCGTGCGTGGGCCGCGCTAGTGCGGAAAAATCCACTAGCCGATCCGGTTCCGCTTTTCCTTGTCCCGTGACTTAGGGTTAACCCTTTGTCCTCCTTCCATCTAAGGGCTAGACTTCAAGGCAGGCTTAGATATACTAGTACTACATTGTGTACATAGGTCCTCTCCATGAATCAATGCTATGTCATCTTTCAGAGTAATGGCCTACATTTATACCAAAAACTGGTTGAGTGTTGCTAGCTGCCTTAGCATAACTGTCAGTTGTATGATTTATGAACAGTATACTCTCCAAAGCTAGAAAGCCTTCTAAAGGCATTTATGCATCAATTAAACCCTTTCGCTTATACCATGACTTTCTTCTTATCATTACATCATTGACATCGTTTTATGTCATAGGACAGTTACTCTTCTCCAGTCGTAGCACTGTATCCTTACATTCTCACACGCCGAGCCTTTAAGTATTCATAATCCGGCATGGCTGCCAAAACCGCCTTCTCAACAAGAAGACCAGACTCCTCGCCGAATTCCTTTCTCCACTTAGATGCCTCGGCAGCGATGTCCAAGATCTCCGGTGCCTTCTCTTTCAAAACCCCGGATGATCCCGCCAAGCTAGATAACATGATCGCCTTAGCCTGCTCGCTTTGAATGGGTGACCTTTGCTCGGTATTGTCTCGCTGCTCGGTAGAAGTTCCGTTACTCTGCACACCACTAGTCTCTAGCTTTTTCTCCCACTCAAACTTGAGCTTGTTGGGATCCAGGCCCGCCAGCTCACAGAATCGAGCTAGCACATGAGGATTATGGATAACATCATGGGCATCCAGCAACAAGGGCTTAGACTCCGTATCGTGATTCTCCATACCCCAGTCGTAGAGCATCCGGGTCCACTTCATGGACATGTTTGTTTCTAAGACACCACGCAGCTCCTCTTGCTGTACAGCATCTATGGCCACCATCTTCAGCATTGCACGATAGAAGGAGGGAAACACCAGCGCTGGATGACGAATGATAAATGCAAAGCGCCAGGTGCGCAGATACTCGTCCGAAAAGACGGTCTCGTTATTAGGGGAGTAGGTCTGTGAGGGTCCGTAGGTGATTGGGATTTGAAGGTGGAAGAAGGAGTCATGGCTACCGTTGGTGCCGTAGATCATCCGACTGAATGCCATTGGGTTGCAGAGCCAGAAGGCATGCTCTTTGGTGAGTAGCATTTTATTTTCTTTCTCAGCCCGGCTACTGTATTTCTCCATCTCGTCCAGGCCATCCTGGAAGGCAGCTCGGACTTCATCACATTCGCCCTTGGTCCACTGGTCGGCTGGCTTGTAGATGCGACCGTCCTTGGCGCTGGACATGAAGGCATTCATGAAGAAGTAGCCTCCATTGTCGTTGGCGATGATATCAGGCTGGCCTGGAATATTCAGAACCTTTAGGAGGAGGTTGGATGCTGTGCGAGGATAGCTGACGAGAAGAAGTCGACGGGGGGCCATCTTGAAATGTAAGGTGGATAGTAGCTATCGGAACAATAAGCTTAAACTTGTCTGGATCAATCAAAGAAGAAATGGATGGTGAAATCCCGAGAAGCGATGGTGTGATCGAGGAGCTTAAATACTGTTTGGAATTCAATAGCATGCTTTTCCCCCTCCACTCCCCTCTTTCTGCCAAAACTTTCACTCCGACAACGCAAATACAATCTCTAACCGCTAGTAATCTTCTAATGGACGATCATCAGCCAATAATTTAAGGCCAGGACCGCGAATAACACCCAGGTGAATGAGAAGGCTTGTCAAATCCGAGATTAATCATTCCCGTTTCTTTCAAAAGTTAGCAGAACCATCTGAGCGTCATGCAGTAGGCGTGGGCCTCTTCTCCCCAGACGGGCCTGTCATGGTCAAAAACCGGTTAGGGCTTCACAGCAAAGCCAATCGGTCCCGAAAGGCCTACTCCACCACGGAGTACGATGGGTCTTTCTATGGAGTTTGTCGCGTTAATGTATCGCACTGCTGTTCTGCAACCTCAGATGGTCTCACCCGGAGGTATCGCTTTTAACCAAAAGCCGAGGCCGACCACTTTTGACTCTCTATTGGGCTCTCAGAAAGTCATCTCCACTGCAGATCGACAAGGGGTACAGAACGAGTCCAATAAGAGACATCGACGTTAGCCTGCGGAAACATTGTGGGGGCCTTTCGGCTGGCTATATATCTTTCGAGGCTAGTAAGAGGTGGTTCCCACTTGACTATTATCCATTATCCAAATGCGCTGCATTCAGAGAGGACAGTGTGTCGGAAAGACAGCTGCCGAATGCCATTGTCTCACATCTTGAGCCCTCAAAGTATACGGAGTATACTCCGTAAAGAAAGGCAAAATTGCCGAAGCCTGAAGAGTTTTGCTCGACGTATCCATTTATATGGGGGTTTGCATATTAAACCAATGGTCCTGCGGTTACGACCACTGTAATATGAGTTGAGGGATGGGATAATAGGAGTATTGGAATGTTACCGAGGAATAAAAAGTTCACTCGGCCGGAACTATGCGGGGAGTTATAGGGAGTGCGTCATATAATATAAGAGAAAAGATAAAAGAACCAATGACTTACTTTGTTCAACTGTCTGGGTATGCCAATACTAAAGTAGTCACGGCAGTTTCCTTGGATAGCACTATCAACAAAAGAAACTTTGAGAAGCCTTTAAAACAACACTCCGATCCTTCACAGTACATTCCGCATGCGCCTTTGGGGGCAGCTTCAGGAGCGTATTAGCTAGTATTCACAATCAATAGTCGCGCTACATAATCAGTGGAGTACGAGACTCGGGTAGGAAAGATGCTTCAGGACATCTCTGCCTTTGAGAATGATATATGAGTCACATAATCATATTCCTCTTTATGATCTACGGCGTGCAATATTTGCGCGTATGTCCTTTGAACGATCAATCTTCAACCATCAATAATATTACATAGAATTTTGACACTACTATCGCAATCCAGATTATCATCATATTTTGATGTTTAATGATATTCTAACCACATCTAGAACTATAGCGCTCTTGGGCGGAATCATATCCTGTCTGATGATTATAGTCCCTAGTAATATGACAAATCCATATGTTTAGGTACCTCCAATATACTAATAATACCTGAACTTCTAGCTTACTACGTCCTGGCTTCACTCTATTGGCTCAATCGTCTATCAGGTACAGCGCCAGCCAATCATCCTAGGAGTGCTGTTGGAATTTTGAATAGAGTACTACTAGCACCAGTACTAAGGCTTATATAGTACCACGAATACTTTATTTACATTGTGCAAAGCCTCACTGGCTCCAGAGGTGTCTGCTTCTAGGTACATTGTGGCCAAGCATCGGTTGGTTTAATACCTTTTTATGGCTCCTCCCTTCTACTCCCTCACTAACCACTAGTATTTGATGCCAGCTACACAACCCCTTCCCCGAAGAATATACACAGCTCTATGTATTCATCTCGTTGACCATTCACAACACAATGGCAGCCTTCAGTCCAATCCCCGCCTACGTGATAGGCACCCTCTGTCTAGCGCTGGGCATCAACGGCCTTTCCCGTCCGTCAGACGAGTACAAGCGCTTCGGACTGCCGCTTGAGAAATCCACTACAGGCCATCGGCGCACAATCCCAACTTCCGGCTCGGTATCCCCACTCATGTATCTCAAGGGAATCCGCGAGGTAACTTACGGGCTTGCGTTGCTTGCAATGCAGTATCAGCGCCAGGAGGTCGCTATCACAACTCTTGTGGCTATATTTTCACTCGCTGGACTTGGGGATGGATTGGTTGTCTGGTTTTTTGGAGGCGATGAATTGAAAAAGAAGGCATTTGGGCATTGGGTGACGTTTGTTGGATTCACGGGCTGGTCATGGTGGAGGGCGGCGTATGTGTGAAATTCAAGTGAGGGATGGGATATGAGGTGTCCTTGCTTTGATAACATGTTTTGATGTATTGGTATGCGGCTTTTGGTCTGGGCTAGGATAAATGGGGTTTGGAAATGTGTGTGTGCTAGTGAGTGAATGTACAATACTGCCAACACCCGCACACCAATGTGCACACGACCACTCTACCCTTCCCAAGGATATACTCTATACAGGTTTAAAAGGAACACCAAAGTTCAGAAACAGAAAGGGACAAAAAAGAGAAGAAGTAAAAAAGAAAAAAGAGCTACACCCAATCACACCCCCTCCCACCTTTCAAAATCCCCAGCATCCAACCCAAACATATCCAACATCCTCCCCACACTCTGCGCAACAATATCATCCACGCTCTTCGGCTTAGTATAAAAGGCCGGCATGAGCGGAAAGATGACCGCCCCGTTACGTGCTAGACCTAACATATTCTCCAGATGAATGCAACTAAGTGGCGTCTCCCGCACGACCAATACAAGTTTCCTCTTCTCCTTCAACGTTACATCGGACACTCTGCAGATCAAGTCGTCGGCGAATCCCGTGCGCACGGCGCTGAGCGTCCTCATACTACACGGCACGATGATCATCCCGTCTGTCTGAAACGATCCGCTCGATATGGCCGCTGCTGCGTCGTTCACAGCGTAGGACCGGGTAGCGAGGGCACGCACATCGTTGGCTGTGTACTTGGTTTCGTATTTGATTGTTTCGATCGCCCAGCGGCTGATAACTAGATGTGTTTCGACGTTCATTTCTTGGAGGCGTTCTAGGAGGCGGATTCCCAGGACTGCCCCCGTTGCTCCTGTCATTGCGACGATAATTCGCATTGGACGTGTTGGTGGGGTTGGGTTTGATATTGTTGTAGCTGGCTCTTTGCTATCCCATTTTTGGGGGAGAGGAGGTATGCGTAGATTAGGGAAACGGTGTGTCAGATAGAGAAGGCTCCCTACGAGGACGATGATAGCACTACCAATCCAGCCCATTCTGGCACCCTGGCTGAAATTCGGGTTTGAGATGGACAGCAAAGGGGAGGGGTCTTATACTATCCTGTTGCACAGATATGTACGTTATAAAGGTAGAACGGGGCTGGCCTGTTACCATCTTCCACGATATTAAGCTATCTATGCTTTTAGAAAGATGTCCCGCATGCTCAGGTTTAATTTATTTTCAATGCCGCGATATCCAGGAAAGGCCCCAACTTAATAATTGGAGAAAGTATAATGTTCCTGCTAATGACGACATTCAACAGTTCTTGCAGCAAGACCTTTTCTGTAATAACAAGTCATGTACATTCTCAATCTACCGGTTTCACGGCAAATGTGGAGTTGACGTGGCGCACCACGGATCTCCAATTTGGAGAAATCCCGGGGTATGCTTCGCATGTATATGGACTATGCAAAAATAACATCACGCACGTCATAGCTCTCGTAGGGGTAAACAATTTGATTTAAGATGGATGGATGACGACCTTATGCTTTCAGATAGTGAGATGGTCTAAATTTGTCGAATAGTCTTATACTTGATCCCGTGCGTGCGAACCCTTTCAAGCAAGATGGACCCCAACGCTGCCGCAAAAGACTTTCGTCGTTTCATTCAAGAGCTGGACGATGAAGGTGAAATCCTAACAATCACAAAAGAAGTCGACCCCCACCTGGAGGTCGCAGCCATCGTGCGAAAAGTGCACGAAACAGGAGAACAATGCCCGTTGTTCACAAACCCTAAAGGACGTAAACATAATGGGCTGTTTCGCATTCTTGGGGCTCCTGTGGGGGTCAGCAAGCGTCCTGGAATGCAGCTTTGCCGGCTGGCCAAGTCAATCGGACTTCCATCGTCTGCAACGGGTCACGATATTATCGCGAAAATCAATGAGGCCAAATCGAAGCCTCCAGTTCCTTGTCGAAAACTCGAGTCGGGCCCCGTCAAAGACTACATCATCCGTGGTGATGATATAGACTTGACTCAGCTACCTGCCCCGCTTTTGCATGAGCATGATGGGGGGAAATACATCGAAACATTTGGTATGCATGTCGTACAGAGCCCTGACGGGAAATGGACAAATTGGTCCATCAGTAGGGGCATGGTTCATGGAAAGCGTGAGCTGGTTGGCTTGGTGATCCCAAAGCAGGACATCGGAGCAATATGGAATATGTGGAAGGAGAAGGGAGAAGGCATGCCGTGGGCCTTGTGTTTTGGAGTGCCGCCTGCGGCCATCCTGGTCGGCGGCATGCCAATCCCCAAGTGGACCAACGAGCCTGAGTTCATCGGTGCCTTGACCGGCGCTCCGGTTGACGTTGTCAAGTGCGAAACAAACGACCTCTGGATTCCAGCAAATGCGGAGATTGTCCTCGAGGGGTTAGTTTCAATTAGCGAGACTGCTCCAGAGGGCCCCATGGTTGAATATAATGGCATGGTTTACCCCGGGCACACAACCCAATGCCCTATCTTCAAGGTCAATACCATCACTTACCGACATGATCCCATCCTGCCCATCTGCGTCGCGGGCCGGGCTCCAGATGAGAATTCCACCATTTGGAGCATATCACAAGCTGCAGAGGTCCTGAATATTTGCCAGAAAGCCGGCCTCCCCATCAAAATGGTTTGGTGTCCATTTGAATCACATTGCTTGTGGTTTGTTGTCCAAGTAGATCGCTCGAATCTTGTGGAAATGCGCACGAATATGGAGGAATTTTGCCGCAGAGTAGGCCACACCGTGTTCGGTTCCAAACCAGGGTGGTTTATACCAAAGATCTTCCTAGTTGGCGATGATATTGATCCAACCAATCTCTCCGATGTGATCTGGGTTGAAGCAACACGCTGTGAGCCGGGCAGGCATGAGTTTGTTTTCACTGAATATTCTAACATTCCACTTATACCCTATGTGACCTATGGGTTGCCATCCAAGACCGGAACGAATGGGAAAGTCGTCAAATGCTGTATGCTGCCCGGTGAATTTACAGAAGAATCGCTACCGTGGAAAGAAGGATCTTTCCAGGGTTCCTACCCGGAGGACGTTAGACGAACTGTTCTTGAAAATTGGACTGCATATGGATTTCAGCCTCTCTAATTTGTCACACAACTGATTCTGAAGATTTACGCATGCTAGTCGTATTCTCGTTTGTCATGATAGCAAGTTTCAGATACATACCATCGCATTACGTTTCACCTGAACTCCAAGCCAGAACATCCCATCCAAAAAGTAGAATATGTACACTGTAGCAAAAAAGAAACAGAACACATGGCCTATCACCTCCAAGCACCTATGCCAGGGAACCCACCGCGCCCTACACTAGAACTTGCCGCCTGTATAGCCTTCTTTTTCCCCAGGGAACCCTCTTGACTCCGCACACTAGCAACGATCTTATCGATATTTGTCTCAACAACAACGCCACCGACAATCATCTCACTGAGCACAGCATGCATCGTCTCGTAGCCGAAGATGAGATCAAGCTCACATACATTCTCGAACATGCGATCCAAAGCCTCAACAAAGACTTGGATGAGATCGATAAGCGCAAGAGGGGATTCGGTAGATGTTGAGATCATGATGAAGGAAAGAGTTGCATATGTCCGGTAGGTTACTTGTGTCGGGGCATCGGATGGGCCGCTGGAACTAGCACCCTGTGAAAGCAATGGAGGTAAAGGTAGGAAGTTGCAAGCGCTTGGTGGGCGCTGAGCAACCAGAGCGTAGATCTGTTGTATAAGGGATTGTTTCGTTTGCGTGTCCTGTTTTCGAAATAATTAATTATATGAGCTGGCTTGTATGGTGAAGGGCGTGTAGGTATGGCTAAATAACTTACAATCTGGGTGTAAAACTTGCTCAGCCGTGGCTGTCCATTATTATTGAAAACGAGGACGGCGCTGATCATTTTGACCTTCTGTATGAATAGCGTGTCTCAGAATTGACAGCACAGATGGGAAATAGGAAACTGAAGGAGGGAAAATGTCGGAGAAAAGAAGTTGCGATATCAGTTGAAGCTATTGTATTGTAGTTCTCTTATCGGACTGAAATCCGTGGGGTGACATTCTTGAATCTCGGCAGACATTCCTTTTTCAGTTCCGTCAGAAGACTTCCTTATCCGGGAATTTATCTGGAGAAGCTCCCAATCCGTGATGCTTTTCATACTTTCCTGACTCTCCACGTATCACTCACATGAGAGCGAAGCCGATAATCTCGTTATGAAGCACCCATTATACATATGCACGGCTTGCTCGCGTCAACGAGCCCCATGCACTCCTTCCCGACGAGCGCTTTCAACCGCCATCGCACCAAATACTCCCTCCAGCCCGAATAAAATCCCTCTCCGCGACTTAACTCCTGCACAGATCTCCTGCTACTGGGATACGAAAGTGCCCAATGAGGCCGAACTAGCCTACGCCGACAAATTCTTCGCCCCTTCCCGCCATTCCCCTGTCAAAATATGGTCCGCTAGCAAATTCCGCACCACGCCTATGGCATCAGTAGAGCCCGAAGTTGCCTTCCTTGGTCGCTCGAACGTCGGGAAAAGCTCGTTATTGAATGCAATAATGGGCAAGAAGATATGCTGGACCTCTTCAAAACCAGGCAGAACGCGGGAGATGAATGCGTTCGGAATCGGAGGTACGAAAGGTGGCGAGTCCAAAATTGTTCTGCTGGATATGCCGGGATACGGGAAGGCGAGTAGAGCAGAATGGGGTACTGAAATCATGAAGTACCTTCAGGGCAGAAGACAGTGAGTGCATCATCATCACTGAACCCCGTGTTTGTTTATTATAGCTGACTAACAAACGATCCTAGACTTCGACGAGCTTTTCTTCTTATAGACAGCTTACATGGTCTTAAAAGGCAAGACAAGGACATCCTCATGCTTTTCCGAAGATATGCCATTCCACACCAGGTCGTCATCTCGAAAGTTGATAAGGTTCTGGCCAAGAAAAAGAGTCAGGTAAAGAGCGGAGCATCTGCGGCAAATGTCGCCGCACTACACAATATGTTGCAAGGTTATAAACCAATTGTCCAACCCGCTGGCCGATCAGAGGGTCCTGGCGCCTTAGGTGAGATCCTGACTTGCAGTGCAGAGGCTTCCATTAGCCCAGGTAAATCGTTAGGAATCAGCGCCGTCCGCTGGGCTATTTTATCGGCTGCCGGATTTGATGAGAATATGAAAGCGCAACCTGTGCCTACCGGGTCGTCGGTTGCTAACATATCCACAGTTGCCTCTTAGCTTGAATCCAGGAAGCATCATTGTTGATAAGCCGTCAGCTGATAATCACAAAGCTTACTTGGGGTACAACATCCGTCGCTTACAGGTAAATCATACCTACGTGGCCATGTCAAGGCTTGCAAGCGATGCCCAGTAACGCCCAAGGGGGTGCCAGTATCAGGTTTTAATCAGCCGGCCATGGTCTTGTTCGCAATCTCCAGCGGATCTTCCTACCTATTAGCTAAAAATTTCCGAAGGGGGCTTTGTTTGCCCTGAAATCACCATCGAACCTGGACTAATAAGCGGCTGTGTCCAGTCATTAAATTTTGTTAAATAACCATGGATGGATATATCAGAGCTAATTACAGTGAAGGGACAACCTTTCAAGGGGCTAACTCGAGTATTTACACTACTCCTCAGGCTTCTACTTATTCTCGAAGCAAACCTCCAACACAGCGTATAGAAACAGTTATACCACAATAGTACTATCGGAATGACCATTTGATTCTGTTATCGAACGCTCGATAAAAAAAGAAGTCAATTATATGTGTTCTATAAAACTTGATTATCAAAACATACGGAAGAATCTGCCATTTGCTCCAGAACAGTTAATACCCTTGACTCTGGATCTCGAATTCAGAGAAATGCATGTGAATATAACAGTCACGAAACATGGCGTCAAAGGGCGTCATGATAGGATATAATGAAGTAAATGGGCAAGGGTCTGATAGATAATCATTTTGGATACCAAACGCCTGTTCGTCATAACTGCATGTCAAAAGTATGCCAACCGCGCTATGCAAAGTGTAAGGAAGATAACAACTCCATGAGATTGGGTATCATTGATGTTTCATGCCTCAACGTCCAGAAAAGAAAAAAATGAAAAAGACCGTCGGCAGCTATATGAATCAGCGCAGGACAATGCCCGGCGTGTAAGTCCCTACCAAGCAGCGAAGTGAGAGTGAGTTCCGGCTGTTATGACGAGTAGTATCAGGTATCAGACAGATCATAGTCTTCGTCGGCGTCACTAACTTCTTGGCCCCACCGATTCACAACTATGCGTTTACCTAACTGATCTTCTGGTACACCATCGCGAGAAGCACCAAAGTCGAGAACCTGCACGGGAAACAAGTCAGCAAGGGGGAAAAGCGCACCTAACAAACTGAGCTTACCTCGATATAAGTCAAACTGTCACGCTGCACTGCAGCAACGCATCTCCGATCATTGAATTTGACCTGCCAAACTCCGCTAAGGTCGGTGAGAAGGTCTCTAACGCACTCCCCAGTCCGTACATCCCACATTTTTAATGTCCTATCAGATCCGGAGATAACTTTCTGGCCATCATGCTGAAAACATGTGATCGCACCTGTATGAGCGCTCAACATGTTTTTACACTGACCAGTTTCCGGATCCCAGATCCTCAGGGTAGAATCAGCAGCTGCCGAGACCAGTCGATCGCATTTCAGGTCAAGCAGCCCGACCAGAGAGGAATGGCCCTCAAGGTTGTACAAAATGGATCCGGTCTCGAGAGACCACACTTTGACCATGTTATCCATAGATCCACTGATACAACGGTTTCTTTTGTGGTCCAGAACCACACTGTAGACTTTCAAGGAGTGGCCTTGGAGTCGGTGAAGAGCTTCCCCGGTGGAAATCTTCCAGACTCTCACCGTGCAGTCGTAACTTCCGCTCACTAGGGTATCGCCGTGCGCAGCAATCGTGCGGACAGAGTGTTGATGACCCGTAAGAACACGAACAAAGTAAGGGCAATCAGTATCGTCGACGTGTGGTCCGTTCTGGTAGTAGACAGGATCAGCCGGTTTAGGAAGCTTCCAGATTCGCAAATTTGAGTCTCGCGAACCAGTAATTATCAAAGGCTCCTTTGGCATCATCTCAAGGGTGCCGTCTGCTTTTTTTCCCACTTCTGCCGGCAAAACGATCTGCAAACACCGCACTGTAGATGTATGACCGTGAAATATCTGGGTGCACCTGGCCCGTTCTATATCCCAGACTCTCACGGATCTGTCGGTCGAACCAGAAACTAAGGTGTTGCCATAGTACTCAAGAGCCCAAACACCACCCTCATGTCCCTCGAGCGTTGCCCTCAGAGCTCCAGTTTTCGTATCGTACACATTGATGTTGGTGTCATCACTACCAGTCAAGACTTTGTCCGTATCAAATTGAAGGCAGGTAACCACATGACGGTCATGAGCACGGAAAGCGATATGCCTTGGTTTGACACTTGGTTTCATCCAACCATTATGGATTGAGTGGTACCGCTGGTAAAGAGATTTATAGAGATGCAGTCCTCGCAAAGACGGTAAGCCAATATCTGGATACGGAACGGCTGCTGCTGCTGCATTCGCAGCAGCATAGGGCCCTTCCGCTGCAGTAACTGACTTTCTCCAATCAGATGATTCAGAGTGATCAGTCCCACTAGACGATATTTTCCGCTTCGCGAGTTTACGACTCGAAACACGAGTGTATGCTTTTCTCTTCGGGCGGCGATGCGCAGACAAAGGCCTATCACTAGGCCCCGACAGTGGTTGCATTGAAGGCGAACCGGACTCAGGATCGAGTTTGATTGAAGGAGACGAAAAGCTTAGATCCTTTTCGTAATCGTCGCTCCCGTTAGGAAATTGCCATCCCCAGCCTTCCCTGATTGCACGCTCCAGCTCCCCTTCTGGGAGAACATACCCGTCCCTATCAAAGAGTTCTTTCCAACTTTTTTCATCGGAATTAATGATATGCCTCCATTTTTTTGAGACTTGTGCAGCACGGCACATTGTCTGGACGTCAAAATATTTCACAATGTTCAGACTTAATTCAAGGGGTAGAAGAGCCAAGAAATCACATTTCAAGGCCGGATTCACCACGTCGGCAACGAAATGCAAAGTCGGCTTAGGACACCGCCTTAGAAGCTGATACATCAGGTAGGTTTTCAACCCTTCAGGAACAGAGTCAAAGAAGTCTATAACACTAGGAATATCCATTAACGATGTCGGCTGCAGCGTATCCGAGATTGTAGGCAGACTGGTAGGTCTGGAGCGATACGATGAGGTGGCTCTCGCGTCTTCTGTACGTAATGAGCTTACAAGGCGGTGATCATGGTTATCGAGGCTAGAATCCGTATCGACTTCGGGCTCCTCAGCCGATTCAAAGGAAGAGTCGGCATTCATTGCATTCATCGCAGCGACGGGAGACAAGCTAGGACTGGGTAGACACATATCCTGGGCTGCAGCACCACCAAAATTGGGCAATTGTGACGTCGAACCCAAAGCACTTTGCTGGGGTATCTCCTGGGATGTTTCGTATCCAGTATCTTGACTCGTAGAAGTTCCCGATTCATCTTCCGGTCCATCTGTCCCTACATCTTGAGACAGTGTTGGCCTGCTTTGATCGCTCTCCGAGCGAGCTAAGCGCCTGCTCCTTTCAGAAACAACCGTTCTGGATTCTAACTGTTCTTTCCTGGTAGTGGGAGCTCTTAAGCTCTCTTGGGACTCAACCCCAGAAGACAAAGGCGAGCGTAGTAGCGTTTCCCTGCGAGAGACATTCGCGCTATGAATCCTCCTCCGAGAAAGTACACTTTCGCCGGCGCTGTAACTGTTGCTTTCCGTTTCAGGAGTCGCCAAACCAGCCACCACAGGATGTATTGCTGTAGAGCCATGCGAACGAGTTGGGCGGATCGAATGTTCTGATGGAATTCTGGCAGGGTGGGGGCGCAAGGAGCCCTGACGGGTTTCTGAGACCGCTAGTGGACGACGCTGCTTGGTGCTCGACGGTTGATTGGATGATTGAGTAAATCCTCTGGGAGGAGCGAATCGACGGGGAAGCTGGGTGTCGTCAGAGCAGATTGAAGTCACGGACCGGACCAGGCCGTTGGAAGCTTTCAACGCATCGTCCTTCTCTCTCAACTAAAAACGTACATTAGTAAAGATCGGGCGGTAAGAAGGATAGCCGAACAGGGACCATCGCTAGATTAGGAAACATACCTCATTGACAGCGCTTGCAGTATCCTCGGGTTCGTTGAAAATAACGGACTGGCCTCCGATCTCGAATTTAACGTTCCTTAGTGACGAAGGGGTAGGAGACGATGCCAGAGGGTACAGTTTTGGGTCAAGTTCTCGCGTTGCGCGGGGCGGCTTTATGAATAGCGGAGGGAAAGTAGTAGTCGTGGTAGTCGTGGTAGTGACAACCGTAGTTCGAGTGGCTGGGGCAAACGAAAATTGGCCGATAGAGCCAGTATTTGCCACACTATCAAGCCTGCTGTTGTTGTCTTGATCGTCCATAATTTACGGCCGGGCGCGAAGATATCGAGGGTCCAGTAAACTATGTCAAGATAGTGCATGGAAGACGCGTCTCCTGGTGCTGATAAGGGCTCCACTTAAACGACGTTGGTGGTTACAGGGTCATCAAGGTACTACCGCTTTTCATTCACAATCAATAACAACAAAGCGAAGACAGTCGGTTGCTATCAAAAAAGCCGACAACGCTCGAGCAGGGTAACAATCCGGTATTATCGACGGCGGTCAGCACGGTACATTCAGGCTTGCAAGGACCATCTGTCTGCTCTGACTGCCGAAAGGGTAGAAGTGATGATTAAAACACGGCCATAAGAGCGGCGTGTACTTGATAAGTAAACGGGAATAGAGGAGATAGAGAAAAGTGGGTGAAGGGAAAAAGGACAGCCGTGGCGTGTTCTGCTGACAAGGAGGTGGTGGCGTGGAGAGAGGTGGAGGTGGTTGGTCGTGCCTCCTCCGATGGTTGTCAGGCTTTAGTTTTTCAGTGTATTAGATCCCGTTAGTTACCCAAGGGAGACACTAAGGCGGATTAGCCCGATTGGGCGGACTCCCGAGGCTCTCTCACTCTTTCCCCCCGCAGGGACTTTGTCAAAGCACAATAATCGGTATTTATAAAACTGACCCCTTCTAATATAAAATCGATAATAGATTGACCTATGTATGATTTAGATACATCAGACATAGCACTAAGGTAACGAGTTTATCTTCTGTACATTATACCCGATTCTAAGTATATGGATGATTCTGCTTTTTTGCTTGGGCGGTGCGCTGGTCTGTGGTAAACGTAGTACCATACATAAGATATATGTATATTTGTTGCTGAGACTAAGTGATTTTCCTGTTTGAACAGCAGTTTCACCCCTATCTTTAACCACCAATGTGAGTTTCATTGTTACCCATTCACTCCTCTGCCCAAGGTGTCCTTTCCTTTGTCCTTTCCCTTGTCCTTTCCCTTGTCCTTTCCCCCCTCCTCCAAGGGTTATGCTCAGAGGACTCTAGGTGGAATCCCAAAAATGCTACACACTTCTTAACCTAGGGACCACCGGGTACGAAATTCCTCATACATATTCAATACGACCCAGGAGTTGGTTCTACTAAAGCCTCTGACTACCTACAAAGTGATAAAGAACAAGCTTCTCTGACTAGCCTTGTAAAGAGGGTGGATGAAGCAAAGAATGGCAATAATAGTGGGCCCTAGAAATGGGCCCCACTTGTATTTCTTACCAGAAACCAGGGGTAAAAAGAAGATATAGGGATGCGAAGCAGGGTGATAGGGTTAAGCAACAGCCATCTGATCAGATTGGAAAGAGGAAGATCTGGTGTTTCTGTAGGAATAATACCACGGACAATGTTCTAGATGGTGCTGGTTGGGGTTTGATACTATCGTGTCCATGGGATTACAAAAAAGAACGCTATACCTGTTCCAGTAATTCAATGTTTGATCGTGGATACACCTAATCCTACTAGTACATTGAGTTGATATCAATCACAACTTGATAGGTGGATCGTATAGAGTGCTGTACACAGTACTCCGTATGTACGAGTCCTCTAAAAGGTATCGTTCGCAAGATGGTTCAGGGCGCCCATACCTATACCCTTGAGAAATCCCGAGGTATTTGTTATCGGTAGTAAATGTGACAGCGGAGCAAAACGAAATAGATAGATCTTTTCAATCTTGTAACATAACCAAAGACTATTGCGGGGAAGAGAGTTCAGGATTCCAATTGATGGAAGGGTTCATTTAGAGTACCATGGAAAATTTGCCAGTTTGCTGTTTCAGCCGGTGTCCCCAAGGTAGAGATGTACCGTACTTTGCCCTTCGGTCGCGCGTCCGCCGTCAAGTCATTCAAGTCGTTCGTTAATGCATTCGCTAGTCCCCCGATCCGATAACCGACCGTTTCTATATTTAGGCCACATAGTATACTTCATGTAGTCTTTAGTGACCGTGGAGCTGTTGCATACGGTATCGCAAATAGATGGAGCGTTTGGTGTAGTTACTTTCGCTCAAGCATTCGCGAATTCCTCGGTGGGTACTCCGCACCACTGTACTGGACATCCCCTCTTTCTGGGTGAGATGCGAGACCAGAAACGGTATTTATGATACAGTACAAGGTGAACATACCTACTTACATCCATACATACCTTAGTCACGGGATTTGACTTAAATGGTAAATGAACATTATAGATTTTTCAACTTCACCTCCTGCGACACTAACTCTTACCTCTGTCCATTTACTGAGCAGAATGCGTCAAGGGACTCAGTATTCAGGTTAAATCTAGGCATAGGATAGGAAAAAGTAGATTATGGTTCTTAATTATACATTATGGTGAGAAAAACTAAACCGAAACAGCCCAAGACAGGAAACACCCGGAGCTTCCCGTGACCTTAAACCTCTATTCAACATATGTCGTCAATCTGACTTCGGACCTATACTAGACAACTGAGTGTACAGTTTAGCACCGCGCTCATTGTCCCAACTCCCTTCTCTATGTGGGATCGCCTATCATGGCTCGCATCAAGTTTACTGAGCCTGTATCGGCAGCTCAGCTACAGTCTTCTCGGGTCCTTCTCGAAAAGAAAAGAGGGAATTCTATCCAGAGGAAGACCCAGACTGAAGTTGAGAATCCTGCCAAGTCTATGATTTCTGAGAGCTTATGGCTGAAGCAACAACAAAGCTTAGAGATGGTACAAATTATGCTTCACGTATCGGTTAGTGTTTCCTATCCGGATTAGTTTGAATACCTTATGCTCACCAGAATAAATGGACAGTTTGGGACATTATTTTATCTTCGGTGCGTGTCGCCACTCGTGGTTTTCCCCATCCCAGCTCAATTGCCATTCTTATACCTGCACCATAGGGAGTTCTTACCACTTCCCTGCTTTGACGATCGAGACCTGAAGGAGACCCAACGAGAAAACAAATACTCATACCAAGAATTCCTCGGCTCAAAACTGCACTCTGAGAATAATGGAGATGGCCCCGACGTTGCTTTTGGTAATGGGAAGAGAGGCCAGCCACTCAAGGTTATAATACGCGGCAGCGATCCCAAGGCAGACATGATACTTGATGTTCTGGTACGATTAGTTGATCTCGCCCTACCTTTCCTGCCCTCTCCTGGAATTCCATCTTCGTTTATCCTTTCAGTGTATGCTGCCACTGACTGAATGTAGGAAAACGGCATTTTCGACGCTTTGCGAAGGAATATTCTAGAAGCCATTCAATTAACTATTCTTGTCGACAAGGATACCCCAGAAAACGTCTTGGAGTCCTACACATTCTCATTCAAATATGCGGGCCCCCCCGGCAACGTAGACAGTCGTTTGGAGAGCTTGTCAATAGACCCTGTGGGTTGTGTGGCTGACATGAGATCCGCACAATCAGCTAGGGTAGGGTTAGAAACGATAGTTAGGCGTTTGATAACACTTAGCACCTTTCTCCCTATCTTGCCAAGTATGGAAACCCTCTCCGAGGACCTTACTATGGTGGACAGTACTCTAACTTGGTACAGACAAGCGAAACCTTGGGGTTCATTTGTTCTACACTGAAGACTGCCCCTCTGATTACGAGCCCCCGGGGTTCACCACGGCAAACAAGGATACGATAAGATTTCCGTTCAATGAAAACTGGAGAAAGGAGTCACAGTTATGCGGGACAATGAACAGTGGATGGCATACGTGAGTATGCCCCGCCCTGTTAAACTACCCCTACCTAACCAGAAAAGTGTTGGGCTTAGGGTAACATCTCTGAAATGGACAGGGCCAGACCCCGAAGGATCGGAAGCTCTGCCCACGGTCCCTGCACAGATTGAGTACAATGATGAGGTTCCAAGGTCGGACGATATTGGATTTATTGATAAACCGAGTACTCTGCATCAATCCAAAGCGGGAAGTGGTGCTGGCCCCAATGATCAATTGGATGTGGATCAATCATCAACGTGTCATGATGCTAGTGGCTTTCAAGAGGCAACCCAAGATATCGCGGACAGACATAAACTGCAGAATATGATGCTAGTGGGTGCTCCTGCAGAACGCCAGCCGGAAAGCAACTTAGAACACAATAACTAATCTAAGCAGACCCAGGGAACATCCTCTTACTCTGATAGTGACCTTATCCCCACACAGCCAATCAATACCGACATTGCGATCGGAAGGAACCATAATTCTGCTGTACAGTCGACTATAAAGTGGTACCTGTCCGAGAGAAGAACCGCAGATATTAGAGAACATGCGCGCTTGCAGAAATCAGGCCCCGATTATCATCCTAAGGGCCATATTCAGGGCCTGGTTAGATGCCAGTGTGGGTGGAATGGTGAGGAAATAGGAATGGTACGTTTATAGGGACGTTGAAAGATTAAGCGCTAATGTTGTCAGATGGAATGCGCCTTCTGCCACACGCGCCAGCACCGGCTGTGCTATGGGCACGAAGGGCCGAATGACCCGAGGGCTCCTAACATCCATGCTTGTTACCAGTGCTTATTGGAGCCGAATGAGACTCAGTTGCTCCAGGAGATGAACACCTTAGTGCTTCTGAGAAGGGCTCTTCGAATCATATTAGATGAGGGGTTTCCACATAAGACTACAGATTTTACACAAAAGCTTCGTAAGACGGCCAAGCAAGTTTGTTCTGAGGATAAACTAACCATCACCAGACTGTAACGGCCAAACTATCATCCAAATAACCGAGATCTTGAAGAAGCAGGGATACCTTCAGCCTACCCCAGGCTATAAAATGAAAGGGTTTGCCCGACGGGGTTTGCCGAAGTACAGCCTATCGCAATCAGAAAATGTCCGTCAAAGATTGACGAGGGAGGTTTTCCACCCCATGGTGAAGATAAAACATCATGTGAGTATTGTAGCTGTCTGATGATTCTAAGAAAAGATAATGACAATCATCACAGTACGTCCCAAAGAACCCAGACGATCCCAACATCATTGATCAAAACCACACTAGCCAAAGCCTTGACCTCAGTGACCAGGTTACTCACCAAGCTGATGTGTCCGTCGGCGGACATAGGCTGAGTAATCATGAAACCCAAAGGTACATCGGGGGTCTGCCGGAGCTAATGGGAAAGAGTCCAAATCATAAGAGAAAGCCATTAGCGGACAGTGATAAAATGGAAAGCTATGAATCCGATGATCTCGATAAGGGTGACAGAGCTGCGGCGGAGCAGCTACACAACAGCTTCCTATCTGAGAGCATGAACCCAACGGCCAAGGCATCGAGGCGGTCGACACCGAGTGATCATGGTCCTCGACGGAGCAGCAGAAAAAGACGTAAAATAAGTAACTACTCGAAGCTTATCGACGTTGGAGCCGAGACGAGCGATCATGAGAGCACCTAAACCGGACACGGCCGTTTCTGAATGCACACGGAGGCAATGTTGGCATGGTTATCATGTCGACTAAAACAGCTGAGAAGATGGGGTCTGGTGCGGGGGATAAAGGGAGAAAGAGGAAGAGAAGAAAAGCAAGAATATGAACAAGATGTTTCAAAGGAGGTCTCGCAGAAACCTAATGGTTATTCTAGTTTTGAGCTGTTGCGAAGCAACTGAGTTTCATAGCTGAGCGCTTTGTGTCAGTAATTAGGTCGCACAAGCAATGTGCTAAAGTTGAATCTGGATGGATAGTACTATAAAAGATCCCGTTACTACTGAAACAAGTAGTCTTGAAGTGCTACCTAGTATATAAATAGTAGGCCGGGATCAAACATCTAGTGTTTCTACACTTCTCCGCTACACATGTATGACTGATACAGGATCCCTTTGACCCGAGAGTAGATACCACTAGATGGGTCGTCGTAGATCCTTAATAGCACCTAAGAAGATGTTGATAAGTTCGGGAAAACAAGACTAGATACGGTGAAATGTTGAGATCTCGATCCACTTCAAGAGACGCTTCGACTTGGATTAGCAACTGCCCCTTGCAGCACACGGAGCAAATCAAGAGCTCGATCGGGGAATTCTGATGGGGACCTCGTCAAATTTGAAATCACGATGAGGGGCGGGAAAAGGCCTGAGCTCTGCTGATCCACGTCTGCAGTTGTATTTACTCCGTTTTGCGGGCTGTACTCCGTAATTGATTGATGGATTGATGCTAAGTTTGGAGTGCCCCCAAGTGGACGGGTGGGCTCCTTAGGGGATCCGAGCCCTGCTGGACACTTTAACCAAAATCTCATATATTGTACAGAATAAGAGTAGAGAAAATTGTAGAGATTAGCGTAATAAGAATAGGAAAAAGGGAGGTAAAATCAATGTAAAATCAAGGCATCACTGCGACTGGCAGTTACGAGCGGGGGGTCCATTATTTCGAGTGTTTGAAGGTTCCAATACATTGGGATCAGACCGTGGTTGAATTTGGTATAGCTGAAATTTTATTTTTGGAGATGGAGATATCTGACACTGCCGAGTCGAATGTGATCTCCCGTCACAGTCTGGTTGGTAGCGACTCTTTTTGGTCGTCTCAAAGAGCTCCCCCGCGTGGGGAGAGTTGGCATTGCGGTAGACCGTCGGTCGAAAATGCATAGACACGGTGCTTCTGCTTTTATTCATGTGCCCCCCTTATATCCATTGTCGACTTTGCAGACTGCCTACTAAGTGTTTAGGTGAAACACTAGTAATTTGTCATTTCTGGTCGATCCCCTATTTTCGCCCTGCGGAGAACCCAATTGATCCCAGCAAGCCGGATATACAGAGTGCCAGTGGCTTGGCAGATCTGCACTATGCAGATAGATCATAGGTAGGACAGACCCTTGATGCACGTAATCGGTGAACAGCGAGTCCTGGACCTCAGATTTTAGGGTAGGGAAAGTCAGCAGCAAAAGCTATCCAAACTATCGCGAGATCTCCGGAAGGCTTGGAGAGCATCTCATGTGATCTGTATTAATAACGGATTGTAGGCTGTAAGCAAATGTGGTACGGGATAAACTTTACGAGCTTCATACCTTGAAAGCTCGATGCATGCAAGATGGTCTTCAATGCCGAAAGGCATTTCTGTGGAGCACGGGGGTTTGGACCACTGCTCTATTGCTAGTCTGAAACCACTCATAATTGAGCACGCTCATGACAGGGCAAAATGCGATTTATTATAGCCATGGAACGATAATCAATAGGCTTGCTACTATTGACGACGATCTATCACCCTTGGGCAAGATATGGTTGCCCTTTTCAAGGTTGAGCATAAAACATATTTTCGGCCCTAAGACCTAACTATTTGATCCTACCCCTAATACATAGTATAGTGTAGATAGCCGTGCGAGTACCGGTGGGGAATAGAGAGGTTCGGATGATAAATCGTATTGTTTCTAATTAGTGTAGGACGAGGTACTCGATATACCCCCGTGGCATGGTGATCACTGTTAGAAACCTTTCCCCGTCGGAGATGGGACTATTGAATGATGAACCTTCTGTCTCCACCCGTACAATGCCTGAGAGTGGTATTGGCGAGAGGGAAGGTGATCAGCGCCGAGTATACTCCCCATCGTGGAACGAACAGACGGCAGAGGCCGCGGAGCGGCTGAGGAAAGGTTAAGGGTATTCCAGAGTAGTTCGGGATCGAGCCTTGGATCGAGTGGTTGTCAGAACGGGTGGAGAACGGCAGTGTTCCTAGGCAAAGCCCCTTAAAGGGGGGTATTGTGTAAAAAGCATACGCAATCCATTGCTCTGTTGTATCAAGGAAGGATAATGAGGCCGTTTAAAAATAAAACACAACTCTATTCAGAGTGAATTGATTATGATCAGTGTGCCTGTTACTTACTTTGTATGCATGTAGTATGTACAGCACATACATACTTCAACGGAGTGAGTGAGTGGTAGCTGCACGTGCCCGCCTCGTGTGCTGAATTTCCTTCATGCCGCGGAAGATTCAATCGAACATAGACGGTAATTCTCCTAGAGGGATTCTCAAGGATGATATCTAGAAGAGGAAGAAGAGCAGCACAATGTCATTGATCTAACCTCATTGAAACTTACTAAAGGTGTCAATTATATTAATTGATGTTGGAGGATTATTCAAATGATGATCTTTCCATGTATGTAATACATCCATACATGAAGTAACTACTAGAAAAGTAACTTATGTATGGTAGGAACTTGCCGCCTCCCCTGAGCGCCATACTTTTAGCCTTTTTGTAATGGAAACAAAAAATACACACGTCACCTCAACTCTTAAGCCTTTTGCGTGGTGGTGGTACGATTGAACGGTGGTCGCCTAGTACTGTACTCTGTTTCTGGCTGGTCCACCGCACTAAACCATTGCGAACCACTCGACAATCCGATGGAACCATGGAATGGTGCCTGTCGATAATTACTGTTATTGTAAGTACTAAAACAAGCACTATTGAGCTATGTACTCCATACTCCGTACTCCGTACTACTATGGACACCAAATTTAAGTTGGCCACTGTTCGATGGAGCTTATTCTGTGGCAGGTGCATTCTTCTTATTCGGCGTTTATTGGTATTGACCTCTACTCCACCACTTACATAGAGTGTTTCTGAAGGGCACGTACTCAATGGAGACCACCAGAATACGTGGATCTCCCTACTTTCCGGTTCTCCATAATAAATCGCGCGTAAGTGAGTTGCTGGTCCATGCGTGCTGTTAGATTGCCTGGGGGCTCTTTTTTTTTAATTTTCTAATTTTTTTTATCCTCTCGCAACCCCTTAAAGCTAAGATTAATTTACTAGTATTCAAACTCCCAAATCCTTTCCCACTATCGTCACATATCTAACTGTAATAACAGCTAATAGTGCCTAATAAATATCATAGGCCCTCTCGGGCGGATTCCTAGTTTCCGCTCAATTCCTTACCCATTTGCTGTGCCTCGTCATTAAAAAATCCCCGTGACCCGCTTCCTCCAACAACATTTGACGCTTCCCTCTCCCTAATCTTTACCCTGGTCAAATCCTCCCTACTTGTTTGACCCCTGTTCTCGGATCTCCTCACCTCGAGGACCTCAATTTCTCCAGATTGAACCCTGTAACGCTGTCTTCGAGTAGTGGAGGCCAGAAAATGGGAAGCTCCTCGTGATCAAATCGAACATCTCACCGACTCACTGTGGGGAAGGACACTAATTTGGGGTTGAAAACCGCAAAATAAAAGCCCAAACCAGGACAAAGGAAGGGAAAATAAGATTAAAGATAACAAAAAAAGAATTCATAACTACGTCAACTGGCATCTGAGACGAATTGGGCTACACAGAACCTCACGTCCTTTACAACGCAACATTAGAACTCTTCGTTCAGCGATAGCTACAGTGGCCTCCACCGTTCTCGAAACAACCGAAGGGAAGATACGATTCAAAGAGAGAACCCAGGTGATTAAAGCTATAAGATGTCTCAGCAGACCATGACCATACCAATGAGAACATCAAGTGTGAACGCTGTGCCGAGCGGGAGGCATTTGTCAAGTGGTAGTCAAGAAAATTTGAGATGCGAGAAAGCATCAAAAGCTCAAAAGATATTGGGGACGACCAATATTCCCATCACGCAAGATCAACACCGGCGGGATGATAGAAAAGCGCGAGGAACAAGCTTCATGAGAGCCCCAGAAATCAAGTCGAAGAAAAGCGGCGGGTTTGCCCCCTTCCCGACTCCCACGCCTGAAGCAAGTTTACCACCACCACACCTCCGTGTTCGAGCATCATCCCCTTTGCTTGGACAAGAGTATCGATCGCAAGATGCTTTACCGCCACCTATTCCTACGCACCCCAAAAGGGTTCAGCAATCCGGCTCCTCGTCTACTTTATTTTCCTATTTCAATTCTCGAACTTCTACCATGGACTCGAATATCACTCGTAATACGACAAAGGATTCCAACGCAACCGAAGATCATAGCTTTCAATTACAGCACAATGCTGAGTCACGCCATAGTTTGAAGCAACCCAAAGGTTCTATGAAGGAGTCGAAACGGAAAATGCGCCCACCCAGAATTGATCTCTCTCTTCTATTTCCGAAGCCACGAGTGGATAATGCTCCCCTTCTGTCGCCGCAGCGCATGGTGAACTCACCTTCTGCAATATCAGTGGCCTCCGAGCATCCCGCAGCCAAACCGAGGAACCCAGATAGCCATGTAACCGCAAAGGAAGTCACGAAATCATCCCCTTCGTTAGGCCTTGAAACGGGCGGTCGTCAAGCCACGGTCAACTCTAGCGAGTCCTCACCGATTTACGAGCCAGGTAACGCAAACTGGCTTGATCCATCACTTGAAAGGACAGTCCGTACCAGTGAGATGGATTTGGCATTGAAAAGGTACAGCCAGTTCCAGAAAGCCTCTCAGCCAACTGGAAATGCTCGATCCAGTCGGTTGCATTTACGGCCACGAAGCCGTGAACAACCACAAGCAAGTGATGCGAAGTCCACAGGGAGTTCTTTGCGAAAGGTCCCGTCCAATAGCTCGGCCGGGGGGTGGAGCAGGGAAACATACCTGTCTCCCAAGTCCTTTTCCCGCCCTTACAATCCTCGTGTTTCTAACTCGTCCAATGCATGGCGCGACGAAACACACGAACCTACCCATAAAAGCTCTATATCGAAGAAGAGCAGTAAAAACACTCTGAAAAATGTGGATCTCAATCAATCGAGCGTACTTTGTCTTTCATCATCAGAGGATGATGATGAGGAGGAGGAGGAGTCAATTACGCATCAACGGGAAGTGGAAAAGAATATGAGAGACAGCGTAACCACTTTTGGCGAATTTGAACCTGAGATATGCACAGCTTCTGCGGCGCACACTACGAAAGGGACATTGAGACAAGTTGAGAGACCTTTCTCTGTTTCTGCTAGCAGTCGTGGGTCCCAGTCTGTTCGACGACAACAACGGTCTATCTTGCGAAACCCATCAATGTCGTCTGCAGAAAAGTCAACCATAGACACGAGGAGTCGATCCCGCCGCTCAAGTGGAGTACCCACGATATCAGAGCCAGATTTCCTCAACACGGATCCGATGATTAGCCAATTACGACACCCTGCTCAAAGAGCACGCAACCAGCAGAACCAGGCGAACCGAAGAAGCCGAGTCATAGCCGTGACGAGGCAAGAAGAGCATCTACTGGAAGCAATGAGGCAGCGGAAAGGCAAAATAACGCCCAGTCTATTCCATGAAACTCGTTACCAGGACCATCTGGAACCTGATAGAAATTCTATGCTGTCGGTGCCTTCGCGGGACTCATTTTATGGGTCCGATATCTCCTTTCTTCGACTTAGTCCTGGACTGCCTTCTAATATGCAACGAATAAACCAAGGTGCAAGCCATTTTGATAAAGACAGTTCCATTTCACAGGGCGTGGTTTCTGATGCAGAACAGAAAACCACTAACTCGAGCGCGTCTCCTCGAGCTAGTTTAATGTACTCGGAAAGTCTTCCATCGCCCGCAACTAGTGGAGCTTCTCCATTGACACCGACTCTTCCTATACATCGCTTTTCACCACTCCCATCACAAAAGCCACCTCCACGCAACCCTCCTCCCGCAATCCCATCGGTCCAGCGACGACACTCGAGGCGACGCACTGATAGTAGCGAGGCTATCGTTTTGGGCGATACGGAGGAACGGAAGGAAGCCGACGATTTCCCGATTTGGGCATTGGGATGGAGCAGCAATGATAGCGCTAATCTCACCGCTGTACACTGAAGGTCCGGCGGTGTTCGGCTCCTTTTACAATACTGCGGGTCCTTAGTGACGTCTTGAACAGAATCACTTGTTCACTATGACTTACTATCAACTTGGCATGCCCGTGACACGTCTCTCGCTTTGCCCCTATTTCTTATGCATTCCATGTTTCTCACTCTTACTTATTGATATCTGCTATCTCCATTGGATACCTACCATTCGCTTATTGAAACATTTCCTTGATCTTACTACTACCAACGATGATTGGCTGCTCAATGCTATTTTTTATACTGTATTTACTCCTGATCATGCCCAATCATGCATAGAAAGAAAGAACAAGAATAGACTAGTTTAGATGATCAAGTCCATTCAAACTTTCACCATGGACGACGATTGTTCGCGACTCAATCTTCTCCACCCAGTTCTTTGATTTTTGCTTATGGATTGGCTAGACTTATCAGATAAAGATAGTAAGTAGTACGTATGTGTGCTTCTACAGCCTGTATGGGGTATTCGGAGTAAAGTTGTCTTCTCATGAAATCGAATTATATTGTATTTCAGCACTTTGTGTGTCTCTATTGATGTCTTCTCTTGTAATGTACATACTCTATCTAGTTCCCGTAAGACACGATAGCAACATCGCATCTTGACTTTTGGAAGTATTATTAGATCTATAACCTTACGTTCGGTCTTTCTATACCTTCGAGATCACACTGTGGTATGTTTATTTTTATACAATCTTCTCTTTGGTGACTTTTCGGAATGACCATATTTTACATTGCCACTCTCCTGGTTTGTTCCTTCCCTTGCATGATGAATTACTTCGCGACAGCTCTCGCATGTACACCGATGTCGAACATGCCTTGATTGATCTAAATCTTGGAGCTTTATGTAATCTGCAACATATCACAAGAGGTTGGAATCGGTGGTCCACTCATAAGTGTCTGGGAAGGAGCTTTACTGAAAGGCGATGTATGAGAAAAGGGAGATAGATGGGATCCATAAAAAGGTCGTGTGAGCTTGATGAATGCTAGATGATGGGCTGGAAGACTTCGGTCCACTAAGGGTCGCGGCATTGATTTTCAGTTAAAGAGGAAGCAGCAGTAGTAGTTCCATGGATGAATGCGTAACTGGATCCAATCTGTTAAAAACTACTCGACTTTCCATGAAACCAAGGAATATGTAGTCGGTTATTGGTAGGTATACTCGGTCCATTTTATGGGAAACTAAAAAATAAAAAAGTCAAATATTAGATGATAAAGTAAGGCAGTTGAGATGTTGCTCGAAAGCTTATCCCTCATATATCTTCGCGAAAGCTCTCCTAGTAGCACGACACCCCCGGGGAGACCTTAGTATGATTGCGCTGGACCTTGAGCAATATCTAGTTGGATATTTATGGTGGCGTTCTTGAAGTGGGCAAGAATTAGGTGTCAACCAACCTAACGGGGTTAAGATAACCACGAATCTGACGTCAGGCGGCCTTCAATGTATCAAAAGAAGGATTGGAATGCTCCATCTTACTCTCGTGCACAACCATGGAATGGCTGAAAAATAAGGGCAAAACTAAACCAACCACTAGAAGGGCCGGGGTCTCCACACCGCCCAAACCAGGTTAAGCGCTGCAACACGTTCAACATTAAATGGAAGAATACGAAGTTAATGCCATAACCCCAGATCATTTCCAAGTTTATTAGTAACAACAGCTCGTAAGCCCTTTCAGCTCAGATCCCCTTTCATCCTCACTTTGTTTCGCTTCTGCGTTTTGTCACTCGCCAACCACCCCCTTACCAACCCCCTCCCCCCCCTTGTTATTCATTGTCTGCTAGACATCGTCACCGCTGGAGTCGAGCTCCACCTCGCCCTGTTTGCGAACGCGCAACGCACCTTATTTACCTCGGTGGTGTGACAACTCCCCTCCTTATAACTTGACGCGCACAAGTCGCATGTAACATCCTCGGCAAATATAATACGAACTGCCCCTGTCGACCAGCCGATAGAATCCTCAGAAAACGGGTCTATAATAATCTGTTACCCGTCCGTGGTGTTAGTGCACCAAGGAACGGACCGAATCTCACCTGGAATATACCGACGGTGTTCAACTTGTCGATATGGGAGAAAGCGCACAACGCCCCTCTTCGGGGCCAGCGCCTGGCTGGAAGAACTTTTCATGGGTTCTGGTAATGTTCTTGGCAGCCCGGCATCAGCAACATCGCCGCGCGACTTGGCTCATTCCTGGCTAACTGTATGTTTTCTCCGGCTGCAGTTAACAGCACATTACACCACATTTGTGCTGGTATGTTGCCCAATCTTTTGAACGTCCTTGCAAGCAGACCATTAATGCAGACTGGTAACTATATAGTTGTTACATTACTCTCGGGTGATGCCATCAACTAATGGCAAACGATATCTCACATCTACCGCGGTCTTTTTTAACGAGGTTGTCAAACTTGCTATCTCCCTTACCATAGCGCTATACGAAGTTTCTAAAACAGCGCCCCCGTCCGTTCCTGCAACGTCCCTTTTCTTCTCCCTCACGGCTGCTGTTTTCTCTGGTGACAGCTGGAAGCTTGCCATCCCGGCCAGCCTCTATACGCTTGCAAACTCGTTACAATACATCGCCCTTTCCAATTTGCAGGCCGCACCTTTCCAGGTGACATATCAGTTAAAACTCATTGCGACTGCTGTTCTTAGTGTGATTATATTGAACAGAAACATCTCACTGCGCAAGTGGGGTTTGATGTTACTCCTGCTAGTGGGTGTCGGCCTCGTGCAGATCCCCATTAACGGTTCTGGTGATGTTTCTCTCCAGGACGAGGCCGCCCATCATGCCTTTCCGCGATCGCTGGAAGAATGGAAAGCTGCTAAGATAGATCGGCCAAATTTGCATAAACGTTCGGCAACATATGAGGGCATCGAGGAGGACATGATGACTGCCTTCCCACGAATGAATGCAGTTGTTGGCCTCCTGGCGACGGTTGGCGCGTGTATTGCATCTAGCCTTGCCGGGGTGTATTTTGAAAAGGTACTAAAGGATAGCGCGAAGTCGACGTCACTTTGGGTCCGCAATGTGCAATTGGCCGTATACTCTATATTCCCCGCACTTTTCATCGGCGTTATATTCTTGGACGGCGAAAAGATTGCTGCCAACGGCTTCTTCGGAGGTTATAACTGGGCTGTCTGGTCTACGGTAATTGTGCAAGCAATTGGAGGAATTGCAACCTCTTTTTGTATTGGCCATGCATACCGAGATACGAAGAATGTCGCTACTGCTACAAGTATCTTCCTTACCACGCTAGGAAGCATCTGGCTATTTGAGTTTGAACTCACTGGTAATGTATGTGTTCACTATTTATTCACTGTACCTCGAAAAGGCCCTCTCCTATCGCATATGTACTAAACGATTCACTCTTAGTTTATCCTTGGGACGTTCTCAGTGCTTGTGGCTACATATCTTTGCGAAGATCCGGGTGGTTCGGCCTCCAGTCCTGTCAAACGCCAGGGGCTCCGTCCGCCACCGATTCACGTCGACCACTACGAGAAAGATTCTAAGAGTGATGACGTCTCGCCTGCTTCACCACCACCAAACGAGTTTTCGATAAAACTCCCCGGGACACCGTTCCTGTCCGATGCTGGCCTGTCGACCTCTAGACCCACTTCACCAGGACATGTTAGGGTCAATGCTGCCCGGACCGCAAGCGGCGGATATTTCGATAAACAGCTACATGATCAGTGATTTGACGAACGAATACGAACTCACATTTGTGGTGTATATTACGCTTTGCGTCGGTGTCACGTCCCATGGAAGTAAATAAGCATGGATAGAAGCGAAGCCTTTCTTGTTTTATCTTAAACCTTTACATACTTCTTGTGCATGTGACTTTTCCTATCCCTACTATGTCTCTTCCTTTTGTTTTTCACTTCTTACTTCTCAGCTACTAAACGTCATGTTCTATATCATAGTATATATTCGATCGCCCCAGCTAGGCATTTGGTCGTGTAGCAATGTATAAGTGTATAGGGGATTCAAGGTTTTAAAATCTATGAACAGCTCGGGAGCACCCCTAGCGCATACTGATGCTGTATTCCTAGGCAGTTTCGCACGTGTTTGCCCTCCTTTCTAGGATAAGTGCAGGTGACCTATACTTCTGCACATAGATCGGTTCATCTTTTATTCATGTCACATCGTCTTAAGAACTCGTCCCTTTTTACTCCAATCCTCTTATCAACATGGGAAGAAAAGCTTACATGTCCTTTCCTGCTCCACGTCATATGGCTTCATATAGACGAACTACTGGTGCCCAGCTTTCAACAACCACCTGGCCAAACGTGAGCGATGCCCTTGATAAAATATTTGCTGAAGGATCTCAAAGTTCGTCAAATTTGGGCAGACTCCGAAGAGAGGAGCATCAGGTTCATACCCCTGGACCGGAGGCTTTATCTCGTGAGGATAACCTGCAATTTGATGCATTCAGTAAGTCGGTTCAGTAAGGATTGTGTGACTGCACATTTGGATAGAGGCTCATTGTAGCACATGAAGACCCGGAATTGCTTGCACAATCAGATGAGTCGACGAGAGCTCGGCAGTCTGTTTTCTCAGCTACAGACAGTCATCATTTCTACACACGCCAGCCAATTTCCGGTGGTACTCCAGACCTGGCTTCTCGATATTCCCGTGGAACAGACGATTCACATATCACACCGCAACGAATCTTGGTCTCTAGTTCCTCAGACGTTGATATAGGTCGCCTTCTAGACCTTTATTTAGGGTACAGACTGAAAGGTCTTTTCCACGTGTGGAACAAGCTAGCAGCTCCAGAAGACAGCAACAAGATAATCAGACTCGACCTGAGCACTTCGAAGAATTGCCCCCACCTGCCAGATATGGAACATCTGTTACCACGACTGTAGAGCACAAGACACCATTTGAGAATAACCCTGTATCAATTAGAGGAATCGTCCTTGTATCTGTGCAGGAGCTCCCTGATAAATATCGGTCGTTATTTCACTTTCCAGTCTTCAACGCTGTTCGATCTAAATGCTTTCAGCCTGTTTACAAAAGGGATGACAATATTGTACTTGCCGCTCCTACTGGAAGTGGAAAAACGGTTGTTATGGAATTAGCGATCTGTCGTATGCTCAATAACCTAAAAGACGAGAGGTTCAAAGTCATCTATCAAGCACCTACCAAATCGCTTTGCTCTGAAAGGTTCCGCGATTGGAACAGAAAGTTTCACTCATTGGGCCTCCAGTGTGCTGAACTGACCGGTGACACTGACTTTACACAGATGGGAAGTGTGCAGAACAGCCAAATAATTATAACGACGCCAGAGAATTGGGACAGCATGACTCGAAAATGGAAGGACCATGCACGTCTGATGCAGCTAGTGAAGCTCTTTCTAATTGACGAAGTACACATCCTCAAGGAGTCACGCGGAGCAACATTAGAAGCTGTCGTGTCGCGTATGAAAACGATCGGATCCAATGTGCGCTTCGTTGCATTAAGCGCTACCATCCCAAATTCTGAAGGTATTGCTACCTGGCTCGGTAAGGATGCGACGAACCAGCATGTTCCAGCCCACAGGGAGCATTTTGGGGAAGAGTTTCGCCCCGTCAAGTTGCAGAGTTTTGTATACGGCTACCAGTCTCAGGGCAATGATTTCGTATTCGATAAGATGTGTAGCTCAAGGTAAGTATGCATGCTTCGTTCAGTGGTTCATATTTTGATCACGAGACCTAGGCTTCCCGATGTACTGGCCATGCATTCGTGCAGGAAGCCTATTATGATATTCTGCTGCACGAGCAACTCCTCTGTAGCTACAGCAAAGGAACTTGCTCGGCTGTGGTCAATGTCCAATCCGCCGGCCAGGTTGTGGAAAGGACCAAGCAAGTTGATTGAAGTAAACAATGTAGACTTGAAGAGTACGTACTGGTTTCAAGATCGTATTAAAAATTTTGGATTGCTGACCTGATATATGGTAAAGCCACGACGGCTGCAGGTGTCGCATTTCATCACGCTGGCCTCGATCCCGCTGACAGACACGCAATTGAAACTGGCTTCTCACAAGGACAAATTAGCATAATATGCTGCACTTCTACTCTTGAAGTTGGCGTAAATCTTCCTTGCTACCTTGTGATTGTTAAAAATACTGTAGGATGGATGGACGGCGGTTGCAAAGAATATTCAGACCTCGACATCATGCAGATGCTTGGCCGTGCTGGGAGACCTCAATTTGAAAACAACGCAATTGCCGTTATTCTAACAAGATAGAGCGAAATGATTACTATGAACGGCTTGTGTCAGGCTCTGAAAGCCCCGAAAGTTGCTTACACCTGAACCTAATGGATCACTTAAACGCCGAAATTGGCCTAGGTAGTGTCACAAGTATTGAATCTGCTATAAGATGGCTTGCTGGCACCTTTCTCTTTGTGAGGCTGAGACGAAACCCAACGCACTATCAACTGAGGGAGGGTGCTGATAGGGAAGATGAAGACGAGATGCTTCGCCAAATCTGTGAGAAAGATGTCAAGCCGCTCCAAGAAAGTGGCCTAGTCTCCACTGAATGCCTTAGATCCATACAGTTTGGTGATGCAATGGCACGTTATTACGTGCGATTTGAGACTATGAAGACCTTCCTTGCTTTGAAACGTCACGCCACCATGTCTCAAATTGTAAGCGAGAGACCTAGGATGCACTATACAAGCTAATTATCCAATTTTTAGCTCTCCGCAGTTTCCCAGGCAGAGGAGTACCGTGACGTCCGTCTTAAGGCGGGAGAGAAGTCATCGTACAGAGAGATCAACCGTGGAACTGGGATATTATTTCCAGTAAAGGTAGATATAGCGCTTCCAGCTCATAAAACATCACTGCTCATCCAGTGTGAGCTGGGTGCGTTGGATTTTCCCGATGGCGAGCAGTTCCAAAAACACAAGTTTGCTTTCCAGCAAGACAAAAGCTTCGTATTCTCACACATTAACCGGCTTATTCGATGCATAATAGATTGCCAGATCTCTCTCGAGGATTCAATCGCTGCCAAGAACGCGTTGGAGCTTGCAAGAAGTTTTGCAGCCAAAGTGTGGGACAGTTCCCCATTTCATATGAAGCAGATTGCACAAATCGGTGTTGTCGCTATTAGAAAGCTAGCAGCTGCTAGAATAACTAGCATCGAAGCTCTAGAGCACACAGAGCCTCATAAGATTGACATGATCCTGAGCAAAAACCCTCCATTTGGGATGAAATTGCTGGGGCGACTTTGTGATTTCCCTAAGCTACGTGTGTCTGTCAAGATGGTGAAAAACGTATGAACATTATCCCATCTTACGGGCTTTGCTAAAGGCTAGCAGGAGGGAAAACACGGCGCTCCCGTGAGAATTCATTTCAAGGCAGAAGTTGCTTTCGTGAATGAGAAGTGCCCAACATCTTTCCAGAGACACCCTGTACATACCTGCTTTTTAGCGGAGACATCTGACGGTTTCGTGATCGATTTCCGACGTATGAGGTTGGTTAGGAGAGCTCGTTCCGTTTATTCTTTCCGGAGTCTAACACCGAATCAGCGCGAGTAAGGTCCAAAGCATCCAGGAGATAACGTTGAAAGCAGAAATTAAGACCCAAGATCAGTATATAACGTGCTATGCGAAGTGTGATGATATCGGTATGTGGTTGGTTCGCCAAGAGAATAAGAAATTCTCTATTGCTGACTGCTTGAAGCTGGGAATCTGTGATCAGCAGAATTGAGACCAGCCCTTGCAGCATCTTTATTTTCAATTCGCTGGATTGATATGTCGGATGATATGGGCCAAAAATACTTGATAAATATGTCGCACCCACGCAGCAATACTTCGTCTCGAATGCAACTTACTACAGGGCACAATCTGGGAATTTTTGGGTAGTGACGACTCGCTTTTCGACGAATTTTTGGAACCTGGTACCATTCCCCATCTTAGCCCCTCTTAGAAACTTGTTCTAAGGATTTGATGAACAAGAAAAGCCACAGACTGGGCTGTCATGGGTTCTATAACGTCTCCTTTGTCTGAACAAAAGCCACAGAGAAGTTAACTGGGAAAAGCAAAGAATCCGAGCAAGTGGAATTGCACAAGTCAGAAGAGCCAACCCAGCTTGAGAACGGTAGATGGAGCTGCAACTATAAGTGCAAGAACAAAACAATGTTGCATTGTCTTTCCTTTCTACTAATTTTCAATGGGAGACTAAGGTTTCTAGGAGCAAGCATCTTTGTTGCCGGGAAGGACTTGAGAAACCGCCAAGGGTGAACAGAAAACAGTCTACTGGAGAGATTAATCAGTCAAACAGACTCAACCAACTGACAATATCCGCAAGTATCACCAAGAGCAACGTGCAGATAGCAAATTCCAATGAAACACGGGCCGTTAAGGGTAATATTACGGAGGCTGGACCGCAAAGCGTACTGCAGGGACCATCCGAAGCTCCAGACGTAAACCTGAGAAATCATACTTCCAGGCAAAATACCAAAAGCAACCCCTTGTGTTTCGCCGTTGAGAATAAGGACTCGTCGAGTGACTACGGAGAAGACAATTTCAACGACTTCCCTTCGCCGTCTGCATTGCTACTTGGTAACAACATCGAGATTGGAAGTCCGAATGCTCAAAGCACCAACAAAGAAGACAGCTTAAATAAGGATGTTCAAGTGAAAGATAATTGGACTTATGCCGATGAGCCGTGGCTTACACTTCTGTCCTCGTTTACTGGCCCCCTTGTGCAGGATAATGACGCGATGTCAACATCTACCCAGACTCGCAAGAAAAATATAATTAAGCCAAGGGTATACAGTCCAATAGATAATATAGGCACCAACCTTGACGGTGAATCAACTAAAGAAATGACTGATATTGGTCACATCGATGGAGACAAGCGAAGGTTCTGTTTGACTGGCGGGGACGAAATCTGCGACGAGAGAGATACAAAGAAACATAAGAATGCCTCAACATCTTTCGTCAATCAAGGCCAATGCCACGGCACTGTCAGCAGCCAGAGTCATCAGCCTTATGAAGCAGACCATTCATCTGCTATTTGGGATGATATTGGCCCAACTCTGCTGGATGAGTTTAAAGATATTGTTAACTTTTTCTAGAATGCAAACAATGCCAATGGTTACCAATAAAACAACTCAACTGTTGCTATCAAGGCTCAGAGGAGACCTATCTCTATGGGCATGAGATATCCACTGCATACTGTACCTGCATAATTAAGTGGTGATCTTGAGAGATCTTGAGAGATCGTCGATAGTGCATGATTTACCTTGTTGTGTTTTCTTTTTCGATGTAGTAACGGGAGATTGGTCAGGCGGAATCTTTTATATATGTTATTGAAATGGGTAATAGGAAAGCATGTTCAGACAGTGAATACGATATTAGGTCCAGTCTGCAAGGCAACAAAGCGCAAATATTTCAGTGCCATGCCTTGTCACAGGATATTCTGCCTTCCTCCGTATTCAACTATCACTCTCCCTCCCTTTAGCATCGCTATCTTATGCTTCAAGAGTTATTGTATTCTTCACTCTTTGTCTCTTCTTCTTGTGTGGGTGATTTCCTTGTTAACACAAGATTCCCACGTATTGTATCCTTTCTACTGATTGTTGTTGTTGTCTTCCTCTTGAATCACCCTTCCCATTCTCTCGCGATATCCTAGACAACATCAATCCTCTACTATATTTGTCTACGTGAATTTAGGTCAGACATTTTGTACACTGCTCTTCTACCCTATGCTCGAGATATACACAGGCCTCTGCGCTTCAAGCACCTGTGTCTTGTGCCACTATCATCTTTCGTCTCATCTATTTATCTAAGCATATTGTTCTGTCCTTCAATTGCCTATTCCTGTTTTCTTTTAAATACATATGTCCATCGTATTTTTGAAAGCTGATTGTTATCGTGCAAAAGGACTATCGCCAGCAAGCTGCGAAACGGCATGCAAAAATGGGGAAGTTGAACTATTCAGCAGTAAGACCACGCTGTCTTAAACACTTCAACCCTCGTCCATGAGAATACAGACTGACGCTAGGTGATGGACAGAGGAAGATTAAGGGCGAAAAATTCGCGCGGGTCCTCTCGAGGGACCTGGTAGGTCTCATTCCCAACTTATGGACAACATCCAATGACACGAGTTGATTTGCACATAGAGAAAGCGACTACCAGATGGACATGGCTTCAAAGCTGCAGCACGCGACCCTACGCTAGAGATCGACATTTCAAATAAGAATTTGACAGACAAAGACCTTTCTCTATTTATCGATGATCTTCTCGAGTGCATCAGGCGGGATCTTGCGAAAGTGACTGAATTCCACATCCAGAGGAATAATCTCACCATCCAATCTCTACCCATGCTGGGTGAGGTAATTGCACTCAACGCGGGGGAGTTGAGGGAGCTCGATATCTCGAACAACAATATCAATGTTAACCCCACCTCTGAAGACAAGGAAGCCTGGTGCAAGTTTCTCAGCTCCTTCAGGAACTGCTACATGGTCAAGAAGCTTGATCTGAGCGGTAACCCTCTCGGGTCTGTGGGAATGGAGAATCTAGCTCGCGTATACATCAAAAGTGACCTTGACTTCCTTGAGGATGATGCTGAAGCTATTGTTGAGCCTAAGCACGACGAGCGGTCTCTTATTGAAGATACTACTGTGACAAAAGTCACAACCGGGAAGGAGAACGAAGGCAGCACACGAGGTAGCCGCCCTGCGAAGTCCCCAAACAAGGGAAAGAAGACTTTGCGACAAAGCACTGGTAAGTGCCTACTTACTAATCTTGATGAGCGCTGATCTGAAGAAAGGCAAACGCTGACGCTTGTCCCCAGGTCAACCTAAATCCACTCCAATCAAGAGCACAACACATGATGACCTCAAACGTTTCGCTTGCACCCGTGGCCTGCGCTCTATAGCTTACCTGATTTTGTCAGACGTCTATATGGCGAAGAGCGGAACGGTACACCTTGCAAGTATGCTAAGCATGCAAAGAACCTCAGAGCAGCTCTTGAAGTTCCTTCCCGGGGGCAAATCTTTAACCCTACCTGAGACCGCACACTGCAAGAGCATCATCTGGCTTCCCAACGAAAATCTTCCGCAAATGGCAAGCGATTTCCTCGGAAAGGCCGAGGCTATCAACGAGATCAAAGCCCACATTGACTCAGACGACGAGCTTTCAAATGATAGTGATGACCAAAGATATGACGCGGCTATTGCTGAGGAGATTGCAGATCCCAGCCACAAGATCGATACGGCCGCCCAGAGGGAATTACAAAACAAAAAAAACATCGAGTATGCTAGGCTCACCAAGCGCATTCGTATGGAAGCTCTGCATGACGAAGGTGTGCGTGATACAGATCTCTGGATCACTGCTCTACGGATGATGAATGTTTCTCGAATTATTCTCTGGAAAAGTAAGAATTGCAGAGTTGGTGCCCTAGAAAAGGAGCAAGACCAACAAGAAGACGAGAACAAAGACGAACACAATTCTTCCACAGTGCACATCGAAGACGTCACTCAACGAGTCGAGGATATCGAAATAACCGAACATAGCAGCTTCCCCGAGCCATCTTTCCCCCCTATTGAATTTCAAGTCACCGAGCCTGCTCCCATTGGTCCCTTCCACCCGGGCACCGATAAATTCGAATCAGACTTTCCTATGCTCCAACCCTCCACCACCGACAATATTGAGACTGAAATCACCGGGCGGGATGCGGAACCCGTCGTCGCTACCACAAACGACTTGCCCTCATCTCAAACTTCAATACAGGGGAAGGGTAACATTCGCTCTGTCCACGGACCTCGAGTACCCCGCAAGGAAAACGAGACCTGGCGCTTTGGCTTTACTTTCGAGATATGGCGCAGAATTATTGCGGGTGCCGTCAGCGCGGATGGTATTCTAGATCTTACACAGCAAACCCAGATCATGCGGTATGCTACCGATCAGAAGACTCTTAAGGATGAGATGGACATTACGGGACTTGAGCATCATCAGCAGGTTTGGAGAATTTTGGAGAAGAATAATTGCTTCATTTATAGTCCTTTGTAGGCTGATATGAGAGGGGTTTTTCTGATATGAAACTTTTCAATTTTCTTTAGAGGAGTTAATTAGGTGTAGATAATGTCGAGTCTGATCATGCCTATGAATTTGATTCCATGATCTTTAAGTGTTGGAGAACGGAGAGAGAGTCAGGGTACAGTGGAGGACAGATGAAAAGGTTAGGAATCTTGTTTGGCTCAACTGTTTGGAGGTGATTGATCATATGGATTCGAAATATGAATATCGTGTCGAGTATATTTTAACCGAAACGTAAGATATCCATTCTACATAGCGCAATCTTTGATCCTTTTGTTTTAATACATATAGTTAGTGTAGGCGCTTTACTAAGCCTAAAGTCGTCAAAGAAGGTCTTGATAATATGGCGAAGAGAGACAAACATATAGAATGATTACTTCGAAAAGTGAATAGATTTACTCAAAGCCACCACTTTCTCAGACAACTCATTCAGGCTTCCTTGACTCATGATCTCAGCCATAGCAATCCGCTCCGAGTTCCTTGACTAACCAAGTTGAATTCCATCGCGACAAGAGAGTCGACTCCATTTTCCTAAATGGACTTCGCCATATTAGTATTCTTTTCCAAAGAGTTAAGTAGATAAGCTAATTTCTTCCGAATGGCGTTCAACGTTGACTCCGCTGCTGCTTCTTTGGTTTGTGCGGCACTCAAAAGGGCCCGGATGCTGTAATCAATATCATGCTGTGTTGTTTGATGATCTTCATGGTGGTCGACTTCTTGAAGCTAGAGAATAAGGGGAACTCCATGTATGTAGCGACCGGTATATGCCGTTCATGGAATGATGCCTTCTTAAGCTGGGTCTTCTGAGTGATATCAGCTTCAAAATTTGGTGCTTGCATCCATGGGGTGTCAAGAATGCGGTTGTCTCTTCAGCTTTCCTGGTTACCTTTCCTGAGCGGGAAGTACGAAAGCAATATGATTTGCCCTTCGTGAAGCCATCCACTCGGCCAGGCTCTGACCAACACCACCTAGTCCACCAGCCAAAACGTTTGCTTCAAGGTTATATGGATGTGAGGTCACAGGAGTCACTGGACACAGTGTCATTGTCGTTGGGCAAAAACACAATCTTGCCCATATTCTTTCCAGATTGCAATTGCCCCAACCCGTGCTCAAGATGTGCAAAGCTTAACGTACTCGATGGTTGAGCTGAATGTATCTTTCCCTGATCCTATAATGAAATGATTTCTTTCAAGATGTCCCTTATAATATCCGAGTTGTACTTTATGATGGCAGCCAAATCGGCACCCGTTATACTAGCATTGCGAAAGTAATCAACGCCACTTGCTATTGCCTGAGCATCAGGTCCACAACTAGTCAGTCAGACATCTTCCAAAAGATTCTTGACGGAAGAGAGAATATACATACCATGTCGCACTCGCCTAGCTTCAAGCAGAAAATGAGCCCTCTTCGTGTGAAACTAGGATAACAGTAACATTTATCGATAACGCTGGGCTTAGGGAAAGGCGTATCGGATTGGCGGCCTCTTAATAGAAATGTCCAGAGACCTTCTGTGTCCGACACTTCTTGGGGAAAGCCGTTAGCTAACCCAACGATTGCTAGCGATGTCTTATCAGACATGGTGTCTGCCTGGAAGAATGTTATATCGAGTATACAGCACGATAATGCATCAATGGCAAATGTACAAAGTAGATGCATGTAGAGTCATCTCGGAGATTCACCTCATGGATATGCCAGACCTTTAAGATATGAATGTAAGGTCAAAGCTTACAACATTCTCGGGAGTCAATAGGTTATTCATTGTGTAAGGGTCAAATGATATGATAGCTTAGGATCAAACCAAATCCCATGCTCGTGGTTTGGCAGCAAGATGTTGGAATAAGTTCGCTTGGGTCTAGAGCCATAATATCCCTCCTGAAGACAGGAAACTCCTATCCCTATCACCTGGATACAAGTATGACAGAACAAGGAAATAAGTTAGAACTATAAACGACTTCCTCTACCTTGCGTCCTTGCCGAAAGGCACGCCTCTCAATATATTTAAGCATATAATATCGCCCACCATCTTGTTCAGTGCTTCTACATAACAAGAAACATGAGATAATCAAGCAAGGATGAGAAGGGAGCATAATATTTCTTAATGAGGGGATGTGTGTGATCTCCGCACGTGACCGGTGTTGCCTTTTGACTCCCGGTGGCGGACCAGGGTTCATCTAGACAGACTTCTGGAATTTCTAGAAACCTGGTTTATCGCTCACAGGAACCTTTTCTGACTTTAACCAATAATGAATATGATGCGTGCCCGAAGAACCAACACACAGCCGCTAGAGGATGTCTCCACGGCCCCTGCAACATTTAACGACGGGCTTCCGCTCCCAAAGCTGATTGCCTTCGATCTGGATTACACTCTGTGGCCATTCTGGGTAGATACTCATGTCAGCGCCCCAATCAAGCCGCGCGACAACAATTCGCGGTGCACAGATAGGTATGCACATTTCATGCGCAATATATAATGGGATTTGTTCGAACTACTTACATTCTGTATGTGATAGATGGAATGAGTCGTTCGCCTTCTACCCCGCAGTATCTGCAATCATCTACGCATGCAAGACTCACTCGATTCCGCTCGCCCTGGCCTCCCGGACCCATGCTCCTGATCTTGCTCGGGATATGCTCAAGGCTCTTCACATTATTCCAACTTTCTCGGATAACCCCGCAGCTAAGACGAAGTCGGTTCGTGCGCTAGATTATTTTACCTACATTCAGATCTTCCCAGCAAACAAGACACAACATTTCTCGCGGATTCATCAGGCTAGTGCCATCAAATATGAGGATATGCTCTTCTTCGATGATGAGGCGCGTAATCGGAATGTTGAGACGGAGCTCGGGGTTACATTCTGCCTTGTTCGAGACGGGATGACAAAGGAAGAAGTCGACCGGGGTGTCTGGGCATGGCGCAAAAGGAACGGAATTAAGCCTGCAATGCCAAAAGAAGATAACAGTGAAGAGTTGAACTAAAGGATTTCCGTTCCAGAATTTGGCTATTGGCATAGGTTGACTGTCCTGAGAATGGGCGGCGTTGGGATTGGCATTGGTTTTCACGATTAGAATTCTTATGGAGAGATACCCAGATGGGATGATGAAATGAACCACACTGTATATAGATATAGACACTAGAAACTAGAAATTTTCCAAATCTTCATCTAAGCCCCATATGAACGTCCGACAGGGAGACAAATGTGTCACATGTTTCTACACATGTAACTCGCGGAGATAACAGAAATCTCGGAGTTTATGCCTGCGCTCCGCAACTCCAATTAGTCTTAGTGTCAATTTATTGCAATCAGTCAATTCATTCATTTATTCAACCCTGCATAAATATTCGCCTTAACAACCACACCTACCGCAGTAATCGAATTTCTATCCCGGAAATGGACCACCGTCAAAGTCAAGTCCACCTCAAACCACCACCACCCCAACAAATTCGCACCTCCGGAGCAGCCTTGCCCTCCGCATCACCGATTCCCCGCGCTCCCGTAACAGCGCATCCCACTGCAACAGTTGCAGACACCGTCATCTTCCATGGAACACATCCGATCGCTATAGGCGCAGGGACAATTGTCCACCCCCGCGCCAAACTCTACTCCTACGAAGGACCAATCGTCATCGGTGAAAACTGTATCATTAGTGAGAAAAGCACGATTGGCGCCGTGCCTACCCAACCTCCTTCTTCCCTATCAAGAGAGTCGCGCGCTGCAGAGGGATTGCCTGTCCGGATATCTTCTTCCGTGATTGTTGGCCCTTTAGCGACGGTTTTACCGGGTGCACATATCCACTCTGCTGTTACCATTGAGACGCTCGTGACTATCAACCGGCGCGTGGATATAGGCGCGCATTCGAAGATCTGCTCGGGGTGCGAAGTATCGGACAATGTGGTGATAAGGGATTGGACTGTTGTGTGGGGATTTGGGGCTGGTTTCGGGCAGCGAAGGCGTAAACGGGCGACGGAGAAGATGAGCTCTGCTACGGCTGTTGCCCAAGGGATCCAGGCGTTGGAGGGGAGGGTAATTGAGGATGCTAGATTGATGGTATTGCAGAAGGAGAGGGAAGCTCTTGTTAGGCTTATTGGGTCCGCAGGTGGACGGAGAAGGTGAATTTAGTAGTGTCCTTTTGGCTGCTTGGATATGCAGGCTCAAGGCATGCCGTTCTTTTGTGTTTCTGCCCCTTAAGTGCGCCTTATACCCTGATAGAATTTAGTGAGACGTTTGCTTGACTTATGAAAGAAAAATCGTTATGTTCTGATATATGGCTCGCTGTTAGAGATAGGTTATACTACAATTATGTGCCAAATTATCTAGTCACAAGCAGGTACAATACAGTATCTTGTCAATTGAACAAAGGAAATAAATAAGTCTTTTTTTGACAGCAATGTCTCTAGGGGACATACAAATGTGATTTAGAATGTTCGTAGACGCTTCAATCCTTAATCAAACGAATTTCAGGCATAGAGGTACAGAAAATGAAAATGAAAATGAAAAACAAAATAACAATGAAACAAGGTCCTTATGAACCTCTGGTATGACCACCTCCTCTCATTCTCTTTCCAACCCCTTCATTGGTACCCTCTCCGTCATCTCGAGCCCGCTTGTTCCCCTGTGGAACGAACTGGCGAGCGTGAGCATTCAAATTACCACGCCCACCTCCTGGGCTGGACTGTCCTTGCCCTTGTGGTAGGTTCGCAGTCTGAACATTCTGGTTGCCACCTCGGCCATGGCCTCCTCGTCCCCCGCGGCCTCGGGGGAGACCGGAGCCACGCTGGCTTTGGGATGATTGGCCCTGCTGTTGCTGCTGATTCTGGCCTTGTTGTTGATGTTGCTGTTGCTGTTGCTGTTGCTGAGTCTGTGGTCCAAACGGGTTCTGCTGATGGCCACCACGCCCACCTTGTCGACCACCGCGTGCGACGGGCAACCCGGATTGAAGAGCTCTTAGAACCCCCGTACTAGCACCCGTTGGAGGTTTACTGGGGAGTGAGGCAGGTTGCTGATTTTGGCTTTGCCCGAAGGGATTCACAGGCGCGCTTGCTACTGGCGGCACAGTACCTTCGGCAGTTTGGAGCTGCTGCTCCTGCCCATCAGCTTGGCTCTGAACATCGGCTGGGGCAGGTCCCGTGGCTGGAGCAGTCGCCAGTTCAGACCCAGCTTCTGCAGGGGGGTTCTGCTGGTTTGCAGCCCCGGGAGTTGGTACCGGGGCTGGTGAGGGCGTCGGTGCCGCTGCCGCTGCCGCAGGTGTTGGCGCGGGTGATGCAACTTGTGCAGGGGACGCAGCCGGTACAGGCTTGGGCGTTTGGGCTTGAGGTGGAGCCTTAGTCACCTTGGCTACTTCCCACACCTCGATGACAGGCTTCTGGGGAGTCTCGGTAGCCGCCTTCTGGACAACGTCGACCTTGGCAAGTGCGTTCCTGCACCGGGTATCAAGCATACTGATTTTAACCAACGTTTTCTTGTCAGATAACTCAACGGCGGACTTTATCTTTTCTTCCAAGCCTTCCTCGTGAGCTTTCTTCAAAGCTTCCTTCTCTTCATTGAATCTTTGCTCCATGGAGGCCAAGGCTTCTTGACTTACGCCTGCCGATGGCTGAGCTCCCTGCTTCTCTCTCTCCTTCGCAAGCATGGACCGGATATTGTTGCGGATGATAGTCCGAATTGTTTCGTTCTTGGCAACCAGTGCCTTTGCTTGTTCATCGGTGAGTTGTGGTAGTTCTCCTTCCAACTTTGCGGGAGTCGCAGGAATTGCAGGAACCTGGTCGGGTTTCGACACGGGAGTGCCGGGTTCTTGTGGCTGCGATACGGTTTGCTGACTAGACCTCATCTTTTCTATTTCTTGTCGGTGTGCCGTTCTGACTTCAGCTATCTTGTTGTTGAAGGTCTCCTTCAGCTTCTCGACGCGTTCTTTAGCCTTGTTCTCATACTCGGCGTCCTTGGCAGCTAGGGCGGCGTCCTTCTCCGCCAATGCAGCCTCTTTCTCAGCAAGAGCAGCTTCCAGACGCTTCACCTTCTCTTCAAGTGATTTAACTCTTTCATCATCACTAGGAACAGGGGGTTGAGTAATTGGTGCAGGGAACTGAGAGGCAGGTGTTGAGTCAACACCGGACCCAGCAGGTCTTTCTTCAACAGCCGGTTCAACTGGTTTCTCGGCCAGCTTGGCTTTCAACCCGCTCAGTTCTTCCTTAGTTGTCTTTAACTCCTCTTGAATGACTTCCTTTTCTTGCACCACAGTGTTCAACTCCATCTGCTTATCCTTGATACGGCCAGTAAGTTCCTTGGACCTAGCTTTGAACTGCTCGGTAAGTTTTGCGCGCAGCTCCTGCACTCTATCCTCCGCAGTCTTCAGTTGTTCTGGGAAACTAGCCGCTTGTTCCTGTAAGGTGTCGCGAGCTGATACAGCTTCATCCCGCTCATTTTGCAAAGCCTCAAGTTTCTCCTTCAACCCTTCCATCTCAGCAGGATCAACACGATCATATTTTTGGAGAATATTCTGGGTGCGTTGTTGCCACCTGTCCCGGTCTGCTTGCAGGAGCTTCATCTCCCCGTCTTTTGTCTCTACTACGTTCTCAAGTTCCCTTATCCGCGTTTCAAGGGGCTCCATTTGTTGCACAAGTTCATCAACACGTGCAGACTTCTCTGCAAGAGCAGATTCCGCCTGCTTAACCTGGTTACGCAATGTGACGCTGCTTTCCCGGAAAAGATTAAGCTCATTCAAGGTCTCTATGAGTTTGTTATGGCTCAGAGCAGTATGCTCGCTATCGGCAGCGGCACGACGTTGCTGTTCGAGCTTGAGCCGCGCCTCGTCAAGCTGAGACTGAGTATACTCGAGCTGCTGGCGCAAACGTTTACTCTCTTGAGTTGAAAGATGATATTGCACATCAACGATTTCCTTTTCACGACGCAGGAATTTGATGACCTCCTGGAGGCCTTCCAAATTGGGCGCGGTGTTTTCTCCTTCATCCTCGGTATCATGAATGTTAGCACGATCCCGTTGTAAAGCAGATATCTGGTTTGTGATATTCTCAAGTTGAGAGTGAAGCAAGGAATTTTGGTGCAATACTTCCTCGCGGCGTTTCTGCAGCTCAGATATCTCACTTTCGTATCTTACTTTCAACTCGTTCCAACTGTCTTCCTTTTGGGCCAAATCCTTCTTGTATGTGTCGACTTGGGTACGGGATTCAACAAGCTCGAGCTTCAGCTGATTCACTTCTGAACGAATCAATTGCAGGTTCTTCGCAGCTTCGGCATGCTTAACCAATTCGCTTTCATAATTCTGCTGGGCGTGCTGTGAAATTTCGGCCTGAGCCTTCAGGTCTGCCTGGTGGAATTGGGCTGCGGCAAGCTGGCGTTCATTCTCATCTTTTAACCTCGTGATCTCGGATTCCAAAACAGTCTTCTGCTCCTCTAGACGACGGGCAACATCTCCTTGCTCGTCACGAAGTTTAGAGAGTTCACTATTTGTGGTAGAAAGCTCAGTCGAAATTTCTTCAATCCGTTTCTCAAGGTCTTGAATCTTCTTGTCCTTCTCTTCAACGAGGCGTTCTGTTTCCTCCCGATATTGTTCGTGTGTTTCCGTGGCGGATTCCAAGCGTTCCTCAGCCCCCTGGCTGATAGCCTTATAGTCCTCAACTTGTTCCTTGGCGTGTTCAAACTCGCCCTTAGCCAAGTCAAGATCACGCTTCAACTCGGCGACTTGGATTCCCAGTTCCTGTTCACGTGTCAAACCAGTCTCTTGTGTACCCTCTTCCGTGTTTGTAGACGCCTCAGCTGGGGCGGCAGAGACGCTAGGCCTAGACTGCATTACTTGGAGGCGCTCTTCAGCGCTCCGGAGTTCAACAGTCAGCTCATCCACCCTGGACTGCAAGTGATCTCTAGTAGTCTTAGTGGCAACCAGTTCTTCCCTGACTGATCCCAAGCTCGTGACCAAATCATCAATCCGTTTCTGACTTTGCTCATGCTCGTACTCCCTGCGCAAGGCCGCTTTCTTAGATTCCTCAACTTCATCATTGAGTTTTCGTTTAGTTGATTGCAACTCCGACTCAAGTGATTCGACACTAAGCTGCAGACGACGGCGACTCTCTGAATCAGTGTGCTCACGCTCATTCAGGATTGTCTGCAGGTTGGCATTAAGGGAATCAAGCCTGCTCCTCTCATTCCGTAACGTCTCGTTGTCTTCGATAAGCCTCCTCTCGATATTCTTCCAAAGATCTTTTTCAGCCTTCAAGTTTGCATTCTCCCGTTGGAGACTTTCAACAAGACCCTTCGTTTCCACTAAATCTTCGGCTGCTTGTTGGGTTTTTAGATCCTGCCGGTTTGCATTCTCCAGTAGTGTAGCATATCGTTTTTGGAGTTCGACATTTTCGCTCTTCAGCATACTAAAGTTGCTTTGTAGCAGTTCTGCCCTCTGAGTAGCAGCACCCAGCTGGCTGCTGGACCGGCTAATTTCACTCATCAATTCACTGTTCTTCCTTGAGAGGTCATTGACTTGCTGCTTTAGGGCAGAATGATCAGTGGCGGACTCCTCGCGGAAGCTGTCAAAGTGTGCTTGCACCTTGCGCAGTAGCTCGGCGTAATCCGGTGCGTCCTTCATAGGTTCGTCACCAGCACCAGGAGGTACAGCGCCGAGAGGGAGAGATTGAGAGAAAGCAGAAGCATCGCCGAGCGTCTGACGCCGACGTGTAAGCATGCTCCGGAAGGTGTCACGTTCTTTGACATAGCTCTTTGTCTGGGCAACAAGGTTCGCAATCTCATCGCGGTATGTCTGGACTCTGATCCTCAGTTCCTTCAGTTCTTCCTGCTCTTGTTGACGGACAGCATCCTTCTCCCGAGCTTCAGCGCCCTCCATCTTATCGCCAAGTTCTCTCAGCATCCGTCGGAGGGTGACATTCTGTTCCTGGAGTTCATGGAGGTCCTTAAATGTCATCAAGTGCTGGCTGATAAAGCGCCCCGTAGGAGTAAGATCTGCAGCAGAGTCCTCGATTTCCTTGCGAGCAATTTTCTCAAGTTCGTCTCTGTCGTAGCTACCCTCACCTTCCTTCAAAACGGCCACTTCCAGAACTAAAACCTTTACCTGTGCACTCAGGTCTCTGAGCTGCTGGCGAAGAATATCCCCTTCGCGAGCCAATCCCTCCACTTGGCCTTGCCATTTCCTTGCTTCCTTCGTAGCATTGTCCCTTTCTTTCCCTGCGGTTTCGAGAATATTAGACATTTCAACCACGGCATTTTCCAGCCTTGCATGGTCAACGCGCAGCTCGTCAATCTCAGGTTTACTTGCTTCAAGGTCCTGGACCATCTCATCTAATGTAGACCGGAGTTCTTGACTCGTCTTTTGCTCTGCAGCCAGTAGTGTTCGCATTTTGTCGTATTCCGTATACATTTGGGTGAGAGTGAGGCCACCCTTGCCCCGGGATGACCTAGGCGAAAATGTACCGACAGGTGTACCAGCACGAACAGGGGTGGCAGGGCCTCCATTCAACCCAGGGGCTGGGCTCATGGATCTCCTGCCAGCGACGCCATCCGACTCGAGTTGGCTCACTGTGAGCTCAAGTTCAGCAACGCGGCGCTCAGCAGCTTCCTTATCGGCATGTTCCGTTTCAACCTCCACGCGAAGTCGGGATATTTCCTCTGCTGCATCGTCCCTCGCTTTTTCCAAAGCCAATTGACATTCCTGCACTCGCTGTTTAGCGGTTTCCGCTGCGTTTCCTTGTAATTCGGCGAGTCTGCTCGCACTATCCAACTCGATTCTGAACGACTCGGTAGTCTGGATAGCCTCTTCTTTAAGTTGTTGGATGCTCGACAGTGACTCTTCATATCGCTGCTCCACCTCATCCAATCGGCTCTTAAGAGCATTTTCGCTACGCCTCAAGGAGTCAACGTTTGCAGTAGTTTCCTCGCACTCACGTTGAAGCTCTGCAATCCTAGCGCTCTTTTCCTTGCGAAACTTGAGATACTCAGCAGACTTCGTTTTCAGCTCCGTTTCAAACCATTCATTGTTCTTCTTGGTTAGATCTAGGTCCTGTTGGAGACTCTGTTCACGGAAACGAGCACTTGCAGATGCGGAGTTTGCAGCCTGAAGGTTCTGTTCAGCAGTAGAAAGTTCACGTCTCAATTCAATGGTTTTCTTATGTTGGGTTGAAAGCTCCTCCGCTAATTTATCGTACGCTGCGGATTTTGATTCAAGGAGTGCGAGTGTATCCCTGTTAGAAGCTTCTAAAGAGGAAATGCGAGATTTCAGTGAGCTAACTTCAGATTCATTGGATGTGGAAGAGGATTTCAAGGCGGCGATTTCGGATTCTAGGTTGGATCGAATATTTTCTAGAATACGTCAATAGATGCATAATAACTGAATGTTGCTAACACAAACCCGATTCGTGCAATTTCTTCCTAGATTCCTCAACTTCAGCGTGGCCCTTCTCGACAGAACTCTTCAAGACCTTGACCTTGGACTCGCTGCTGCGAACAGCATTCTCAAGCTCGACTTCTAGGCGGAGCTTATCGGACTTAAGGTCATCATATTCTCGAGCCTTCGTTGTAATCGCTTCTAGGAGCTGGTTCACTAGCTCGACGGTAGGGGCCTGGGTTAAAGTGGTGAGGGTCGACTCCGCAATGGAGTAGTGGGAAGATAGATAAGGCAATTCGATTGTAGCGGCAGCCATGGTGGCCGTAGCTTGGCAGCAGCAAGATGCTGCTTGGCCGTGTATACTGTTAATTAATAAGACCACAGAGCAAACGTCGTGTACCTAGGTGAACAGACGGTATTGTTATAGGTGTGGCATGCACTCTCTCTACACGTGCACACAACGCTCAAGGTCGCAATTAGGTCATGACGGTAGCAAATTAAAAGTGACAGAAAGGTGTGGCAGAGGTAAAGTGAAGATAAAACCTCCGCCAAGCGATGAATCAATGATAGTTACAAAGGGAAGAGTGATGCTCTGAATTCGGGCTGCTGGGTTACAGCTCCTAACGCGGTTAAGCGCGCTGGTGTTGTAGATCATGTGACGTGTTGCTCCCGATGAACGGGAGGCTGTGGCTCAGGAAGCAAAGACCAGCGCATCTATCAAGCCCCAACAAAGGCTGTTGGCAGCCTTCTCGTTGCGCCTCATTCCCGAGTAGTCTCGAATAGCTCTAACTGATCGGTTTTTCTCACTCCTGGCTTTCGGATGAACTGTCGTGACTTTTACTTGAGCTCTGTTTGGCTCCGGTGAGCCAAGCCTTGCCTCATTTTACTAACCCGTGCACCTTCACGTCATCTTCTCGATTGTGGGTTTGATTTTGCTCGAAACGTCGCAGCCATGTCGCATCTTCAGCAGCAGCTCAAAAACTTCAACGCTGGCGTCGTGGACTATGCGAATCGCATGCCGCAGCAGAGGCGATTCGTCCATAACAACTCCCCCAGCAGTTCGCAAGTCCCATCTTCGACCTCCACACCCACTCCCAGCGGCGATATCAAGCGGAAACGACACGATGCCGATATCGTTTACTCGCAGCCTGCCAATACTGGCACGGGCAAGGATATCATGACGCAGGTTATCTTTGCGATCGAGCATATGAAGAATAAGGGAATCCCACTTAAATTTACGGATATCGTTTCCTACCTTTCGCTTCAGCATCGGGCCAATGATCAAGGCTATGTCCAAGCACTACGGAGCATCCTTCAGATGCATGAGAAGGTCCAGTTTGATCCGAGTGGAGCCAACGGAGAGGGTACATTCAGCTTTCGCCCACCGCACAACATTCGCACTGCTGAGCAGTTGCTCCAGAAGCTCCAGTCTCAGTCTACCGCTGCTGGGATGAGCGTTCGTGAGCTGCGGGAAGGCTGGCCGAATGTTGAAGATACTATCAATCAGCTGGAAAAAGAAGGGAAACTACTTGTTACTCGGAACAAAAAAGACGACCATGCGAAGATGGTGTGGGCCAATGACCCCTCTTTGATACAAGTCTTCGACGCCGAATTCCGTCAGATTTGGGAGAAGATCAGGGTCCCCGACCAGCAGGCTGTCAAGGAGGAGTTAGAGAAGGCCGGCATCACACCTACGAATAAAAACAAGGTTAGCAAGGCGCGACCCAAGATTGAACACAAGAAGGTCAAGAAGCCCCGTCGCAGTGGCAAAACGACGAACACCCATATGATGGGTGTTTTGAGAGATTACTCTCATCTCAAACGGTGATCGAAGCTTTTTATGGTGTGGGAAAATCAGTTGAATATTGGCTTCTGTAGTTGCGGTTTGCATCTACACGTTTGAACTTCAATATAGAGACTGGCACTACCATGATGAGGATCGCTTTTATTGCATCAGTCGGCGTCTGAGGGGGAGCATATACATCGGGAACTTTGATTCACCAGATGTCTAAAAGCTTGGCTGGCGTATTCGCTCGTTGCCAGTTGCTGTTCAGCCTGTAAAATTATTATTAATACAATATAGATACCCAAACCAATTGCGTGGACATTATTGCGTAGATCAGTGTCCTCTCCTAGCCTCCACTGACGAGAGATGTTGATCTTCGAACCAGAATCTATTGTGATCCACCCTAGAAGAGGAATATAAGCGCTGCGCGCAGAAATCGACAGCCTCGGTGTGGGAGTAGTACTACCTTAAATGGAAGTGGGATGGAGTTATCTGCCGCGGCGCTGATTTTACATTAATGACAAACCATTAGTGATCGACCCAGTCCGGACCTTCCACCCTCTTTCCTTCCCTTCTGATTGCCTCCAACCGTATATATATCACTATCTTACCGGAAATTCCCGACGATTGAAACCCTCATCTGTTCTCCTGATAGACTTGATCTTCTCTTCTCCATTACAATTGAATTTGTTCTTTCGGAGTCGCATCTCGGTATCCGCTCTTCTCTGCGCACCGACCCGTATCGGCTTGACTCATTCACCTGTGAAAAAGAGTCGATTCTAACGTTCGGATTGGGTCTACAACCCCAATTGCATACTTCAGAATAGCCAGGCTCCTGGACTTAGATGGGCCTATCCCCAATAAAAAAGCGACAAAATCCAAACCACACATACACCTCTGCCCCGCTCGAGTGAGGGGCAAATATTCACAATCCAACATGCCTGCAGACACCGACCCTACCCTCCAATTCGATTCAATTGAAGATACAATTAAGGCTTTCGGTGAGTATCACTCCTCCCGCTTCTCCCCTCGCCAGTCACTCCACTTGCGCCGAGGGCGCACGCATGCGGAAACATCCCGAGGCAATTCCTCCCGACAACGCTAACCCACATGAATTTGAATAGAGCATGGAGAGTTCATAATTGTTCTCGATTCACAAGACCGTGAAAACGAAGGCGATCTTATCATCGCCGCTGAGGCGGTCACTTCCGCTCAGATGGCTTTCCTAGTTCGCTTTACAAGGTTGGTGGCCCCCTTACCACCGGAGATGAGATCAAAACGAATTACGACCCATCTCACCCGTATGCGTCTGTTATACCACAGTCGTTAACCTCTTCTTTCCTGATACAGTGGCTTAATTTGCGCTCCCGTTTCCCCCGAAATTGCCACCAGACTTAGCCTACCCCAAATGGTACTAGAGAATGCCGACCCGAAGGGAACCGCATACACAATCTCCGTCGACTCAAGTGATCCATCTGTTACCACCGGTATCTCAGCACAGGACCGCGCTCTTGCATGCAGAACACTTGCCTCCCCGACTGCACGTGCTGAAGATCTCCGGAGACCGGGCCACATCATCCCTCTTCAGGCTAAGGGCGGTGGTGTGCGCGAACGGAAAGGACACACTGAGGCTGCAGTCGAGTTCTGCCGCCTGACCGGAAAGACGCAGGCTGGCGTCATTGCCGAGTTGGTGGAGGACGGCGAGCTGGTCCCGGGTGTCCCAGAGATCGGTGGCAATAACGGTATGATGAGACGTGATGCGTGCTTGAGATTCGGTAAGAAATGGGGCATCAAGGTATGCACGATCGAAGACTTGGTTGAGTACCTCGAGAAGACAGACGGTAGCACTTCGGTTGTTACGAATGGAAAACAGTAAAGCGGTACAAGCACGACATGCTGATGTTTTTGTACGAATTTTTCTCCTCTCTTGGTTATTCTTTCTCGCATATCGTCGCGGAGTGCATGTTTATGACCTGATTTTAAGGCTGTTTTTGTAAGTACTATTGCTAAGCAACAAGTAGAGGGTGGGCGGGTATAAGGACATTTGGGTATTACATGGCCATTATGTTTTGGTTTTGGGGGAGCAGTTTGAGGCACCAGGGATAGATATACCTAGACTTGAAAATGTTCTAGTAACATATTTGCAAACTTACTTGGTGGCTCACAATAGGCATTGACCGTTCAAAGCAATTTGCTGGTGCATATAACGATAGAGAGACTTGGATAGGATGTTACCTATTATATACACACTCCACCAGTCCGATGACCAAAAGAGAAAGGAAAATAAAAAAAATCATGCGCCTGCTCGCAACGCTGTCTATGAGGAGCAGAAATGCAACAAATCTAAAAATATATGCCATGCAAACAGTGCTGTCTATAACCAATTCCTCCAAAGATATTTCTAGGGAGGCGGAGGAGTAGCTTTACAGCCCGAAACCTCCCATTCGCCGTACTTCATCGGCCTGTCTTTCTAAAGCTCTTCGCATCATCCGGGAATATTCACGCTCCTGCCGCCGTGCCTCACGTCTCTTGTTTCGTAACTCCTCGCGCGTAGCGGTGGCAACGTCCTCGCTGACATCCATGAGGTCGTCTTCCTCTTCCTCTTCACCAAAGTCACATGAATCGGCAAACCTAATGCGACCGACACGCTCACCTGTCCAGATAAGAACTTCGTCTCCCGTAAGATTTCCGCCGATGGGCAGGATCTTCCGAGCAACTTCATCGTTGCCGTGGGAGCTAGACGAGTTGTTCCAAAGAACACCGGTCTCTTCTTCATTGTTGTCTCTCTCATTGACCCCGGGCTCTGACAGTTGTTGATCATGCCTCCTACGAGGTTTGTATGTGTTGATGTTGAAACGACGAACCTCGGTCTTGCCGTCTCGTTCAACCCACTTGACGTTGCCATCTCCGTCGGAGTACACTATTCGAGTGCCATGTGACTCGACCGACAACACCTTTAAGCTTGCAGAGCTCTGCCGATTTTGGTATGCTGAGGTTAGGTGGGATGATAGACCTGGTGGGCCATTCTCTCCTTGTGCACCCGATGGCGTGAGATTGTATAGTTCAAGGGACCCTTTACCTTTGTATTCCCCGCAAGCGACAACTTTATGCGAGTCAGGCCAGGATGAATTAGCAAATACAGGGAACTGTGGCGCTGGGACAGAGGCAAGGCCACATAATCTACCTCCTGAGTAGATCGTGTTCTGCAACCGAGGGAAGAATCGCCGGTCATATTGTAAGATGCTTGGGAACCGTCCAGCGAGAAATATAGAATTTACGTGAGGAGCTGGAGGATGCAGTAGTGCAAGGGGTCCTGGTTGAAATAACGGAGCATAGTCGTCACTCACATCTAACGGGCTGGGGCTCCGTATACGATGGGGAGGCTGGCCGTTGGGTTGAAGTTGGAGAAGAGGCGAGTCTGGAGGGACATAGATCTGGGATCTTGGAACCAAAGGGAGCGTTGGTTTTTCGCATCTGAAATTGATCTCCTCTCTTTCCTCTGTTGCAGATAGTCGGCCGTCGTATATATGGAGGCTCAATGTGGTAGCAAGAGTCAAGGGCACGGAATAGTCTGTCTCTTGGGACAATGCAAAGATAGACCAGGGATAACGCTGTTGTGAGATCACCCTCAGGGTCTCTAGATCAACTTCGTTCAACACGTTGGCAACAGCAAGATATGCTCTCTGGCGAATCGAGTCGACGCTCACACATTCCCCCAAATTAATAAATTCCATCGCTGATTTTGCCGCCGATTTATCTCTCCGTCCTGATAAATTGGCCATCAGAATACCCGACTCGCTAACTCCAAGAATTCGGCCTTTGGTAGACTGTGATCCGATGGAATGGGAGTGATTAAGATCCCAAATGCAAACACTTCCATCGTCTAATGGTGCGACAGCTTTATTCTGCCGTGCAGAGCTCCAGTCCCGGAGCAACCCTAGGCCTTTGACCTCACGAGGTGCCTTTTTCCCCCGATCTTCTATTGCCAAGGGTTGCTGTAGCCAGTTAAAAGAGACCGGTCCATTACGGGCAATATACTCCGAATACCAATCGATATCTTCTCCCTCATAAGACGGATCCCACATTGCGGCCGCTCTTGCCCGTTCGCCGGATGACGACACAGTCTGGTCCTCATTCGAGAGCGAAAGATCCGGCTGTATTAAGGAGCGGAGAGAAGTCTGACCTAATGAGCTAAGGGGTGCAGTGGAATTAGTGACAAGGCTTCCTGAAGCCCTGCTGGCCGAATAAGAGACATCTGTTGCAGCCCATGACTGTTCATAACAATGGAGTCTCCAGAGATTATTGTCTCGTGCGAGTCCGAAGAATCTCTTGGAGACAGACTGAAGCTGGACTTGTTCATGTGGCGTGAGATCTAAGTGTTTCACAGGGGTGGTTAGCTCGTGTAGTGAACGTGTGCAAATGCTACTACAGGGCAAGGACCATCCGCACTAAGAGGCTGGAGTGTGGAGAATAGTATGAATTGGCTGGTGATCTGTGAGAAATGAGATCAAATGTTGCTTACAGTCGATTATCTTAGCAAGAATCTCTACGGGCAGCTTCTCCATGAGGAACGCTGGTCCCAAGGCACCATCGACGCCGGACAGATCCAATTGGGCTCACTCCAGAATGTGTGGGACAGACCGTCTCTCGTTGCCGGGTTCCAGACTGTTCTTTATAAATTCCCCCGCGATCAGCGAGTCCAGACTGACGTCACGTGGTGGCAGACTTTCGGTGGAGACTATATTACGGATTTTATGCCTCATTGATTAGGATTCAACTTCTGCTTCGGATTTATGAATTTATTTTCTTCTTCTTCTCCCGGCTTTTTTTTTTTAGCTCATACTATTCAAGTTTAGACAATTGTAGATCCAAATGGTGTGCTAAATGTTCGGCACCTAGGGCACGGGTTGACCACATTCATCTGAAAATCATCACATCCGTTGGCGATGCTTCTACTGGTATATAAAGGGACTCCACGCTATTCCTTGCATTACTTCACTCTGTATAAATCACCAATAACCTAAGCGCACCCGTAGGTTCCTTAATTCCAATTGATATCCCTTTACCCGATCCATCATAAATCATACTAATCATACACGAGAAAATCGAATACTAAGTCCCAAATGAAAAGAAGTAAATAGTCAGCCTGAGCCTTTAGGGAGTTTGAAGAGTGGATATGTAGTGACACCCTTTAGTCATCAGGCTTGTAGACAGCATCCTTGCAAAGAATTGCCACTCGCTTGAAGAAACGCCGCCATTCAAGCGGATCACCTTTCACTTTCATGAACTCGATCTCAAATAGGCCCTCCGATACACATTCGATAATGACTTTACCCTGCAGTGTGCACATCCGACCATCTTTGGTCATAATCCTTATCATTGCAGATGTGTCGCCTGCGGAGACTGCGGGCACCGAGGGAACGGGCACCCCCAAGCGATGCAGAGCCTCGCAGATGAGCGGCACAAGGATCTTGAGTTCCCACGTGGAGAAGAAGCGAGTCAGGGGCCGCGATGGAACTATGTCACGGAACTGCTGTGCCTTCTGCGTTCGGCTAAGTGGCACGCAAGGATGAGGGGAAAACTGCGACATGGACGGTTCATCTTCAAGCGTGTCGGCTACGAAGGTATCGTCGGCAGAGAGGGGCTGCCCTGTCGGTTGAGTAGATGAAAAGACATCGGTTAAATGAGGTGTATCCCAATCAACCAGCATGCCACCTTTCGGCATCTCAGGTTGCGTCGACGAGATCCTAAAGTCAGTGTCCATGTCTCCTATGTCCATGGCCATTCGACATGGATCGACACCGCTATTCGCCCGCCGAGCGAGTGGATCCTGAGAAAAGTCTATACGAAGAGACTCGAACATTGTTGTAGCCATGTTGATCGGATCTCGAAGTCTGCCATTCGGAGATAAGAATCGGTTTTGTCGTGTATACCAAGGGTGTCTTCGGACATCTTCCAAAGAGAACCGACTTGCGGGATCGATATTGAGCATGCCCCGTAGTAATGATAAAGTCGCAACTGGCAACGTTTGCCATAGTTCGTCACTTGTCCGTGAGTTTGATACAACATATTCATGGAACTCGTAGCTGTTTTCTGTGGGGCTATCCCAGGGCGTATTGCCAGCCAGGAGAACGAAGAGAACGATTCCGCATGACCAGATATCGACCAAATCTGGACGATAGCCTATCCCTTTCATATGATTTTTGCTACTGCAGGTAATGACCTCCGGTGCAATATAAGGTGGACTTCCGCAAAAGGTGGTGGAAAGCTTTGTCACCCCTTTATACTCGAACAGGGTTGCCAGGCCGAAATCAGCGATTTTCAAATTTCCGTCGGCTGTCAAGAGCATGTTTTCAGGCTTAATATCACGATGGCCCACACCCTTCGAGTGCATGTATCCCACTGCGCTGACAAGTTGTGAAAAATACACATGGGCGATATCTTCCCCTACGCCTTCATCGGCTTCAATCTTATCAAAAAGATCACCTCCCTCGGCCAATTCCATGGCGATCCATCGCCAGACGTCATCCTCTCCGGTTTGAAAGAATGATATTATATTATTATGATCACCGATGTGCTTATGCACTGTCGCTTCCATCTGCAATTGCCGTGGGCTGATCTTGCCATGTCGAGCGGCATATTCTTTATGGATGAACTTCACGGCAAAGATAGGACTATCTGTGTGCGATGGAGACGCCTTTTTTATGCTATACAAGGGCATAAGAAGTATTAGCAAGTTACGCTCTGCATCGTAACAAACATGAGATGATAGGGGAAAAAAACAAACCATGCGTAGGCACCCTGGCCGATTGTCTTGGAGACAATGCGAAAGGGCAAATCATTTGGCAGCGGGGCGAGCTGAGAGTGATGCATCTTGAGGTGGCTCACCAAGAGCCTTATTGTAGTAAACCAATAGGACTGGATATAAACGACTGAAAGGCCCCTATCATACAAAGGTCGGGCTTGGATGCATTATCCTGGTATGTTGAGAGCATAGGTAAGGGTCAGGATGGCTAAGAGGCGTGAGAAACGCGGCACGCGAATTGCCACTTTATCCTTTTTGGGTAATATGTTGATCCGCCGGGCGCAACATCATGATGAGAGACAAAACATGGAGTAATAGAAACATAGAAGAATAGTTGAAAAATCAGATACTGATAGACATTTAAGTCATGTAAAGGGGACCTGGATGTCTTGTATAACACAGACCAAAAACAACACATTAAATTTAATCCAATTTTTTATTCACCTGAAAAGGTTGGGGAACCGTCATGAAAAAGAGGATTGAAGAATGGCTGCCCCGGGGGGGAGTCAATGCCCGTCATGCATTTCTGGACCCGCAGCAACGAATCACTGCCATCTTTGAGTACATTAAGTCAGTGCTTTTTAGCAACTTAGGCAGTTGAAAGAAGACCAGAAACGGATGGTGAAATCGAACTGCAGACAAAAACTTAAGACTACATGACCATTGCACGGGGCTATTCCCTGAGAGGACCAGATTATAGAAAAATTTCCGATATCATCTCACGAGGCAGTTGCACAGAAAAAAAGTAAAAAACAAAAAAACAAAAATGTATTATTGAACGCTCGATCTGATAGCGCCTCGAACAAGTCAGATGGTGCTAGATCAGGCGGGGCTTTGCCTGCGTTGCCGGGGTGCAATTATTTGGGTGCCGTCCTTTGCATGCAGTAAACAAAAAGAGCAAGAGAACGAACGATCTGAATGGCTTCCTGCTTGCCTGTTTGCAAAACCACCCTGGGTCCTTACCAGTCTTGAAGTTAATTGGAAGGCCGCTTTGTCTATCTCTCTGTCTCTGTGTATCCCTACATTGCCCTTTTCGAAAGTCAATCCTGTAACTTTCTGTTGTTCTGCATCCGATCAGATCCTTTGCGGTTTATTCTGTGGGTCGTCCCGTTCACTTCCAGCCAACGGCGGTACTGCATTCGCATCCGGCGTCATTCCAGACTACCAACCCTCTCCTGCTACCACTGTCAACTCACATTCCACACCCTCCCGGAAATCCATTTTTTTCTTCTTTTTGTTCTTTGGTTCAAAAAGAAGTCAAATATCTCTTCTTTACTTCTTCGTTCCCTTGGGAAGGTTATTATGGACTACACCATGGAAGACACTCAGAACTCCGCTCCTGAGGCCCGTGAGGCGTCTAAGCTGAACTCAGCACCTCAGCGGAGTGACAGCCAAAGTGTGACCAAACGGTACGATGCCTGAGATAAATAGAGGGGAATTTGTCTAGGCTAACCTCGCTACTCATTCATGTAGCCTTCAAGCCGAACTGATGCAGCTCATGCTCTCGCCTTCCCCTGGTCTCTCAGCATTTCCCAACGCCGATGGCAACATGCTTTCCTGGACTGCCACCATCACCGGACCGAACGAGACTCCCTATGAAGGCTTGACATTCAAACTCTCGTTTGCCTTCCCTAACAATTACCCCTACTCTCCACCAACCGTGCTTTTCAAGACGCCTATCTATCACCCTAATGTCGACTTCTCTGGCCGAATCTGTCTAGACATCTTGAAAGACAAGTGGAGTGCCGTGTACAATGTGCAAAGTGTCCTCCTGAGTCTCCAAAGCTTGCTAGGGGAGCCAAACAAGTGAGACGCTGGTATTCCTGGATATGACATCATTTTACTGACCATTGAGTAGTGCAAGCCCCCTCAACGCTCAGGCGGCCGAACTGTGGGATACCAATCAGGAAGAATACAAACGTCATGTCCTTGCGAGACATCGCGACGTTGAGGATATCGAGTAAAGTGTAGTGACTTTGGACGGCCGTTGCCGCGGCGTGGCGTTTAGGACAGACCGTGTTTCTTTTGGATGCATTGCATAGGGTCTGTGCGTCTTCGTTTCTTGAGACGTCTCTCGGGAGACTTAGATCACTCCTGCATTTTGGCTCGGGGGTAACGGTTCAATGCATAACGGATACATTTGGTTCTGGAGTTCGTGCGTTGGGTTTACCTTCTTTTTTGGGGACCGCGGGTTCAACTCAAGTATTAAGAGTGCCCGTGCCCGCGGAATAAATATGTTCTTTCTTTTTATTTCTAATTTAATACCTGCTACAACCCTAGTATTCAAGTAACCTTTTACTTAGCGCCTCTTGCGTATCAGTATGCCATGTATATCCGGCAGCTCAGCCGTACCGGTACTCGGCAGAGCGGCTACCCGAGGATTATCCCGTAGACCTCCAGGATCCACCTTGATCGATAAAAACCCAAGCCAATCAGAGAGGCCAACGCCCTCTGGAATCGATTTAATTGCGAGTCAGAGGCTTTCAGGGCTTTGCTGTAACGGGTAGGTCAAGTTTTTTCCGTAGGAGGATACACCTTGGTAGAGAACTTTTTAAGTCAGAGCCTATGGACAGACCCGTGACTAGAATAGCCGTATTCGTTTCCGACAATGAGTGGAAGGATTCAAGGGCTTGCAACTGTTAGCGAGTAGCATTATGTCCCAGCCCAGTCAAAGTAGTAATGGAGAGGCGTATTGCCAGGTATCTATGTAGGCATGTCTGAGTCGATGACATCACCAAATTTGAATACAAAGATAGTGAAAAGTAAATCAGAAATTTCGTGTAGTATTTACTGCTCACAGAGCAATGGTCAGGAAGCCCTGATTAGGGTCATAGTCTCATAGAAGAGTAGAGATCCTGAGCACCTGGTCTCGTGTAGATGAATACAAGTATAGAAATACTTCAGTTTCGAGATAGGAAATAGCGCAAATCGAAGGAAATCAAGAACACTAGCAATTAGATAGTACATTTCAGAGAGCACAACTTTCCTCAGGTCCAATGTCCCCGCATTGCTTTAGGATGAGGAGAGGTATTGTTCCTCGTTGGTGATCAGGAGGCCTGCAATGGCGGCACTCGTGAGAGTACTGATGGCACCCGTGAGCATGGCACTAACGGCAACGCGAGAGACATCGCCAGCTCGGCTGGGTGCTAGCTGAGCCAGCACCCCAATTTGGTTTCCGAGAGAGCCGATGTTAGCGAAACCGCAAAGGGCATAGGTTGCAATCAGTCGGGAACGAGGCGATAGGGATTGGTACTCTTGCTCGTGCAGGAGAGAATCATATGCGATGAATTCATTCTGCGCAGGTTGTGTTAGCATGTCTGTTGATATTTCGAGGTTAAGGTATCAGGACTTACCATCACAAGCTTGGTTCCAATGAGTTTGGCGACCTTGAGAAGATCACCGTTACGGGAGACACCCAAAAGGAAAGCGATCGGGTAGCAGAGGTAACCAACAATGAGTTCAATGGTCAAATCTGGTTCGTAGATGTTCAGATAGTGGCCCCACCAGGTCAACAGGCCGTTCACGAGACCAACAAGAGAGATGATACACAAAAGTGTGGTTGCAATCATGCCTGCAATTTTGATACCCATCCAAGCTCCATTGGAGAACGCGTGAAGGGCGTTAGCTGCTTTATGACTGTCGTCTTCGGGAACAACGATACGGCCAGCCGTCAGCGTTTCCTCTTCCTCAGGCCAGCGTAGCTTAGATGCCGCCACGGATGCTGGAATACTCATCACACATGATGAAACCAGCGCTTGGGGATTCAGACCCATGCCAATGTAGGACACTAAAACTGATCCTGCGATGGTGGCAAACCCAGAGCACATGACTTGGTGGATTTCGGCCATCGTGAGATAGGGGACGAAAGGTTTGATAAGCATGGCTGACTCGCCTTGTCCGATGAAGGGAGAAGCAGCTGCTACCACTGCCTCAGCTCCCGAGATGCGCATACACCAGAAGAAGAATACGGCAAACTTGCCCACTGCCCACTGGAGAACACCCGTGTAGTACAGTAACTGCACTATAGACACGAAGAAGATGATGGCCGGAACCACACTAACAAGGAACCAGCTCTTGTGGTTAATCGCCCAACCCTTTTCCACCAAAAAGTCCACACCTTTCCTGGAAAACTCCAGGAGCTCTCTTGCCAACATAGAAATGAAATTGAAGATATCGTAGCCAGCCTTGGTTCTGAGGACGAAGAGGGCTATGATGAACTGTACAAGCATTCCCACGATGACGGTATGCCAGACAATCTTCTTCCGATTTCTCGAGGTAAGCCACAGAACAAAGAGGAAAACTACTAGCCCAAAGAGACTGACAGCCCGATTCGCTCGGGTGTTGTCTGCAGACTCCGGTGACGCAAATGAGCCAACGACAATCACTGCGATCGTCAGCAGCGCACCGCTGGGAACTCTCAGTTTTTCTGGAATGAAGCTAACGAATCTCGAAGCAGTCTGGCCCCACACCCAGTAGACTGGTCTAGTGATGATCGAGACGGGAACATAGAGAAAGATGATGCGCAGGGTGATCGCGAGGTAGATCAAGAATGGAATCAACCACCCCAGATCATACCGATGGAGGATGAGACCGGCAATCCACCAGCTAGAAGTGAAATAATGAGCTTTGAAAGATCATAGGTACCTCGCTGACCGCGCGGCCTTGACAGCTTGAAGAAGGCCTAACTCACCCTGTGAACAAGAGCCAGATGACGGCGTAGACGACATGCTTCAACCAAGGGCGATAGCGGCGCCATGACCGCGAAGGGAAGTTTTCACCTGCTTCCTCGTCTTTATCGTTCTTCTTCTGGCCATTGCTGTTCAAGGAACTGGACTCTGGTATTTCTCTCTTCTCGGAGTGCACATCTTTCGAATAGGTTATATCCTCCTCGATATCCCTTTGCGTCAAGGTTGTATTAGGGACTGAGCCATGATTCTGTGGCGTTGCTCCACTGGGAGGAGAGATCGCGTGGCTCGCCAACGCGTCGGTGCCCCCCAGTTTCTTCTCGTCCGTCATCCCCGCGTGTAGCTTGTACCGTATAAGATAGTAGGTAAGCTATCCCGTTAATCTCTTCAAAGTGGTGGCGAAGTCAAAATTGGATCGATCTTTCGCCAGCGGGGTAGCACAAGGGAGGGGGGATGAGAATTAATAAGGTTTTATTGAAGGCATGGGCACGTAGGTGAATTGATTGGGGAATGAGAATAATGTGATAATGAAATTGTGTGGGAGAGGAGTTAAGAAAATTTCAGCTCAGGAAATGTCCACTTGAGATAAGGCCCCCCCCAGTTACGAAAGACTGACCCGATGCAAGGCTGGGACTTATCAGTTGACAACCAAGTGAGCGGGGATAGTATAAGTTCTTAACCTTAAAGACCTAAGGTATCGCATGGCATGGCATGGTGTTCTCAACTATACAAGGCGCTAGTGGCTAGTGTTTGCAATTCTTCTACGGCGGTTCTGGATGTCCAGCAAAAAAGTTTCTTTTTCCCTCTTTCCCTCCCCCATGTTCTCGCCGATTCCTGTGTTGTTGGAGCAAATGTGCTACTACAACCGGTGGCTGGAAGGTGGATTCAACCAGTAAAGGAAAAGAAAAATTGAAAAATTTTTCCAACAGGAAGCCAGACCATCTCCACTTTTTCCAATGCCAGTGTGTGTGGAGAGTGGCAAAGATCTGTATCAGTTGTTGTTCCTCTTTCTTTTTTTTTCTTTTTCTTTTTTTTGTTTTTTTTTTATGCTTTTTGGTGTCTGACGATAAGACTGTTGCAACGCTAAAACGTCGCTAGGGGCAAGATTACACGCCTCCAGCCGTAGATTGGCGGAAGATCAACAATGCGGGAGGCGAGAGTTTCTCTTTAGTATAAATCTCCGCATAGAGGACTTGGTCGTGTGCCGTCCTCGCTAATTTAGGTTAATGCCGTTGTCGTTATCTCCATTCGAGATTGGCGGCAAGAGCGAACAGGTATGTAGATACTAGTAATTTTTCTTAGTACCCACGAAGTACCCAAGTATTCCTCCCAGCCACATTGAGATATGTGTGTAGTTTATAAGGTTAGGGTTAACCACTAATACACCGAACCATGGTTGCTGCAGTTTGAATACAGTTTCCATTTGAAAACGATATCCACCTAGCTGCTAAATTTCATCGACCTACCACCAACTCCCAGGCACTGAAGGAGGCACCACAGTGGGTGTACTGTAGCTCCCAGCCTCTCTGGAGTACATGAATTACGCTCAAATGGGTAAAGCTCACCGATGCTAACGTTATCTCCGATTCATGTGCCAAGCCCACCAACAATAAACTAAAACAACCTGTCCGATTGTCTGAATGAGCAAATGAATACGTTTGTATCGGAGTACGCCGGAGGTTACAAGTTTGCCTTTGTGCGACAACAGGCGAGGGCTTGTGATAGGGTTCGATAAGCTTGCGGAATGCCAAGACCGCTTCCTTTCCTTGATTAAGGTGACATTGATATACCTCTTAAGTACGGTTCAGTTTGGACTGTCAGATTTTGGTCTTGATACAGAAAGAGTCATAATAGCGACGATCCGGGGTATTTCACCAATTGGGATCGTCCGTTACTCCATGATCATGCCTGTAATTTAGCAATATAGACCACCTACCAAAGTTCCCCCGTATCTCATTCATTATTGACTTACAGATTGCAAGGTGACGTTACATCGATGACACATCATTTCCGGTATCTAGGCCTTTTCTTTGTGCTGACTGAATCAATTGATCACATGTCTCAAAGGTTGCTGCCGGTCAAAGGGACGAGTTTTACGGAGTACTCCGTAGATAGCTGAGTAGGTATCCTAGACGGAGTAAATAACCTATAGCGATACTCATACTGCAGATGAAGGCGGCAATTCAGATAAAGTTCGAATGGTCCGCAAACAAACATGGATGGCCCACCATACCTGAAGCGGGGAACCCCTGTACTGCCATAGATGATCCGCCCCTCTCTCCAGATGGACACCCACTAGCTTCTCTTCAATCAAGCTATAGTTTTCGCCATGGCATCGAATGATATCGACTGGGAGATAGAAGAAGGGATACCTCAGGTTGACGATCCTTTCATTCAACAGTACCTGAATGGCCGTACCTCCCTCATATTGGAGGAGCAAAAGCAGCGATATGGTCGGTTTCCCACGAGGAGTCCATCGACTGTCACTAACCGAATTTTCTATCCTAGACACCAACCTTCGCAAGGCCTTGTCGCCAGTGGCTACGAGAGCATGCGAGATCTTTTCCAAGATACGCGACCGGGATCTGGCAACTTTAGGGCCAAATGAGGGAGATCGCCGCCAGTCAACCCCCATACCCCACCTCTTAGAGGATCAGGCGCAGAGGACCAAATTATGGAAGGTCTTACAGAAGATGCCCAAAGGGTCACTATTACATGCGCACATTGAGACGATGTTAAATATCGACTTTATAATAGAGGAGGCCTTTACAACATCGGGCATACACGTATACGCTCCAAAGCCTTTGATCACTCAACGTGACTATGAAGAAGGTCTTCTCTACTTTCAGTACTCACCGGTACAGAGCTTGGAGAATGAGCCAACCGTCTGGGAAGCTAGCTACAAGCCCTCTAGCTTGATCAGTGTACAAACGGCAGCCTCATCGTTTCCGAACGGAGGGGAAGCTGGGTTTCGTGGTTGGCTGAAGAGGCGATGTATTCTCACGCTAGAGCACCCATACCATCAGCATGGAGACAGTGGCATGTTGAATGTCTATAGAAGTCTATCACCTGTTGTTATTTCGCTTCTGAGTTATGAGCCTATACTCCGCTCATGTCTTCGTCGGATGTTTTCGCAACTTGCTGCCGACGGCATCAACTATGTGGAAATCAGAAACGCCTTCGCATTCCCGTACAGGCGGGAAGGAAGCGCGGCTCCTGAAAAGGACTACTCTGAATGGTGTCGTGCGTTCCAGGAAGAGCTTCAACGCTTCCAGAGGATGGAAGAAGGGCAGTCTTTTTGTGGAGCACGCATCGTCTGGACGGCCTCGCGCACACTGTCGAACAGAGAGATGTGCGAGAGCATGATACAATGTATTTTAGCAAAACTGGACTTTCCAGCGGTGATCTGTGGGTTTGATGTGGTTGGGCAAGGAGGCCACGCAAGGTCACTTGTCGACCTCGTACCCATGTTATTTTGGTTCCGAAAGCAATGCGCCGAAGAAGGGGTGGAGATCCCGTTCCTTTTCCACGTGGGGGAATATCTAGGTGATGATAAACAGACTGAACACGACTTATTCGACGCGATTTTGCTTGGAACTAGAAGAATAGGTCCCGGAGAGTCGCTTTATAAGCATCCCTTGCTCCTTGAAATGATCAAGGAAAAGAAGATTCTTGTCGAGTGCTGCCCTATCTCGAAAGGTGTTGCTAGTCCAACAGACTCGCTCTCTGTTCTCTTGTCTCGAGGTGTTCCCGTCTCTCTTTGCGACTATCCTCTGGCGATGACCCAATATGGCATGACTGGGCTAACAGCTGAATTTTGGTTGGCACTTCAGGGCCCCGACAATCTAGAGCTTCCGGGGCTTGCGATGATGGTGGAGAATTCAATCCGGTGGAGCTGCTATGAGGACCAGTCGACAAGCGAATGGCTCTCTGATATCCAAGAGGGGATTTTGGGAGAAAGAACCAAGGCCATGCGTTTGCGGGAATGGTACACTAGTTTCGAGAAATTTTGCGAGTGGATAGCGCTGGAATTCGCAGAAACAGATATATCTTAGCTTAAGCCTCAGGGACAAGAAACGGGGAGAGGCTGATGAAATTAATAACTAATGTATAATACCACCGAGATCTTGCACTCTAGCTAGCAACAAGACTCGTCAGGACCATACTCATGGTCAGCATGGAGTGTATACAACAATACCCATAGTAGGTATTGAATGCAGACGACTTACTAACGTGAACATCTAGTCACGTGGATGGGAAGAATGTTGATGATGCGATAAATCCAATCCAAATGATGATCAGAGATCTACCTGGAAGGTAGTCATAGTTATTTGCTTCCATCCATACTACTCAGTACCCGGGCTAGTCTTAAGCTTAGCGAATCCTGCATTATTACAGGATTAGTAGTATTTGGCCTACTACTGGTATTGAGTCCACATTTTGTTGATAGAGCTACTAGTGAAGGAATGTACGGATTAGAGAAACAAATATTAACAGAGGTCTAGTCTCCAGGGTTCGATGTCGATGCCACTAAGGAAACAGCACATTAGAGGGGGGTGACATGAAGAAGATCCATCACGCGTAGGCTCCAGCATCATGGTTCACCGGACAAGCTTAATCAGAACAGTTGATTATTCTCCCCAATTAGTACACCTTTACAAGCGACCATCGACAGCTCAATACCATCCACTACTGAAACGACGGATATTCAACGTATGTATGAGTTGTCACGGCGTTATTAAACTTGGCTTCTCGGTCCACTTCCAATGATGATTAGCTCCACATGACTTGCGGCGGTTGATCCGACCCTCGCTATCTGATGATTACCTTACTCGTACTAAACTAACTAGCGCTGGTTCCCCCGAACGTCATTTTAATCGGTACTTGCCCAACAACCCTCCGCATCTGTTTGTCCCCTTGGGGGAAGCTTCACATTTACAACACATACGCCCAGCTATTTTTTTCCTTTTTTTTTCTTTTTCTTTTTCTTTTTCTTATTATGATACTCGCCCGATGACACCTGCGATCTTTAAATGAGCCCCGGCCGGCTCCTTCTCCCACAAAAATGGCTTACTTCTTGCCCTCTTTTTTTCAGAAGCGGTTGCTCAGATATGCCTTGTCTCGTCTGGAGCTTGTCGACACTGAAGCACTAGATCTGGATAGACTGGGCATCCACTGGGGCCAACGTAGTACCGTCGAACTACGGGACATAGGTTTGAGGCTCGAGGTGAGTGAAATGATGATCTCTGGCTAGTGCCGGGCCGAGCGTCTCTATGCTTCTTGTTTCGGTGTACTGATATCTATTTCTCCTTAACTAGAAATTGGCCACGCTCCTCCACCTACCTCCATCAAGCGAGCTGCTCAGTGCCCGCGTTCGGTTCCTGAAGCTCACAGTCCCCGCCGACATCTACAGCAGCGGCATAATATGTGAAGCTAGCGGGATCGATGTGCATTTAAGGCTACCGTTAGAGGAAACACATGATGCAACAACTAGTCAGAGGCCCTCAGGCACGGATGGTCATAGTGCCGGGGATGACCCAATTCTCCCCAACCCGACCGATCTCGCTGAATCATTCCTTCAAGCCGAACCGAAAGAAGAAAAAGAAGAACTGCAGGCTGCTATTTCCTCGCGATCCCAGGTTCTGCAGCATACATCGACCTCTCTGAGCGATGATGAAGAGGAGCTCGGCGTGGGCAACGAAACCGTATCGTTGCCCAGTTTTATTGCTGCATTCCTGAAGGGGGTCGTTGACCGACTTCAGGTTCAGGTTGACGATATATCCGTACGCGTGGATGTAGAGACGAAGCAGGAGGGCTCATCTAAAAGGCATCCAGAGGAAAAGCCGGACTTAATAACGGGGTTGTTAAGTATACGTCAGATCAGCATGGGTGCAGTGTCCACCCACTCCGAACCAGTTGAAGCCTCATTATCTGACGGGAAACGATTAGTTTCCCTGTCAGATATCCATCTCGCTTTAGTATCCGAGCCGATAGTCTTCTCAAATTACTCTCGTTTTGCTGCCCCTGCCTCCCCGTCCACTCCGGTACAACCGAAGTCCAGCCAGCCTCCAAGTAGGGTCCCGTCGCCTTCGCCCGAAACCTCGTCAGAATCAAGTTTGGCTCTAGCCATGACAAGATCGACTATTCTCGAGCCACCACAGGATCTTGCTCTTCCAGGAATAGGAGAGCGAGATACGCCCGAGATCGAAGGATCCGTTTACACGTATGACGGTCGATTCTCGGATGCTGATACAGAGGAGAACAGGAGCTATAGCTCTCTTGATAATTCTCGGCAGTTTGAAGATGAAGAGCTACTGGACAACCCTGCTTACCTTGATTCAGCTATCAATTTTCAATTTCATGATGATCCTGAGCGACTAGATGCTCTACAACACGCAGGCAATCAGCTTCTTCCGAGAAAGAGGGATACCCCTCGTCCTCAAAGTCCAGACTCGCATATAACTGAATCGGCAGACCCCAACAATCATCTCCAGAAAGCCTTAGTACCCGTCAACGACCGCCAGGATCTGGAAGTCGCCAGTTTTCCAAGTCACCAGCGTTCTTTGGAAGTAACTGGAAGCATGCCCGAATCCATGTCATCCGTATTAATATATAATCAACAATTGCCTCTTGTCTGTGCAACGCCTTCCGAACCCGATAGCTTAAGCTCAGCTTCTGAATCCTTCAAGGGTGGTGATCTCTCGGAATCGAAACTGTTCTCCAATGAGGAAGCACAAAGCTTGTATATGAGCGCTATTAGTCAAGGTTCGGTATCGGCGAGTTTCGTGCCTAACATGCCTGGTGCTTGGGACTCGCCGGAGTATCCTACGCCCGTGAGGGATATAGAAGTCCATGAAACCTCTACGGCTATGGTGCAGACGGATAACGAGCAAGATAAAGTAATTACAACACCTAAGCTTACAGCCCAGGAGGGGATATCTTTGTCACAGGCGCGCTCCGTGCACAACCTCCAAGAGGCACGGTCTGAAACGACTGATAAAGAATCTATTCACACATTGCCGGGATTTAACAGACTCGCAGAGGTAGCGAAGAGGTTCGTCAGTGTGGATAAAATTTTGATATGGATACCTTCCATAAGTCATGAAGGAAAGCCGCCGGGAAATTCACCATCGGCACCACACGAGGGTTTTCCAAGTGATAGCGTTGATGATTCAACTGCAAACTTGCAGCGCTCAGTGGTTGATGATGATCTGCTGGCGTCCAGATTTCACAACGCTTCGGGTATCCGTAATGATTCTAATGATCCATCCTTTCCACCTGAAGGTGATAACCCTCGAGGTTCGCATTATCCGGCGGAAGCTGAGCATGATGCTGGTTCCCGTAGCGAACATGGTGAGATCGCTGTCGAGATGCTGTCTGGGGAAGTGCAATTTGATATTGCTATAGGCTGGCTTGTTACCAAGATTAGCCAAAGAATTGTCCACGCTTTTGACCAGGGCAATGGTGAGACTCTAAAGCAACGCCATTCGGAAAGTGATGAACAAACACAAAAGCCTTTCAGCCTATCACTCAACAGGTTTTCTATCAAGTTTGTTGAGCATGTCCCAGGTTATGCAAACCCTTTTGGGGAGTCTCGACTGCGGTCCCCAACATTCTTCAGCTTAATGCACGAGGACATCATTTTGCAAACTACAGCATCTGGCTTGAAGGCTCACTGTTCAGCAACGAATGACAAAACCAAGCTTCGCTTAAGTATAGCCAAATTTGCTCTCGGGTTTGCCTCAGAAGACCTTATATCATTCAATGAGGATTTGAAGATGAGGGAATCCACGAGGGATGTTTTATCACCCATGCACGGAGATATCTCGGTTTCTCTGGTAAAGTCATTGGACTCTGCGAGAGTTGACATTACTACGCTGCCACTCCATCTCAATCTCAACATACAGCGTTTGGAGGAGGTTGTAGGGTGGTTCGGCGGTTTAAGTACAATTCTAGAGCTTGGGAGTTCCATATCATCTGCCTCAGGTGTGAAAACACCAAAGAAAGACCTACCGAAGCGGCCACGTGGTGTACATTTCGAAGCATCACCTTCTCCTGGAAAACTTCCTCAGAGTGCCTCTGCACCCTGGAAAGTGAATGCACGGGTCGGCGGGATTGCACTCAATGTTGTTGGGGAATCTCATTACCTCAAGCTGAGAACAACTGCGGTTAAAATTGTCAGTAGATTTGAAGGCGTGGGTGTCCAGATTGATAAAGCGAAGCTTAGTGGGCCCTTACCTCTTGATGAGTCCAAAGATGCGCCCGCTAAAATCAATCTGAGCAACATACGAGTTGAGTACCTCTACGCGCCGAAAGAGGTCGATTTGGACCGGCTGCTCTCGTTGATCACGCCATCTAAAGATAAATATGATGAAGATGATGATATCATGCTGGATACGCTCTTCCGACAGCGGCGACAAGGCTCTGTGCTACGGACTACAATCGCCGGGGCAAAGATCGTGGTTTCGCGTACTGCTGACTTTGACTCACTGCCACAGCTCGGGGACGAATTAAGTAGGCTATCGAATGTTGCAAAGTACTTACCTGAAGACGACCGGCCTGGTATCTTGACACTCAATCTAATCCGGGACTTTGAAGTACAAGTACATGTCGGAAGTAAAGTTGGAGACATAACGGCACGCCTCAAGAATGCTGAGGCAGCGTACATTAGCATCCCTTCGCTTGTCGCTATTCAGGTTGGGTCGGCTATGGTGGTTAGAAACGGAACCGAGGAGCTCTTAGGGGAAGCGCTTCCGTTGAATGTCGAGCAAAGCTCTGGTCAAACTCCGCACCCCGTACTCATGGCCCGTTTGATCGCCGACGAAATGGAACCCACCATCAAGGTCAAAATTTATAACCTGCGCGCAGAGTACGCAGTGCCAGCAATTGTTGCATTTCTCGGTCTCAATGATAATTCGACAACTAGTGATCTTGCTTCCAACATGGCACGGTCTCTCGGTAATCTAGCGGAGCTACAGCCTTCAAAGAACTCCCAAACGACAACGAAGTCGGGGAGTTCCAAGGCACCTGCACGGCCTACTAGGTTAGCATTGGCTCTGCGAGACTGCGTCATCGGACTCAACCCTCGTGGCTCGGAGGCAAAGGGCCTTGTTGTACTCACAAACGCCAATTTCTCGGGTGTTATGGGCGAAGAAGCGTCCTCCGAAGCTACATTGGATCTTCGCAAAGCATCAATTATGATCATTGACGACGTGCAAAATGTGGGAAACATAGATAACCTGCATCGAAGAAATTCGTCCGCTCCAACGAGTAGCCAAGTCCAATCCTTCATCGATATGGGCTTTGTACCCATTTCATCGATATCATCAGCAACGGCCACTGTAAAATTAACGCGCTCAAGCGAGGACGGGGCACAGTCGCTAGATGTGGAACTTAGAGACGACTTGTTGATTCTTGAAACATGTGCCGATTCAACACAAACTCTCATAAGCATAGTGAACGGACTACAGCCTCCTACTCCTCCTAGCGTGACCAAGAAGTATCGGACCGAAATTCTTCCACTTCAAGACATGTTAGCATCGTTTTCCGGCGATGCCTATGCTCTAGATTCAAGCTCGGGCCATGAAGGGACCCCTAAGGTAACTGGCGGTTCTTCGCAAACATTTCAGGATAATGAAGGCCATATCGAGGATGAGATTGAGTACGTCAGTAACTTTTACCCCGCGAAGCCAACATCTGGAGCCGGATCTTTCCACGAAGCTATGATGGCCTCTGGATCAAACGAGCTTCTGGACAGTTTCCACTCTCAGTACTATGTATCATCTAGCGTCTCCGACCTCGAGTTCCATGATGATCATTTTGCAAAGCAGTCAGACGTTGGGGGTACAGCACATAGGTGGGATTCTGCTGAAAATACTTATGGCCTCTCCGATGACACGAAGCTCCAGAAGAGCCCTCTGCGAGTCAGGATTCGGGATGCTCATGTCATCTGGAACCTCTTCGACGGATATGACTGGCAGCGGACAAGAGATACAATATCAAAGGCAGTCAAGGACGTAGAGAGAAAGGCTACAGACAGACGTGCTAGAGCCAGTCGAGCCTCTCCAAGTTTCGATGAAGATGAGGAGTCTGTCATCGGCGATTGCCTGTTCAACTCGATATATATAGGCATTCCCGCCAACAAAGATCCCCGAGAGCTCCGCAGCGATATCAACCGTAATATTGATGATCTTGTCAGTGAAACCGGCAGCTATGCGACCACAACCACAGTCACAGGAACTACGGCACGGCAAAGCCAGCCACCGTCTTTCAGGAAGAGACTACGGCTGGCTAGAAGCAAATATCATAAGATGACTTTCGAACTCAAGGGTATATGCGCCGATCTTGTCGTCTTCCCGCCAGACTCCGGGGAGACGCAAAGCTCCTTAGATGTTCGAATCAGTGACTTAGAGATATTTGACCATGTGCCCACATCAACCTGGAAAAAATTTGCCACCTACATGCATGAAGTGGGTGAAAAAGAAAGCGGAACCAGCATGCTGCACTTAGAGATCTTGACCGTCAGGCCTGTTCCTGAGCTTGCTGCATCCGAGATTGTCTTGAAGGTACGTAAAAATGGGAGCCCCTTCTAACCATCTCCTGTAGAGATCTAACAAAAATGTCTAGGCCACTATACTTCCCCTAAGGCTCCATGTTGATCAAGATGCACTTGACTTCTTGTGCCGTTTCTTCGAATTTCGGGATGACTCCGCGCCTGCTCCTAGTACCCCAGAAGACATCCCATTCCTACAGAGAGTTGAAATCAATGCGGTCCCAGTCAAACTTGACTTCAAACCTAAGCGGGTCGATTATACCGGCCTTAGATCTGGACGCACAACTGAGTTCATGAATTTCTTTGTCCTAGATGGGGCAGATATGGTCATGCGCCATGTCATCATCTATGGAGTATCTGGATTTGACAAGCTTGGCCAGACCCTTAATGATATATGGATGCCAGATATCAAGAGTAATCAACTGCCAGGGGTTCTCGCTGGTCTCGCTCCGATCAGGTCCCTAGTCAATGTGGGAGGAGGAGTCAAGGATCTTGTGGTAGTCCCCATGCGCGAGTATCGCAAGGATGGTCGCATCGTGCGGAGTATCCAGAAGGGGGCGCTTGCCTTTGCCAAGACTACCTCTAATGAGCTCGTGAAGCTCGGCGCCAAACTCGCCATTGGCACCCAAACGGTCCTGCAGGGCGCAGAAGATCTGTTGACATCTCCCAATGCACAGTTAGGTGGCGCGGAGGACGATCTGGTCGACGAGGAAGAGGCTAAAAGGATCTCTCTTTATGCGGATCAGCCAGTTGGGGTCGTCCAAGGCCTCCGGGGAGCATTCAGGGGATTGGAACGTGATTTGCTCCTGACCCGAGATGCCATCGTTGCTGTCCCTGGAGAAGTTGTGGAGAGTGGAAGTGCCAAGGCAGCTGCAAAAGCTGTCTGGAAACGTGCCCCGACAGTTATTCTTCGTCCTGCAATCGGAGTGTCGAAGGCCGTAGGACAAACGCTTTTGGGAGCCGGTAATACCCTGGATCCTAGCAACAGGCGGAAAATGGAAGATGTAAGCTTTTTCACCTTAACCCCCCAAGATTTTGGCTGGAGTATGTGTTGACCCTTTCTTCTTAGAAATATAAACGCCACTAGAGATTTTGCTCGACATCTTGCTCACCACTTATCCCCGCGGGGTCATTTACTATCCTAAGGATCATTTTTCAATTCACCCTTTTATTCCTACGTCATTCTGTTGTTTAATATGCGAGGATAGGTTACTCTAAGTAACCGTACATAACTGAGCAGACCGACAAGCAGGCGGGTACCTGAAATCGAGTTAGCCGTCCGGCCTTTGCGTTTTGGACCATGATGATGACGATATAACGATGCTATCTTGATTCCCATTGTTACTCCTGATACGCTTCTATTTTTCCTTTTTTACTTGTTCTTCTTTTCTTTTGGGCCTGTTGAAATTGAAGCATGGCTGGTGTTTGGCTCGGAGTATTTTGTTTATTGGCCTGATTTTTGTCTTTTCCAGCAAAGTAGTTAGGATCATTCCCACTTGCAGTGATGAAGAGTAATAAACGAGCCTGAATGGGATTTTGTGACGTCCCTAACCAAATTCACTGATGTCTCTTATCTATCTCTCTATTTTATTTATTGCGACATTTTTTTTTCTTTCTTCCTTTAAACTGCAGGGTGAGCAATCTGTGGCGCTGTCCACAACATATCAGTCCAAGGTCGCATGACAGCATCTGCTACACAACTGCAATGCTAATCGAGACTGTAGCACTACATGTGCAGATCATGGGGCTGCAATGTGGACAACCCTACATCATGCCATGTTTTCTTTTTCTTTCTTTTTTTTTTGGGTGATCTCTGTTTTGTGTGCATTTCCTTTGATTATTATGGTACAGAAAGGCAACCACATTGTCAAAGGCTGAATGAGATATTTCAAACAATGAATAGTTGTCAGCGTCATCAATGATTCAGGAAATGGAAAGTTTAAAAAATTAAAATTAAAATTAAAAAATTAAAATAAAAGGAACCCATCAGAATGCAGATGACCATTGCCACAATATGAATACTAGAACAGGTCGGTAGGTATGATTGGAGGGTTTGAGGAACGAATGGGAGTGGTTCCTGGCAAACAAGGCTCGGAAGTGACAAAAGGAGGGTCGCAAACTGAAACAAAAGATCTTCATAGTTTGAACCACTGACCGGCATACAACTCCAGAGCTCTCAAAGCAGAGTGACACCGCTGAGGCTGTAAGGGGGTTTTACCTTCCCCGAGATTGGGCCACGTTAGCTGGTGCCCAACCGGAGAGAGAGGCAGTGAGTGATGAAGATGATGCTCAACTGGACTGGTCATCGTCATTCATGCTTGGTCTCCCATGATTGGCTCCTTTGGGTCCTGCATGTCAACTGCTTGTAAGCTGGCAATGTGACTTCTTTTTTTTTTTTATTTCTGCTCTCACACTTCTTCTTTTTCTTTTCTTTCCTGTGTTTCGGCTTTCATCACTTGACATTTCTTTCTTTTTTTTGTTTGGTTTTGTGTTGTTTTTGCTCAGTCTATGAATCTTATTTGTTTAATCTTGAATTGTTCCAAGGTTTCCCCTTTCTCCAGGTGCCAGTGCCTGGATTACGAGTAGTAGTCCCAAACTCCACCCACGGCCTCGTCCCATCTATCAATAAATAGACTCCACGGATTCGGTCCAGCCCTCTCCGTCTGACTAGGAGGGGGAAACCATGCTGATATCATCATTCTCAAACAGGGACTGAAGGTATTCCCAAAGACAGCCTCCCAATGCGTCAGCACGGAGACGGAGCATGCCGCCTGTTTCTTTCTCCATCATTTTATACAGGTCAATAAAATCAAGTGGCTATTGAATCTAGAGTATGGATCTCAAAAACTGCAGTATGAGAGATCCAACCGGTGATCATGACTCCATCCATCTTCACCGCATGGACGCCGTGGTCCCAACAATATCGCGATTATCCCCATTCCCATCATCTCCAACTCGAGATCTGAATTTCTCGCTCCAGCCGACATCCTTGAACGCCATGTGTATACCAGGAAATCGATCCCTGCATGAATATCGCCAGTATCTGTCGATCTGCGACTCAGCTACCATTGACCGCTCGGACAGTAAGAAACTAAGGCGAAAGAATGCTGCGCTGAATTTGAACCAGTCGCAGTGGTCATTCGACAACAACTATGACTACCCATTCTCGGTCTCGTCGGTAGCGTCGAGTCCGCCGCCATTGTCCCCATCGTATTCACCCAGTGCGTTAAGTGAGCAGCCTGAGAGTCTAGATGGGTTTCTCCGTATGAGATATCACCGCCATGTATCTCCAGTAGACCCGTGCTTACTTGCGGATTTAGCCCCGGGAACTCCCAACTCCATAGACGCAAATCGAGGCCACCTATATTTCAGGCAGAACCCGCATAAGATCCTAGTAAGTCGCATCTCAACTCGTACCTTAAGCAAGGTACTTTGGTAGCTAATCTGATACATACAGGACACCTTCCGAGATAGACTCGAGAGATACCCCGACCCAGATCGCAAATCAGTCTCAGATCCCGGCCTCGAGCCCCCAGCATCCGTTCGCAGACACACGAAGGCCTACTCCGACTCGATGCTACTTAATGTGAAGAAGCCCACAGCAACCGTCATCCATCACGGCACATCGTTTGAGATTCTCAATCCCCATGACTCTCTCCACTTTGCTCGGATCGTCTCGTATATCGAGGACGTTGACAGCTTTTCTACCGGCCGCAACAGAGACTCCTACATCTCCGCTTACACCGAAGACACTGTGATCATAGGGGAAGACCCATTGTCCTACGACATCCCTACACAGACCGAGACACAAACACAGAAAGCCCTCGAAGAGGAGAGCCAAAAGACCCAACTCGATATAGGCGACACACAGGGCCACCAACATCACCCTATGCCGTCCATCAACGAGCTCCTGGAAGAAACCAACCTCAACATGGCCCAATACCAAGCTTCCAGACCACGAGTATGCGTCAGCCCGTCCAATGAAAGTGAACTAGGCGAACCAGGCTCCCCAGTCTACGAAGACAACTATCCGATACTATCCCACGATGCCCTTTGGCAATTCGACATTGGCCGAAACCCGGCCACTACCCTCCCTACAGACCAGCCACAACTAATAACTCCGAGAACCGAAATCAAGATCCACCGCAGACCAACCCGGCGGTCAACCTCCAGTCGCAAGAAGCGCAAGGGAGCGTTCGGAAAACTGTGCGGACTATTCCGCAAGAAGCGATTCTTCCCGGGGAAGCAGGCGAAGTAGCTTTTTCTGTCACTATCTGATCAGCTCTTGATATTATGATTCGAAATGAATGATTGATGATCATTACTGTGAGCGCTTGTTGTTCGTCTATGTCCGTGTTTCTGACTTGTGCTTCTGGGAAGCACGGCTTTACTCCGTTCATTGACTATATTTCTTTTTTTTTTTACCTTCTCTCTTTCATCGCCTCTCTCTCCTTTTTTTTATTTCTGTTTTAATTCGATACCATTCTTGTCATAGTGGTATATTTTGTAATCACAGAATAGAATGTGCAAGACCGAAGTAGCCTGGATTTTCATTCCCCTATGCCGTAATGTAAAACCAAAACCAATTGTGTACCTTTTCACCATAACCCTTACCCCCATACCGCCAATATTAACCAAACCGAGAATCACACAATCAGGGTATCTACCTCAATATGTACAAGTAAAGCCATTGACAAAGGTGTTAAAAAGAAGAAGTAAAATATATCCATCCGAAAATGATCACAACAGAATAGAAACCGAAACAGGAACCAACCCTACTATCAATAATCTTTCTCAACCATCGACGCCAAAGCTGCACTGACAAGACTCTTCCGTCTAAGACCCTGCTCACTCTTCTTCCTCAGATCCCGAGAAGATGAATGATAATTCTTCTCGACGCGAGACGCCTGTACGGCAACGGAGCTGCTCATTCGCCGTCCCTTGGAATCAGTGGAGGGCGGGTCCAGAAGGCTGGGGCCTAGCTGGGGCCTGAAGCGGCTCCGCTGGAGGGTGGTCGCTCTCCGGCGGGGTGACTTCTGCGGGGGGATGGAGCTGGGGTGGCAGGCGTCTGGGTCGAAAGTGTTCAGTTTCTCGTCGTCGGAGATAAGAGCACGGCGGATGGCTTCTATCTCGGCGTGGTTGCATTGGAGACGGGAGATGTTCTGGCGCTGGGCGCGGACGTTCCAGCTATCCTGGGTGTGGGATAGAGGATCGAGTTCCACGCTTTGCGGGAAGGGATCGCAAGGTACGGAAGTCGGGCTCAGGAAGGGGGACGGGGGCTGGGGTGAGAGGGAGCCTGAGGTGAGTGAGGGGGAGTCGAGACAACCCTCGTCGTCTTGGTCTGTGTCCGGGGGCGTGAGGAAGTACCCCGGGAATCGGGTGGCTGCGTCGAGGGACTGGGGCGATGTTGGTGTGGCGGGTCTGTCGAACTGCGGGTCATTGTTTGAGGTTCGGATTGTGTGCTCGTGCAGTTTTCTTGTCAGTGTACTGATTGAGAGACGCTTCTGGTGGTCGTCGTAGGCAGACAAGGGAACTGAGGTGGGTGGTTGAGCGGAGCGGAAATAAGAGGATCGTGAGCGAGGCAGGGATCTTGGGATCCGGTGCGTTGTAGTCGAACGAGGGGAAGGACAGCGGGATGATAGTGGAGAGATCAGACTGCTGTCACAGTCGACCATGGGTTTGTCGTCGCCGTCGAACGTCAGGCGGGGTGGCCTGGTAGACGAAGGCGACGAGAAAGAGAAGTCCTCGAACATTGTGATACGTTGTTTTCCTACGCCGACAAGAAAGCGCTAGGAGGATATGTATTAAGCCTGAGAGAGAGACTGGACACTGTGCCAGGTGGAAACTTCTTTTCTATCCCAACGTCCGAAGTGGTAGCCTTGACTGATGGCAGGCCACAGTGGTATATCAATGCCGCGCTGATGGGGACATATGGTCGGGTGCGAAAAGACACCGAGAGAAAAGCGTTCTAGGTAAATATAAGGCGAACTCGTCTTAGGGTGGCCAATCTGAGAGATTTTTTCTTTTTCTTTTTAAAAAAAAAAAAAAGCCTGTCTTTTTCTCCTGAACAGGAACCACCGAACCACTGGGGGGCAAATCGAATGGAACAGTTCGTGGGGAACGTTGAACGTTCCGCGCGGCAAGGCCGTTACACTGCTTTCAATTGGCTGTCGAACCGCCGCCGTTAAGAGAGATGGACCAGAATTGAGAAAAGAGTGGAATAAGTGAGTAGGAATCTCATACTGTGGAGTAGGAGGCGGCGTATAAAAAGAAACCGAAGTGAGTCGTATTTTGCCCCTTATTCACTTTTATGTCGTATCCTTCTCGCTTTGGTAGAGCCAACAGAACATCAGTGCGCTTTTTTCTCATTCTCAGGGGTTTTTCCTTCTCTTCATAAGGGCCAGACTCGTCACACGTGATCCCTCCATTTTCCGTTTGCGGCGTTTGCATCCCTCCGTACTCCATACTTACTACTTAGTATATATTCCACTCCATTTGAATCTAATTAATTAAAAATATTGAATGCAACAACTCGCTAAAAGCGGCCTTATTCGGCAGCTACGGTGTTATCCGAGAGAGAATTGTGCGCTAATATGAAACACTAATTTGGTTTCTTTTTTCTTTTAGAAATCCATAACCTACTTAATAGCATTGTTCTAGCAATTGTGATCAATCGATCCCGCATGTATCAGATAAAAAGGTCGCGATCAATTACTACGTATCATTTGGACCAGCCGACATATTTGCAAACGTCTGGAAGGAGGATTATCTAAGTATACGCCGAAAGTGTCGGAGTTGGGTCCCAACGCCGACCTCCGATCAAGGAACTATGATAAGTAGCGGGTCTCCTCATTTAACTCATTACTCCAACAGACTCCAACGCCGACACTACCTATACCCTAACTTTGTACATCCACCCCGCAGCTGACACAGACTTCCTATTCCTTTACCGATCTGGACAACCATGGCCGCTCTATTGAAACAACCGTTGAAATTAGCCCTGGTGCAGCTGGCCTCCGGTATGTTTCACCTGTCCTATACCATGGTCGTTAAAAGACCCCCATTATAGCCCGTACTAACGGCGAAATTTCATTGCAGGCGCCGACAAAGCCGTCAACTTGGCCCACGCCCGTACTAAAGCCCTCGAGGCAGCACAGGCCGGGGCCAAACTTATCGTCCTCCCAGAATGTTTCAACTCGCCATACGGAACCCAATACTTCCCCAAATACGCTGAGACCCTTCTCCCTTCGCCTCCGACGGAAGAACAATCCCCTTCCTATCATGCCCTATCGGCCATCGCTGCAGAGGCCAAGGCCTACCTCGTGGGAGGTAGCATCCCCGAACTAGAACCTACAACGAAGAAATACTTCAACACCTCTCTTGTTTTCTCCCCGACCGGCTCGTTAATAGGCACCCACCGTAAGACCCATCTATTCGACATTGATATTCCGGGAAAGATTAGATTCAAGGAGAGCGAGGTTCTGTCACCGGGAAACCAGTTGACGATTGTGGATCTTCCGGAGTATGGAAAGATCGGTCTCGCCATCTGCTACGATATCCGCTTCCCCGAAGCGGCCATGATCGCTGCGCGAAAGGGTGCCTTTGCGCTTATCTACCCGGGCGCTTTCAACATGACTACGGGCCCCTTGCACTGGTCGCTGTTGGCGCGCGCTCGTGCGGTGGATAACCAGGTGTATGTGGGGCTGTGTAGCCCGGCGCGAGATATGGATGCCACTTACCACGCCTGGGGACATAGTTTGATCACCAATCCTAGCGCGGAAGTTCTAGTAGAGGCGGAAGATAAAGAGACTATCGTCTATGCTGATCTAGATAATGACACGGTTGAAGGCACGAGGAAAGCCATCCCTGTCTATACTCAGAGACGATTTGACCTGTACCCAGATGTCAGCGCTGAGAAATAGGTCTTTGTATCATCGAGTATATAGGGATAATAGCGAGTCGTGAAGTGACATTTAGTTGATAGTATTGATCCATCGAACCTGACGATCCAATTACTCATGATCCGCCAAAAACCTCCATCTTGACATAGTCAGGCAGGGTACTTATTGCATTGTGTGTACCAGGCCCTGAAGGATTCTGAAGGTAACTTCCGTTGTTCTCACTTTTGCCTACCTCGGGCCTGGTATAGTAGCTAGTAAGCTTGAAGCTGCTGCTCTCTTTTACTTTCCTCTTTGATACCTTACCAAAGTTTATTTCCTGGTGCAATGGCAGATATCGGTTCAAATTTGGATACAGAGTGCCGACCTATACCTCTTGGAAGAGTTCTCTTCCCTCTCGAGGTTTAAAGTTGGATTAGGGCATGATGATGAAGTACTAGAAGGTTGCATGTAGTAGAATGATCAGCGCCATACCTATTTAGATATGTTGGTCACGTGGTGTTCAATGTGCAGTGCGTACTACTCAATCTTCGGCAGAAGGTTGTGAGAATTAACGTATCGCGGAGGTAAATAGTGAGTTTTTGTTCTAGATCAAGCATTTCCTGAAAACTACTGTACAGGAAAATGCTTGGTTCTCTAGCAGTAGTTGAATGGCCAGATCTGTGAAGTATGAGTACTATGAGTGTCAATCACGTGATCCCAATCCCAACCAATGAGAACAGCCCCTGGGCGATAAGCGAGGCACACTGAATTTCGACGAGGGAAAAGGACGGCCTATCCGAAAATTCTCAATCCCACGACAGCCGACCACTTCACCCAACGACAGCCGACGCCTCGTCAACCCCATTCAGTGAGTTAAATCTCCTGCGACCTGTCTATTCTCGTCGCATCGTCCAATCTGTTTCTCCCAAAATCGATTGAGACAAAAACTAACCAGGGTGAAAAATCTCAGAAATGTCCAACACCGTCCAGACCGGCAAGAAGCAGCGCTCGGCCATCGCCGATGTCGTGTCGCGCGAGTACACCATCAACATGCACAAGAGAGTACGTTGAAACAAATACATAAACCAGGATTAAACCTTCCTACCCCCTATCAAGCACATCGGTCGATGCAACATGATTTGCGGGCAACAAGCATCCAAATTTTCGACATGGAGGCAATGGACGGAGAACAAAATGCAAATAATCCTTCTGGCACCCAAACCCTCTTCTGCAGGATTGAAACACATCCTACAGGGAAAAAAAAAAAAAAAAAAAGGGAGGGGATGGAAAAAAGCCTTGGCTTTTGCGTGTGCGTGGAGGAACAAATGACAGGCGTTCGTTCCGAAGAAACCCAAAAGAAGAATTAGTTTTATGAAGTCCACCTCTATGGCCGCAAATCTTGTTCGCAGATTTGACATCCAAATTCACAAATTTTATCAGATGGCATTCGGGCGGAAGACTAATTCAACTTTTTGGGGTACAGATGCACGGTGTTTCCTTCAAGAAGCGTGCTCCTCGTGCTATCAAGGAGATCCGCGCTTTCGCTGAGCGTGCTATGGTATGTTCTTTGTCTTGCCCCTCATATCCCCCCTCCATCGGGTTGGTGGCTAATCATGTTATGTGCTTGGTTGTTACAGGGCACCAAGGATGTCCGCGTTGACCCCGCCCTGAACAAGAAGGTCTGGGAGGCCGGTGTCAAGGGCGTTCCCTACCGTCTCCGTGTCCGCATCTCTCGTAAGCGTAACGACGAGGAGAATGCCAAGGAGAAGCTCTACTCCACCGTCTATGCCGTCAACGTCAAGGACGCCAAGGGTCTTCACACCGCTGTCGTTGACGAGGAGTAAATGGGGACTATCTCTCATTTCCATATTAGATTATACCTTTGTTACTCTATGAAATGATGGGGTTTTATCTCTATTTTACGATACCGTCCGGGTTGGGACTTGCTCGGTTGAGTTGGGACATTTTAATTAAAAAAATGGGAAAGGTTCTTTCCCTGTCGTGATTTAAATCGCACATTACCTGTGGTTTTCGTAGTACTCAGTAGGCCGTGTAGATTCCGCGCCCCGTGTATTCGTCTTGTGACCTCTGCCCATTCACACTAGGTGCATGTCATGGGAGATCACGTGTTCATGAGTTCAGGACGATTTTTACATTGTTGCTCATGTGTGGCTTTATCTAGATCTCAGTAGATATGAACGTAATACATGAAAGCATTGGGGGTCACATTCCCTGCTAATCTGCCCCGTATCACTGTCTACAAACAGCCTGGTGTCATATATTGCCTCTAAAATAACAAAACCCGATTCCATTGATCCCACCAAAACCCAAACGCTATGCTAGACTTCGCCTCTGGTTGGGCAGACGACGACACGATGCTCTCCGAGTATGCGGTTGTAATTGCAGCATGCAAATAGTTACAAAAACCTCAGATTGATCAAAAAGGAAGAAAGAAGAAAAAAGAGGAACAAGAAAAAACAGATATAGGAGCGATGACGAACAATTAACACCAAATAGGAGAGAAGACAAAGTCTCAAATTCCAATTAGAAATGAGGTGTTGCTAAGACAGGGCCCAGAAATCATAAGTTTTGAAGTACAGAGGTAAAGTAAGGACAAAAAGAATGCAGAACTTATGCACTGTGAGTGGTCGGACTCGTTCATGATCTCTGGAAAAGAAACGGAAGGCCATGCATGCGGCATATGAAACTGAAAATGTTCCGGTAATTGCTTTTTATAAAACACACGGAATGAAGGGGAACACTAAAGCAGAAAACACATAATACATCACCAGTTGTTATTAATCTGGAAGGAAGAGCATCATGATGGTAGTCGGTTGCGTCCAATATACCACCACAATTTGTTCACAAGAAATAAAAGGGCTGTACCGACTAAGCCTTGGTATCTTCCATCGCAGACCCAAGACGTTCTGCTTCCTCCTTCGTCTTAACCCGGATGGCCCATTGTTCTGGAGGCCCCTCGGCCTGGGGAACGAGAAAATGCACACTAGTGGCCTTGACAGTATAATCGATTTGCTTTACCAAGGAGGCGTTCAGGACGACCTTACCGCTCGGATCGGCTCTGAGGATAACACGGCCGCGAGATGTAGTGCGATCCTTCAAGACGCGGAAGAACCCAACACCTTGACTGGCCCATCCCTCTTTTGCAAGCTTCAGGCCACGCGCTCTGGTCTCGATTACGATATCTTCATTCTCCTCCCCAGCTCGACTTTGGGCAAGGTTAACCTGAGGTAGAGATGCAGCCGCATCGCCATCACCAGATTCCTCGGCTCCTGTGTCGGATGTCATTCCTGGTGTGGACGCGCGGCTAGCAGCAGCTGAGCTGACAGTCGACGGGGCGAGGAATGATGGCGGCTGTGATGGTCCGCCAAACGAGAAGCCAGGCGATGGTGAGCCAGTTTCAGAAGATGCAGGTTTGGAAGTAGTCGCCGCTCCAAATAGCGTTGAGAACGGCTTGGGGGAATCAGCTGCCGGTGCCATTGATGAAGAGTCGGGTTTCGAAGTAGAAGCCGCATTTGTATCAGTGGCAAACTTGATGGGAGAATTCATCTTCCAGGTATTATCTGCGCCGGTCTTTGAGGCGCTAGGGGCGAAGATAGATGGAGTACCTGCAGCGGGGGTAGATGGAGAACCAAAGAGGTTGGCAAATGGGTTCGGCGTTGCAGGCTTCGAGGTGGGTGTATCGCTTATTTCAGCTTCAGACTTAGACTTCATGGCAAACGGATTTGGCGTTCCCGATGAGTTAAACGAAGATGCATATTTCGAGGAATTGAAAAACGTAGACAGTGGCTTTTGCTCCCCATCATTCTGACGCTTTGGTTTCCCGTCTTGGTTGTACTCGACGCGGTCAAACAAGCTACGACCGCCTGCACCTGAATCACTGGCAGATTGCTCGCTTGTAGCAGTCTTATCTTGTTTCGACTTTTTAAGAGCCTTAGTCAGATCACCATCATCACTGCTGTCGTTAGCAGAGTTCTCAGTGCCGCTACCGGCGCCTGCCTTGACCTCTGCTTCCTTTGTTTCTGCATCTTGACTGCTTTCCTCTTCACTCGTCGGCGCGAGGGATGTATCCTTTGAGCTATCCTCGGGTTCTTCACCAGCGACAGATGCTTCCTCGGTATCATCGGCATCATCATTCTCTGCATCAGAAGGAGTTGCCGACAAATGGCCAAATATGTTACTGGATTTGGCAGGTGAGTCAGTCTTCTTGTCGAAAACTGAGGCGCTAGCACTTGAAGTAGGGACCTTCTCTGCCGTCTTATTCGAAGCATCGCTACCCTCATCTGCATCCTCGAAAACGAATCCTTTTCCGGGAACAAACTTCGAGCGCTTCGTAGCTTGAGACTCAAGTTCCTCTCGTTTTTTCCGGCGTTCCTCCGCGTCCCTTTTTTCCCATTCAGCTTCGTCTTCTTCGTCAGAATCAAAATCTTCCGCCTTGCGCTTTTCCTTCTCCTTTTCAGCATCCTTCGCAGCCTGCGCCTGAAACTGGGCAAAGAAGTTCGTTGCTCCAGCGCCGAACTTCGGCATGCCAGGGAGAGAACTAGGTGCAGATCCAGCTTCCTTAGCCCCGGACGGCTTTAGAACAAAAGGATTCGAGGGGGCGGTGGTGCTACTAGAAGGGGCAGTGAATGTTGGCTTAGGGGAAGACGGAGGTTGTGAGAACAGTGAGGTTGATGAGGAGCTTTCCTTGGTCGTAGTCGAGGCTGCGAATATAGGCTTTGGAGGGGAAGAAGTAGGCGTAGTTGAGAACAAAGCAGGTTTATCCGAATCAGGGGTAGATGGCCTAAATGAAGGAGAAGCGGATTGAGTAGAGCCAGGATTCGTCAACTCATCGCTGGACTCAGAGGATTTGGACTTGGAGAACGACTGTGCGAATATGCTCGCCGTCGTCGAGTCCCCGTTGACACGCTTTCCGGGAGAAACAGTATCTTCATCCTGATCTTCAGTTAATTTCCTCTTGCCGCTAGTTGGAGCTGCTTGACTTGCTCCAAAGTTGCTAGAAGGCGCAGAGCCTGTGGCAGTTGTTGCTGGAGCAGGTGAAGACGTTTCTTTGCCGGGCGCAGCTATCCCTCCAAAGGGCTTGACCTTCTTGGCGGAGTGGCCATCGACGTTCGCGCTTTCATCCTCAGCCTTGCGCTTTTGAGGACCAGCTGATGCCCCGATTGTCTCGCGAACACGCATGTAGAACTGCACGAGAGCATCAAAGTCATCTTTAGCGGGGTCTAAGCGATTCACTTCGCGTTTAAAGCACTCGTTCAACATGCGCATACGGTACAGCATTTCGACCTCCTCCTTGCTTCCCTTATCAAGATCGGCAGGAAGTCCAGAAGGTCGAATATCCTCGAAACTTGATGTCGAAATCTTTTCGGTAGTAGGGGCTGATGAAGTTGTCTTTGAAGCCGTGCTTGTGCCATTGACTTTGAATGGACTCTGAGCGGGAGCGGGGGAAGTCACAGCTGGAGATTGGTTCTTACCTCCTGAAGTAGAGGCCGAGAAGAACGGCGACTGCGATGTGAAAAGGCCAGAAGATTGAGCCGCATCAGATCCCAAAGTAGGAGCTGAGAAAAGCGGCGGAGCAGTGGCTGACTTCTGTGGCCCACCAGCCTCTACTCCCTCGCTAGATGTAGAGGATTTCGGCGCGAAAAGATTACCGAAACTAGTAGAAGATGGAAGTGGTTTTTGCTCTGTCGGCTTTTGCTCCGTTGCGGGCTTGGCCGGTGAAGCTGGCTTCGGTGCAAAGAGGCTACCGAACGGGTTTCCTTCAGCAGGCTTAGGCTTATCCTGCTCCGCATTATACGTACTTTGCTCTGCAGGGGGCTTAGGAGAGAACAAACTGCCTGTAGACGGAGGCTGGAATAGGCTGCTTGATGGAGCCGGTGGAGCTGCGGAACTCGCGCTTTTCGAGAACAAGGACGAACCACCGGTAGACGGCGTAAATTGGAACCCAGTGTTAGGCTGGGTTTCCTCCGGTTTCTTTTCCTCCTTTCCTTTATCTACCGAAGCCTGTGCAAGGGCAGATGAAGCAGGAGTGCCAAACAAATTCGTGGAATGGAAAGGATTCTGGAACGGTGTGGCGGGTTTAGCTAACGATGATTCCCCGAATATCGATGAGGATGGGGCAGCGGCTGTGCTGGCAGCTGCAGGAATAGAAGAAGCAGGGGTCGGTGTAGGGCCGGGTTGGGTAGTAGCGCCAAACAGTGAAGTTGATGGGGTAGACTGCTCTGCCGGCTTCACACCAAAAAGGGGTTTAGGTGCCTCTACGGGTTTTGATGAAGATCCACCGAACAAGGGGCTGGCTCCGGGGCTAGCGAAGTTCGTAGAAGCTCCAAAAGCAGACTGCGAGGCAGCACCGCCGAAAATGGGCGGCTTCGACTGTGCATTGTTGTTCTTTGCATCAGGAGATGTCTGCATGGACTCACCAAACGCCGTGGACTGTTCGAATGGGGAAGGTTTATTCGAGACGGACTGGCCAAATATATTGGTCGACGGAGCACTGCTAGAGACACTGTTCTGACCAAAGATACCACCCGTAGGAGTCGGGGTTGTTGCTGCGGGTTGCCCAGAAGACCCACCTGTCGTGCTGCTGCCGAATAAGCCTCCTGGAGCACTATTTTGTTGGGATTCTGTGCCAAAAAGCCCTCCAGAGGGTAAGGGCTGCTGAGCCGGAGCTGAACTTCCGGCTGGTGGGATACTGAACATATTTCCTTTGAAGCCAGAGAAACTGCCCGCATCAGACGTCTGGCTGGTGGAACCAGTATTCATGCTGGAGAAAGGATTGCTTGCGGTCGACCCTGATCCGCCGAACGACGAAGAGAAATTAAACGGAGTTGAGGAGCCACTCCCACTCCCCCCAGAGCCAAAAGAGAACGGTGTTGACCCGTTTTGGGTTGGTTGACTAGCATTTGAACTAGCTCCAGGAAAGCTTTGTGACTGGCCGAATGCGAACCCGTTTGAGATTGGTTGGGGGGCAGACGATGTAGATATGGAATTTGAAGCGATGGAATTGAAGGGACCGCCAAAAGAAGCTGTTGTCGCAGCGGGGGCAGCAGTGCTGGGACGACCTCGTCTTCGAACGTCCTTGATCCTAGCCAGTATGTCAGAAAACCGCTGTTATCGCTTAAGGTATGTGCAAGAGCAATGACAGAGATAGTCACAGGTGGGATAACCCAAGATTTGGAAAAAGGAAGGCAAAATGTTGAGTAATAGAACACACAAAAAAAGGGATAAAATAACACAATTAATCAACTGCAGGAAAGGGCCAAGAATACGGAACAGATCGCAAATGTCGACTTACCTCCTCTGCGCCATCTGCGCTGCGGTCGCCCGCTGCGGCTTTTCATCTGGTGTACTGTTCATGTTGAAATCAAACAAGTTGGTATCCTTATCCCCTTGAGGGCCCTGGGCCGATCTTTTCGACATCTATTATAACAGCAGTATCCCTGCCTAGAGTGGAAATCCCTCGACTAACAAGAAACAGTTGACTTCACCCCCTTCCTAGACCTCTGCTAAAGCCCCTTTACTAGGATTCTCATCCACGATGCGGGCTTCTTGATCGCGTCGGCCTTCTTCCGGTAGCTAGTGTTCTACTCTTGAATCCAACAAAGGAATCCAGCGGCGGTCGTCACGACGATTATCGAAGCGACCGGCGCACCAGTCCGAGAGACGTGGGATAGAGAGTGTGAAGATGGTCCAGAAAACGCGAATGAAAGGATATCCTTGCCGTCGTCTTCTCAGTTACTGGCGATTATTCCAGTACCAATCAAGGCCGTCCTGAGAAGAAGTGAGATAGATAAAGCTAGGAAGCTCGCGCGTAGACTATGTACTCCGGAGATTGATCGCAAAATGCGCGAGGCGACGAGACGGGAGAAAGAGACGGAGGGCGAGTGGTTAGATGGCAGAGCGGTATAAATACAACGCTCTCGTGGATATCAAAAGGGCAGTTACCTGCTTTTGATATGCTCTGCCTTGGGGGTGGATGGCCGTGGCTCGAAAGAGCTTCGTTTCGCTTTGTCTTCACTTGAAACTCGCGACTTTTTTTAACGGGGAAGGTCGCCCATAGAAAAAATAGCACAGTCACGTGATGGACGCAAGGTGACGCTCTTGGCAGGTTGACATGCTACTAATAGTGAGAAAAACACCCGAAAGAATGCAATATCATGCAAGAAGAATAAGTAATAAATCAATATTGATAAATAATTGCAATGATTAATACATGACGGCTCCTGCACCTGGGGGTGTGACTTTTCTTTGTGAGGGGGGCGTTATTTCAATTCACTACTTCCTGTATTTTTCAGCTTACAACGGTTGTTACCATGAAAGCGACATATCGGGCCTGATACATATATATATTGGATGTCCACACAGTCCACCATCGGATTCGAACGTACGGTCACTCTATTCTCCTCTATTCTATTATAGTATAATATTAGGAAGCATTCTATAGTTGATAAGTTGACTCGGGAATGATTGAATTAAACAGGTATAGGTATGATGATGTCAACACAGAGACCCATAAGAATTATCTCCTTACCATAAGACAATTCTCAAGAACAGGGTACATGTACACATAACACATATATAACAACAATATCATCCCAGTAGTGGGGTATTTTTTATTCTTTTTTTACAGGGAAAAAAAAATAGCCCTGTATGAATACCTTGCTTTTCTCACTTGAATGCCACGCTTTGACCTTCTGGTCTGAAACTAAGCCATGCTTCCCTTTTAACCGAACCAAGTAAACCGAGCGTTCATTGATTACAAGTTACTTACGGCTCTACATAGAGAAAAGTCAAGTAAGGAGCATATAGTGGGAGGAAATATTTTTAATCGTTAAGACGAACAAAAAGTACATGATTGGCAAGAGTATACAACGTAACGGGGTATCTATAGCTTGGCCTTGCTCTGGGCCTTCTTCAGAACAGGCTCCATCTTGGTTGCCTTCATGATGTTACCCTTGATCTTGAGCTTGCCCCCCATGAAGAGTCTCTGGGCGTTGGCCTTGCCGCTGACCAAGGAGGCGAAGTCAGAGTCGGAGAGGGTGAGGGTCACTGTTTATCATGGGACGAGACACAATTAGCTTCTCCATCACGAAATGGACAACAGTGGGAGGGAGAGACTAACCATCGGCCTTGCCACCCTGAGGAGCAGCACCCTTGCCAACAACACCCTTGTCCTTGAGGTCGAGGTACCAGCTTTCCTCCTGGCCCTTATCGTTCTTAAGGTTAAAAGAGACGATGGCCTTGGCCTTGTCGACAGCGTCCTTGCGCTCAGCAGCGTCGCTCTGGAGAGCGGCGTTGATCACGTCGAAAGCAGCGGAGGAGGGGAAAGCGTCTTAGACGGGGATTATGGTTAGTTTACTTAGAAGACACGCTAGATGACTAGACCGACATACCGTTCTTGAGAGACATGGTTACGATGATATTATCACGATTGTGAGGTTGACGTATAAAGTAAGTAACGTGAAATAGTAAGGGGTAAGTGTGAGGGATTTAAAAAAGGGTCGTGTGTTACGGCGAGGGGAAGAGAAAGGAAGATTTAAATAGTTTAAGAGTCAAGTCTGGGGTTTTTTAAGGAACGTCAAGCTTCCCCGGAGTGTTCGGGGAAAACATGTGAATGGAGGGCGGTCGCATTTCCATGCTGACATTTGGACCGAGGCTGAAACGGCCCAATACTAAATAAATTCCTGTGACTACTCCTAATTATTTAGTCTCTCCAATTATACTCCGGTTCTCCACAGATATATTGACGAAGCAACACGAAGATACTATCTCTGCAAGACCCAAGTACCGTAAAGAGGTCGAACTAGTAGATAGGAAAAAAATTGCGAGGGTTATACAGTCATAATAATAATATATTCCGTCTACATTGATGCACAAGTAATTTTTGCCAAGAGGAGCCGCTTGTGAAGCTCATTAAGTCCCATTGATCTTGGATCGATGGGAGGTTCAATCCACAACAATAGAACAGAACTTGATAGATCAGCGTTACCAATTGCGGTAAGCGTTCCGAGTACCGCAACCAAAATGTCCGGCATGTATGGAATAATAACCGATGGACCAAAGAGATCACTTGGGACGTAGTACTACTACTATTCAGTGATAGCATGTCGTTTCGCTCGCGGGCTCGCGTCATACTGTAATTCATATGATTCTCTCCAAAATTTAATGTGATCCCTACAATTTTTCATTCCCATACCTAATGAATGCAGTGGTGATAAAGAAAAAGAGAAGAGGAAATATCTTGATCGAATCACCTCATTTCTCAAAAAATCACTACTATACCTGACCATCTGGGTTTGATGCGATGGACTCCCCCCCCAAAAAAAAAGAAAATCTCGCCGGTAGTGACATTTCTCCTCTCTAGGAGTTCGGAATGGACTTGAGTAAGCAGTGGTCTTTAACGGTCTATGGTACGACATAGCACAAACAAATTCAAGTGTGTGAGGAAACAAGAGAGGTGGATAGATCTTGGGTATATTCTAGATCCGATTAAATATTCAAATCAAAAACCCGCCAACGCCATGCTGATGAAAACAAACAGTGAAACTCCCTACTGAACTCCCTACAAATGAAGTTAGCATTCGACTATATCACCAATAAAGAATCAATTAGGGGAGGGAGGCATACAAATAGGTAAGCCAGTTCTCGAGTTCCCAGCCTGGAAATATTCTTTGAAGCCTTTTCATCCAAAGCCCCTTCAATCAGCTCTCGCTTTTTGTCTTGAAGTTCAAGGATACGGTCTTCAACCGTGTTCTGCACGAGAATCCGATGGATTTGCACCTCCCGCACCTGTCCAATTCGATGGGCGCGATCGATCGCTTGTTCTTCGATGTAGGGATTCCAGAATGGGTCGAATATGATAACCTGTGACGCGGCAACGAGGTTCAAGCCCGAATTGCCCGCTTTCAGGGAGACGAGCATAATCCTACAATCCGGCTTGTCGGTGAAGTCTAGCACTGCTGAGTTTCTGTCTGCTGGCTTCATGCTACCATCATACCGCCGATAGCCCCAGCCTTGGCGCATAATCGGAACTTCAAGCAAATCAAGCAGAGACGTAAACTGACTGAAAATGATTGTCTTCTCGTCACCGCCCTGGATACCCTGCAGAATCTCCATGACTTTTTCGATCTTAGCACTCGACACCCAAGTCTTCTCCAGCCGGCGGAGGTACTTGCGCTTCGATTTTTGATTCTTCGATGATTCTTTCTTCAGCTCGGCAAGGGTCTTTTTAGGCCGGGCCATTTTACCTTTCCCTTTGTGCTTAGGCCTCTTGGAAGAGCTTTTCTCGTTTTCATCATCGTCATCATTGACGATAAATCGAGACAAGCTATCATCACCATCACTCTCATCACTCTCGTCTTCCTCCTCCACCGGTTGAGGTGGCTCTTCCTCTACTGGGTCCTCGGACTGGTCAGGATCATGCACCTTTTTAAAGGATACATGATCGGTAATCTTCTTTGGGTCTACTTTGCCGCGGCAGTTCGGACATTTGACCTCTACTGCACCATCGTGGCCCTGACTTACAGCCAATGCTGGATCAGAAATCCTTGAGAAACATTCCGCGCAGGTGCTATGACCACAAGGGAAGAAAATGATCGGGTTTTCCACGGCATCCATGCAGATAGGGCATTCATGCTCATCATCATTACTTTTCAAACGGATGACAACTTCCTGACCGAATGCTTTCGCGTTCGCGATCAGATCCAGCTCATCTGTGTTCGCATTGAGCTTGATGCTAAAGTCGGTGATCAGATGTGGATGGCAGCATGCCTGTCGCAACCGGAGGAGCAGAACTAAAATGTTGGAGTAATTCCGTCCCACAGTGCCCGCTTCTAGATACTTGTTGAACTGAAGCTGGGTGCGATGCTCAAGCGAGTTGTACAATTCCTGTTCATCTTCGCTGAATACAGAGTGCACCTTTTCTGAAATCCGCCGCGGGAGCTGTAGGATTGGCTTGCCATCAATCTTAGAATCTTTAGTTCGCCGTAAGAGGACGGCCTTTAGGAGGACCTGCAGTTGTCTCATTGCTTTCTGCTGTGAACTGACACTGGAGCCCTTGAGAGGCCGAGTAAAGTCGTGATTGAACCGCTCTAGATTGCTGTACGGCTTGATGCGGAGAAACTTCAATAGCGAGTGCAACTCCTCGACATTGTTCATCATGGGAGTCCCGCTCATACACCACCGATAAGTGGCATTGAGACGACAACAGGCAAGGGCAGCTTTGGTGTTTCGATTCTTGATGCACTGTGCTTCATCAATGATTACACGATACCACTTGCTGGACGGCCCAAGACATGGTAAGGATTTCAGGAGTTCCCTAGACAGGGATTGTTCGTTCGCCCCGGCTGCCTGTAGCTCATCGTACCGTTCCCTACGTTTCAACTCGGAAGACAATGTTCCAAAGGTAGTAAGAACCACATCATATTTATTCAGGTCCCTGAATCCCACAGCTCGTTTGTCGCCGTGTAAAACGTAGACAGAGAGTTGATATCGGCCAGGTTTTAGCATCCTCACGATCTCTCGCTTCCACTGCTGCATCAAGGCGACCGGAGCAATGATCAGTGTTGGCTTTCGTTCTTCGTCGATGGAGGGCCGGGAAACCATGAGAGCAATGGCTTGTATTGTCTTCCCAAGGCCCATGTCATCAGCAAGAATACCGCCTTTTTGCTCCTGCTCCTCCATCGATTTCATCCATGACAGCCCGAGCTTCTGGTGCTCCAATAGTGTGAATCTGAGGGCTTCGGGAGTCCCTTCGCGGTTTTCCGTAGAGATATCTGAATCGGGCCTGATAGTTTCTAGCAGTTGTTTGATCTCTTCGTTGACCTTCTTTGGATCAGCTCCGTAGTAATCGCTCATCCAGTCCGGATACTTGCTCATGTCAATGCCCATTGGACCTGGGTAAGGAGGAACTGGATTATCGTAGGATGCGAAGTGGTTAGCATATTCCCCCAAAATAGATTTTCCTGCATGCTCAAGCAGCTGCTTTCCAGCACTGAGCCTCGCCATGGTGTTCTGCAACACATGTGGGCCATACGCAGGACCTGGTCGACCAATGCCACTCGGGCCGGGCATGGACTCTAGGTAAGGATATAGATTCGAGTAAGGTTGCTGTTGTGGGTAATTGTCCTGCAATGGACGGTGAGAACTGCCGAGAGACTGGTGCGGTGTGAAGAGCCGTTCAGATGGAGTGATGAGACGCTGGAAATCACGAGCTGAGATTTCCGCGATATCGCTGTCATCACTATCATGGGTGAGGGTGGGTTGGGGACGCTGGGGCCCGGAACGACGCGTCTCATTCAACAGAGGTGGTCCAAACGGTGAACGAAAAATGTCTGTGGGCTGTACGACCCCAGGCATGAGTCGATGGAGATTGGGATATGGATGTTCATTCAACCTAGGAGCGGGAGAAGTTGGCAGAGGCAGAGAAGACACAGAGTAGAGAGTAGACGAAGCGCTCCTGGCTGAAGACGGCCGGGGCGACTCTTGGAGGCCTTCCAGCCTACGAGCGTACTCCTCATCGAGGCGTTCTTGTTCCTTGCGTTCCTTGAGCCATTGTTCAGCTTTTCGCTGTTCGTCTTGGAGTTGGAGAAAAGTATCATGACTGTCCAAACCTAGAATCTTCCGAAGCTCATCAGCTCCATCGCCAATACCATCACCCAATTCCTGCCTTTGAGCACTACGAACAGACTGTGAATCCGGGCTAGAGGAAGAAGAGGAGGAAGGTTTTTTTGTTGCAACACGCTTAGACGGTAGCTCCAAATCATCTGTCCAATCAGTTTCATCGCCATCATTATTGTCTTCTTCTTCTCGCCCACGTTTGCGAATGGACAACGGCCCCAATGGCCGAGATGGCTCCACTAGTCCCGGTGCCGACTGAAATGGTTGCGGTGGGGGAAACATTGTAGTCTGACCGTGCCGTAAACCTCTGGGAGAATTCACCGGGCCAGTGTCAGAGCCGCCATCCAACTGCGTCCGATGCAGGAAAGAAATTTCTGGAGTCTGATGGGAGGCAGCGCGACTATGTGGCGGCGAGCTTCTGGTAGCAGTACCGCGTAGTTCCGCCAGTCGCCATTCTAATCCTTTGATGACATCTAGAATTTCTTCCTTTTCGGCAACTGCACCTGGACGTTGCTCTTCTAAACTTTGCAGGATAACATGGTTTAACTGAAGGTCTTCTAAGACTTCTTCTATCAACGCGTCAGTTGAGGAAGCCATGACGAACAAGTTTGGAGCCGGGGGGTGCTTATGAGCTTAGCGCCCAAAGCTGCCACGTCCACAAAACACAAGGCTGTTTGAGACTGGAGTTAACAGGCTGTCTGACAATTATGCAATGTACATGCGGCAGCGTAGGTGGAACATAAAGACTGAAGAAGGCGAATGGTGCGATAGATAGATAATCATTAGAAGAGCTGATGTGTAGATTGACGATCGCGCTTGGCGGCGGATGTGGATGCTTTAATGATGAAACCTCTACCACAAGGAAGTTAAGTAAAATTGCAGAAAGAATGAAGGGACGGACTAATCCTCCGGGCTGGGGAAAGAACACAAAAAGAATAAATGAATGACGAGGCTGCTGTCTGCAGCTATAATGTTTGCTGAACAGGTTGCTATTCTTGTTTGTGAAGGAAGGGAAAGTCAACAGATGAGAAAGAAGCTTACTACATACGAGTGGCAATCATTGGAATTTTTTTACTTTTTTTTCTTTTTCTACCCACTCTCTCCCTTTTTCTTCTCCCCCTTTTTGATTTATCACATCGTCGCAGAATACAGCTAGCTGTCCATAACGAAGAACCATGCCTTTACACTTTTACTATTAATATCATACCCTTTTTGTCGCTGATCCCGTTCCAACATAACCTTTCCCTTTTTCTTCCCCACTATCAAATGACTCCATGTATATCAGTCGGGGTATTCCTCAGGGGACAGTTAGTTCTATACTAATAATTAATAATCCCCAACCCGAATATTCAATTCTATGTGCATAAAATCTTATATATCCTAAAGTCAATGTAAAATCCCATCTTTCTATTTGCCTCAAAGAAAGGTAAAACACAGAGGTGTAGATATAGATATATAGTCTGAAAGTGAATGTGATACGCGGCCCGATGTCTTGACGATTTAACCCAATCAGGCAAAATTATATATATATATATATATCGAGTCCATCATGCTCACTTAGTATTAACCTGGAACCCCATTATCAGTTCAGTACATTTTTCTCCCTTCTTTTTTCAACTCCAGTCTGTAAGTTGACGTCATATAAAGTGTTCATATAGTATCTACATAGAGTGTTATAAATCCATTGGAATAATACTGGACTAGTGCTAATATCTAATACTAGCGCATTGCCAACTAGCACTGGCTAATAAATGTCTATGCACACCCTTTTAATTACTACACATACCACGCCTAGTCTATATCAGTTAAACCTAAGTGAGACTTTTCCGCTCTCTCAGTGAATTGACTGAAGGAGAATGCTTTTGTTTTTCAATAGGCTATCCTAAAATAGCCAACAATCACAGAACATGAGTGTTTTGTTTTGCCGTCAACGATGTTATCGTTTCAAAAAAAAAGAACTTTGTGGAGAGTCTAGGCTACTAGTAGTTATATGGAAAACGCATAATCATCCCGGCCGTCCTCAGGCCCGTCCTCCGACCGCTATCATTGTATCGTAATTCGAGACTTGCATAACGAACTCAACATGTTGAGAGGGTCCGCAGCCATCATGGTTGTCCGGCCCTATCTATCAATTGACCTCATGTTTACAGGTCGTTGTCCTCCTCGTCGGGCAAAGGCATGGCGGCGGCGGCGTCCATCTCTTTCTTGTACTGCTCCATAAGCTCGGCGTTGACCTGCACCTCGGGAGGAGCAAGAGCAGGGGCGGCAACGAATTCCTGGGCACTATATTAGCAGGTGACGACAGTCGACAACAGACATGCAACTTACCAGCTGGGGGTTGCCGACCAACTTCCGGGCAAGCCAGAGGAAAGGCTTCTCGAAGTTGTAGTTCGACTTCGCCGAGATATCGTAGTACTGGAGGTTCTTCTTGCGGTGGAAGGTGATGGTCTTGGCCTTCACCTTACGCTCCTTAACGTCGACCTTGTTGCCGCACAGCACGATGGGGATACCCTCGCAGACACGGACGAGATCACCTAGATCTTGATTAGCTAAAAATCTACATGCTGAATAGATGGTATAATCTTACGGTGCCAGTTGGGGACATTCTTGTAGGTGATACGGGAGGTAACATCAAACATGATAATACCGCACTGGCCATTGATATAGTATCCATCTCTCAGACCACCGAACTTCTCCTGACCGGCAGTATCCCATACGTCGAACTGAATAGTTCCCAAGTTCTATAATTATCATTAGTTGCCTGAATAGAAGACAGCTGTATGACCCAAAGCGGGGTCGCTGGCGGGGGCGGCATACGGTGGTGAAAGTGAGAGGGTGCACTTCGACACCGAGAGTTGCGATGTACTTCTTCTCGAACTCGCCAGTAAGATGGCGCTTGACGAAGGTGGTCTGTAGAAAAATGGAATGTTAGTGACGACATCTGACCATGAAGTTGAGAACCGATAAATTTTGGCCATGGCGGCGGGGAAGGGGGGAATAAACACAGAGGACAAGGGCATCCATGTCGTAGGGGTAGTGACTGCGACATATTGGCTAGATAGATCAAAATGATCTGCAAAGAGAATTTAAAAACAAATAAATCTAACTTGCCTTTCCAGTACCACCGTCGCCAACAAGGACGAGCTTAAAGGTTGGTGGGGCCTGGTCAGCCATGGCGATTTTTATGCGAGAATAAAAGGAGAAAAAATGGTTTCAAAAACGGAAAGGGCCCGGTAGATGATGTTGGGTATCAAAAGTCGACAGACGGTTGCGACTGATGATAGAGAAAAGCCAAAGTGTGTTCGGTGAAGAGAGGGTTTTTAGCACAGGGAGGGAACAAAGTGAAAGGTGAATCTGGTGATGGAATTTTTGCCTTGAGTCGGTCACCAACTTTGCACTCACGTGATGAAGCCTCAGGCACACATGCCCCGCAGGATTGCGGCAACTGCAGGGCTATCGGTCGCTTTACAAAACAAATGATGATAATGACATAGGAAAAGAAACGGTTCTTGGGGTCCACATGACTACTTTGTAGAAGCTTTTAAGATATCCTCATTCATCCTAAGTACTAATCCCACAGTTACAATCCTCATGCTTATATCATTAAATAATTCTACTCATAAGAACCATACCGCATTCCTCATCAGATACAAAGGCCTTGTCTCTTTAGATCACAAAGGAACAAGATGACAGCCCAATAAACCACGGCCACCCCAGTCCCGTCGTGGCACAAGTTCCAAGTCCAAGTCTGTGATATTATCCCCATCCTGCCTGGCGACTTTTACGATGAGAGTACGCTGAGGACATAAAAAGGAATCAAGTTAGCAGTCAGTAAATCCGACGGTTTTGTCGAAAGCGATAAACTATCAGCAAAGACAAATGGAAGGAAGGAGGCTTACCCCTTCATTTTGTTGAACTAAATCTGCCACCTTAGAGAGACGTTCATGGTTGGTCCAATTGACGCTCCCAAAGTTGCGTATTTTGTCTCCTGTTTTCAAACCAGCCCGATCCGCAGGGCTTGCGACCGCAACGCTATTGACTCTCGCGAATGGTGGTCCAAGCATCGCTGCACCCGACAGAGAATTGGTAACAAGATTGGGCTGTGCTTCACTAGACCTATTTGTACTACCGATAGAAGATGTTTCGCCCTGCACGCGTTGGAGATTCGAAAAATGATCGTGAATACCCTTCTCTATGTATTTCATGACCTCTTTGTGGTCATAGCGAAGTCGTATTATTTTGGCGCGTATTGTGCGGACTGCCTTAGGCTTAGTGATGGCCTATGGAAAGGAGGAGCGTTCTTACTCTGAGCAACGTCAATATCGTCTCGTGGGTAGTCGTCGAACGTCGTCAGCGACGAGTTCATGTTAACGCCGTGCTACAAACGGTCCATAGAGTTAGAGATGATCCTACATAGTAGGGGTAAGTAGGTTACTCACAGAGGTAAGAACACTGCTCAACGCCGAAAGTTCTTCTTCAATACTTTCCTTTTCCTGCATTAGGTCGACCATGGAGAGCTTAGCCGGGTCGCGGTTAGACCCTCCGGTCGTTGTAGGACCGGAGGTCACCGTTGGAGCATGAATGTTATCGTCCATGTGAATTCCCATCCTAAGGAAAGTGTTAGGAGGAATAAGTCATCGCTGCCGCAGATGGGATGAAAAGGTGTCTTGCGACGGTATTAAGGTGGTGGCGGTTTGGTGGGTCTTTGTTCTGGAAATCTGGGGAATTTCTATTGCCTTACAAACTAGTCTTGGCGCGTTGCACGTTAGTGCTATAGTAGCAGTACTAGACTCAAGTCACGTTAATTTATGATACTGGCAGCATGAGTAAACCAATCATAATAGGAAGCAAAAATCGATCAAGATCTAATTTTGACCTTGGATCACCCTGTAATGCTATATATACTGGATAGCAATAGTCCAAACTTGATATGCCTTGCACATACATTGCTAACTTAACCTTGAAGCTGACCTACACTACTCTTGATGAGACTGCTAATAGGATGTGCTTACCTAAAGCCTGCACTGCTCATGATGATCACAGATAAATTTCGGAGGAAGGTGAAGATGAACTTCTTTCCTTCTAAGCAGTTTATGCTTGACACAACATGACTTCCATATTCGGCATGTATCCTACCAAGTCCCGAGTCACGTTCCACTACACGAGCTCCATGCAATCTTACTTACTGAAAGGGTGGGATTGTGTTCCTGCCTGCTGTGGAACTCTCTTTTCTATACGAGACCCTTGACTCAACCTTCACTATGGAGGAGATTAAAAATGAGGTGGCTGAAAAGCACCACTTGGCTTTAGAAACCTCTGAATCAAAGGCGAAGAATAGCATCCTAACTGATCCGCAGGTGTTAGCGGAGCATGTACCTAGTTTTCTCCCATTCAAGCGGTGGGTGAACAGCTTTAGGGTAAAGAAGAGCTACCGAGTCCGACAGTCCTCTAGATACGTTGAGGGATGGTCGGATTCCATGACGGCCCGCTATGATAATTCTAATTTATTGCTCTGTGGTGGACAGGATCTGCAGTGGGAACGACTATCTGGCCACTCATCCAATCTGGAAACCGTCAAGACAAGTACATTGAGCGTCGCTAGTCAAAGTATTGTGAGATCGAGGGGAACAACTCAGAGTACGAATCGGAGCTTCGGTTCAGACTTACGTGGGTCAATAGAGAGCCTAAGACCAGCATTGAGCTATGCGATTGACGAGGAAGCACACAACCGGGCTATTAAACGACGTAAGGTTCTTCGAGAGATCATCGCCACCGAATCTGACTATGTTTTTGGGTTAAAAGCTCTTGCAAATGTATACCGCGTATCATCGTCATAAACCTTGCTTTGGATCTGACTGATCAATAATGTCTAGGTGCTCTTTCTTTTCTCCGCAAGGCCCGAGATATACTACAGCCTCCATCAAATTCGTGAGATACATGAGGACTTTTTGGCACAGATCCGCAAGGTGACACCGATGTCTAGTCTTGCCGCAGCCGAGTACGACAGGTTGATACCACGTGGTGTGCGTGGGCGTGCTAATGCTGTTGATCTAAGCCTGAAGGCATTATCTATTAGAACACGTCACTTCAGAACATCTGTTCTTTCACGTCTTAAAGCACTTGCAGCAGAAGCAAATGAAGCACTAGAAGTTGCGCTCGAGATTGGAAAACTAGTATGTCGCGAAAACCTGTTAAATTCGGATTCACTAACAAGCGCTTCTTAGTCAACGTCTTTTACAAAGTATATGGATTTCTGCAGCAATTATGAGCAGCTTACGGAGGATGTAGATCTTCTACGCCGATCAATACCGAACTGGCCAATTTTGGAGCATGGTATAGAAGCTCTGTCGAAGTCGGTAGCGTCAATAGAAAACCAGGCCCAGGAACATAATAAGTCTATGCTGTTACATGACCTCCTAATCAAGGTCAGCATCGTTGGTGCGAAAAGATAAGTGCCTAAATACTGACGAGACTCTAGCCGATCCAACGCCTCTGCAAGTATCCATTGCTGCTTCAGGAGTTGCTAAGATGGACCCATATACTGGATGATCCGACTGCCCATGATGGGATTCAGCAAGTATTGGAAACGGTTCGTGCTATGGTTAACCAAGTTAACAAGGCACCTGGGAACCCAGTCAATAAGAGAATGGTACAAAGGACCCTCATGCTACAAGATATGCTCAATCTTCCAAAACTGGTCAGTAGGCTGAAACAATTAGAAACCTAGAGAGGTGTATACGCGGGGAAACTGATCTGTAACCAGGTTGCTGTTCATCATGTTTACAAGCAATTGGGACCCATGACTCTTTGCGGCGTTCTTCATACTACATATCAGTCTTCGAGATATCTCACAGGTGGCTATATGGTATGTGTTTTGTTCAAGAGCCACTTTCTACTGGCCAAAGTCAACAATGATTACCGCAGCTTGGAGGCAGTCGCGTGCCTGTACATCTGCGATGCGAAAATTGATACTTTGAGGAATGGAAAGGGTAAGAGGTAGTCTTCCCCTCCTGCACTTGCTAATACTAAAATGCATAATAGGTCTCTGTTGCCATGGGTGCCTCTTTTCATGGAAAATGATCTTTCAATATCAAGGGGACAGGTTTGAACTTGTTTTGAGCGCCTCATCCGCCTACGAGGAAAAGCAATGGAAAGCTGAGTTTCTCAAGTCAGCTGCCATATCAGCTGATATGCAAAAACCAGTTGCCTCCGAGCTGCGAGGGTATTCCTTTTTAGCTCTGGACTTGACTCCACTGGATCGAGTATTGAGTTTCGAGCCTCCATTATCTCGCACGACTTCTGTCCACTCAGTAGCAAGTTTGCGAGCTGAGTCTGACTTGCAACATATAGTGATCAAGAGAACACATTGCCCCAACAAGCTAGGACAGTTTGCCCGTCACATTGACGGCGAGCTTGAGCGACCAAGGTTCTCGCTGCTAGAGTCACCAATTATACTGACAAGTCGAAGACAGGACCGAATAAGACTAGAAAGGGTTATTTCTTCTGTGTACACCCGAGAATGCCTCCCATATCCTGGCATGAGCTTAGCCAAAGGGGACATTCTTTTCCGACCTGGTACAATCATGAGGCGCCTTACTCTCCGTCCGGGTCTCTACAGACGTTCAAGCTCCGCGAACTTGCCTCGTAGCCAGTATATTGCCGTGAAGCCTCTCAGACTCGGAGAGCTCCTTCCCCAAAAAGGGTCAGATGATAGTGATGAACATGAACCATTACACGCTAAATTTAATAACGAGAAGAACGTCGGTAGTCTTTCGAAAAATAGCATGGGAACCATAAAGCGCAGCAGGACGTTAAGGCCAAAGAATCATCCAAAGCTATCCTGCGGCTCTTGCCACCAACCGACCGACAAGGGCGATGGCAGCCATGGGCTTGCCGAGAGTCCTTCATTGAGAATGTCTATCCGGATATTGTTCAATTCTATGACACTGAGGCGGTCAAAGAGAAGCCCCCGCTCACACTCAAGTAGTGGAGGGTGATGATGCAACCGTGTGGGAGAGTATCTGCGATATTGCGTCAGGGGTTGAGGGTCCAAGTGTTTCCATGTCGGGGAAAAAGGTATCTATTTGTTTCGTGCCGATTCGCTGATACTGTGGGGTGGAATGGAAGTGAATGGGCTGAGAAACAAATGCGGAGCTTGGCCAAGTAATTAGTATCAGACATTGGGAAAATCTCCCCACCGGACATTCTTTTGAATGCATCATCAGAATGGAAAGTGCAATAGTCCTAGGAATCCTTGACAAAAAGCGGATCCCTTTTCGTTGTCGTAACCGTCGCGGGGTATGACGTCGGAGTGGCTGTCCTACAATGAGATTCAATTCGAAATCATTTCTTCGAGAAATATTTAGAGACCATTCCAACCCTCTTCTCGAGTCGCTTAGAATCAACAACTGTCACATCTGACAATAATAATACTATCACTTCACCTTCTCCCCCTCATCACTTACTACCCTTATCCGGTCTCTAATCTCAATCCTTGACATCTTTCAATCCTGTGGAACCGAGTGACGTCATCATATACTACATTCACCTCATAGACTTCCTTCTTACTTCTTTCCTGTCTCTCTTCCATCCTCAGCAGAAGGACAAAATTAGTGATTCTTTCCTACAACAACGTGCACAGAACCTATTTACTCAATACATATACACACCAAGATGCCTCGTGCCAATGAACCAACCTCCAAGGTCTTCTACAAGGGCTCTTCGGATGACTTTATCGTCTTCGTTGACGACGTCCAAATCCTCAACAACTGGCGCAAAGACCGCTCAATCCCTCTAGCTGATGTGGTAAACGGATTCAAGATCTTCGTTACCCACAAGTACGCTTTCCTGTCGTTTTCCCCGAACCAATTGGATACTAATATTTGTTACCTCTAGGCACGGTACTCAAGGTATCCTTGACGGCGCCAGCAAGGCTCTTCTGGAGAATGAGTTCGGTACCACGAATGAGGATGAGTGCATCACTAAGATCCTAGAGAACGGTGACTACCAGTCATCTACTGTATGTTCTTTGCCCTTCCTCCTCCGAAAATCTCTCAATTTTAAATGGATGATGCTAACTCGTGGCTTTCTAGACAAGGGAACGCCAGGATGACACAAATGTCGCCAACGGACCCATTGGCATTACCCGGTAATTTCTCTTAGTTTAGCAGAGCTAAACATGTTCTTAAAACTTATTTTATAAGCCATGGGTTGGATTGCTTTTCGGGGTTAATTTTTTTTTTTTTTTTTTTTTTTTTTTTTTATTTCCACCTTGATCTTGTTGAATTCCGGTAAATTGGGATGGAAATATGCATACATAACATCATGGCATCAATGAAATGATTCCACTGAGTGGATTTTATTATTTTACTTTTGTTTCGTGATATATCCTGATTTTATAGCATCGTAAACTAAACCGTATAAGTAGTATCGATCATGTAATATGATGTACAATGTAGTGTGATAATAGAAAGGATCCTGGTATATAGTTACATTGGAGTAGTGTCCTTCTTGGCTTCTCGTCGACTAACCACCCATTTCCCTAATTCTTCCCATACAGCCTGTTTCTCCGCCATACTCATCCCAGCCGCCAGTCCGCTCGTTGTGGTCGCGACAAACACTGGTGCCCCATTCCACCCCTCACATCGGCCCATGTTCTCCGACTCGTCTTGCCATCCATAGCGGAACTCTTCCTTCCGGATCGCTCGACCCTTACGAGCCCTCCATACAGCCTCCCAGATACTTTTACCAACAAGACAGACTGCCTCCGGCCGCTGCGTCACCACCTTTTCTTCTAGCACAGGCACGCCTGCGTCCATCTCCGCCTTACTGAGCATGCTGGCGTCACGGGTCGGACGCTCCACAATATTAGTGTTCCCGATATTGTAAAGCTCTGGTAGCCGGTAGGTATCCGACGGAGGGTGGCGAATTGACGTTATCCCAGAGGAATGGAGGAGCTTCCAGTATAGGTTCGACGGGTGGGCGTAGACGTACCCCGTAGCGCCGGTCATGATACCCGGATTGACGCCTACCAGGAGAAGGGTGAGATTCGGAGGGATGGTGTCACGAAGGAGCGATACGGGGGATGATGCCGGGGTGCTCTTGCGAGAGGAGGGCTGGCGGCGAGCACGAGATCGACCCGGTGAGCTCGAATCCGTTGCGGGCGATGACGAGGCGGATCGAGAACGGGTTATCCGCTGAGAGAGATTGAGGACGGCGGGAGAGACGACTTTCTTTGATCGTTTGGATTTCGAGTCATCGGACTGGTTGGTTGACTCTGATTCCGACTTGCGTTTGGAACCGTCGGCTGTTGAAGGATTGGGGATCTGCTTGGTTGTGTGGAAGTATTGGTTTAGTCTGCCGTTAAAGCTGGTTTTCTTGTTAACGGGAACGTCTTCGTCGTCTGTGGCGAGGATTCTAGTTTCGATGCGGACATCCTCGTTGTGAATGGAGGGAGGTGACATTCCTCGAGTCTTTCTTGGACCTTGAGCTTTGGCTGAGATTAGTGATATCTGGGATCAGTTTATTGGCAATATTGGGAGATATGCGATCTAAGGTGTATCAAGGATATTAGATATCATTATTAGCCGTAGGTTTGATATTCCACTCCCTTCCGTTAGTAGAGGTTGACCTCTTCGTACTAGGAGTAATAGCATGAGAGTATGACCAGTCATATTGCTGATGTTATCATCACGTGCAAAAAGTGCCCCATTGGGCAAGAGGTGGCAAGGCATCCAGGCAGGCAGTAACTTTTATCCAGGCTGATAGGCATTGTTTTGGTTGAACGTGGTGAACTGTCGTTGATATAATTGCTTATTCTTCTTGTTTATGCATCTATTCGCTGTCTAAATACTGGCACTAGCATATATAGGTAATATATATGTGTAGGCATGTACATGAGCCAAAATGCTATACCCACAGAAGCCGTTGGTGCGGCTATTATCCATCGCTTTTGTATGTACTGTGCCTAAGGAACAGTCCCTGAATCGATGCCATTGCTGGCCACTCGTAAATCTTTAAATGATGAACGCCAAGAGCCAGCCCAAACAGTCACGTCACGTCTCGTCATTAAGTCATAAATCGAACGCTATACATGTATTGTTATACTTTGAGGGAATTTCGTTTCGGCAAAGTCCACGGTATCGGGCAGACAATCTGTGTATATGTTAGACATGCTGACTATGGTATCCACCTTATATCAATGTACATACCTCGCCTTCACTATAAGCCCAGAAATATACACCAATCCCGACAATGTAATAGATGGCTGGATCCGTGCCTTGGTATAGGAGCATAGAGAGTAGAGAGCTGAGAGGATAAAGGATAAGGCGGAATTCGATACTGCGGTGTGGTAACGTTCCGGCAAAGTATTTCAGAGGCCATTCCCATGCAAGACCGAGTAATCCCATGAGAAGATTGAGAATCTGTAGCACCGGGATCGGTTTTACTGCTCCATTAAGGTTCTTCGTCATGAAATCCCAGAATACTTTGGGCCAGATGAAACCTTCGATGGCACTGCCTATTTGGTCTGCAGATTGGTGTAGTGCATTAGCTTAGCCTTTATCTGGTTGAGGAGAATCATCCATACATGCTGCGGCCGTGAGGATTATCAAGCGGGCCCAGTGGTTTTTTATGAGCCGTCCCATGGCAAATCCGATCTTTATTTGCAATTAACCCGAGAGAGAATGAGGGAGCTTTCGTCCAGCGAAAGAGCTTGGTTTGACAGGGGATAGAATTGCTGACACTTCACGAACAAGACGAGTATGGATCGTAGAATCAGCTGCAGTAGTCATTGGTCGTATCGATTGGAGTTGCGCGCAGTTTTGACCCCAGATATAACATGGCAAGTGAGGTAAGTAGTATAGGACCCAATTGATCTTTTGAGATAACGATTGATTGGTGACGTTAGATAAGGTTAAGGTTGGATGATAGAGATCCCACCACAATCACAAACAATCAATACGAGTAGGATGGAGCGCAATCCTTTGTGAAATCAAAGTCCAGTCCATGGAAGCGTCTGCCAGCGCATGAATGGTAAAAATGGAGGGGAGAAGTTTGAAATACATAGCTTCCCGGCGCCTAAAGAGGGACACCACCTGATCTCTATTGCTCCATCAACCGATCCGTATGCGCGCATGAAATCCCTATCATTGAGCGATGTGATACGCGGATACGTTTCAAGAACCGCTCGAGACCAAGAGCCAATTGGAAGCCATATATCGCAGCATCTTTTCTCGGGTTCTTCACGGGGACAAGGATCTCGATGCTCCTGATTGGGTACGAGGAAATAGAGACGTTGAGACACAGAAATACAATCCTAGGTCTTACACTCTTAGAAATCCTGGTTGGGCGCTATCTCCATGCGCAAAGCAGTACTTTCCAGCAAATAAGAGGGAAGAACTGGCGAGACGGGAATCGTTCAGTGCATTAGCGACGCAACGGTGCGTGACAGTGGAGCGCAGCCTGCAGGAGATTTACGGGAACACACTTTAGTCGCCGATAATTGTGCCACTACTGTCTTCTGATTGAACGCACAAACCCCATGCTACTAATTAGAGCATGGTCCTTGCTCCTTGACTGGGAAGATTTTGTGAAGACCCAAGAAGCGGGGAAACTGCTCAGTGGCTGTTGTCCCAGTTGCATTTCTCATGACTGATGGTGGCCTGGTCTGTCTCGGCGGTAACTAAAGCTACACAGCCATAAAACAGAGGCGCGTATGGCCATTCGATGTTGTCTTCCGGACTAAAGACAAACAAAAAAGGAAAAAGAAAGATAAAGGGAGGAAGATAGAGCTCGACGGATTTTTACGGCCATTCATCGAGGTGTCGAGAATCATTTGGTCTCACCGTCTTTTTCTGTATTACCGCCAGCCACTGCGCGAGATCATCAACCAGTTTCCTTATGAATCTCTATGACCGAAAGGACTACCGGTACGCTAGCTACGAAGTGGATGTGATGAGATGACCATCATGCAGAGCCGAGCCGTCCAAAATCCCTGGCCGCATCATCTCGGGGGTTCGGATATCTTGGGCTCTCCTGACGCCAAGCCCTAACCGTCAGTAGAAATTGAAATATGCACGGAGATGCTTACCACCTCGGACTAGTTCCTGAATATTGCTATGCTTGGAATCGATGGGCAGAGCTATATTTGGCAGCAAGGTGACTTTAATCAAGTTATTTTAACCACGGCATTGCAACGATGTACATGGTTGCTATTCGCCTAGCCCGTGCGACGGGGAAGCGCGCTTGTAGAGTGCCTCTCATAGGGCGACCTCGAAATGAGTGACAGGGTCTCTACACTCTAAAGAGGCAAATCATCTGGTGGCATGAGTATATCGTAAGTTAGCTACAGTGATGCCAAGTGGACACTGAACTCCAATCACTCTCGACTAATCCTAAAGCCACATGGTTTCCCTGGTGGAATCACCAGGATATGAGAATCATGGAAGAATTTTTGGCAGAAGCGATGGCGATAGCCCCCATCCTCTCATTACTATTTTTGAATGGCATGTGGGCGGGAAGAAGAACGACATGACAGAAGCATATTCACTGCGAATCAAGGTTCAAGACTAATCGTGATTGATATATGGTCGTTCATCCTTCTGGTCGACAATACGAGAAGACGAGGCTGAACTTAATGACAGGTCCTAGAGGACGCTCATGACTCGAGATCGTAAAACCCGACAAAAGTCATACGATAAGAGGGGATGTTTTTCATAATGTATTCAACAGTATTTACATGTACTCCCGGGTGTCGTAGATATTCGTAGGTATAGGAGGTGGTGCGCATACCATTCAGGTCACTGGATGATAGATGCCCTAAGGCAGTGACTAGGGAGTGACCGGAGTAAATATAGCAAAAGGTGCATATTTAGTCTCTTCCCCCTCGACTGGTGGCTTCCCCCCCTCATCTTCCCTGCAACCAAAACCACACTTCCGGAACCAAGTCTCCTAAAAAAAAAAAAAGAGACAAACCATCGCTAGACCCCACATCCCGATTTTATCAACGTTTCAAATCGCTATCCTTCATGGCCTGGGTATTCTCAAGATAACGATGATCGAATTGGCACGCGCCATGCCCTGGCTCTTTCCTATCGCTGTCTAGCATCATCCTGTGTGTGGCTTGGCTTCGAGTTACTTTGACCGGTGACTGAATACCTCAATCGCTGAAACCAATCAAATCGCTATATTTACCCTATCCAAACATATGATATCAGAGGAAGGTCAAAGGGAAGACGGAAAAAATACAGGTACATACGTCTTCACTTCTTTGAAGCCCCTGCCTCTTATGCTATCATTACTGGCATCCCCAACCAACATTGACTCTGTTTATTTATACGCCATTTGACGCGTATCGTACTAACCAAATTGGAAAAGATTGAATCTGTGTAGCCTGCAGACTGGATGGAGTTGGGGCGGTTCGTGCTCTAAACATCACCCCTTTGACCTGAGGCATAGACATCATCTCTGAAAGCCGCCAAAGACATCAAGGCTGCAAATCAATCCCTTACATTTGTGCATTTAGTCATTGCTGGCCGATGACGCAGCTACTCTTTCCTTATCCCTTTTAGAAATACTCGTGCGGATTGACTGCGTTGCTTGTCATCTCGTGTGTGTGCCAGCATGTCATACACATGGGGTTCCCTGTTTACTGGATCCAAGATTGTGTTTTACATACTCTTCTGGGGCGCTCATATTGCGGTATTTGCATTTGGATGGTATGTTCACCCATCTAAATTGTTTATACGATGAAGCTCATCGAGCCTTCTTAGGTATTTTCAAGCAACTAACTCTAGATTGGATGCCCTCAATGTCCTGGAGTATTCTGTCTGGATTTCGAGAGGTGCAGGCTTAGTTCTGACATTCGATGGAACCCTGATCTTATTGCCAATGTGCAGAAACATCGTCAAAACAATCAGGCCTAAAATACGATGGTTACCACTTGATGAATCAATATGGTTTCATCGACAAGTCAGCTATGCCTTGCTCGTCTTTACCATTCTCCACGTTGCCTCTCATTATGTCAAGTAAGTGAAGAATTTCCAGGTTACATTCTTTCACAGGCTCTAATGATGTGCAGCTTTTATAATATCGAGAAGGATAACATACGACCTGTTACTGCCGTACAGATTCACTTTACCCAAGCAGGAGGGATCACAGGTCATGTAATGCTCTTATGCATGATGTTAATATATACCACGGCTCATCACCGGATCCGCCAGCAGTCGTTCGAGACCTTCTGGTATACACACCATTTGTTCGTGCCTTTTATGTTAGCTCTCTACACACACGCTACGGGTTGCTTTGTTCGTGACACCGCAAATCCTTACTCGCCGTTTGCGGGAAAAGACTTTTGGAATCACTGCATAGGATATGAGGGGTGGAGGTGGGAACTCGTGGTAGGAGCTGTCTACCTCTTTGAAAGACTTTATCGTGAGATTCGAGCCCGGCGTGAAACGGTGATCACAAAGGTGATCCGTCACCCATACGGTATGTTGAAAGTAGTCCCATGGTGTCTTACTTGAAATTTGATAGCCTAACGATCAGATCAGATGCTATGGAAATCCAGTTCCGCAAGGAAAGTATGAAGTACAAAGCCGGTCAATGGCTCTTCATCCAAGTTCCTGAGGTGTCTAATAATCAATGGCACCCGTTTACTATCACCTCCTGCCCGTTTGACCCATACATCAGCATCCACGTCCGCCAAGTAGGAGACTTCACACGAGCCCTCGGTGACGCACTTGGATGTGGGCCGGCACAAGCCAGAGACCTTGAAGGACTTGACCCCCTGGGGATGTACGAAGTCGCCCTTGAAAACGGACAAAAGATGCCTAGCCTCCGCGTCGATGGGCCGTACGGAGCGCCCGCCGAGGACGTGTTTGAAAACGAAATTGCTGTTCTCATTGGGACAGGTATTGGCGTTACTCCATGGGCCTCCATCCTGAAAAACATCTGGCATTTACGCGCTGGACCTAACCCACCGCGCCGTCTTCGTCGCGTCGAATTTATCTGGGTCTGCAAAGATACTTCTTCCTTCGAATGGTTTCAAGCTCTTTTATCTTCGCTTGAGTCCCAGTCTGCCTACGAGGCAGCAAATGAAGGACGTGTCGAATTCTTGCGCATCCACACCTACCTTACACAACGCCTAGACGATGATACCGCTGCAAACATCTACCTCAACTCCGTAGGCCAGGAAATCGATCCACTAACAGAGCTAAAGAGCCGGACGAACTTCGGTCGTCCAAACTTTCAACGTCTCTTCACAGCCATGCGCGACGGTCTCCAAGATGGGACGTATATGCCTGGCTTATATGCCGAATTTGCAACTCAGATCGGAGTCTACTTCTGTGGTCCCAATGCCGCTGCCAGACAGATCAGAGAAGCAGCCATGTCATCGGTAACTAAAGATATTAGATTCAAGTTCTGGAAAGAACACTTCTAATAATGTTTTATTTTTATTTAGATAGGAAAGCCGGGCATAGTATAGTGGCCTCCGGTGTACTGATGAGTTACGAGTTTTCTATTTCTTTTTAGGAACCCCATTTTCTTTTATGACCTTTCGAATACTGTTTCATTTCATCACTGTATTTACCTGATGATATGCAATGTCCTGTACAGTAGCCTAGTATATAGTCGTGAATGGCTCACTCTTCAGTTTACTAGGGTGAAGAGTCATGTCGTCCTTTTCTGTATTTCATCCTAAATTAAGGACTTGTATTATACACATAATACCACAAACGTTGTCATAGCTGCATTCGCTCATCCTCACTATCTATATCTTCCGGCATGACGATCGGTATCCCTAGCGCAGCTGTCTGCCGCTGCATCTGCGCCATAAGCTCATTCAGTTCATCTTCGATATCGACGTGGATCCGCAGCTCCTTCTCCACCAGAACATTATACACGCTACGTAATTCAAAGAAACTCATTCCATCGCCCTTCCGTGATGTGCTCGGATACCGTTCCCGGACGATATCCGCTCGGAGATGACTGAACGCAAGCATGATGAGCTCTTTAGACCAAGGACATGCACGCATACCGCGGTAGAAGACGTCTTTAGCGCGTTTGATGTCGTGTAGAGATAACTCGAAGAGGATGTAGAGTTTCCAAAGGGAAAGATTGGATCGAGCGGTGGAGAGCGTGCTGGTGGGGTGTGTTGGTGTTGATGTATCTTGATCGCCGATGGCCTTCTCAAAGGCCGCACGGATGGAGTGTGCTGTAGACCCAGCGTACGTAGGGCGATTGAGTTCGGTGAAGATTGAGAATAGATGGGATGTGACTGGTATTTGAGTTGTGAGAATGTGGTTCATACGGCCGTGGGTTTCCATCGTTATGTCTCTAATGGTGTCCCTGACACGCTCTTCGATACGGAACCGAGATTCGTTCCATGCAAAGAGAGACAAGAATATTGTGTTATGGGGGTATAGAGATATGCTATCGACTAGCAAGTCACGGATTTGGGACGACTTGTACATGTTGCTTGTGCGGGTATGATAATAAAGGAGTCTTGCGCGCGCTTGGTGAACGAGTTCGACTGCGATGGACTTGAACGATTCGGCCTGGGCTGGTAAAGTTTCGAGTCGGCTGATAGTTTTATTGTATGGTTGGAGAGCTTTGTTTAGATCCCGGGAGTTGGAAAGATATGCTAGTATAGCGAGACAGTCCGTGCAGGCTACAAATGTATTGGCTTTTCCGGCCGCAAGTAGAGCCTCTTGGGTATTAGACAGTAGCTGCTATGGGTTAGCATAGTTAGGAAAGGGAAAACAGCGCGACTACTTACATTGTGCGTCTTAAGCAGGTTTGTTGGGCTGAGTGTACATTGTTCGGGATTCGGAGGAGCCTTCAGGCTAGGGCTATTCTGAGGCATAGAAATCAAGAGATAAGATACGTATTCTAAGCTCCCAATTTCTAACACTTCCCATATACAGGTATGCCAAAGGAGAACAGTGTCGATCTTGTCCTTCTCAGAAAATGCCTTGCTCGTCTGACTCATAGAAAGAGTAGTCTCCCACACGCGGTCGGCAGCCTCGATATTGCCAGATCGACGTTCAATCAGAGCATACACATTGTAGAGCCATAACTTGGATGGTCGCTTTTTGAGTAAGGATTTTGCATATTTTGCTGCCTTGTTACGGTCACACGTAAACTCCACGGCGAGTGCGTACACAGCCAAATAGTCATTCTGCGGCATCGCCTCGACAAGTAACCTCAAGACCCTGGTAACCCAAACAGGGTCAACATCAGACTGTGAGTTCAGCACATTCATACTCCACGGTCCAAGTGAAGAAAACCATGTTTCGTGGTTGGCGAAAAGTGTGTCGAATGAATGAACAAAATTCTGAAAACAAACCGGCACCGAAGCGGTATTCTTGGAGTCGGGATTGGATTTCGGAAGCCAGTGTTCAATCGTGGAATCAAAGCTGCTCATGAACTCATTTCGTAAGAAGCTATCGCCCATCCAACGGCTGGTTGTCTTCGAGTCGGCGGAGAATGCAATAGGAGGAAGATGGCAGAAATACAGAAAGCTGTCAACCAACACATCTGCTGAGCCCAAGCCCCATACAAGCGATACAATATCCTCGAGGTCAATCGAGAGAATTACACGATACGGATCATCATCCTCCTCATCTAAGCTGCGGGCTGGGAGGCGAGCGTTGAGAATTCGCTCCCTCTCGCATGCCACCCAGGACGGCAAAACTGATTTGGTGTTGACCCGAAATTGCGGCGTGATTGACTTGGGCTCTGGGAGGCTATTTGCTCCACTTTTCCAACCTTTCGCGCCAACTTCACCGATACGCGAGACCTCTGATTCCCAGAAATCCATGAAAGTCGACAGCATCTCTTGATCCTTGGTAGCATCCCTCGCTTCTGGTTGAAGAAAAGTAAGCTCCAGAATTGCCTGCCAAAGGCCTACTGCATGTTCGACGAAGCCTGCTTCCCGCATGAAAAGCGTCAAGCGAAGGAAGAGGTAAACTTGAATGTGAACCTTCTCAGCACTGTTGGTTGTGTCCCTGTTCAATCGCAAACAATCAATAAAAGTAGCAAGGCATCGGCCGTAAGTGAAGTCGAGAAACTCAGTTTGCCGGAAATCAAGGTACTTGACCCAAATGCTGATGAAATGAGAGTTCGATTTCAATACAGTCTGCCACTGCGTGGAGAGCTTTTTGGTGTCCCAGAGTTTGGCACCTTCTTCTAGTAGGCCAAGTAGGAGGATATCGCGAGATGGATGTTCCCCAACCACTTTCAATGCTCTTTCGTACAGTGATACCTTTATATCAGCCAAACTCTTCCTTTCAGCATAAGTCAGGGTTTTTGATTCTCCCTTGAAGCCTTTCAGAAGAGATTCTTGATGGTCTATAAGGTCCATCCATGCATCGACATCGGTAGGATTTCGTTCAACATTCCTAGATAGCTCGACATTGCGCTGTTTGATCTCCCTATCCGGGTCAATTCGCACAGTCTCGTCACCACTCATATCAGTATCCGCGACCACTTCCATGTCACTAGGAACATGATCCTCGTGCTTCGCTTTTCCATGAATTGAGCGGTAGGCATATTTATCGTCATCAGAAGCTTGATTTTCTGAGCCATCGTCGCCTTTCTGATGCACCGAAACAGTGAGGGGGAGATAATCTTTCGAGGCATCAGCCGCTGCATCCAGCGAAGGCGTTTGTCGTATGCGAAGTAATCTCTTTCCCTGCGGGAGTACCCCAGAAATGATACTCTTTGACTTTGTCCTTGAGCCATCGGAGCGCCAGGTATCTGCCTTGATGACTAGTGCGTCACCTTCAACGGTATCCCTATCGATCTTGTACTCTGGAGGAAGGCCTAACACACTACCCCGACCTACCCGATGATAGAGCGGAATACTGTAGCGGTGAATAGTACCATATAGGATATTATACTTGTCCCCTTTACGATCGATGACATATAGATCGGACGCGTCCTCTGACTTCACGGTAGTTTGCGGAGTAGATCGGTGCTCACGATTAAGCTCTCTTTCGGAGCGATGTGCCTCCTTATGGTCATGGCGAAGATCCTTGCGCTCTTTTCTATGTTCTTTAGAGCGGGAACGTTCACGGCCATGCCTGTGTCTTGAACGGTGGTGTTTCGAGTGCCTACCGTCTCTATCGGAGCTATCGTGACTGCGGCGCTCGGAAGGACGATCAGCTTCGGGTGGAGGCGCTGGTCGAGGCTTGAAGCTGGCGAACCGGGGGATGGACTTCTTCTCCGGCTAGAAAAAAATGACATAAATTAGATTGAAGAGCGAATTTAGTTTTATTCATGAAGAGAAGCCTACCTGAGAGCTAGAGGAATCCATACTCCTGAACGTGAGGCATTGCGAGCCTTGAAGATCAGTTGTTTGGCGGTGTCACTGGAAAAACTCCGCCTCCGCTTCCCGCAATTTTTTCTGGTTGGAGAGCGGCAGTAAAAAAAAGATACTCTGATCATCCACCGTTCCGACGTGAAGAAAAGTACCCAATCCGCCTGGGGAGACTGAATTGTTGTTCGAGTGTGAGAAGAGCGTTTTTGAGGGATGGGTTACGGTTTTAAATACGTTAAGATACATTTCACGCATCAATATGGCTTCCTCCCTCGCCGCGCAGCTGTCGCAGATTGCGGCAAACTCGACCAACCAATTGAACCTTAAGGCGCAGAGGATATCGCATTCGCAATCTTTGATTTTCGACAGAAAGGTCGCCGGGTCCCAAGATTTTGATACAATCTATGACATTTGTAATGAAGGTTTCCAAGAATTATGTCAGTTGGATCCTCGATTCGCGCAATTCGAGCGCACGATTTTCAGCGAACAGAGCAAGACCCAGGAGCGAACGGAGATGAATGCCGCCCAGAATAAGGAGCTAGATACGGTTTTGGAGGTTTTTCTTGCCTTAGTTGGAGGGAAATTATTGTTGAGCCCCGCCGTTAAGGCAGTTGACTGGCTCATTAGGCGTTTTCGGTACGACAGATTCTATCGACTGACCTCAAATGCCAAACTCTTCGACGATGAGCTAACGGACTTTGTAGGATTCACGAGTATAACATGGAATTTACGATTCTTACCTTTCTCCCATATCACACCACTCCTCTATTCCTGAATCTGCTATCGATACTCCCTGAAAATTTGACACCAACCTTCAAAGTTCTCCGTCCTTATAAGAGCAGCTCAATCAATCCCCCTCGTCATCCCCTTGTCCATAGTGCTACTACAAACAAGCCATTCTTCGCAGCTTTAAATAGATATACCCTCCAAGCCAGCCGGCAGCAAGCGGGTCACCATGCGCTTTTGACATTTTGGGCGGGAATCGTTACAGAGTCTGTTGCTGCAATGCTTGATTCAGCTCGCTCTGGTCGACGGAATGTTGAAAAGGAGAAGCACGATGACATTATTATGAGAGTCTTACCAATTCTGAATGATGGGTTGGCTATGAAAGATGTGGCAGAGCTCGTCATCGGATGCTACATGGTTTGTGTGGCTATCGCACAGAAAGCTTCCCTGCACGACAAAGTCATCGATAGCTTGATGGAGGCTGTGGCAGATTCATGGACGGAAGAAACAGTGAACTCAGGTCTAGTCTGCTTGGCTGTCCTTGCACAGCAGAAGCCGGACCCGACGTTACCGAAGCGTGTTTTCAAGGCCATCATTCGATTAGAGAACACCCTTCAGCAGTTGTCCGAGACTTTAAAACTACACAGGGCATCTCATCTTCTACTTGGGGTTGTGGCAGGCTGCGTGCAGGACCTCTCCAAACAGAAAGACACAGCGCGTCTTGATTTGCTATCGCTCATGTTTGAGAGCGAGCTTTTTGGAGAGGCCGAGACAGGCAGTGCTATGGCCATGGTCTTGCGCGCTACTAGCGATGCTCATAAAGATGGTGTTATGTCTCTGGATGCACAGACCCATCTTGCAGATCTAGTACAGCACTTTGGTCGGTCGGAATCTCTACGCCCCATCTTCCAGCAGACTATTGCGGAGTCTTCCTTTGATCTCACCGCCATCGAACATAATCTGCAAACGGTGATTGAGTCAGCGCCCGCGCCTAAAGCGGTGGAAGACGTTGATATGGGAGATGCCGAGAAGGCAGAGGAGCACGACAACTTCACACCCGCTCTGGAGTCTCTGGCGGGTAGCTCATTCAAGGCTTCTTACCTTAGCACTCAGTCTATCCCCGTATTCGATAGCCTTGCCCAAGCTTTTGCCCTGGGGATTGGCTCTCAAGAGAAGCTTGATGCCTTCGCTAACCTGCCAGCTCTTGGGAAAGCAAACGCCACAAAATCCCCCCAGTATCTGTCTTTCTTTGTCCGGGTCTTCTCCGGGCCATATCCTATTGGCACACGGGTGTCTGCGTTTAATATGGTTTCTTCATTCCTCTCTACCGCCTCTCCTGAGTTGGATCTTCAAGCATTACTGCCTTTCGTCCTAGTCACCCTCGCCGATTCCTCAGAACGAGTTCGTCGGGAAGCTGCTGGTGTCTTGGCTATCATTGGCGGCTTCTATAAGAAAAACAAGAAGGCTGATAATCAGGGAAGTATCTGGTCTCATGACACGCTTTACGGTCAAGAGAAGTCCAAGAATATCCAATGGATGTCGAGTCGTGATATGCAGAAAGTTTTCGAGCGTGCCTTGCTTCCAGGATTGGAAGAGTATGTCATTGACCCAGACCATATCGGTCGAGTCCTTGAGGCCACGCTACGTGGCTCGTCAGTTTCGGAGCCGGAGTCGTCTGAGCTCAAGAAGGCTGTTCGGTTAAGCCTTTTCACCTACCTTTGCTCTCACACCGTGCAGGTTCCGCTCTATGCACCCAAGCTCGCTCTGTTGAAGCTTCTCAACCGTGTTGAAAAGGCTGGTGGAACGACTCGTACTAAGGAGCTTGGGCCCCTGCTGAAGGACTGGCGAGATATGGGTGAGAAGCAGGTCAAGAAATTTTGCGAGAAGGAGCGCGTCCCCGTTTCAGAAATGGAAAACCAGACCGTCTTCACCGTAACGCCAAAGGAGAGAGATGCCATCACCGTCCTTTTGTCATATGTCAGCCCGTATTCCGAGTCCTTGAGTCCTTCATTCGTTAGCGCAATCTTCGGTCGTATGAAGGATATTTGGGCCAAGGTTCCTGAGGACCGGCAAGTCCTCGCTGCGGAGAATTTGTTTGAAATATCTTTGGAACAATCAGAGTCGCCCCTTGTTAATGGCTGTAGGGACGTCCTTCGCAGCGTAGAGCTTCCGGGAGCTGTGCTTTCTCAATTTCTCCAGAAGATCCCTGTTTCAGTCACTGATATGGAGGCTCTAGGACCAGCGCCCAAGAGGAGGCGCACCAGCCAGAATAATATGGTCGCAATGACTGTCAAGGATGAGGCTAGCCTTAGTAAGCTCATGGAGAAGATGACTTTCATTCTGGAGCTGGTGGATAGCTCTGCTCCCGAGACTCATCCGGAACTGGCCGATGGCCTGTTCCAAACTCTGGCTGCTCTTCATCATTTCAAGTCTCAGATCCAGTCAGGAATGAGCTATCTACTCAGCTTAGCGCTTGGTGGCCTACTTGCTATTGTCAACCGTTCCAAGGCCACTGGTAAGCCGCAGTTCGACACCTCCGTTATCCGTGCCGATTTGGTTGTTGACTGCGTCCGCACCACCGACAGTCCTCAGGTGCAGAATGCAGCGTTGCTTTTGGTAGCGGGATTATCTGTCGTTGCCCCTGAGTTGGTCCTCCACAGTGTAATGCCAATTTTCACGTTTATGGGCTCCAGCGTGCTTAAGAAGGATGACGACTACTCTGTCTCCGTGATCGATCAAACGATTGACCAAGTCGTCCCCGCCCTTATTCAATCATTGCGCAACCAGAAGCGTGATATCGTGTCTGGGACATCCGAGTTGCTGCTCAGCTTCACCGCTGCTTTCGAGCATATCCCTTCACATCGCCGCCTCCGACTGTTCCACGCTCTCATCACCAAACTCGGAACGCAAGATTTCTTGTTTGCTGTTTTGTCTATGCTTGCAAATAGATATTCGATGGATAAGGACGTTCTAATCTTGATGACAGGCTTGGTCTCCGATGCCAGTGCTCCTGTTGAACTCGCCACATACAGCAAGTACCTGGGACTGGTCAGCGATTCACTTAAGCCGAAGCCTGGTATCTCACAGGTTCTCCTTGGAATCGGAAGTGAGGACGGCCGTGAGCCTCAAAAGGTTGCAGTTGACCTCCTCAGGGCATTGGCTTATCTGTTCAGGCATTCTTCTCTCAAGTCGAAGATGGCCAAGGCATTCGCAACAGAGGAAGGTGATGAACCTCAACAGATACGTGCCTTCTTCTCGCAGATTTTGGAGCACACCTTGGCAATTGGAGACACCATGCAGGATATGAAATCCGCTAGCCAGGCAAGTGCTGAGGTCCTTAGTGCACTATTCGGAACCTTGTCGCTCGTCGATTTTCTCGACACGATCGAAGTGCTACTTCAGCGCCCCAACGACGAACTCCGTCGCAAGGTTCTCCGGCTCCTGGAAGGCCGACTGCGCCAGAACCCTGAACGCGACGGTCCTTCTCAGATCAGAATGTTGGACTTCTTGCCCGTTTTGGTCAATATCGTCGAGTCGTCGCCAGACATCTTGCTCAAGCACGCCGCAGTGGCTTGCATCGACCGCATAGCCGACAAATATGGTAAGAAAGATCCGTCGAAGGTTATCCCTGCCGCCACGGTTGTCGCCAGTGAGACCTGCATTGGACAGGAGGATGACCGTATTCGAATCATGGGTGTATTGTGTCTTGCCTCCATGGCCGAAGTTTTGGGTCAGGCGATGATTCCTGCATTGCCGGAGACACTCAGTCGCTCACTGGGATTGCTTGAATTGAGCCTGGAAGATGGTGACGAGAACACTAGACTTCATGATGCCATTTACTCCCTGTTCTCCGCACTTTTCGCCCACCTTCCATTCATGATCTCCGCTTCGCATCTTGATAAGATCCTTGTGCTTTCGTATAAATCTGCCACCAACGAGGAGTGCGAAGAGGAGAGCCGTCAGGAAGCACTGAAATTGATGGCCAAGAAGGTTGATACTTCTTCAACATTCGGTGCAGTTAATCGCAACTGGCAGCATGCCGTGCAGGCTGGACCAGAAGCTACTAAGGAAACATTGGAGGTTGTCAGCCTCGCAATAGAGAAGCACCCGAAGTCTTCTACTGTGAAGAATCTCCCTGTCATCACCGACGTCCTTTTCAAAGCGTTCGATTTGCGCCGGGAGCAACTCGCATTGGGATCGGACGCAACATTCGACTTGTCCGATGTCGATGACATTGAAGAGATTGTCAACAACGTCACAATCAAGATGATATACAAGCTGAACGACTCAACCTTCCGTCCTATCTTCACAAAGCTTCTCGAGTGGGCAACGACCGGCGTCTCAAAGAAGGATACGCAGGGCAACTTGGCCCGGCTCACGACTTTCTACAAGTTCTTGCAGGTCTTCTTCGGCACACTTCAGGTAAGCTTAAACATATCCCTCAACCCTCTTTCGCCCAGTCAATCTAACGGATTACAGTCCATCGTCACCGGCTACTCTAGCTACATCATCGAGAGCGTAGTATCAGTCCTCAGCAAAGCCAGTCCTTCCAACGCCAACACCAAGTCTCTTTGGTTGGCAACTATGCGCCTACTCCGCAATGCCTTCGAGCATGACCAAGATGGTAAGCTTCAACCTCTTTTAAACGACTTTCACTCAAGCAGATCAGCTAATTCAACCCCCAAATAGAATTCTGGCAATCTCCCTCCCACCTCACGAAAATCTCAACCCCCTTAATCTCCCAACTCGCCCACGCCACCAATCCCACAACAGCCACCCTAGTCATCAACGAGGCTGTCCCAGCCATCACCGAACTTGCCGTAGCAGCCGACTCAACAGACAACCACAAGGAACTGAACACAGTCCTCATGCGGTACCTCCGCCCCTCCGCTGGCCCCACCGGCAGATCCGCCGGCGGCGAGAACCCGCATACGCGACTTGCCGCCCTCAAAGCAGAGCAATCACTCACCGAGCAGCTGGGCGAGGAATGGCTTGCATTGCTGCCTGAGATGCTGCCATACATCAGTGAATTGATGGAAGACGAGGACGAGAACGTGGAGAGGGAGGTTCGCAAATGGGTCAAGCAGATTGAGGACGTGCTTGGGGAGAAGCTAGATGACATGTTGACTTGATAGTCTTTTTGTAGGGAATGAAGTTAAGTTGCAAAAGAGGTTATGGGCATTCTTGGGCGTTGGATTCTGTGTTTCACTTGCAAGTGTCGATGTGTCTTTCCGTGTGCATAGAAAAAGTTGGTTTGAGTGCTGTTGATACATAATCCATAGATTTGGTTCCATCTACCGAACGTTGATATCTGCTTTTCGTTTAATAAGCGCCCCCTTCCCACTATATGTCTCTCACACCCTCTATCATTAAACACTACATATTACATTTTTTATCTAGACAACCCAAACCCTTCCCCCCACATTCAGGCTATATGCACAGGTTTACACCCAAGGCAAGCGAGAAACCAATCATCGTGCGCTGTAATCGCTTCATCCGATGAGATAAATCAGGCAACAGACTATACGAAAGAATGGTCTACTATGAGATAATGTCTCGTGGGCAGACAACGAGGCCTGAGCGCACTTGAGTTCCTACTTCTTGTATTTGAGAGAGCATCGGCTTAGGGATTTGGGGGACTGAAGTTGGCTTAAACCCCTTCTCCGAAAGGGAAAAAAAAAGGAAAATAAAAGAAGGCTCTGCGCGAAGTTGTACGCCGCTGAATCTGGATGGGAGAATTTAGCACTGACGCACAGAAAGGTCTAAGCATCCTGGAGTCATGCTTCTGACCAATTCCAGTCCTTGAATGTGGCAATCAAGCTTTCATCCGGTGTGCTTGGAGGGGCAATGCATCATCCCTGCCAATAATATTACAAGAATCGGAAAGAAATGGATATAATGCTACATATGATGTATCCAAATCTCATCATTGGTCTCATCAGACTCTTTCTACGCAAGTGGGGTTAGCACGGATGGCTGGTACTCATATCTTGGAGAGTCATAAGACAAAGCCCAATGCCACATTTCCAGAGACTAGGGGGAATAGGTCTCCGTATAGCGCGATGTAAAGGTTGGCCGGAGGTAGATCTGGGCATTGATAGTCTCCATCAGTCAGAGTCCGCCGTTACCCAGGTTATAAAAACCTCAGAACTTCATCCGATCTTTCACAAAAAGTCCATTCGAAGTGCTCAGAGGTAAATCTCCGGATGCAAGTAAGCAAAACGCTCAAATATGTCATCTCGGCCAATGTCAACTGATACCTTGAGAAAGTCAGGACCCTGGACGTCGAGTTCGAAAAGTACGACAACTTCAAGCCACCCCAACAGGGCCAACCCGCTGTGGAACTAACGGCGAAGGGATTAGGATCTGTGATTCTCACAATCAGACTCTTGGCTGAGATTCTGAACAAGGCCCCCGAGGAGGTCAAAGATCTATTCCGCTTGGCTTGCAAGACTGCGGCATCGAAGCGGCCCTTCCGGCTTTGGGGCAGTTCCGCCAACTCGTGGAGAAATAGACCCGCACAGTCCCAAGTCAACAAGCTAACACCTTAATACTAGTAAATGCAAGACAAACTCACTCAAATCTAACCTCACCCTTGCCGTCGGGAGCCCCTTCGACCCTGCTCCGCGCACATTAAACGTAGTCGGCATTACTCCCACACTCACATTCCAACATGGGGGGTGTTTCGTGTTTGTCGTAGAGACAATTATGACAGTCACCTTTGTTGATGGCGTCTCCACCAGAGGATATAATAAATACTACATATATGTGAAAGAAAAGAGAAATAGGAAGAAAGTTAATTCATACTTCGTTTCAGGCTTGAATTGGCCGGTTGTTTCTTTCCAACCGAGACATTTAGCAAAGGATAGTGGTAAGTGAGTGTCAGGGGCTGGTATGCTTGTGGAGGGAGATGAAGATTTAGGAGTAGTATATATTCAGTTGGTTAAAGTATATTAGATGAGTGATTCCTTTGTGTTAGGGCACTGGGTGCGATAATTATTAATATGGGGATTTATATCTCTAAGTTCGATCTTCTTGATGTGTTCATACTCCGGTCGACATAAAAGGTTGCATGTTTCTCTCAAGGAAGTAGCTATATTATGTAGCAGAGAGCCACACACCCAAGAACAGGACGACAATGATAATAAATCCCCTCTCGGGTCTTTTAAGTGAGTCGTTAAAGAAACGGAGTAGATGGGACGAGGTTTGGAAGCGAAACATGAATAAATCTAGAACTATTATTTGAACCCATCCTGGACATTGCTCTATATCTATGACGGATACTCGATATGGTTGTCGGGCCTTTCTCGGGCGTCCTGGCCACTGAGCTTTTCAATGAGCTGAGCCAGATGTGTTAATGCACCTATTCGATATGATACCCTAAGAAGATCAGGGAGAAGGAAAAGGCATACCGTGCCCATAAGTCTCTAATCTCCAACTTTCTCCATACTGGTCTCCCACTATATCTCACTTGCAAGGCTATTGCTCTTGATGTTCTCCGCCTTGATTATTGTTATACTGGCCCCTACCTCGGGTTGCTCTATCACTGTTGTGTTAGCCAGTGGTAGAACCTTATAGTGCCAAATCCCCTCTTCACCCATGCCTGTTCCAACATTTAAAGAAGGATGACCTAGCCCCGTAGTGTTGACAAAGGAACCGCCATAAAGCGGCATACCAAGGGCAATCTCGCTGGCTGGTACACCCTTGCTGGTGTAGAACTTGACAGCCTTTGTCTGCAATAGCGGGGGTGGTATTCGGATCGGAGGCGTTGCGAAAGAGAACAGCAGTGTGATCGGCTACCTTTTCCCATTCACCGCTGAAATTGTATGCCATTAGCTGGCAGAGATCAATGTATTGGCCCATTTCACCAATGAGAAGATGTTTGTACTTCGCCTCGCCTTGGAGTTGTCATCATTTCTTCTTTTTCTCGTACATGGCTGGCTAGAATGTTGTACTTACCAGCCGTGCAGGTAATAGTCAAGGGAAAATGCTTGCCATTCGAACCTGATTTGACTAATCCCTGATTATTCATTTTTGTAGACTCTAAAAAATAAAAGAGGGCATAGATCGGCGTTTGTCTATGCCTGTGGGTAAGTGTAGTACATACCCCTCGTACTTCCTTTAAGAGGGCTACCATATCCTTTGCACTCACTTCTTTCTTAGGATACTGTATGCTATCAGCCGGCGTAAAAGGAAGACAATGAAAGGGAAGAGAAAATATAACCCCCCAATCGATATCTAACTCGCCAAACCCTACATTATGCATCAATTTGACAGCCGACTGAGCGAACATCGTCCGGTGTTCTGTAACACTAAGAATGCCAGCCTAATTATGTGGGTTCGTATATCCTCCGATTGACAAAAAGACTTTGACGTGTCTGTTCTTCTGCTTTAACGGACCCAGCTGTTTGATGCACCCGTAGACATTGTTCTGGTTTTTATTAACCTTCGAGTCGCCGGCGGGGCGTCTTTCATAGTCAGAAAATTCATCTCACAAACGGACTTCGCCGGAGTCCGTGATATTAGCAAGAGCGTAGAGGATATGAGTGAGCTTATCGACGGGGATATGTTGTGGGTAGGAATGTAGGGTTTAAGAAACACTCTGTTCAGGCAGAGCCAATACTAGGCGTAGAGAGAAACGCAAGTCCTAGAGTACTAGCCTAGAGGCTGTGCTGCCGGAAGGGGCCCATGCTACAATTTATACTAGATTCCTGATACTCTTCATCACAATAATCAATGGATGGCAGCACTTCGCGACATAACGGGGAGAGACAAAGGGTGTCATGGCCACTTGAACAGGCTCCATAAAGACGTGGCAGCTTTGTTATGTACGGCAATGTCTGGGGCATTGTGTTCAGTGGATTCTTTGTACCACGTACATTGAGCGCTTCATGTTCATTTACCAAAATGAGGGTTCTCTTTGGTCTTTATAGAGACCGACTGAAGATCACATGCCAGGAGCCTTCCAGATAGGGAATGGCAAGGGGCGTGACTTGGGATACTAATATCAAGATGGAGTCAACCGGTAGGCTAGGATAGTTTATATTAAATGATATTAATCTAAGTTAAGACCAGAAACAAATTATCCCAACATGGCTCGTCGACCCTGGTGAGAATTAATCATAGCGCTTAGGAACACTCTTATGCTAAACAAAACAAGCCGGGTATATCCAAATGCACCTTCCCAACGCCATGTAAAACATAAACTTTTATATCTCGTAAAGAACTTCAGCAAGCCGCCCCAACACTCCCGGTAATGGCCCTGGAGGAACGGGAGGTAGACATCAAATCGACGGAGCGGTCGGGAGGTAGAAGTTGGCCTTGGTTCTCGGAGTACTCGGGAGGCGCAATCTGGGCCAGTGTGGGAGGTGCGACACTACGAGGACAGAAAAATTCGGCATTGACCTCATGTTGGGTGATCTCATGGGGCTCTTTCGCTTTCGCATCCGACCGAGGCCGACTGGTCAATTGGATGGGAATTTTTAGTGAAGTTGTCGGAGTCAGGATATTAGTATTTGGAGTGTGGTAAGAAATGCTGAGTTCGAGACAATAGATGCGGGAGATTAGGCACGAGTGGAATGTGGGCACGAAGGATTTGGACTTGGGAAGAGTAATGGGAACGACGACCGAGGCGGTATAGTAGATCTCGCCGGTGAAAGACGCCGAGGGCCCAGTCATGGATTCCGTGGACGATGTTGACTCCAACGAGTCGCAGCGGCTGAGGCCCCTATCAATGGTATGTTTCGTCCAGTGCGCAGACGCCACGCACATGGTGGAAAGGGGAACCGTCTCAGTGTAGCATCCTTGCCCAATCTGGGCCCAGGGCATATTACGAGGGGAAGGGTAATCCCCCCATGGCTCTGCGCCGAACAGGCTGGACACCCGCAGCTTACTCCAGATCGTCCCGAGGCGAGGAGGTTCCTCATTGCCGGCCGGATCGAATCGCAGGTGCACTGTCGTCACAGTGTTCACCGAATCGTGGCCCTCACTGTTTGGGGGACACAGTTGCACAGGCTTGGGCTGCGACGAGGCTACGACTAGCCGGCCCAACTTGCCTCTCATGAAGCCGCGCTTGACGTCTTTCTCCTTCCGGATGCAGTAGGTCTCATCGTCCGTGATATTCAGAGGGGGTTCCTCGTCGACAGCAGGAATGATCCGCACTTTTTTGCCCACTGAAGCCAAGGTCTTTGGCGAGGAATTCTCCGGTCTGCGTTGCACGGTGACACGGACCAAATAGGATATCCGGCACATATCGGGGGCTAGGTCATTCAAGAGCGTCTTGCCATCATTGGCTAACATGGGATCACCCAGAGTAGGTGGTAGCAGGGTGTGGGAGCGTTCGACGTGGATGTTGGTCTTTGCATGGCTACAGACATGTGGAAGCAGACGGTCCGGTACGACGAATGTGAAGGGAAACTTGTAAGTGCGGCCGGCCTCGAGTACACGGGGCATGGGATAGGCAGCGTCCTCAATTGGTTGACGAAGTCGAAGGAATGTCTGGTATGCGCCTGTCCGTCCCGGCATCGCGACACGCTCCACGGAAGTTCTTGATGTTCCTGTATGTATACATATATGAGTAAGACTTCACTCAAGTTGTGGTTAAATTATCCTTTCTGATCTATTCTTACCCTCAAAGGTGATTTCAACATCATCAAACCGTGTGTCACGGTCTACCGTGACGATTGCCGTTCCTTCGATGCGATCTTTGGTCGTATATGAGTTAACAATACCCTCAGTCTGTCCGACGAGCTGAATGTCGACCTTTGGGCGCGAATGCGCTAAGGACTCCAAAGTGCTGGAGCTACGGGTAACAAATGATGAGGCCATTTCAACTGTATTTCACCAATGCAAGGGATATACAGAGAAGGATATCGAGAAGAGAGTGTTATACGCAACACCATATATCAAAGGTGGAGAGAGGAGATGACTGAGCTAGATGGATTGAAATGGAACTGTAGGGGGAAGGCAGGGTATATATATAAAAAAAGAAACGAAGCAGGGAAAAGGGTTCTAAATTGAATGTAGGGATGGGGTGATGGTTGTTGTTGGGTAATAGTAATGGCGAGCTGTGGAGATAGGTTGATGTATGCGTTTTTGTAGAATTAATGGATAGGGAAAAATGGCATCAGACGACCCCACGGGCATTTATTTAAATCTTCAACCCATCGTATCTTCTTCTTCCCTTCAATTGATCAATTTGAAAGCAATGTTAATCCTTTAGGGCGTGAAATGAGTCACTGATGAACCGACAAGAGGAATCTTCGAAGCACGTGTCTTGATGATAATCCACTTGTTGGACAAGAGAAAAAAAAAAAAAAAAATTAAACACAGAGAGAGAACCAAATCAAATCGAACCGACAAGTGATCCACATGAATGAATGGATATGCAGAAATGGAACCCTTTCTTTTCTCAGTTTCTCTCCCATACATAGTTCGGCTCCAGAATAGGGAATTCCGGAATGATCCACTTTCTCCGACGATTGGTTCAACTCCCGATGATCGTTTACGCCCTTTCACGACATGGACAATATCATTGAACCAATATACGAAAAACACGCCCTGTGTCAAATTAGTCAGAAGTCAATCACCATTGTTCGTGATCTGTACTCCATATTTCTAAGCGATATTTCCCCGTGGGATAGATAATCAGCAGACAAAGGCAAAAGAAAAAAAGAGTAAGTAACCTGACAAATATGTAGCTTTGGGACGATCATTAGCAAAACCAATAGTTTGGCATAACCCTAAATAAAGGTCAGTTACTTGAGACGCCCCAAGCATTCCAACCAGGTTCCTATCGCGTGATGATCGTAGATCTCACACCATCCGGCCTTCATATGACCGTTCGACCCCATAAACTATTCGTCAATCATTGTCTATAATCGACCTGTGTCTTGCGCATTTCCTGATCCCCCAACCTTGAGTCCAAAAGCCCTCTATACAGGGTACTCGTGATCCCAAAAAAAAAATTAAAAATTAAAAATAAGAAAAAAAGACCTTCATCTAGATCCTGTGGTCCCGAGTACCTCAAGGGATGAACTAAAATGTCTAGCCTATCTTACCCGCTCCAAAGGAACTTCCTGATTGTCGCAAGTAGACCGTTTAGCTCTGCGCCCTACGATATCCACGACTACCCAGACTTTCCTTCGTCCAAGATAATCCGCCAAGGAACGCTATCGGCTTATTTCTTCCCTCAATTGGTTGTCCGAGCGTTTTCTTGGTCTGTATGCTGTCATACCCTTCAATCATCATTAATCCACAACAGGATAAACTCTAAAAGAAAAGAAAAGGTAAAAGTAAAGGCAAAAAGATACGGAACTAAGACCTCTCCCATCTATCATCATGATAACCGGCAACATACAATCTCTGGGTTGGACCCCATTGAACTTGGACTATATATCCCTCATTCCCATTAGTCACTCACGGGAATGAAAAAGCCAGGAACGGAGAGATCCGATTCCACTCTGCCTTCCGTTTTCCCACGGGTCCGCGTCTAACCGTCAATAAGCGAGAGAGTGAGCCGACCGCCACGGTATGCCGACGGGAAACTCAAGCGATGCGATATAATACTGCTTTTCTGGACTGTAGCACGATGTCGCCATCAGTGAAAATTTTCTCTACCCCAGTCGGACCCATATCCCCCCTACTTGGCAACTATCGTAGAGAGGAGTAGCTACTACCTACTAACTGAAGTAAGTAATTGCCCGAAGCGACAATGGTCATAGGAAGTTAGCTTACCTTCGTAGCCCTAACAAAGCATTCTTGAAGAATAATAGCATAGAGATCAATATTTGTGAATAGCAATTCATATATGACGTCGATGAATTCAAACCAGACCAAGCTTGCAGCTTCCCGCCCAAAAACCAAACTGGATTCAATTAAAGGAGCTTACGAACTCTAAATTAATGATCCCCTGTAGATCATAAGCAGATCCAGCTATAAGGAATGGCGACCGCTCTGACACTGCTGATAGTCCTTATTCTCAGTCGGCGGTGCGTTGAGGGGGGGGGGGGGGAGTGCGAGTCTTGCTCATCGAGCCCAACTAAATAGTATACTCCGTGAGTCTGTATATACACGACCTTTAAGACCAGTGGATCCCGCATCGTGACTATTGATCTTTCTCGAACATAACAAATTTTCTATCAAGGCTCCACAAGTCTACATAGTAGGACGGAATGCATAGTGGTTGCTCAAGCCAAGATGTCGGGCCACATGATAGACTATAAGCCTGTATCTACAGTTCACAAGAGATAAAAAGAAAGTAATTGCATTGAGTAGTAATAAGGACTACTGTAAACCATACAGAGAATGTCCCGACGGATAAATTACGATTCATATCCGTGACATGCAGATAGAATCGTACTCAAAGATCGTCGAGAGCGTCAGCCTTTTTCTTGTCTCATACAGGATGAACTCCGAAAGCACATGCTGTATCCAGCTCAAGATCAGCCGAGGGAAGCGGGAGACCGAGCGAGGAAAGAGACGTCGGTAGGTAGGACACTGTCCTTTTCCCACTTCTACTGAAAATACACAAAGTCGAAAGGGCACCGGAATTGTACTATACAAGCTGTACATGATGCATGATATCTCACATTCGATTATCGGGTATCTAAGGACCCTGGAACAGTAAAAAGAAGTCGCTAGACGCCGTGTCCGCCCAAATCAGTACGCCACTCTGGTCCGCATGTCCTAGAAAATAATTAGTGGACGTTCATAAAGGGAAGTAGCGGGAAAAACTCACTGAAAGCTTCCGTTCAATTTCACGAACTGAACGGTCGAGTTCCCCAGCAATCATCATCTTGGTATCATTAGGTAATAAGAAATACGTCTCACATAAGTCCCCGTCAATGACGCCCTTCACAGGGGCATAGTAACTTCGATAAATGAGATGGTCCCGCCCAGCAAGAGGAGGGTTCTGTGCTGCCAACTGCATCTCCAGATTCTGGAAGAAGTCGACGTCCTCTCGGCTAATGAAGGGTACCAGCATTCCAATGGTACCCTGGAATCCAGACCATACAAGTATGTCTCGGCCACCGGCTACAAGCTGGGACTTGTGCAAGCTGGTCGGGATGTCCTGAGTGTAAACGTGGATCATCAGCTCCAGTCGGTTAGGTGTACCGTGGAGATAACCACGTTCATGGATCAAATGCGCGCCCGATCCATCCTCATCAGCCTGTTCCGAGATCTTTTTAGGACAACGCAGCATCCAGATGTTACCGAACTTATCTCCACCCGCGACCGTTTCATAATCCACCATAGTTGTGGAGGTCGTCCATCGCGAGACAGAATCGTCGACAAACGGGATCAAAACGTTCTCCTGATATTTGTACACGACATATGTAACACTCTCACGAACATCGCTCACGACGATCCTGCTGCCTTGTGTCTGGAGACCAACGATCGTCTTCGGGACGACCTGAGCGTTACATTTTCTGAGAAGCTGCTTCATTCCCAAGTCATAGATTCGGAGCACGGAGCCAATACCAGCGACCAGGCGACCCTGGAAACCAAGAAGAGCAAGTGGAGGCTCTTCAACCTTGGTTTTGTGAATGAACTCAAGCTCTCTTCCATCTTCCTGGAACCTATAAATGTGGATGAAACCACCTGCAGAGGATGGGGGGTTGACAGTCATATCTTTCGCTGTTCCTACTACGAGGAAGGTCTCATCGTCTTGACTAGTGAAAGGGACAGCTGCAATACTGACAGCGGCCTCATTTTCCTCAAGCTCAATGGTCGAAACAACAGCCTTTGAATGCACAGGGTCGACGACTTGAATACACGAGGCCCAATGACCAGAGGCTCGCGGGTATCCGAATTCTTCGGGAGGTAGCACTGTTTCATCACCAGTACGTGCCTTGGAATCCTCCAGGAGTTTGGCCCTAGTAGATGGTGCCAGAACATTGTTGTCTGCTTCAATCACATAGAAAAGGGGTTGCTCGGGATGCTTTAAGAAACGGCGAGGAGTGTAAGAAAGAGGGATTGACTGCTGTAGCATGTTGTTGTCAAGCTTCTCAATGGAAAAAATCCTAATGACGCCAGTCAGCGAAGGTGAATACCCAAAGTCACTAGTGTTGCATAAATGCATGGTTTGGTTTTGATTTCAGTAGGAACAATTGGAAATAAAATATAAAATCTTCCACACGGGTTTTCAGGTCCCATTTTCTCATCATATAACCAAAGTACACGGAGGGAGAAGGGAATGGGAATAAATCATACCGGAGGTTTTGGCCTTGAATACCAACCATGCCTTCTAAACACTGTTCGCTCGAAAAGTTCCAGCCCCATTCAAGTGGAACATAGTCCAACGGGGTAAGCATGAAGCCTTTGGTCTGAATGTCGGAATAGCCCAGCCAAGGGCGGGAGCTTAAAGCCAGAACAGCAGTTTGCCCTTTGACCGAGACCTGGAACAACTTAACGGGCTTAGAGCCCAGGAAACGTGTGCGAGTATCCGAAAGCTCACCGGTCACCTCATCTAACACTGTTCTTAGGTAGACACCAGAGTACAGACCAATGTGAAGATAGAGTGTTGTCCCGCCAGAACTAGAATCAGACATGGACATGATATTCAAGGCGGACGGGGCTGCGGTAAGAGCCTGAACTGATTTGTTTTCCAGTGTGGAGTCGGGATCCAAGCTCAGGATGCGGACCGTGGAGTCATCACACCCTACAGCCAAGAACGAGCTCCGCATACGTCCCTCTGGAACCTCTCCTAGACTGAGACAGGTCACGGTACCGGACATCTGGCGCCGTTCGTCATATTCAGCAAGAGTTCCATCAGAATCCATTTCGAAGTACACGATTTCTCCTGAGCTAAGAGCTACCGCAACTTGGCGTTCATTCGTTGCGGCTGCCACAATGGAACGATGCTGAGGAGCAGGCCACTCATTCACTCGACGGTCGACCATAATATGGCGGATACCCCTAGGGTGAATCTGGATCAAGGAATCCTCTCCAAGCTGCTGAACAGCGAGGGTAGGGGCGGAGGACAGAAAGCCAGTATCGGTAACCTCCTCCACGGTCTCGCCAATGCTGAGCACAAGAGTGCCATTCGCAAAAGAAAGGACGATGTAGGCATCGAACTCGTCCTCCCGGGTCAGTTTTGTGGTCCACACGGCTGAGGGCACACTGGGGAGTTCTGAGTCAACAATTTCTGAGACTTCTAAGCCGTGCTTGAGAGTCCTAAAGGTGCTACGAGCTCCAGCGCCAGAGATAGTATAGATTTGCGGGGCATCCTCTTCGGAAAGATTGGCAATCTTGCTGTCTATTAAAGGATTCAGGGAGTTGATCGTCTCGACGAGGTTGAGATTTTCCGCACCCCGTGGTTGGAAATAGGCTGGCTCGAGTGGAACAGAAGGATCTGCAGAATAGGATTCACTGCTGAATTCGACTTCTTCGTCATCATCACCGAGCTTTTCAAATTGATAAAAGTCATGATTTCCTGCCTCACTAGCGACATATAAGAAGCCGCTCTTAAGGATCAACAAGCTAGACGCGACGGCAACAGTGTCAAAGTATTTGATTTTCAACCTTTTCACTTCGCCGGTCAGCTGACCATTGTCGTCTTCCACCATGTCAATGTTGAGTTTGAACAGATCACCATCTTCAGTCTGAAGGAGAAAGAAGAAGGCACCCCTCATCTTGTGCATAACGCCGGCTGTGATATACCGTTTACGTTCGGGGTTCTCTGTCGGACCTTTACGTCGGGGAATTGGTACTCTGAAGGCATCTTGGTTCGAGTGTCGGTAGGTGACACTGTCCTCAGCACAAACGAGAACGCCACTTGGGCCGTCCGCACCCCCGGGGACCTGAAAAAGCATCATTGATGTGCGATCAACAGGGTCTGCCCACTTGCGTACGACGTGATTCAGTCCAAGGTCGAGTTCGTAGTATACGAGAAGCTTCTCAACTTCTTCGAAAGCCTGACCAGTGGGATCCTGATCCGACTCCGAGTAATCCACCTCAAGTGCGGCAAAGATAGGGTTTTCATACCCGACATCCAATGCCGTCATTGCAAACACCAAGGTTTGTGGCTTGTGCGCTTCAAGTGGGGAAGAGATCGTCAACTCGGCCTGCGAGTTCCGATTCAGGACATAGACGAGCTTGTTCTTCTCCACAGACGCGATGAGGCAAGCCCTACCCTTGGGATCAACTGCCAAGTACTGGCCGGGGATCACACGTCGGACACCGGACTTGCCGAACGTCTCCAGATGAATGCGGTTGAACCGATTCTGGGAAGGCACATACTCAATGATAGTGATGCGTCCCGAGTCCGAGCCAATGATGATATAATCTGTAGGCACCTCTCAGCATAAGTCAAGGACTAGCACCCAGCGTCATCATTGCTGACCGGGGCACGTCCCACTTCCAAGGTGGTCGGCTCGGCAGTTAAGGATCGTGCTGCCCGGAAGCTTGAAGAATCACTAAGATGATCTCGGAATCACACCAAGGGGGATGTCAAACATACCTTTGTTACTCCCAGCTAGTCGAAAAGCAGCCAGGGAGCGAATGATGCCAAAGACATCTTGAGAGAAGAGCGGGGTGACTTTGCCCTGCGTGGGATCGGGGCGATGGATTGTGAGCTTTGACCCGGACGCGGTGACAATCTGCTGCTCCTTGGTGCCTGCAAATTGACCCAGAATAGCCTGCGTAACAGCAGTAGGCGGCTGGATTGTCAGAGAGTACATAAACATATGCGAGGTGGTAGCCATGGTGGGCAGCTAGACTCGTAGAGAGCCAGATAAGCAGGAAAGTGGTGCTGTGTTTTGTTTACGGGACAATTGCAACCAAAGTTGACTTTAACGTAGAACTATTCCCATTGCTGCAGATATAGAGCTTGGGGAAGAGGACTCTCGAGAACGAGCGTCCTCGCAAATGGGGTGCGTGGGAAGTCTTGGGAGCAAAACGCGACGATTCACCCGACTGTGTTCTGAGAGAGAAAGTGAAAATTCCGGTGGGAGAAAGAAGCTACAGTTGTTTGACATGTTTGTTGTGAATCACGTGATAAGTATCGGTAATACTGTCCCACACGGTTGGTTACTGCAGAAAATTGGACTGTTACGCGACTCCTGACAGTATAGAAGTTACTTACAGCGCAACTGGCCTCTCTCGCTTTCCGAAAAGGCGGACGATGGGTTTCTGCCACCTTCCACATATGTTTTTCCGACTGACGCTATCAGGCCGCAGAGGGAACCTAGCACTAGGAGTAGCCCGTGCCGAGAAGTGGCATTGTTCAACTACGTAACTTACAACCATTACTTTACTGCTGACTTGTCACTTCATCCTTTTTTGTATCATCTCATCTTCTGCCTCACTTAATTGAACATATATTTGCACCTTTTTTCTCACTTGAGTGGCGGTACTGGCTTGACACTCGCTACTTTGGACCCCTCCATTCCCCTCAACGCCGAAATCACGTATAATGGCTGATGATACCGCCACGGCGGAGGACTCGCCCATCACCTTTAATATCAAATCTTCCAATGATGCTAAATACACACTGACTCTTCCATCGTCGACGCTCGTGGCAGAGCTGAAAGAAAAACTTGCGACATCGGAATATGCAGATACTCCGGCGGAGCGTCAACGCCTGATTTACTCAGGGAGAGTGTTGAAAGATAATGAAACCCTGTCTACATACAATATCAAAGATGGACACACCATTCACTTAGTTAAAAGTGCTGCTAGCAATCAGCGCCAGACTGGTGCTTCTCAGACTGCCTCGACGTCTACTCCGTCAGGCACCTCTGCTACTCCGGCTACTGGTGTTCCCACAAACCTTGCGGCCGGTACAGGCAACAACCCACTGGCTGGTTTGACCGGCGCGCGATACGCTGGGTTTGCGCAACTTCCAGGAGCTGGAATGTTCGGCCCAGATGGTGGCGTAAGTAATATATCTTGAGAAAAACCTGGTTCTTTGGATGGTGGTTTAACTGTCGGTATTCAGATGGGCCCTCCTCCCGACGCCGACTCCATGCTCAATATGCTCGAAAACCCCCAGTTTCAGTCTACGATCAATGAGGCTTTACAAAATCCAGCGATGATTGATATGATGATCCAACAAAATCCCATGCTGCGCGAAATGGGTCCCGGCGTGCGGCAAATGATGCAAAGCCCAGAATTCCGTCGTATGCTTACCGACCCCAATTCGCTTCGCCAAGCGATGCAGCTTCAAAGAGCCATGGGTGGCGGTGGCGGACTTGGTGGCAGCGCATTCCCTGCACCGGGAGTCACGAACACGACACCAGAGGACGGCCAAAACGGTCAGAATAACAATGGCACCACGCCTGCCGCTGGCGCCCCTCCTTTCAACCCATTTATGCCTCCCAGCCTGGGAGCTGGAAACCCTTTTGCTGCCCTTTTCGGTGCCAATCCAGCTATGGGTGGCGCAAATCCCCCCAGCGCGGCGGGTAGTGGCCAGGCCGAGACTACGCAGAGAGCTGCCGGGGAGACTACTGGGAGCGGTCCTACCACAGCAGAGGGTCAAAATCAACAAGCCGCCCAGAATCCATTCGGAGCGCTTTTCAACCCTGCCATGTTTGGTGCACAAGGCGGCCAGGTGAATCCTTTCAATCCCCAGCAAAATCCTTTCCTTCGCGACCCCGCTCTACTATCGCAGATGATGCAGGCAATGGGCGCTCCTCCAGGAGAAGGTGGTGCAGGTGCCCTTGGCGCCAATCCTTTGGCGGCTCTTTTCGGAGGCAATGGGTTTGGAACTCCATCTCCACAAGACAATCGACCACCTGAGGAAAGGTATGCGGAACAGCTTCGCCAGCTTAACGACATGGGCTTCTACGAGTTTGAAAGGAATATTGAAGCCCTACGACGAGCAGGTGGGAGTGTACAAGGTGCAGTGGAATACCTTCTGAGCCATCCTTCTTGAGTGCTCACTTCGATGTGGATTGGCCAATTGTCCTTCTTTTGTGGAGCGATTGTTTTCATTGGCGGCTTCTAATTTATGATTACCCTGTTTGCATACTCTTTCCTTTGGGTGTGATATGCGGGGATGTTTGGAGGGCTCATGTAGCGCTTGCACTTTGAGGACCATCCTATATTCATGATTTAGCAGAAAGGGCGTTAGTATAGCAGAATCCCATGTTTATTATGCAATGACAAGTCTTTCTACATGTTCCTATCCGTTCAGTCTTTCCAAAGTTTAAGCTATTGGAAGCGGAGAATGTATTGTAAGTAACCTGAATAATACGTACAGGTGTTATTATGATCCGTCGTGACCAAGTGGAGTCGAATTTTGTTGTATTCACGGTGAGATTATCGTTTTGGGAATGCACGCTAAACCAGTTACGGACTAATCGGCCGGACTGCTCGATGCCATGAAATGATGGCAAGTCTCCCTGGCAATCTAGCTACATTTACTTACTACTCCTCGTTGCTGTGATCACCCCTGACTTTCCCCCCTTCTCCTTCGTATTTATTCCTTTCTCTCTTCTATTCAATAGGCATTCCATGCCGATTACATTCGTTACATCGATCTGAAGTACTATATCTCGGACTTTCCATTCTCCGTCGCGTTCTGGACCGCCCGGCCTCCAGACGGCGTACATCGACGTTATCATCCACGTTTTTCGATCTATTCTAACCCTTCCCTTTTTACTTCTTCGTCTTCCTTAACAGAATTATTTTTCGACATTGCGCATAAATTTACAACCTACGCTTTCTCCTTTTCTTCGAGCGATATATTTAATGGGGGGGTCTAGGGGAAACTCCAGTTGGGTTTAGTTCCGATTTACTGATCTACGCTTGTGATTCACGCCCCCGCCACATACGATTCATTGGTGCATGTTTCGGTGATAGTGCTTTTGCTCTCTATAATAGTGAGAAGTGGTCCTTATTCTACCACTACATCAATTATGGAGCTGGGACGCTTGTGCTGCCCCCGTCAATGGGCTCTGTGGTTGTTGTTCATTTCATATTCTTGCGCGTTCTACGTACCTGGTAAGCTTTACTCGGCCCGTCGTGCTCATTAGACATGGTAACTTACACGCCCCTGTGTGCATTACAGGATACTCGATCAAACGTTACAATGACGACGAAGCCATTCCCCTTCTTGTGAACAAGATATTTTCCGATAATACGCAACTTCAGTATGCCTACTATGACCTGCCTTTTGTTTGTCCCCCGAGTGGAAGAATGCATGGTGGTTCGCCCTTCGGCTCTGGGCAGAGTATCTCACTTAACCTGGGTGAAATCTTGCGTGGTGATCGCATCATGACCTCGGACTTCGAATTGCAGATGGGCAAGAATGTCGAATGTCAAGCCCTTTGCACTGCGGAAGTAGGACGCAAAGACGTCAAGTGGGCTCGCCAGCTTATTAGAGACGGGTATGTGGCAGAGTGGATTGCGGACAACTTGCCTGGAGCAACTAGCTTTGTCACCGTCGACCGTAGTCGCAAGTATTATGCTACTGGGTTCAAGCTTGGATTTCGGGACTTCTCACCCGTCGACGGGAAAGCACGGTACTATATTAATAACCATTTCACTATCATGATCCGCTGGCGGTCGGCACCTGAGGGTGGCAAGTTGATTGTTGGTTTCGAAGTTTATCCGAAGAGTATTCGCGCAGAGGACCATGAGGAGAATGGCTGTCCCAAGCAAGTACATGAACACCACGATGGACTTGAGCTATATATCCCTCCAAACACATCCAAGTTGCGCGAAATGTATCCCGGCTCATCATATATTCCAGAGGACGATGGAGTTGACGACGGAGCTACACTTAAGATTCCGTACACATACTCTATTTATTTCAAGGAAGATAACAGCATTGAATGGTCTAGCCGATGGGATCTCTATTTCAGCAACCAGGACGATAGTTCTATGACACACTGGCTTGCGATTCTCAATTCTTTGACTATCTCTGGTGTTCTTGGGGTGGCTGTATACGTGATTTGGGGCAGAACGGTACAGGGAGATATCAAGGGCCGAGGGGATGGGGCAGTGGACGAAGCCAAATTAAAGGCTCGAAGCGCAGCTAAAGCAAAGAATATTGAAAGGAAAGGGGACGGCCTCTTAGACCAAGGCCCGGATCTTGAGCGAGATGCAGACCTGTCTTCCGACGATGAAACTCTCGAGGATGTCAGTGGTTGGAAGCTTCTGCATGGAGATGTTTTCCGAGTGCCCGAGTACAGTGGTCTCCTTGCACCAATTGTCGGCTCGGGTATGCAGCTGTTGTTTATGACCTCGGGTCTTCTCCTACTCAGCTGCCTGGGTGTTTTGAACCCTAGCTTCCGCGGTGGGTTCGTCAGTGTGGGCATGGGTTTGTTTGTGTTCGCCGGCCTCTTCTCCGGCTACTTTTCGGCAAGGTTGTACAAGACATTTGGCGGTACCAACTGGAGGAAGAATACACTAATAGTAAGCTCGATTTGGGTCTCGCAACCTTGGCGTTACTAACAGCATTAGACTGCTCTTTTCATTCCTGGCCTGACATTTTGTCTCATATTCATTCTGAACCTCTTCGTCTGGGCACAGGCATCTAGCACGGCAATTCCCTTTGGTACATTAGTCAGTCTTCTTGCGCTCTGGTTGCTGATTCAAGTTCCCTTGGTTTATATTGGTAGCTGGTATGGCTTTGTGCGAACTGCTCCATGGGAACATCCAACCAAGACCATGTCGATTGCGCGTCAAATCCCACCGCAACCCTGGTATCTACACAACATCTACGGGACCATTTTGACAGGGTTGGCGCCGTTTGCTGTTCTGTTCATCGAACTTTTGTTCGTGTTTAAAAATTTGTGGCAGGATAAGAGTGGCTACTACTATGTGTTTGGCTTCTTAAGTTCCGTCTCGACTATTCTAATGATCACGGTGAGCGAAGTGACCATCATCGCCACCTACAGTCAACTCTGCTCCGAGGTATGTTTCATTTAATCGTTGCCATCAACGTCATATTAGTTTCGGGAGCTAACTGAATCAGAACTATCATTGGTGGTGGCAGAGTTTCCTAACTGGCGCAAGCAGCTCATTCTGGGTATTTGCCTATTGCATTTGGTACTACTTCTTCCATCTTCATATCACTGGGTTTGTTTCCAGTCTTCTCTTCTTTAGCTACAGCTTCCTGGCGTGTGCGGTGTACGGCCTGTTAACGGGGACCGTTGGGTTCTTGACGGCTTACGCGTTTATCCGTCGGATCTATAGGTAGGTGGTTGCCGATTCTGGAATGAATAATGCATGTTTGAGCTAATCAGTGTATAGTGGAGTCAAAGTCGATTAATCGCTTTCAGGAACGATAAGTCGACCGATCGACAGGCTGTTCATCTGTGACACAGCCTTAGCGTCGAGGTCAATTCTTCACCCCCCTGGAGCTTATGTGAAACGGCATTTAAAGCATGCATTGCCTATGCAAACCTCTTTTCATCTCTGATTTTTTTTATTTCAAGATATCCACCATCTCTATATGAATTGGGTTGCGGTGCTATTAGTGACTAGTCATTTGGTCAATGGCCTCCTGTACCTTACATATATATTTCCTGAATTAGCGAATCCATACCAGAGTTTTAGAACAGCTTGAAGAGGATCCTCAAAACTAAATCTACTCTTGGTCTACTCTCCCTCGATGCAGGACAATCCAGTCAATTTTCGTAATTGAGAACCATCAAAGTGTAACATAATCAATCCTCAAAGGACAGTCAACAGCTTTCTCCCACAACCAGCCCATACTTTATCAGAAAGGTCCACCGAGTCCGGACATTTCTTCCCCAGGAAAACCAGTCCAGACTCACCATTAGCGCGCATCCATCAAACATCACCCGCCGCTATCCCACTCTACCCCAAAACGGCATTCCTATCCAGACTCCAGGGCTGCCAACCTGGCAACACGAGACTTACGACTAGTTCCTTAGTACTAGCTCCCCTTCACATTCACTCTTCTCCCCACCCTCAGCTACCTCTTACGTATTTTATTTCGCACCACAGTACGCCTCATGAAATCCCGTTACACGCTCGTACCTACAGGGTGATACCTGAGTTACCTGTGTTGTGGCTATGTGCGGTAGGGCAGGGTTCCGCGTGATGTTGAGGAACGTGAATAGCCGACGGTGTAATACTACATGTTGACTTCGAGGATATTGTGGTTCCTCATGTATCATTTGCGTTGTGATTGGTAGAGATTGAGAATTTACTTACTTTTGGAGGGTCATGTGGTGCTGGGAACAACCAGATACTAGTAGTGCCGAATGCTTGGTCGTGCGGAGTATGGGTGGGAGGAGCCGCAATGTGGCGAGGATTGCTTACGCTTTTTGTATGTTTTGGTAGATGGTGCTGAGAGGGTATTGGGGCTTTTGGGGAAGGGATCTAAGTGGTTGAGTAAGGGGTTCTGGTGCATGATAATAGCCAAGAAGTTAAGTTGGTTTACTTGAGCTTCGCAGACGATTACATGTCGGGGGAGTAACTTGTAGGACTAGAAAGGTAAAGGATACAAAGCTGAGTCTGATCAGCGTGATTGCGTCAGCTAAGTCGAATACAAAATACAATTAGCAACAGGAATCAGGCCGTGAAGATCAAGGTGAATGTGAAGAGAAGAGGTCCGTTCGTCCATACATGGGATTATTATTACTACTTCGTATGTACTCCGTATATGGGCATTGTTTCAGATGTTTTACAAGTGTTAGGTAGAAACCGGGAGATAAATACATTGAATTCTTTTTTCAATTTTACATGCATTGGGGCTGCGTTAGAGCATGCTTTAGCGTAGTTGTACAACGCATGTATGTATTGTAAGAAAGAGGAAACTTACATGTATGTGCTAGTAGTGAAGCAAGATCTTCAAATCCTATCATTTAATATATCCAATGACAGCATCTACTGGTCCGCTATCTACCACATCATGCCAGACGGCATTATCGGACATGTCAGATGGGACGGACTCCGTTGCAGCCCGGTTCCATGATCAGCACTGCCGTTCAAATGAAGGGTTAAGGCGAGAAGGATGTGGTAAGACATAAAGTGCTCCTTGCTTCTCATTGAAGGAAGCTAGCATTGTTGCATTTACTTCTCTTTGGACCAATTGCAAGTACCTACAAACTTAAGGTAGCAATGTGTTCTTTACCGGGGCGATGAATCATTCATTCGTGGAGACGTTTTTGCCCCTTGATGGCGTGCTCGGAGGTACCGATGATGCATTCTTTCCTACCTCGAGGTCTCGGCATCCGCATGCGGCCAACTTGTTGACTGTACGGCCTTGGAATAAAGTGTGGTAGTAGTGATATCCATGGTCTATCTCTGGACTAGGGCACAATAAAGTAACAACTACCAGTATTAGGGGTTCCTATGAATACTAATGGTGCTGCATGGCCTGATTGATAGTAAACTGCGGAAATACAGCAGATCCCATTAGCCAAAAGCTTATCAGAACCTCCAGAAAAAAAAAAACCAAGAACAGAAATTATGAGGAAATAATCTTTCAGTTGATCTTCTAGAAAATCCCTATATCATACGTAGGGACAGTTGAAGTCAACACGTAATGCACGATCGACGAATGACAGGGCCCATGGGGATGATGCCATCGACCCGCGGGATCGGTATAACACTAAAACTATGCGTCTGCGGGAGACCATGGTAAGGGCCCCCCGATTGGCGTCTTATAAACTGCGGTTTCTGGGGTACAGGGTCTCTGCAATACTGGTATTTATCAATTCCCAACATCAATGCCAAGATGCGTCCATTCCGCTGGACTTGGCATATCGTCACCCCTGGGGCAGGTGACTGCCATTGAAAGCGGGAAGAGTAACTTTGAAGCAAACCATAGGGCTGACATGTCTTTCCAAAGCAATCAGTATTGTACTTACCAACGAATAAGGCCTTCAAGGTGGCACTCTCCGCCGTTCACATTACAGTAGTCACCTGCCATCTGCAATAAGTATCCGCGAGTCATTCGAGAGGCACAACGGTCAAATTGTCGCATTTCATTCCCGCCTGGCAAGCGACATGACTTCATGAATGTGACTAGTATAAGCGGGTTGGTACATACATATATGGACTATCCTGCCTTCCTTCCCCTCTTTTCAATTAGATGTGAATATGTTCTCACATGTATGTCACCCCCCCCTGCTTCATTGTCCTCTAATAAAGTGGTCATTAAAGGCCCAAGCTGGAGGAAAGAGAGGCTCGTGACCGAGATGAATACACATACTAGGAGGGCTCCCATGGGTGATCTGCCACGTGACTGTGGTATTACTCGGGATCATGTAACCCCTAGAAAGTTAAACGCCCACGAATTTCATTGTCAACTGAACAAGAGAGGTTCCTCAACGATCTACGTTGTGCAGCATTCGGATAATACTGAAAGTACTACCGCCGTTGACTTGAAAAGCAAAAAGCAAGGATCATAGAGCCGCCTGAACTAGTCCAGATATGAATTTGTCATTATGATGCCCCGTACTGTATCCGCATCTTTCGGTTCCTGTTCAACCGATGCTTGTTTAGATTTCCTGGAAGACTAGTCCATTCCATACTGAACGTATGGATCTTGTTGATATGGTTCAATGGTCGCCTGGAGACATGCTTTGTAAAAAGGATGAGACCGAAATTGGCACTGGAATTAGGTTACGGGCGCGCATTAGCCTGCATGGGCGACGATGAGCTACTGAGGATGAAAGTTTTCACCGCAATCTTACTAGATAACTAGAATAGTACTCCTTCAAAGCAGTGGGCACATGGCCCCTGACCTGAATGGGCTAGAATATAAGGAAGTTTCAGCCGTATCGAGTGTGATGACACATAAAAACAGCATCATTGTCGATAGTATGCACTTGTAAGTCTGTAATGGATAAGCCCTTTTTCTTTCTTTCTTACAAGTATTTGGTGCGTACGAAAGACTTGTTCACAGAATCAGCCAATGAGGACCCGTGGCGAATCAGCTGATGCACTAGTCTGGCTTGTGATAAGCCGGGGGTCCTTGTCGGAACCGGCCGGGGGTGGAATCCAGCCACCAATAAATGGACTCCATCAGGCCAAGAGTGCCAAGATTTGGGGAGGCCGGACTAGTGAGAAGGGGACCTTCTTTGAATGGGTCCAAGTCCAGTTCGGTTAGTAGTCTACCCGTCTCAAAAAGAACTAACTTCTTCCAGTTCTCCGACGTACTCTGTAAGGAGTGCTACATCAACCAGAACCCAGCAGGAAAAGCATCTCCATGATGTTTGATAGAAGGTGTGGGGATTAGGGCATTATGTGAAGCATAGAAGGTTGCAGAAACTTGAGTCGAACCTGCGGACTCCGACGACCACCTGTGGAGTTTCGTGGCGATCAGATTATGAGTACTTCGTGCCCATGGATGACTGCCGGACCGCATTCCTCTGCCGGGAAATTACATCCTTACCCGGGCCTAGTAATCTGTACTTCGTCACAAAGTTGACGTCCATTTGTGTATTGTATGTAGCGGAGGGTATGTACTTGACAGCGCAACGCAGATTTCTTGGAAGATCATGAATTTCTCACTGAGAGAGATATCTAAAAGGCGAAAGGGAAATCGCAAACCTTGACCTACTTCATTAGGGCTTTTAACAGAACCATTTGACTGAAACTTTAATTCCCCTGTGTCCCAGCTCGTGGGTAATCACACCATCGTCCCCGCTGATGATTCCATCGGTGCTGTGACATAGCATGTACCGCCTGTAGATCTCCGAATCCATCAATACATCCATACATGAAGTAATTTCGTTTCTAGTACATGTACATACAATCATAATTTTTTTTCCTCCTTTTTTTTCAATTTCTTTTTTTTCCCTTTTTCTCACTTTGCCATGACTATTCACCCACCCTGAAAAGCAATATCCGCCCCGGGGATACTTATAACTGGTCCTTCTCCTTTCCGGTTCCCATTCTTTCTCGTCCCTTTCCTTCTTCATCCTTCCCACTTCTTTTCTTCTGCCGACCACCACTTCTTCCAAAGCCGGCCCTGACGCCATATATTCTTTAGATTAGAGTGTGAAAGAGATCAAGCAACCTTCGCAATGGCTACGAAGAAGCCCAACATCCTTTACATCATGGCTGATCAGATGGCTGCCCCCCTTCTGGCCTTTCATGACAAGGACTCCCCCATCAAGACCCCTAATCTGAACCGTTTGGCGGAGGAAGGCGTTGTCTTCGATTCAGCCTACTGTAACTCGCCGCTATGTGCGCCGTCCCGCTTCGTCATGGTGACTGGCCAATTGCCCTCCAAGATCGGAGCCTACGATAACGCCGCCGACTTACCCGCTGACATCCCCACTTACGCCCATTATCTACGTCGTGAGGGTTATCACACCGCTCTGGCGGGCAAGATGCACTTCTGCGGACCGGACCAGCTGCATGGCTACGAACAGCGTTTAACCAGCGACATATACCCCGGCGACTACGGTTGGTCTGTCAATTGGGATGAGCCGGTAAGTTAGTCCTCCAACGCTTCGCGTGAATATGAAGAGTTTCTGATTGCGCGTAGGATATTCGCCCTGATTGGTATCACAACATGTCCTCCGTTATGGAGGCTGGCCCTGTTGTGCGGACCAATCAACTTGATTTTGACGAGGAAGTCATGTACAAATCCACTCAGTACCTTTACAATCATGTCCGCCAGCGCACCGATCAGCCATTTTGTTTGACGGTTTCCTTGACTCACCCCCATGATCCTTACGCCATGACCAAGGAGTTCTGGGATTTGTATGAGGGCGTCGATATCCCTTTGCCAAAGAATGGCGCCATCCCACAAGACCAGCAGGATCCTCATTCTCAGCGTGTTATGAAGTGCATTGATTTGTGGGGCAAAGAAATGCCTGAGGAACGGATCAAGGCTGCTCGCCGCGCCTACTACGCTGCTTGTACTTACGTCGATACCAATGTCGGCAAGCTGTTGAAGGTTCTAGATGATTGCGGTTTGACCGAAGACACGATTGTTGTGTTCACTGGTGACCACGGAGATATGCTAGGCGAGCGCGGACTGTGGTATAAGATGGTCTGGTACGAGAACTCAGCACGTGTCCCCATGATCATGCATGCGCCCAAGCGCTTTGCCCCTAAGCGTATCTCCCAGAACGTGTCAACGATGGACTTGTTGCCTACTTTCGTCGATCTGGTAGGCGCGCAGTTGATTCAGGAATTGCCCATGGACGGCGTGTCCTTGCTTCCATATCTGACAGGCGAGGATGGTCTCAAGACCGATACAGTGCTGGGCGAGTACATGGCTGAGGGAACGCAGTCTCCAGTGGTTATGATCCGTCGCGGCCGTTGGAAGTTTGTGTACTCGCTGATCGACCCGCCAATGCTTTTCGATGTGGAAGCAGACCCTGAAGAAAAGGTAAACCTTGCAGCTGGTTTAGTTGTTCCGGCACAAGTGGTTGCGACAAAACCTACTGCCGGATCACAGTTGCAACCGGCATCGTTGCCCACTCCGGCTGATTCTCCGCGTGTGTCGCCTCGGCCCCAACGTGGAGCTTCGTCTGCCTATCCATTCCCTAGCCCTCCACGAACCCCTAGTCCAGGCAAGGGATTGCCTTCGATGCCCACGACTACCGAACCAGCCAAGATTTTGGCATACTTCATGGAAGAGGCGCAAGCTCGCTGGGATTTGGAAAGCATCACGGAGGATGTCCTGCGGTCGCAGCGTCGGCGGCGACTAGTTTACTCGGCTTTGATCAAGGGCAACCCGGCTATTTGGGACTACGAGCCGCGTATTGATCCAAGCACACAGTATGTGCGCAACCAAGGCAAGGGTGCTTTGGACGATGTAGAATTGATTTCTCGCTGGCCTCGTGTGCTGCAGCAAGCAGCCAACGTGATGGGCACCAAGGTTTAGGTCATTCTTCGAGAAAGAGAAGAGACTGGAAAAGGGTCATTTAAAATTTCGGCATAGCTTTCGGTCTTTTTTTTTTTTGGTATATCCTCGGGTGTTTCTTTTATCTTGCGATGTTGAATTTGCTCAGATGAATTCCGTTTTACGATGATTTAGCGAGGCGCGATACCCGGCATTGTTTGCATTCACAGCGTTTGCTTGAGTCTACCTAGCGATTGATGAATGCGTTTTTGTTCTCGGGATCTCCAGCAGATGGTACGGCAGTGCTGTACATAAAAACATAGGAGAGCTGCCTGCTTGTATGTATGTATGATAGAACAGACTGACAGACAAACAGAATGACTGAATATAAATATTTCAAGATACACGGAAAGATAAGGCACGTGAGGATCATTGACAAATCTCCCCATGACTCACCCGACGATTGGCCCGGCTTCTCGGGATTTGATATCATGGTTAATCCCACTACTATATAATCAAATGAACCCCACATTTAAGTCTGACCTTAACTTCTGCAGCAATCTACAACAAAACAAAATCAAATACCATAGACTTTCAAAATGCCTTCTAAAATTACGGTGGCCGTTGCCCAAGCACGCACCCACAACACCCTCTCGGAGACTCTTTCCGCTCTCAACCGCATCACCCGCCATGCTGCCTCCCGCGGTGTCCATCTTCTCCTCTTCCCAGAGGCCTATCTGGGTGGATATCCGCGTACCTGCAACTTTGGCACTGCCATTGGTGCGCGTCTGCCCCATGGTCGGGATCAGTTCCTGAGCTACTTCCATTCTGCGGTTGATCTGGGGGATACGCCCGCTGGAGCGGGTGATGATTGGGTGCAGAGAAAATTGCCGGTTGCGGAGGGGAAGAATCATCGCGGTGATGGCACCCGGGAAGCTCTCGAACGGGTCGCAAATGAGACGGGAGTCTTTATCGTTGTGGGTGTTATTGAGAGAGCTGCGGGCAGTCTGTATTGTTCTGTGCTCTATATTGACCCGGCGAAGGGGTGTCTCGGAAAGAGGAGGAAGGTAATGCCTGTAAGTACTAACAATCTATACCTTCTTCTTTTCTCTCCAATATGCTTGCTATGTATATGTCGCATAGTCATCTAGCATATGAAGAAGAGAGCTAACCCTGAATAGACTGGAACGGAACGTCTCGTCTGGGCCCAGGGTTCCCCTTCAACGTTAAAAGCCGTCACTACTCACCTCAATGGTGTCCCTGTAACTCTGGCTGCAGCGATTTGCTGGGAGAACTACATGCCCCTCCTCCGACAGAGTATATATTCACAGAACGTGAATATTTACTTGGCTCCCACGGCTGATGCCAGGGATACGTGGCTCCCACTGATGCGGACCGTGGCATTTGAGTCCCGGGCATTTGTACTAAGCGCAAATCAGTGCGTTAGGTACAATGAATTACCGGACTGGGTCACCGGCCACCAGGAAAAACAAGTGTCGCATCTCAGGAAGCGATCTGTGACGTCTGAAGGGCCGCATGAAATTGTTTGGCCCGAGGCCGATAAGGATAAGAGCAAGTCCGCTATTGCAGCCCGTAAGTCCCTAATTTTATCCGTCTAGTTGTTGGTATAGGGAAATAATGGAAACAGAATCTATTTCGACAGAATACGTTTGCCGCGGCGGTTCCTGCATTGTCGATCCGCAAGGCCAGGTTCTTGCGGGCCCTATCTGGGAGGTTTCTGCTGATGATGCGCCTGATTCCGCTACCACGGCGCATGCAGCGGGTATAGATGGCGGATCTGCGGATGCCGTTGGTGATGGGCTTATCATCTCGGAGATTGATATCGAGGACTGTGAAAGGGGTAGATTGGACATGGATGTGGCTGGCCATTACTCAAGGAATGATGCGTTCAAGTTGACGGTGGAGGGATTGGATCTTAACCCACCTCCCTTCTAAAGTGCATTGATTCCGAATGTATGTGTTGGGTGGATTCTGTGATTGAAGCTATATACATATTCCTTGTACATGATAACTATGTAGCAGGAGCCGACTAAGCTTGTACATAACACCTAATTGACACAGCCGCAATATCGTCAGTGACGTTTCAGACCTCTGCGAATAGCCAAACCAATAACCTGATTGACGCCTGCAAAGGAGCGCGCCTAGAAATCCACTTTCCGAGCTAGAATAGGTATATGTGTAGTCATCGAGGGCGGTGCTTACAAGAGGGACAGACATATGAAACAGATTCAGACTGAAAACGAACAGCGCAAGCCCTGAAGATCAACCTCCAAGATGACCAATTAAGCAAGTTTATGAAAACCCCAAACTCTACCTCCGAGTAATAACATCGTCCAGAGCCTCCCTAATATTAGGATGATTGCGCTCCTCAAGTTCCATCTGTTTCCGCATCTTCTCAAGAGCCGAGTAACGATCAGAAAATCGAGAATCCTTCTGGAGCGAACTAATGAAAGATGAATCGACTTGGATCCTCGAGTCTCGCAGTAGAAGCTTCAGAGTGTCCCATCTCCGCCACCTGGCCGCTTCAGTTAAGGGATTATTAAGATTGGCTTGTTCATGATTCCTGTCGACAGAATAGTTCACAAATGGCCTCGCAAGGATCTCACGTACGATACGCTCTTGTCCAACGTGCACTGCCCACCATAGTTCAGTGCGGCCATCTTTATCGGGGCGTCCAACTCTGATACCCTTCTCAAGTAAATAAAGAGCGTAGTCAGGCTCTCTCCAGGTCATAGCGTAATGAAGCGCCGTATGACCATTTTCATTCGCTACGTTCAGAAGAGCCGGTGACAACTCGATCAGAAGGTCCAGGGTGCGTGGAGTGCCCGTTACGAAAGAACTTAGAGAGCCATGCCTGGCAAGTTCATGGAACACGGTTATGCCGTGGTTCCCTCGCAAAGACAAAATATCTGTCCCGATGTCCAGTAGACCTTTGACGGTATCCAAGCGCGCGTAACGACAGATCACAGCAAAGGAAGTTAATCTAGTAACGTTTTTGCATCCGGCCTTGTTGAGAAAATCCGCCAGCGTCGGCACAATATCTGGGCACCGAAGACGGTCAATCAAGTCGAACGGCACTTTTCCATTTTTATCTGCTAGATTCGGATCGGCACCATATTCCAGCAAGAGACTGGCGCTTTTATACTTGAGTTTGTCCACAGCAATAAGAAACATGGGGCTTCGGTGCGTCACGGCGCGGGAGTTGGGGTCCACGCCTGCGTCTAGGAACAGTCTAAGGGCAGCAATGTTGGATTCGAGAATACACCTCAGCATTGGCTCGGCAGGTTTTTCGTTTCCTATTCTTTCATATTCTTCGTCTGCTGGAACAGCACACTGTCTTGCTGCCTTTCTTCTCCGACCGAGGAGGATATCGTTCAGAGATTTGCATGTCGCAGATAGCCGACAGAGATCCCTCTTGTCGAGATACTCGGCGACATCGTAAAACAAATCATCCGAGAGCTTTGTGAAGCATGATTGTTCAGATGGTGGCATGATGCTTTTATGAACTTTTTTAGAGCGTGTATGTGAAAAATTGATCGTTGTCCTTAGGTGACAGCCTACGAGTGGGTGATAGTGCGCTTTTTGGCCACTTGAAGATTATTTAAGAACCAACGCAGAGACATAGTGCTGCTTGTTACTTTGACATCTTAGTAAAGTATATTTAATGAATGAAGAAGATCATTATTTAGGTTCTATATCTAAGGAGCTTGAAAAGAGTATTTATACCAAACAAAGGATTACTTCACAAAAAGCGGGAACTCCCTAAGAATAGTTGTCGATTCGAGGGGACTTTAAGTTATCTTTTGTAATCTAACAGGCAGAGATTAAGTAGAAGTCCCTTCTAAAACAGACAACATATAATAATGACCTTGATTTGGAGAGACACTTTATAGTTTTTAGGGCAATGGGGTTCACGGGACTATAATAAAACAACTCCAAGTGTGGGGAAACCGAGAGTAACCTCGGTTGCTTTATTTTCCCCATACTTTCTTGCATTCAAATTGATTCGATTCCTCCTTCAAGTCACTCTACTATCGCCAAACCAGACAACATGTCCAGTTCTACATCAAGCTACTCGGCCATTGCCCAGCGCAAACAAGCACATCTCGAATCTCAAATTCCCACAGAATGGAAACTTTCCGCTTCTTCGATTCCATCGGGGATGCTCTCCCTAGAAGACTCTATCACTAACGCTAAACAGTATCAGTCAGTGAATGTGATGCAGATCCCAAGAACATGTGGACTACTCACTAATGAACAACTGGAAATTACGGAAAATTGGGATATTCGGGGCCTTTTGCGAGTCATTGCAGAAAAACGATATACAACGGAAGATGTTGTAACGGCCTTCTGCAAGGTACACTCTCCCATTGTTCTAATTTCCTTTCACTTTCTATTTCTTTTTGGAGGCAGATAGTAACATCACCAGCGAGCGGCGATCGCTCACCAACTCACCCGTTGCTTGAGCGAACCACTTTTCGACCGCGCTCTCCAACGAGCCAAACAACTCGACTGGCATCTCCAGAGTAGCGGGAAACCAATTGGTCCATTACACGGCCTACCTGTTTCTATCAAAGATTCCTTCCATGTGAAGGGCGTTGACTCAACCACGGGCATAGCTGGTCTCGCATTCCAACCCGCTACGGAAAACTCGCCGCTAGTGGATCTACTTGAATCCTTGGGCGCTGTAATAATTGGTAAGACCAACGTCCCCCAGACCATGGGCACTCTGGACAGCTGTAACTACCTCTTTGGTCGGACACTCAATCCACTGAACCGGCAGTTGACAGCAGGAGGCAGCACGGGCGGCGAGGGAGCCTTGATCGCCATGCGGGGGTCAATGGTCGGCTTCGGTACGGATATCGGAGGCAGTATCCGTATACCGGCGATGTGCAATGGTATTTACGGTTTCAAGCCTAGTGTCGGCCGTGTTCCCTTCAGAGGCCAGGATGGAGGGCATATACCCGGCAAAGGAAGAGTCTCCCTGCAAGCTGTTGCTGGTCCCCTGGCACGATCAGTGGCTGATCTAGGCGCCATCATGGAAGAACTTGTGCCGCGGGCCGAGCTCTTCGGGGAGGATTGTATTCCTGGTCGGTGGTATGGGGAATTCCCCTTCCGGCTTCCAGAGACGCAGCCCCGGAACGTCACCATCGGTGTACTTCGATCGGATGGTATTGTCGAGCCCTTGCCTCCTATCGCCAAAGTTCTAGATGAGGTGGCTCAGTCACTGCGAAAGACACCCGGTATTGACGTGGTTGAGATTCCCGTGCCACCGGCATTAACCAAATGCCAGGGCCTGGCAGGGCGATTGATGGGCGTCGACGGAGGAAACGCTATGGTGGACCTACTCGAGAGCACGGGAGAGCCGTTAACCCCCTGGCTACAGGGCCGGCTAAAGCGGGGACGGGAACTAACGCTCTCGCAGCTGGGACAGCTGCAGGCTCAGCGGTCTATTGTTGAACGGGAGCTACTCAAGATGTGGACTTTGAATGGTAGCTCTGAGCGCAGGATTGACGCTATTATCCACCCTGTAGCTCCACATCCGGTTCCTCAAATTGACCGCTATAACGCTGTTGGGTATACGTCTAGCTTTGTCTTGTTGGATTATCCTGCGGGAAGCATTCCAGTACGTCCATTTAGGGAGTCCGATCTGGAGAGCGGGACGGAAATGAATACTCCTGTGTTGGGAAGCTGGGATAAGGCCAATCGACTGCTGTGTATGTTGCTCTATCCTACTTCCTTCCAAGCGTCACTTGTCCTGACTAACGCTGAACCAAACAGGGAATGAAAAAACGGTCGATCGCCGGGTTTACTTGGGTTCACCGCTAAGCATCCAGGTAGTAACGCCCAAGCAGCATGACTATGAGTTATTCAGAGCCATGGAAATCATTGATCGGGCCGTCAGGGTACCAGATACCGAGAAGAATGCAGCCAAGTTGTAGAGGCAGCTCTAGAAACATATACATTCTCGCATACAACTAGACACGAAATGTGCAAACACACTCATACGTACGCCCAATGAAGTAGAGCAATATACGAAGAGATACTACAGACACAAAGCTCATAGTTTGCCCTTCAAGTGACTTCCACCATCCGTTGCGATAACCGCTCCATTCAAATGGCTGGAGGCTCGACTTCCGAGGAAGACCACTAAACCCGCAATATCCTCCGGTCTACCCAATCTCTTGTTGGGAGATTGCTCCTCCAACGACTTCAAACCACCCTGCAAACTGATCAGGCCATCAGCCATCTTCGACGGGAAGAAACCAGGCGCAATAGCATTGCACAAAATATGTCTGGGGCCCAGATCAACCGCCAGATTCTTGGTCAAATGGATCACTGCCGCCTTAGAAGCCGAGTAGCTGAAAGTAGCATTGTCCCCGATAGTACCCACACCCAGACCGGCGATGGAGCCGGTCACAATGACTCTGGATGGTTCATCACGCGTCGCCTTGACCGTAAGAAGGGGGGCGAACCTACGGAAACTCAGGTTAACAAGCGAACATCCCAACACATCACGTCTCAAAATTAGAGAGAGAAAAAAAGACCCACTTCTGCACCAAATAAAACACACTCTTCACGTTCAAATCCATCACCTTCGAAAACATCTTCTCGGGATGCGTGTCGAACTTCTCGCCCCAGGTCGCCCCCGCATTCGCAAAGAGAATATCCACATGATCCGTCGTCTTCTTCACTTCCTCCACTAGTCGGTCCAGCTCGGAGATCTTCGAGTTATCAGCGGGCACGGAGATGGCCTGCGCGCCGGGGCGCTTGTTGGGGAGGGCATTGAGGGCCGCAACAGCCTCGTTGCAGGCTTGGGCTTTGCGCGACGCGATGTAGACCTTTGAGCAGCCGGCTTGGAGTAATCTATTTCCATAGTTGTTAGTAAGGGAGAATGTCGTTTGTGATCGGTATATGGAATGCTGGGTTACCCGCTGGCAGCGTGCAGGCCTAGGCCCCTGGAGCCGCCGGTTACGACGGCGACTTTGCCCTCGAGGGAGAAGATGGAGCCGAAGTTGTCGAGTTCGACTTGGTCTGCGAGGGACATTTTGGTGGTGGAATGGTGGCTTGGTTTGACTTTAGGTGACTGGGATGTGATGGAGTAGGATTGAGGGAGGATTTGAACTTGAAGTCATGGTTAGACAATTAATGGGGAACTGTTTGGAGAAGCTGGTTTGTTTGCATTGAATCGTACAACTCAGACATACCGAGGTTCGGGTTCTTTTCTTCCCCGCAAAAGAGTGGAATTTATAGTTAGTTGTATTAATAATCAGTCAATCATCTGGGTTAGCTAACTAGTTATTTGTCTTGTTGAGCCCTAACTTGTAGAGGTGAGGCTTCGGTGATTGATGATCGTGATTCACGACCGTGACTTGTGAACGTGCAGGTTGATTCTGTGTAGATTTTGGGCATTGTATTATATAGACAGCGAGTGTGGAGGTTCTCATCTGATGATATATACTTTCTTTGAAGTCAGGTCTAGTACGTAAAGAATGATCGCTTCTCTCCTTCGTACTAGTCCTTTCAGTTTCCTCGGACTAATTCTAGACATCATTCTGTGCTGTTCGATACACAACTTAGACGTGTTGAAAATTGGACCGGATTACAATATCCAATGGCTATCTTCAGGTCAACCTTGTGAGAAGTCGGGTGTAGTAAAAGGATATTATAATCCCTGTTGGATTCAAAAGAGATCTTGGAGTTATTGGTGCATTACATGTTTCCTGGGCGGGGCGATGCTTTGCTTTGACTGCTTCATGCTGTACAATTCTTATGAGGAGAATGCAGTTTGGACCATCATAGGTACATGTCTCCATACTATACTATCTAGTTGACTGGTCTTTCCGTGTCATCCACTTTCTCCTACGAATCATAATGGCCAATCTCATAATGTGCTCATAAGGTCCTCTGAATCCCCTCAAACTCCCTCATAGCGATGCCCCGCTGATATGATTGGCCAGGTCAAGGTACCTTGGGGCCCTCAGTTCTCTAGGGTTATAGTATAACATTCTCCTATCTTTAACCCAACATCTCTTACAACCCCTCTTCTCATCTCCTTCCTCTCTTCTCTATTCACATCCTCCATCTTCTACAAATACAATATCTCATACCAAAAACCACCCAAAATTAACCGAACCACCGAAATGGCCACCACATTCTCTCTCCCGCCCCTCCCCTACGCCTACGACGTAACCAACCCCATTCCTCTTCCCCCAAAACAAGCTAACACCCTCCCCAGGCCCTCGAACCCATAATCAGCAAACAGATCATGGAAATCCACCACCAAAAACACCACCAGACCTACATCACCAACCTCAACGCCGCCCTAACCGCCCAATCCACCGCCCTTGCCTCAAACAACATCCCTCAGCTCATCAACCTCCAGCAAAAGATCAAGTTCAACGGCGGCGGCCACATCAACCACTCCCTCTTCTGGGGGAACCTGGCCCCCTACGGCTCGTCCGAGACCGATCTCGAGTCGTCTGCCCCCGCCCTCAAAGGCGCCATCGAGGCCCAGTACGGGTCCGTTCAGAAGTTCAGGGAGGCGTTTGGGGCAGCCCTGCTGGGGCTGCAGGGCAGTGGGTGGGGATGGTTGGTTAGTCAGGGGCCCGGGGGCAAGTTGGAGATTGTTTCCACGAAGGATCAGGATCCAGTTACGGATAGGGTGCCTATCTTTGGGGTGGATATGTGGGAGCATGCTTATTATCTCCAGGTTTGTTTTCCTTTCATTCTTTTCTTTTGTGGTCCTTGGGAGAGCGGCTGACTGGGCCATTCGTTTAGTATTTTAATAATAAGGCCTCGTACGTGGAGGGGGTTTGGAAGGTGCTCAATTGGCGGACTGCGGAGGAGAGATATAAGAATGGGGTGGAGGGCCCGGCGCTTTTGAAGCTGTAGATATGTATATAGCTCTGTTGAGATATACATAGCCATTTCATGATAAGAAGTCGTGTTTGACTGAAAATGAAATCTTAGGAGTTCGCAAAAGTAAAGTAAATAAAGTTAAACTCCATATAAAACCACCCAAAACTCCCCGCCAAATCCCACATTAATCACCGAAAAACATGAAAAGAAATCAATCCATCAATCAGTCATACCCCACAATCCCCGTCCCTATGCCATTCCCCACGGACGAACCTCCCTCCACCAACACCGTCACCTGTCTCCCGACGATCCCCGTCTCCGACACCCCCAGATCCAACCTCTCCGGTAACTCAAACTCCATCTCACCACGACTCTTGCCACAAGGCCGTAACCTAAACTGATGAAGCGGGGGACTCCTCAGAGCTGACGTGAGATCCCCATGTCGTCTAAAATGATTTAGCATTCGCCCAAGATCAACCATGCAAAGAAAGACATACTCAATCCGCAAATCAATGCCCCTACACCCACGGAACACATCAAACGTGTCCGCGTCCTCAATACGAAACACCGCCTTCGTCCCCGCATCCATCTCCCGGAACAGTAACGAGTACGGACGAAGGGACTTGGAGCTAGCGGTGGGAAACATGACGGCGATGCGGTTGCCGGTACTAGGGCGGGAGATTCCGCACATGGTTTGGAGTTGGAGTTAGGGTTATGGTCGATAGAAGATAATGGAGGTGAACGGGGTTTTGGAGGTTTATTTTCTTTCTTTCTTTTTTCTGTTTTGGAATGATAGATAGGCTGATAAAGGGTTATTCATCTACTCTAGCTACTGGTTTTATCTCTCTCTGGTGTATTTAAATATCTCCTTGTGCCCCAGTCCAGTCCCCAAGGTGTGGCTCCAAAGGTGCTCAAATCTGCGCAAATCCGCGACTGTAATGTGGGGCGCCTTGGCTGGACATAAATCAATGATCACTGGGATAATGGCAATGTGGCTTGTTCTTTGCGTCTTGTTTATTGTTTCGAGTGGTTTTGAGGGGATTATTGCTTGTTTGTATGTTTCTTTTATTTTTGTTTCTCTGTGTGTGTGTGTGTGAATGGGTGGAGCCTTGTTGCCTTAAGGCATTATGAGCTCTAAGCAGAATCCATGAACGCAGCCATAAGGGAGATTATTACAAAGAAACAAAGGGTTTCTTTTTAGTTTAGGAAGAATTTGGTACTATAGGTCAATCCTAGGAGGTTAACGTCAGATACTTGGTAACAACGCGCGAAACGAAAGCTAGCGTGGCGGTCTCTCAGATCTGGCAGACTATTTGAGAGTTTATCTATGCTCCATATGAGGGCTAAGGACCGGTAGTCCTACTTAAATTTGCTCGCATCATTTCCTAGTTCTAGATCCGTAATTCATTGATAATAGAGGAACGACACCCTGGTAGTCACATATTTTGGCCAACATTCGTGGCGCTTGGCCTTCAAAACCCGTTGATATAGACTCAATTCCCTCTTCTATCAAGGACCCGCTCATCGTCTCCTGGTCGCCCCGTGCGTTGCGCAGCAACAACTTTTAGCCTGGGAACTGTGCCATAATCTCCGGAGTCGATCTTGAAGTTGCAAAGAGATTTATATTCAACTGTCGCTTTCGTATAGGCACCTTCGGCCTATTACGAAAAAACCGGCCGGCCATGAACTAGCCGTTTCAACAACTCCACCTAATACATCATCCGCTCCGCTGTCTCTGGCCGTTCACTTCTAGCGCTGGAAGGACCATCTACGCTGTTCCGCGGCGTATATACTTAGGATATAGCTAGTCGATAACCTCCCAATCACCTCGATAGTCACTTTAGGCAAACTAGTCTATGTCTTGGCTTATCAATTGCTGGATGCGAAGCGTCACCTGTCTGTATCTGCCTCCTGGCTAGTAAATTTTTACAGGAGCACACCGTCACCACCGAGCCCCAACCATTTACATTTTTAACGCTGTCTAAGATAAAGTAGACACATCCAGAGTCGCCGCAGCCTGTGATCCAAGCTCGTCGATTCCTCCATGATTACATCGGATCTTCTTCAATATGAGTGTTGTTCTTGGGTGACTATCGCCCGAATTCAGCAACTAGTACTCATCTACCACATGATGGAGGCCGTTGAGGGCCTGGTTATATTTTGAGGTATGTTCTAGACGGAATATTTGAGCGCCGTTAAGACTCTGCTCAGGCTCATGATTTTCATATTCGCTTCACGCTTTTTTTTTGGGGGGGGGTGGAGGTGTATGTAACGTAGCAACCGGTGCATGGCATGACAACGTGCTCGGCTGGAATAGCTTGGATTTGAATTGATGCATTCATGAAGCGCTTTCGTGTCTCATTGATGTGGTTAAGGGCGGTGATGGGGTGGCTTACTATAGAGTACGGAGCGCGAGAGTGGGAAGTGGAGATTTATCTAGTTTCCCCCACCAGTTACGCTTAGCGCTTCTAGTGAGTCTTAGCTCTATTCGTGGGATTTATGCTCCGTACAGGGTCCGGAACATACAATTGGGGACACAATATGCTTGGATTTCAGAATTAATCTATATCGACACTGGACAGTGGAAAATTATATACAACTATGCCACCTGAATAGGATGAGCCTCAGTGTTATAGACAAACTTATTGCCGCCACCGCGCTGGACTTGCCACTCATCATCTGCTTCTGTTAGTTATTTCCTTATACTTCAAAGGATAGCTCTCTGCGGGGAGAAGACTTACCAGGAGCAAAGGTCAGATACACATACTTCAGCACCTCGGCGAACAGGAAACTTTCCTGATTATCAAACCGGCCCCCGCCATTGGCAGCGTTGACGTTGGTCAGGCCAGCAAATCCGGAGCTAGTGCGACAGTACTTGTTGATCGCCTCAAACGCGGCCCACACCCACTCACGGTACTAATCATTGGTTAGCAGGTTTACAAAATTTGTGGGCTGTAGATTTAACATACAGTTTCTTCACCAGTAACACGCCAGGCGTAGTAGAAACTTTCGATCACCTCGGGACGAAGGATATAAGCACCGCTGGTAATGTAGAAGCCCGCACGCTCATACAGCTCCTTCTGGTCCGATGGGACAGATTTAGGGTCCCAACCAAAGCTCTCGGGCCCGATACCAGTTAGAGTTTGATTATAAGTCTCGTGACATCCATTCACCAAAGCCAGGCCAAAATCAATAAAGTCGTCACGGTCCAGGACCGTTCCGCCAAGCAAGAAGCTACCCCCATCAAAGCAAGTGAGATGCTGGGAATTCAGGCTGCTTTCACCGTTGTTGTATGACGATAGGAACGTCAGGTCCGGGCGAGTTGATGGATGCGATGCCAGGTGTTTCATGGCAGACTCAGCCGCAGCCACCCAGCGATCCTTGTAGACGCTGTACTTCTTAGGGTCATATATGTACATCTTAATGAGGTATTCATAGTAGGAGTCGTCGCCCCCATCCCAGCTCACATGTCCGTCCGTGAACTCTCCCGTTGCGATACTGATATAGCTTCCCACCAGTCCGGGGAAAGGTTCCCCTCCCTTTGGCTTCGGGTTGAGCAGATAATTCTCGGCTTTCTGGCTGAGCTGTGCATACTTCGGATCCCCAGTCAGATCCGAAAGTCGCGTCCATTCGAGGACCAATGTACCTGTCACGGCCAATCCATTGGTTTGTGCGCCATCATTCCCTTGGGAGGTAATGTTGATATTATTGTGCGGAACACCGCTGGGAGTGTCGAAGGCGAACTTAAGGACGTCGGCCAACTTTTCCGACTGAGCTAAGAGCTGCTCAACCTTCACCGGGTCTTCGGCGAGGCCCGCCGCCGGGCCGTTCAACAGGTCATAACCAGATAGCATGCCACCCAGGTACCGAATTGTAGTCTCAAACAGGCTCACCTGATCCTTGGTCTTGGAGTAGTCAATCTGGGCGATATGGTCCAAGATCTGGTTGACAATGGTGGCATTACGCATGATAATGGCCGTTGACAGGGCGTCGACGGCGGAGGCACCCCAACCGTTTCGTGTATCGCCGAATCCGTTCGAGATAGGGTGCAGTTCATCGTGTGGGTATGCATATCGCTTGTAACCGTCCCAAGCATGCACGAAAGCTTCCTTTACGGCTTCTGCACGGGACTCGGTGGGATCGGGCTGTGTAGACTTGAATCGGGGATAGGCCAACGAAGGAGTGATGAGGCTCAAAGCCGCCAGAGGCAGTGAAAGCGAAGGAAGATGCATTATGAAGGTAGGGAATAATAATCAACAATAAGGAATATCGGAATATTAGGGATCAACCCGGTGTGAATGAAAGGAATGACAGCCTAATAAGATAGGCGGGGGTTTCACTGGAAATTTATACTCTTAAAATGAATGACTTGACAAACGAGTGGAATCACCTCAACTGGAGGAGGACAATGAAGGAGTGAGCAGGAATTGAGAGGAAAGGGGGGAGGCGTGTGTGAGAGGAAGAGAAAGGAAGAGGAAGATCCATGTGTCGCGTGGGAAGGCGAATGATCATCTTTTAATTCGAGATTGTTATGGGGAATCAGACGACTAATTTGGGAAAGTCATGGGCTCGACCCTCACTGTTTACTAGTACAGAGTAGTGTAGTGTGTAGTATAGTATGTACCGAATTGGTGCAGGACACACCAAAGTAGTACTTCAGCAAGATAGAGTTCTAGACTATTTCTCTTTTTTCTCAGGTCCACTCCGCCGCTAACCCAGATCGGCTCGTCCCGGTGTCGATCCGGGGTCACTGATTGGTCATAACGTTATGCAGGGGGAAAGAAAGGAAAGAAGAATGCGAGGGTTGATGGGAAAGGAAACAAACAAAAGTAACCAAAATAATAGGACTACAAGGATTCAATTCTAGAGGCAGTACTCCGTACTCACTATTCCTTAATCCTTTAAAGTGTCTACTGAGTTATCAATTGATATACCATGGTTCTAGAGGTATCATCTGTTGGAGTCACGCTGTTGAACTCACTCCAGGTGACACGTACCTCAGGAACCAACATGCCGCCTCGTCCGATCCTCAACTTTCCGTAAGGGGCAATTTCTCATCAATTCTTCTCCGTCGTACATTCACAAGTCCAGACGGGGCCATATATTATACCTTTCAAACCCAGCTGCCAAGTCATCATGGCGTGCACTTGAAATTGGATCCGGATACTCTCAAGTCACACCGGACTGGGTTATACATGGATATCCTACCTTGTATATCCAGTATATTCCGAATATCACACATGAGCAACAGTAATTCTCCGGGATTCACTCTTTCTCTGTCCGTCATAGCTTAGAGCCACTTTTTATTGATCGGGAGGACGTGCGGCGAGGGTAAAAAAGTGCGTGTGTTAAAGCCTTACGGCTATTGAAAATGTCACATCACCAGAGTATGCAGGCTAAACTGTCTAGACTCCCCCATTTAGTATCTCTCTCAACAGCCGCTAAGGCTGGCCGCCTCGTAGTTTTAACTTATACTTACATCAGAAAAGTACAATATAGATATTGATATCCAAGCAGATCTGTCGGTTCCCCTTCCATCGTACATATTCGTCCTCGTCATCAACGGTCACCATCATCCCCCCCCCCCCCTGACTCGCCCATTATTCGCAGGCAATGGGGTACAGTGAGCCCAGAGACTATGGCATACCCTTGGTCGTAAACTGGCTATCATGGCTTGGTGGAGTTCATCCTGCTCTGGCTAAGGGCTGATATGGGAGAGGAAAGATGATTGGAGCATGCTAGGAATGTTGAAGGAAATGTGAAAAAGCGCTCGGAAGGATGGGTAGGGCCGAACAAGGAGGTACTGCCTCAATTAGTTAGAGCTATCAGGTAAGGAGTGCGGTCGAGAAGAGTCATACGTGTCTATAAATACCAACTAAAGAGTTACTTGAAGTATTTGGTCACTTCGTCATTGTCCTACTGTGCGTTCCACCCTTGGAACGTTGCCCGGCATGAGGCATTTCCGACCACACTTTGTTGATAACGGACTGGAACAGCTTTCCCTCATGTTCGTTTACGTTTTCTAACTCACGGAGACTGAAAAGCTTTCCTGATGCTTAGATTTTACTCTTTCTTTCCCACGAACCTCGGCTATATTAGCTTGGTGAGTATATAGCGCAAAACCGGTAAGCACTCCAACCCACATGTTGTCCTCTCGAAGGGTATCTTTCCACTGACCTTTCCTCTTCTCATGATCCAAAAGCTAAGCACGCTGAATATTCACCTTCTTCTAATGCTGGTAAGCTTGGAGGACTCTCCTATTACTAATGGTTCTCCAATGCCTGTATGAGTAGTCCACTCTCCCACGGATACTCCCGTGGATACTGTCATGGACATCCCTGTAGGCGATTGTCACGGACATTCCCACGGACATGCGCGCGGGATACTCCTCGGCCGCAATCTGCGCGGGACGGTCCTGCCTTCCAGCCGGTATCGGTTTCCCGGCTCATCCATTGGGATTTTGCGCTGCAGTGTGACGTCTATGAAAGCCAACAGTCTCCTGGGTTCTTTTGGGTGGGGTGTGGACTATCTAAGGGGTTTTTCTGGGCCTGTAGACTCTGGGAGAATTCCACCTGTGTGCCTTCCACGACCAGCCCGGAAACGTCGATCCGAGCACAGATGAAGTACCAGACCTTCCCATGACTATCATCGAGGTAAGGGGGGAGGGGGCGCTCTGGAGAAAGTTCATACAGGGCGAGCCATCTCGACGACCATAGATCTTGGTGAGCTTTCTATGGGGCTTTGAGATAGATCGGGAGATGAACTGGTAGAAAAGGAGCTCTGAGTGATATCGCTCGGCTTTGATTGCCTCGCAGGTTCGGCGCATGGTATTAGAATTGGCTTTTGACCTTTGCAAAAAGTGACAATTTCGCCCGGAATATAGTCCATGCCATATTGCGTTGTTCGGTGATATTGTAGCTACGTCAGTACGGCCTCCAGGGGGATGGAGAAAAAGATCAACGCTCCGAAGCAAATATAATGGAGTTATCAGGGTACGATGGGTCACTTAAGCAGAACACTTCCGCCAGTGCATCCACCCACTGTCCCTTTGAGCCCATCGGGGAGGTTTCCTCGTATGCGCTCTTCAACCACCTTTTACTCGTCACGTTGATGCAAATTGGGGTGATAAAGGCGAGTATTTTATCCGCGGTGAGCACAATTGAGGCCTCCTCAACACACTTCTCGAGCACCAGTTTCTCAATCATATCGTAAGGCCTTGCTTGGAAGAGAATATTAGATCGGCCTGGCGTTCGAGACTATGTAGCGCGGCGGCATCGCCCTCGTACGGAGCGACGAGATCGTAGGGCAGTCTATGTTCGTCGACCGGGCTGAATTAGTCAGATCCATGGAAGGAATTGGTCTCTTGAAGGAGGGGAAGCTCATTATGGTGAATTCGTGACGGAGATATTTGAGCGAAGGTCGCGAACGGAGATCACTGCTGGTCGCGCACGACCATTGTGAACTGTACGATCACTGAGCTTATTTTTAAATCAAGAATATGACGCCGACTGTCTGCATTACCCGTGTTCATCGAGAGAGAATTCCTAGCTGGAGACATCAGACGGGGAGTCGCACCGATCATCGATTTCAATGGTAGGGATATCCGTAAGTATCGAGGCTGATCTGGAGGTACTCTGAAGTCGCCGAACTGGGATATCCATTGTAGCATTAGCAAAGGCAATGAGATTAGAAAGAAGTCTATAAATATGAAGAGAATAAAGAGGGAAGAAAATAGAATAGGAAACAATCCTTGAAAACAAACATTGTCTAAAAGTAGATATCAACCCCTGCTATTTGTGAGGCTGTATGTATGTACACAAATGTGAGTATAGAATGAACAGGTGCGTGTCCAGGAGGGATTTGTGAGTGGGCTCAAGAGTTCACTAATGAACGTACTTATAGTAATACCAGGTAGTACTCAGTAGGGGTTAATTTCCGTTCCAAAGAGGACCACCCCCGCCAACCAGGCCAGGCCTTTAGCATATAACACATTTCAGATATTCACGTATTGGATTGAATTGCAATTATTCCAGCAAGTGATCCTGTGTCTGTCTCATGGAATGTCATGCCGAGGAATTTCAATTACCGGTCAATCACAAACGAGTAATAAATTCATGATAACCCACCCTCTTATCGGGTTCCTAACATTCCTGATTGGGGAAAGGGTTGTCCGATTGCGGGGCCGTGGAAGGAATTTCTTTCTTTTATGAATCATCCCGAGTACTTACTTCACTAGTAGTCAACCTCACTTAACACTTAACACTTCCCTCTTTCTCTTCCTCCTTCTCCCCCAAAAAGGCATTGGGGTTCCAATCCTGCCTTCTCCTTCAATCTCCCGAGTAGCCTCTACTCGATCAATTAACTCTTGTCCTCCCCTCCGTGTACCCCCCCCCCCAACTACCCCTCCATCCCCTCACACCACCACCATGGCTACTCCATTTCTCGTCTCCTACGACCCTTCCTCCAATGGCCTATCACTCAAACAGATCGCGTACTTCGGTCGTGTTCTGATTAAGGTTTCCAGCGTCGCGCAAGCCGAAGATTTCCTACGTCAGAATTTCCGTCTACTAGATGTCTATGTTGATGCCACCGCCATCTCCGCTACCGGGGACCTCGTCGATATCCTCAACGCCGGTGCCGCTAAGATCTTTATTACCCTCGACCAACTGACTGCCCTCTCTCAAGAACAATCCGTTCCCTCGTCACGACTGGTTGTCTATACCTCTTCCGACAGCCAGGTAGGCTCCTTCCAGAGTTGGGTGGGTGAAGATTCCGAGCGCAAGGATGCCGGCGTTTCCACCAATTCGTCCGCTGTGAAGGCTTTGGTCGACAAATTGGGCCTGGATCCGGAAGCACAGAATCTCTACAGAACTTATTCCACCGCTGTCACAGAGGATGCTTTGAAGGAGACTTTGACTCAGGGTGCTGTGAGCATTGTGCCTGCGCAAGCTTTGACCCTTGATCGCAACCAGGCCGACGGCAAGATTGTCGCCTCTTCTCTTATAGCAGCTCGTGCAGTAGTTGACCAGAACAACGGCCTTTATGCCACCACCGTGACTGATGAAAGAGGAACCTGTCTGGGGCTCGTCTGGAGTAGCGACGAGAGCATCGCCGAGGCTCTCCGCACGGGCACCGGTGTCTACCAGAGCCGGAAACGCGGCCTGTGGTACAAGGGTCAGTCGAGTGGCGATGTGCAAGAATTGATCAGAGTGGGATTTGATTGCGACAGTGATTGCTTGGTTTTCGTTGTCAACCAGATCGGTCGAGGTACACATCCTACCTGTCGTGGAAACTAAACAAAGCGTGCCACTAACTTTGGATTTTTACATAAGGCTTCTGTCACCTGGGTACGGCCCGTTGCTTTGGTCCCTACAACGGTCTTTCGCGTCTTCAGAAAACCTTGCAGGCCCGCAAAGCGGATGCTCCCAAAGGTTCCTACACTGCCAGGCTCTTCAACGAGCCCAAACTCATCCAAGCCAAGATCATGGAAGAAGCCGACGAGCTGTGCCGCGCCAGCACCAAGGAAGAGATTGCTTCTGAGGCGGCCGACCTCCTTTACTTTGCTCTGACCCGCTGTGTGGCTGCCGGTGTCAGCCTGGAGGATGTAGAGCGGAACTTGGACCTCAAGAACCTCAAGGTGAAGAGAAGAAAGGGCGATGCCAAGGGCCCTTGGGCGGAGAAGGTCGGTCTAGCAGCTCCTGCCGCTACCCCCGCCCCTGCCCCCGTAGCCGCCGAGAAGAGCCAGCAATCGGCCAAGGAGGAGAAAAGCCGCATCCAGATGACTCGTGTCATAACCGCTTCAACCCCCGTAGAAAAAGTTCAGGATTATCTAAAGCGTCCCTCGCAGAAATCCAACGATGCGATCGTTGGCCTTGTCCGTCCCATCATTCAGGATGTTCGCGAGAACGGCGATGCAGGTGTCCTCAAGTATACCCACAAGTTCGAGAAGGCTACTTCCCTCACATCCCCCGTGATCCACGCTCCCTTCCCGCCGGAGTTGATGCAGGTGTCCCCCGAAATTAAGGAAGCGATCGATGTCAGTATAGCCAACATCGCCAAGTTCCACAGTGCTCAGAAGGGTAGCAACGAGGCTCTCAAGGTTGAGACTATGCCCGGCGTTGTTTGCTCCCGCTTCTCAAGACCCATTGAGCGCGTTGGTTTGTACATCCCCGGTGGCACTGCCGTGCTGCCTTCAACCGCCATGATGTTGGGTGTTCCTGCCATGGTGGCCGGCTGCAAGAAGATTATCTTTGCTTCACCGCCTCGTGCCGACGGTAGGGTTACGCCTGAGATTGTCTACGTTGCCCACAAAGTTGGAGCGGAGAGTATTGTGCTTGCCGGTGGTGCCCAGGCGGTTGCTGCCATGGCGTACGGTACAAAGAGCATCAGCAAGGTTGACAAGATCTTGGGCCCCGGTAACCAGTTCGTGACCGCCGCTAAGATGCTGGTCTCCAACGATACCTCTGCAGGAGTCAGCATTGATATGCCGGCCGGCCCTAGTGAGGTCCTGGTGATTGCAGACAAGCAGGCCAACCCCGCATTTGTTGCCTCGGACCTGCTGAGTCAGGCAGAGCACGGCGTTGACTCCCAAGTTATCCTTATTGCCATTGACCTGAACGAGCAGGAGCTGCAGGCCATCGAGGATGAGGTGGACAAGCAGGCCAGGGCACTCCCTCGTATGGATATCGTCAAGGGATCTCTCGAGCACTCAGTCACATTTGTGGTGCGTGACCTCGCCGAGGCCATGGCTCTGAGCAACGACTATGCTCCAGAGCATCTCATCCTACAAATCGAAAACGCGGAGGCCGCTGTGGATCAGGTCGAGAATGCCGGCAGTGTCTTCATTGGCAAATGGACCCCTGAGAGTGTGGGAGATTACTCGGCCGGGGTGAACCACTCTTTGCGTAAGTTCTAATTGTCTCCCTTAGATTTCCTATCAATTACTAACCCGGATCCAGCAACCTACGGATATGCCAAGCAATACTCTGGAGTGAATCTGGGGTCTTTCCTTAAGCACATCACCAGTTCTAACTTGACGGCCGACGGATTGTTGGGATTGTCGCGCACTGTTGAGCAGTTGGCGGCTGTGGAAGGCTTGGACGCCCACAAGCGGGCTGTGAGCATCCGAGTAGCCCACATGAAGGGACAGTAGATCCATTAGCCAGGGATATGCGGTGTTTCATTTTGGCTTTTCACGACCTCAACTCTTATGGGTAATCTGAATCTTACTTTTCCACTGACGTTTTACAAAAGACAAGTCCATCGATTTTAATTGACAAAGAGTATCAGATCAGCGGTGGTATCCTGCAGTAAATCTCTAGACAAGTACACAACCCATGTAGAATACTTTTCCCATGCCATACACCCAGAAACAGCCCAAATGCAAATCCAGAAAGAAAAGAAAAAGAAACAGCAAAAGGAATCATCAGTCGTATGGTGAGAATGATATCAAATCACTTCTTCCGCTCACGGATCTTCCACTTGATCCCATTCTTGTTCGTGCCTCCCACCGAGTTGTCCATCCGTCCACGCTGCCAATCCAACTCGCGCTCCGCAGCCGTGATATCGGCATACTGCTTCTGAAGCGCCTTCAGCTTGTTCTGCCTCGCCTCCGCCGCGCGCTTCTTTATTTTCCGGGCCCGACGAGCGGCCGCGATAGCCTGACGCTCCGCCTCAACTTCCTTTGTAGTCTTTTTCCGCTGAAGATCCTCATCGTCCTGCCTCTGATTACCACGCTCTGCCTCGTCTTGCTTTCTCTTCTTCAACCCCTTCTGCTCCCGTTTATCATCAACAAAGACCATCTTCTTCGGTTTAATCTCCTCCTCCTCTTCCTCCTCATCGAAATCGAAGTCAAAGTCATCGTCATCATCATCTCTTGCCCGACTCTTCTTCTTCTCGCCCCCCTTATTCCCACCCAACACCTGACTCACACCTTCCTGCAACCGAATCTCCTGCTCCAGCTTCTCTATCTGCCGCCGAATCCGCTCCCCAGTTGTTCGCAAATACCCCGCATCCTGCGTCTTCAGCAACTTGATCGCATCATGACTGAGTCCCGCAGCGGACTCCCGCGTCGCCGTCCCGTGTTTGCCCGCCTTCTGCGAGTGCGACGACATCATCCCAAAGGCGAATTCATCGGGATTCCGGTTGCGAACCTTCTCTTCCAATCGCTTGAGTTTGGCTTTCTTCTGGTTGTAGTCTTTTGCGCGCAGAGCGTAGTCCTATTTTTCATTTCATTCCATTTAGTCTCCGGATGCAAAACTAGCCAACTTGAGAAAGAAAGAGCCAAAGCGAAAACGTACCTTGTGCTTTTCAAGAATACCCCATTTCTCACGGCCCCCGACCTGGCCTCGCTCGCGGTGCTGCCGCCTATGGACGGCGTTACGCATAGAGGACATTTTGACGGTGCTGTTGGTGCGGTTTATTAAATATTAAATTTGCAGTTTATCTTCCGTGCAAATATGGCGTGAAAATAAAAAGCTACACGAGCTTGGTGGGGAAAAAAGAAAAGAAAAAAAAAGAGGTGGTTAGGACTCTAACCCGACGAGGGGGAAAAAAGTTGTTGGAGTTTGAAAAATGTTCGGAGAATCGGACTAAGCGGAGAAGAACTTCAAGGCGAAGTCCAAGGTGGAACTTCAACTTCCCATTCATTCACACCTACTCTGGCCCGTTTTTCCACGCGCACGACCACGATTTACTCCTCCTCACGCCATTAATTCATGCTCGCCTACTTACTGGACTGCTTTTTGCTGTTTCGTATCGATTTATATTCCTGAATTGGTTACGTTTAACTGCTGTAAATACCGAACACGCAGATCTCAACCTCAAAACCTACCTCAATCCATTATCTATTGGGTAGCGACTTGGGTCAATTCGGGTTTGATTGGGGACAATTTATGAGGTTGGTTTTGGTTTTCGAGAGAGGAAAGAAATATACGGCATATATTATATCATGGCGACGACATCCACATCAACGCCGGCCTCGACCTCGACGTCCACGCCGAAATATAACCTCCGCAATCCCCTCCCACTCTCCGCAACGCAGGAACAGGAAGTAAAGAAGATTTTCCACAAACGGGTACGAGCGCATTGCGCGGAGGAAATTAAAGGTATTTCTATCTATATTTTTTTTCCTTCTTTCTCTCTTTCCCCTTTTTTTTTTCTTTTGCTATATCTCCTCTTTTATGATTTCGTAGATGCTTGGCTTGTGGTCTGTGTTAACAAGTGTAGCTTTTGCTCAATGCGCGGTTAATCGGACGGTTACTGCTACGTGGGTGTGTCGGGATCAACGGTTGACGATGAACTCGTGTATGCTTGCGCATGCGAAGCCTGAGGAGGAGGACCGGGCGAGGGAGGAGTGGTTTGCGACGCATGAGGAGAGGCGGAGGGAGAAGGAGGAGGAGAGTAGGAGGGTGGAGCAGAGGAGGGCGGAGATTATTCGGATGATGAGGGAGGATGAGGCAAGGTCGAAGAAGAGGTGATTTGATCTGTCCTCTTCATTATTTTTGGGTGAATGGGTGGGAAGAGGCATTTGGGGATGTGTGTTTCTTATGTGTACTCTGGGTTGTGAGTTGGGCGTTTTTCCCCGTTCCTTGATTTCTCCAGTTTCTTGCATTAGGGTTGCAGTCGTATATCATTATGTACAGTAGATCGAGTCTGTTGATATCTCACAGCCTCAATGAAAGCAAATCTCCTCCTGATAAAGCTTGTTGTCTGGCTGATCTTGACAGAATATAAGACACCTGTTTCGTGCGCCGAACTCCTAATCGCCAGTCCCGTCCGGATATTTTCTTCTTTTGTGTGGAAGTAAAAACGAAGAGAGAAAAAGGGACTCCGTTAGACATCCGCCATGTCTTTGTCCCCGTCTTCATCTCCATCCCCCATAACAGCATCTTCTCCGAAGATATCCTCCATCTTCCCATCTTCGTCGTCCTCGGCTCCCTCCTCCTCTTCACCAGCCGCACCACTCAGCCCAGCGTGATTACTCTCCTTCGGCTCCTCCACTTCCTCCTCCCCTTCACTCTCCCACTCATCCTTCATATTCCACCCAACCCCAGTCAAACAGAACCTCTCGGGCGGCAGCCTCATACCCCCCATCAGAACACTCTGATTAGCCTGCGGCTTCGCCTGCTGACCCTGATCATACCCCCTCGTAGCACCGGGCAAGGCAACACGATTCCTCTCTGCCGCAACATCCATAAGAAACTCCTTCGGCAAGCCCGTCTGAAACTGATAATGCAATCTCGACGCAATACTAAGCCTCAACGCCGGCAACGACACGCTATTCACCTCGGGCGGGCCCCGACTGGACGAGCCACCCGCATCCCCCGTGGCGCCGGCATAGCCCTCCGTCGCGAGATGGACGGCGTCCTGCAGGACGCCGGAGGTATAGCGGTAGGCGAAATCGAGGAGTTGAAGGGGCACGCGTTCCTGGTATGCGGTGACGCCTAGGGAGGCGAGGAGCATGTGGATGAGGCGGACATCTCGGGGGCGACGGGACTTGCCGCTGTCTTTTAAGGAGGTGGAGGGGACTTGGGTGGGTTGTGCGACTGATGAGCTTGTGGGTGCGGTGGTGTTGTTGCTCCCTGATGCTGCTGGTTGCTGGGAGGCGTTGACGGTGTTGGTCGAGGGTTCGGCTGGGGGGGTTAGGGGTTGGGTTGATGGGCCGGCGGTTTGCGATTGGTTTGGAGAGGCCATTATCTTGAGGTTTATGGTGGTTGAGAGAGGTTTGGGAAGGGTGAGCGGGAGGGAGGTTGGTTGGTTGGTTAGCTGTCCGTGGGATGTGGCTGATTTTAGCGATCGAGGACAGGCGGTAGTTTAAGGCCAAGTCGGCATGGCCGCAATACGGAGGCACTGCAACGGAAGGATTAGGAAAGTAATATTATTCTATACTAGTATTCTTCTCAAGGGAAAGAGTGAATGTTGTGGAAGGTGCACTGAGTGAACTGGAGGTGAAGATGCGAAGAACATTGATTTGATGAAGGTCATTGGCCCCAGTCCGCACTATGCCCTTTCGGGTAAGTCGATGGCCACCTCTTGCTCCATAAATCAAGATAAATCATTCAAACACTTCCGAGTCAATACCGTATGACTATATGTATGTGTGTATATATATATATAGTCTAATGCTCTATCCTCAGCGATCTTTGGAAGCTGCAGGCAGTCCTATCACACTCAAAACCAGGAAACGCTCAACCGATAAAGTAAAACAGTTATGCAACCGTGAAACGCCAACTATGCTGTAAGAAAGATGCAACACCGCACAATGCAAGAGTCAATCTCAGGGGCCGGCAGGGCATATAATCACAAAGTCATCGCCGGGGTGGGTATCTATGAGCGTCGTAGAGCAGCATATAATTATTACACTTAGTGATATGACATTCAAGCCATGGAAAGACGGTCATGCTCAGCGTTTTGGAGAGCGGCTAGCACCAACCGGCGAGAGGCGACTCGGCTTTGGGGTCTCATTAGGCCCGTCATCGGCGTCCTCGTCGTCCGCCTCATCCTCTTCTAGGTGACTCTGGCCGTCGACGAGATCCAGTGAGCCCTGCGAGATGTAGCTGTTGGCAAGGTCTTCTTCGGCAGTCTCGTCCTCGTCAACATCACTACCGTCCTCGTCACTAAGCTCGCCATCATAATCTTCCTCGTCTTCCTCGTCTTCGTCCTCGTCTTCTTCATCCTCGCTATCTGAGCTCGAGAAGTCCGCTAACTCTGGTGGAGGTTCACGCCAGTACGTAAAATCGGTGTACTCCTCGCCCCCAGCCTGGACTAGTAAACTGATAGCTGGGAAGAAGTGATCCAAAAGCTCCTGCATAGTAACGTAGCTGCTCTTATACTTGGTCAGACTGAGAAGATCCAAAGACACCTCAGCATTGGAGTTGATTGTGAAAATCCTAGTAGATGGAATATTCACGGATCGGTAACTCAAAGCATCGGTTAACCGATTCCCAAAGCCGGCGTAGAATGGGTTCTCCTTTCCATTGAAGAGATTCAGAATGTCCCGGAGACATGCCATCTTGAACACTTCCGGCTTTCTCAAATAGATCTCCCGCCTGAGGGCTGCCATCGTCCGGTCCGGGCTCATGATAACGGGACCTTTGGGCAGCTTGTATCCATCTTGGTTAACCCCGTATATATATGCACGGGTAGTATCAGCTTGGCCAACAGATCGGCTTGTAAGGTACATGATATTGTAACCATTGTTGACGATATCGGTGTATAGCTTAGCAACTCCCGCGTGTGTCCAGTCACGACCAATCATATTCAACACATGGCCCAAAGCATCGGATCTAAAGCAGTTATGTCAGTCAAAACAGGGTCAGGAAGGTCAGTCTGCCTCATAGTAACTCACTTGGTAATGGTCCCATCAATGTCTGATATGACAATCGGTGTGTTTCCATTCCACAGATACATACTTGCCGTGCAAGTGGCTCTGTTGACGCTGAATGACATCTCATTCGCGCCTGGCTTTAGGTTCAGCGCCTTGAGCTGGTCGCTTGTCAGGCGCAAAGTCTTCGCGTAGTTGCGAGTTGTCTCACCCGGCGTTGGTGACTGCGGAGGAGTAGGTATACCCGGCTGCACATCAGATTGGGTGCGATGGTGGCGGGTCTGTATCGGCATGTCACGGATAGCCTTATCACCGTCGCTGTGATATCCCGGATCGGAGATGGCATTATCACTCATGGCAGAGCCAGGCCTCATTGAGTTGAAAGTAGCCCTACGGTTCGCAGCTTCCTTTGCTTCTTCGCTGCTATAGATCCACAGGTTCCCATGTTCATCGGCTCCTATGAGAGCACCAATGTCGTAACACCCTTCTAGCTCCTCGGCGAGGATCTTACGCGCAACAACTTCGGCACGCAAGGCGTCCTCCTCGTTGCTTTTGTATCCAGTCATGTCGAGCATAAGATCACCCGTCTCGGTCACATGCGAGGGAATATTCGATCCAGAGAGTTTCTTTGACAGAGCTGTTGCACGCGAAACAGCCTCTTCCAATGATGGTGGGGGAGGGCTGTGAGAGCGGGCCTCGTCAGTATCGTCAGTTGGCCCTGCTGCTGACAAGCCATAGGCACGGTCTGCCACGCTTGAATGAGTTTTGCTCAGAAGAACATCATCTGAGACTGCACGGTCAAGATTCCCCGGTTCTAGATCATCTCCAAACGAGTCATGGTGAGACCTGCTTGTATTAGAGTCGCCTGGTGATCCTGACAAAGGTGTCATCGTTCCTACATAATCAATAATATTAGATCGAGCGCAGAAAGGGGACGATATGGTATATCGCACCTAAATCACTAGATGCCCGCATGCTTCTTGACAGAATGGGGAGACCTTTCGGCTCGCCATTAGAAGACGATCGATCTAGATCCAGATAGTCGGGTTCTTGAAGAGAGCCCGGGAGATTTTCTTCGCTGTGCGTTCTCGGACTACCAGTCGGCGACACTAACGGCGAGGTTTGTAACGAAGCGGGGATTTCATCTGACGTCTCAAACACAAAAAAGGCTTCCCCGCCTTCACCTAGCTTCATAGAATAGTTTTGCTTGACGCCATTGACTTTGAATTCCACCTTGAGAGAATTCTAGTCAGACGGGTATTCATCGGATTGATTTAAAATATATATATATAAGAATAATACTGCACCTTCTTCTCATAGGGACGGAGCAACGAGAACTTGCCAAATCGAACATGAAAGGGAGAACAAGCGAGCGTCCCTGGAACCGACCGTTTAGCATCCATGGGATAAGTCAAGAGCAACCAGTGCGCCGGTAGACGAACCATCTTCTTGTTCTATCACAATCACATCAATGGCCCCGCTTAAAGTGGCTGGATTGATGGAATTCCAAGTCTTTGAGACGGAGCCACTGATACTGCGCACGTACTGCATCCCGCAAGGTTGGATGGGGAAGGCCCCTCGATAATTTCAACGATTCAATGGAAGCGGATGAGCGATCGAATCGAAAGAGGGAGAGAAAGGCAAGGAAAAACCGCGATGGGAGGGGTGGTGAAAACAAGTCGAGGGGGTCCGCAGGAATTGCCGCCTACATACGGCCCATGTGACAAAGCCCGAGAGGCATGAACGAATGTAACCGCTGTATCAAATGACTGATTTTTAGAGCGAACCAAGTCTGAAACAGTGACCCTCCAAAGTGAAGCGAATGCGATGTGGCAGACGGAGAGAGGGACAAGTCAGACAGACCTTTAAAAAAAGAGGGAAAAAAAATTGGAGCCTGAACTTGAGGAGTGGTGGAGGATCTAGATGTTGGCTGTTGGGAGTCCCTCAACGGCCCAACGAGCATTACTCTTTACTTTACTCTTACTCTGACTTTACACTAAGTAAGTTCCTCGGCATCAACCGGGCCAATGCCGCTAACCCGCATTGGGCATATCCATATGGAGTTAGTTAATGGCATGATCGGCTTAGTCAGGTTCTTCTGGTGACTAAGCGTTGTCCGTCACATGATCTTTTTCCCGCCCCACACACGCTGTTTCCGCGGATTAGTTTGTTGGAGATAGTTCAAGTTGCCGACCGTACTTGACTGCCCGACCAACCAAAAAAAAAAAAGTGGACTTCGAAGAGGCTGGCTTCTCTCGCCAATCTGTCTGTTTCCCCTCTTCTGTCATACCCGTCTCCATGGGTATCCGACGCTGGGATGTATGAGCCGCTGCATCTATCTTTTGACGCCTACCCTAGCGTGGTTCCCCGAGTAAGGGTACGAGGTGTCATGGCTCTTTTCCTGGCGGTTACGATTTTATGGGCTTTGATCTGGTACGTACCCGTCAGCTTCTATATATCACATCTATCCCCTTCTAATTGACCTCTGTTAAAGGTTGCTCTATCGCGCATGGCAAGTCTGTCAGACTCCGAATGATGTCCTGGTGGAAAAACTCGGATTGGACATCCCTCCGCCACCAGACGTTACACTAGAGGGGATCACTGCCCGTGAGATTCGCATTGCTTGGAAACAACCGGAGTTTCACAACTCTATTCATAAGCATATCATTCAGGTGAACGGATCCAAAGGTAACTGTTTTCCTTCGCTCTTTCTCCGGTGTCGCAGTTAGGGCTGACGGTCATTCTTAGTAGGCGAGTCGAAACGAGCGGAAACCGCAGTGGAAATCTTGAATCTAGCACCAGGCAACATCTATCATATATCCGTTATTTCCGTTAGTGCAGCCAATTTCCAGACACCCAGTTCTATCATTCACGTACGGACACTATCTCTTCCTTTGTCCCAAACCCAGCAAAATGCGCCGGTTGGCGGTCCCACGATTCGGGCGTCAGTCCCCCGGTCGACAGCCGGCCTCGCAGCTCCCTCGGCCCCGGTTATGTCCCGCGAGCATAGTGGAGGGCAGATACCGACGAAACGATCTTCGGCTGGTCGAAAGCAATCCCCTGCCGCTGGCGGACCGGAATCCTCGCACGGCAACGTAGAAGACTCGCAGAAAAATGCGATCACCGGGGATCGGGATGAGACTCTAGAGAAGCTTGCCGACAGGCTGAAGTCACTGCAACATGAAAACGAAAATGTCGAGAAGCAAACTGCTGACGAAGAGGAAGAACATGTCGCTCTCTTGAAGGAGCTGGAGAAGCAGCGTGACGAGTTGAGGAAGCGAGTGAAGGAGAAGGACGAAGCGAGCGGTGACCTGAAGAAACATGTCTATAAGTTAGAAAGCGTCAATCGCACAGTGCAAAGTGAGAGAGCGAAACGTGAAAGGCTCTTACAACAGAAGGAGTCCGAGCGCAAGAAGCGCAAAAATGATATTGTGCGGTGGCGGGAAAAGATGTCACGGATGACGGCCGATGCTGCGCAGGCAAAGGAGGAAAAGGCACGTATAGAAGAGGATGGAAAGAAACGCGCGGATGAGGTGCGCGAGAAGATCGCAAAAGAGCAAGCAGAGATGAAGGTTATCGATGATGAGATTCAAGACAAAGGGGGCCGAGTCAAAAAGCTAGAAGAGGAGAGGAAGACGCACCAAGGTCCAGATAGTGAAGATGGCAGGGAATTGGATCGAATCGACAACGAGCGTGCTCGGCAGTGGGAAATCAAGTTGAGCAACCTTCACGCTCGATATGCTACTCTAGTGAACATACATGCCCAGGTTTGTGACTCCCTAGAGCCTACTTCTATCGCAGACACTGACTTGCGCGAAGGCCCAACAGCAATATCAAGAGGCGCAAGAGCGCTTAAAGTGGCTGACAACGCAAGGACCCGGAACCACAGGACCTTTTTCTCTACCCGCTCTGGATCTAGACTTGTCAAACACAGCGACTATCCGTCCACGTCGTCACCGCAGCTCTCTCACAAGCAATGTTTCATCTCCCATGAACTTCACAGCCATGGAACCTTCGTTTTCTGGTGGTATCAATTACAACGCGCCATCTACCAGCTCGCCTACATTTGGGCCCAGCCCTGCCTTCTTCAATATCAACAACGGAATGACTATTCCGGGTTTGTCAAGTCAGGCCGATTCCACTTCTGATTTCTCGTTCAGCAATCCTCAAATGAGCCCGCGGGCTGACGCCTTACTTCCGTCCGACCTTCTTGGGGATGAAGAGTCACCAGAGCTCCCCCGACCAATTGTTCGTCCTCAAATTTCAGATATTGAATCGTCAAGTAGCCAGCTTGAGGGTTTCCCCCAAGGTCCACACTCACCAGACTCTTCCGAGAGCCGACCTGGCAGTGTCTTTGCTAGTCCTCATGAGAGTCAGAACCAGGAGACTGATTCTCAGTCCGTACACATAGGTGACGCCGCAGAAGCTCCGAAAAGTGCCTCGCGGCGACTGTCTGGTCTCTTCGGCTTCCATCGCCCTCGTGGTAAAACCCTGGCAGATGAGCCGCCTTTACTAGGCTCTTTGAAGCCGGGCCAAAGCCAGTCGTTTCCACGCAATCTAGACGAAATGGACCCTATTGGTTCCAGGCGCCGTCGCTTGAGCTATACAGGAAACTGGGCCAACCCGATGTCCTTGTTCCCAAGGAGCAACACCACGGGTGTCACCACAGATAGTTCTTCCGATCATATACCATCCCGTCGAGCTGCTTTTACAAGTATCTTCTCCCCTAGCAGGTTTGGCTTCGGCAGTGGAAACGGCTTGATGAAGTCGACCGAACATGCCGATCTCAGCGCTGGATATAACCAATTCAGTCCTAGACATGATCCCATTGATCCCTCATCAATCCTAGGCACTGTCCGACGGGGCTCGTTGTCACCAAGGCCATCGTCAACTTTTTCTTTCGAAAATCAGCTTCCCCATCCATCCACGGACAATCGGCACTTTGGTTGGCCGTCGGCGGAAAAGCCGGGCCATAGGAGTCCTTTGGGGTTTGACTGGGCTTCACCCTCGACTTGGTCTAGAACCCACTCACGCCGGCAGTCCACTTCATATGGCTCATCCGGCCATTTACCCCTAGGACTCACGGGCGAGCCTGATTTCCTCCAGGACTCGTCTTTTGAGAGACAAGGTCGGCCACTGCAGGCACCGATTGGCACGAGACCATCATCTTCACATCGACCCGTCACCCCGAAACTGAACCCTGCTGCGCCTACCTTCAAAACCATCTTTAGCAGAAGTTCCGAGAAGGATAAGGATAAGGAACGGGCGAGAGACAATGGAGCAGACACCTCTTTTGAATTCCTTATGGAAGATGGATCCCCATCTGAGCCTCGTACCTCCAAGGAATCATATTCTCGCTCACTAAGCGTCTTTACCGGGGATTCGTATGAGTCTCTAGAGCAGATACCCTCAGCAGCTTCTGCGGATAACAGTAGCTCGAAGGAGTCATTCATTCGGAAGATCACACGGAAGGGCAGCTCCAGCAAGTTCAGCTCATGGAAGGACCGTTCAGGTCTGTTCTCTAAGAAGGGTGATCCCTCGCAGGGTGATATCGACGAAGACGGTAACGGCGAGTCGCAGCTTGCGATGAGCGTGGACAGCACTATCTCCAGTGCCCCATCTGTGGATAGATCGACCAGAAGCAGCCTAGGATTCTTCAGCCGCAAATCTAAGAAACCGGAAAAGGCGCCCAGTGAAACAGGCGAACGGCCCAGTGAACAGGCCAGCGAAGCAGGCGGCGAGGAACATTCAGAGGATATCCATACTTGATCGTATTTTTTCTTTGCTCTTCTTTTCCTTGGTACTCTTATGGCTCACCGACTGCAGAGAGGGTGAATTCGGCTAGATGTCAGTCTTCACTCCTTCGTTGGACAGTTTCATTTATAAAGCATTGGGTAGTAATCTCTCTTGGATAGCGTATGCCTAGTGCCTGGTTTCCTTATCTCAGGTTTTTATCTCAATCATTCATTTTATATACATCTCCTTCTATTAACATATTTTTTTTAAAGTGGTTCTTGCTGTAAGAGGAACAGTTCATTTGTAAAAATATATGTATTTTCTGGCGGGCATCATATTTAATCTACCCGTCGGTTAAAGCGGCGTCCGCACAATTTTATTCATATTGCTTTTCTTCTCTGCCAAATCACATACTATTATTATTTACGCACAAAAAGTCATATAGTTAATTAGAAAAATGGCCAACTCAAAGTATTTTCCAAACTGAGTCCTTTTGAGTCTTTCGAAACAATATGGCTTATATTCATCCCAGATACGAGTACGTCAAGGCCTTCGAGCAACCAGACGTTTTGCTCCCCAATACCTGGATCGTAGTCCGCATCGATGGACGAGGGTTCCACAAGTTAGTAAATCTTTCTTTTCCTTTTTTCTTCATTAATATCAATTACTCTACCTCCTGGATCGCGCTCATCTACTCCGTCACTAAATACCTGAACAGACTTACCGACCGCTATCAGTTCAAGAAACCTAATGACCGCCGCGCGCTAGATCTAATGAATGCCGCGGCTGTAGAGGTCATGAAAGACCTTCCTGACCTGTGTATTGCATATGGTGTCAGCGATGAATATAGGTCTGCCTCCTAGCTCTATGTGGCGCTTCACAACAGACGATACTAACCTATCCCAGTTTTGTCTTCCATCCAAGCTGCCAGTTATTCGAGCGGCGGAACGCGTAAGTTGCGCTGTCTTCCAATTCATCTAAGGGCCAGGCAAGTAGGCCTAGACTGACGTTCATGATAACAGCAAGCTAGTAACGACTATTGTATCCACATTCACAGCTCATTATGTATATCTGTGGGGGAGGTACTTCCCAGATACCCCTCTTCAGTCACCGTATCTACCTTCCTTTGACGGGAGAGCTGTTGTCTATCCAGCTACTAGGAACCTACGGGATTACATGAGCTGGAGACAGGTGGATTGTGAGTCCTTCGCATTCTTTTTGCCTACTGGGATCACATCTCACAACCTTGCTTAACAGGCCACATTAACAACCTCTACAACACAACGTTTTGGGCCATGGTCCAACAAGGTGGTATGAGCAACACGGATGCAGAACGAGAGCTACAGGTATGTAGTTCTTTTTATCCTCGTTCTCATGAGGAAGGCTAATGATTGCTGTGAATACAGGGAACCGTGTCATCGGACAAGAATGAAATTCTTTTCAAGAGATTCGGGATTAATTATAACAACGAGGAAGAGATTTATAAGAAGGGAAGCGTAGTTTATCGTCAAGTGAGTGGATCAGCAATACTGCGGCATACAGCCCGTTTACTAATCCAGCTTGTAGTACCAACTAGAGGATATCAAGCCAAAATCAGAGCACAATTCAGGCGCGCTGGCCGAGGAGGAAGGTAACTTTCTTCAAGAAACAAAGACGTCCAGATCACAACAGGACAAGCTTCGTAAATTGCGCCGAAAGGCACAGGTTATTGTTGACCATGTCGACATCATTAAAGATGAATTCTGGGAGCGAAGACCTTGGATTCTCTCAGGAAAGCCGGGCAAATTGCCCACAGTAGCTTGAGCTTGTTACGAATTATGGTGGTAAAAATAAGGATATCAGATTCAGATGTCTTATGATATAAAATACGATCTTCATAAGAACCGCTGTAGCTGTAGCAAAATGGGTATCTATCTATGTACGGCCATCGGCAAACAATGATATCCTTTAAAAAGCGAATGTACCATCAATCAGTTCAGACTGTTCTTGAATTTTTGGAACCCTTGGAGGTTTTCGGTTTTGATTTCGAGCCGTCCTCGAGTGAGGGCTCCTCGCTCTTTTTCTTTTTGCTTTCCTTGTCCTTCTTCTTTTCCTTCTTCTCTTTCTTCTTCGACTTTTCTATTGTCGTCGTGGATCCATCGTGTCCACTAGACTCCGTCTGATCATTTTCGATCGACATCGGAGTAGGATAGTCCTCTTCCGGGTTATATCCTTCCTTCGCCTTCTTGCTCTTGCGAGTAGATGACTTTCCACTCTCATCAGTACCGGTGCTGTCCTCCGTCTCCGCTGTCTTCTTCATCTTCTTTTTCATTTCCTTTTCTTCCTTTCTCCTCCTCCTCTCCTCCTTCCGTTGCCGTCTCTCCTCCTTACTCTCCTTCCGACCCTTAGAATCAGACCGATCAGTCGAGGCAGTAGGATCCCCCCCACTCTCGAGCTTGCCAATCTTCTTCCTCTTGCGCTCCTCCTTCCTCAGCTTCTTAGCCTCCCTGTCCTCCTCCTCATCCCCATCCCCATCATCCTTCTTCCTCTTTCTCGACTCAGACTTCTGCTCCTCCTTTGTCCGCTTCTCCCCCGGCCCAAGCGTCCCCGGAACGACCTCCCCCCTCACAAAAAACCGGTAAAGCTCACTAGTCAACGCATTCGGCTTCTTCTCCGTCACAACACTATTCTCATCCCCCACGCCCTTCAGCGCATCCTCGAATCCGCGCAACCACCACTGGTTCGTCGGGTCTTTGGTCGTCGTCTTGCCAACGCCGAGATTGCCTTTGCGCCGCGCCACAAGAATCGGTTTCGTGAGTCCGAGGCCGCCGTGGGTGCCTGGTCGACGGTTGGGGTTAAGTGGGTTGCCCGGGCCGGACCAGCCGTGGCGGATTAGGTAGGCTTGGGCGTCCATCTTGGGGGGTTTTATTACTTTTGGCGCTTCGAGGCGATTAGGGCGATTGTGGGGTGGGGTTTATATATTGGTTTCGGGGAGTAATTATAGATTTGGTTCTGATGGGATGGGATGTGGATATGGATATGGATATGATTTTTCAGATATGCGCTGGTGAGGGCGACGAGCTAGGGAATGTATGGGTTATAGGGGCGTGGCCGGGATCATAATATAAGCAGTCCTAATCAATATTCCACCAGGAGGGTGAAACCAAGGAAGAGAGAGAAGGGGTGAAAAAGACAATGGAGGCAGGAAAGATGAAGGAATGAACCCAAGCTCGAGTCCCAGAGAAAAAGAAGAAAGAAAATTCCGCCGCAGGAGATAAGATTTCCGACCGGGTACCTTTCTTTCAGCCTTATCAATTGCATTAGAACCGAAAGACGTTCATAACCAGTACCATGGACTAATGGTTGGGTTTTTTTTCACTACAGTAGTTCCGAAAAGGTTCCCGGTTCGATCCCGGCCGGGGACTACTTTTTGCTGGTTTTACTTTGGACTACCCGCACGGGGGCATACAGTAGTAGTCAGTCTTTTGATTTCTTCTTTCTTTTAGGTTTGATGTAACCCTCCAAGAAAACCAAATACCCGTAGATCAAACAAACCCCAACCCCAAGTTTACCCTAATCCCGAATCCTGATCCCGAATCCCTATCCATATTCCCACTCATTTCGGAGGTTTCTTCCGCCGAGATGCACATATTACCCACACCATACGAACAACGGGCCCCACATCTGCAAACTCGACCATAGATCAACGTAACCGTGGAGATACTAGCACCGACCGATGTGATCCATTCCTGGTATCTAAGTGGTTCATCGGAAAAAGCTGGTTGACCGCATCCCATCCGCCCCCCGAGACGGCAGTGTGGGTTGGCGATATAGTCTACTAGTGGTGCCGGAGGAATGTGGGACCGGGGAGTTTTTACCCTTAGGTGTGCATGGGATTGACATGTGTACGGTGTTCCTGGTGAGGTGGACAGGAGGTGTAAGTTTGTGTGTTGGTTAAATACACTGAGTGAATGTAAGAGTGAGCGGCGATCTATATGTTGGAGATTTGGACAGGGGGGTTAACAATGAGGATTGTTGGGTTATTCCGATTGTGGTTAATGGTAGGCATAGTGACAGTACCTTTACAGCCCATATATATATATTATATATAGAGCAGGGCTGTCGTGCAAATACATTCGGAAGTGGAAAATACTGGTATAGGTATGTACGCCGTGACAGGAAACGTATTTCGTAGATTACGTATTTTACATTCTATGGTGGCGGTCAATGAGGAGGTGGTAACTATGGAGCAAACACATGAGACCTAATCTAATAGGGTTTGAACCGTCCCTTATCCTTATTCTTTTTGGGCCGTGCGGTCTTGCCGGAGGACTCATCTGCCTGTTCTTCACCGGACTCCGGTTTCCAGGCGCGGACAAATCCGTCTTCGCCGCAAGTGAACACAGATTGGGACTAGGTTTGAGCTGGTTAGTTGCTAATTGAATAGAAATGCTATAAAGAGGATAAAACATACCTGCTCGTCTAGATAGACGGAACGAACAACCTCTTCACCGTGCGCACCAGGAAGGCGCCACAGATTTTGCTGGTCAAATTGCCAGGATGGGCTTGAAGTAAGAGGGACCAAATCTAGTTGTTTCTCACTGGATAGTGTTAGCACACCAGACAATTGAAAAGAAGTATAAGGGGAAAGGGAAAAATGTATTAAAAAAAATGCTACTCACAGCTTATGACCGGCAGCAACATAGGGGCCCTGACTGCCAACGCACAGCTGGGCGATATATTCACAGCCCAGGGGCTGTCTCAAGTCACCGAACTGTATAGGGTTGGGCTCTTGTATCTCTTCTTCCGGATCCGTGGCTGGATGAATCGAGAAAACCTCATCGTGACTGAGCGCGTAGATGGTCCTCTCACTTAGAAAGCCGGCGTGATGTACCGAGCCATGGTTGATGACTTGGACAAGAGCCTCGTCTTCGTCTGTGATATCGGTGTTGTAGATGTTGACTAAGCCATCCGTACTTCCAGAAAGCAAAATATTGTTTCGGGTTGGGTGATATTGAAGCTACAATTTGTCGATCGGGAGGATTTGTTAGGAAGACGTGTAAACTAGGTATAGGGTCGGACCTACCTCAGTGACATCGTCATTGTGGCTTTCGACGTACTGAAGTCGGAATTGACCGGGTGATCTGACATCCCTGTTAAGTCAGTTAGCAGCTCGTGAAACAAAAATATCAAGTGGAGAGATTCAATAATCTGTGGCAATGCCAACATGAACTATCAACAAACTCACCAAAACGCGACGACAGCCTGGGAAGACACAAGCTCAGTACCAGCTACAAGGCTGTTAGTTGTAGGACAGCAGGCTATCGAAAGCACTGGCGCATCTCTTGCTGTCAGGGAAGAAGAAATTAGCCATCAATAATCGTGTGATTGGGTAAGAGTGCACCATAAACTTTGAATTAGTTGGCCTAGTCATCACAAAGCATCAACGCTGAGAAAGGGCTCCTCAAAATGGAAATCTGACGTAGCCAAGGCCCTCCAAAGTCCAAACAGAATGAAGCAACGAGAGGAGAGGAAAAGATGAAAGGGTGAAAGAAGGCAGGGAATCTTACATGTCTCCACCTCTACCACTGCCGACTTCTTGCCACTTCGCAGATCCCAAAGCTTCACCTTCCCATCTCTTCCTCCAGTAGCAAGCAGTTGCTGACCCACCTCATACGATTTCAACGATGTGACTCCCTTGTGGGCGTCGGCAGCTATCACGGACACATGGCTGAGGCCAGCGGCATCAAACACACGCAGTGAGTCGTCCGAGGCGATAGCAGCGAATGAGCCTGGGTGTGACGCCGCGATGGAATAGATGTAATTGTCCTGGGCAAGCGAGAGCGATGAAGACGCCGTGGCTTTGAGTGTATGCATGGCTGTATAGGGATCGTCTAGTATATATAACCCTGATGGGCTTGTCTTAGGGCAAATGGCCAATTATCCAATTGATTATTGAACACCCTCGAGCCTCGGCCTCAGTGTGATAGATGGCCCCACAAAGACAGAAGATGATGCGTGCCCTACCGGCCTCGTTCTCGCCCAAAGAATGTTTGCTACTTTCGTCCCACAGGTAGGTGGCTGCCAGGGGTCTCGATATCAAGCCAGGCCGGGTAGTTCAACTTTCTTTGTCCTCTCCTTGACGTGGCTTACTCCGATAGGAAATAATTAACTGACGAAGGAAGAGAGTTGGATATCACAGGGCGAATTCAAGGAGTGGCCTTTTTCTTTGCTTTTTTCTTCTTCTCAGGTTTTCTTTTCTTTTCCCGGATTCGCCGATGGTTGGTTGCTTCATTTCTGCGGAAGCTGCGCCAAAGCCAAGAAATTTCCTCTTCTTTCGGAGGGGTCTTCGATTTGGATGCCTCACTTATGCGGCACCCAAACCCGGCAACCAACCAAACAAACAACCTCGTTCCATACTGACTAGGGAAATGGGGGTGAACTTTAGTAACGAATCCCTACAACTTCAAAGAGGTACCGTACCTATTATCGTTTTCTTTTGTTCTTTTTGTTAATTTTAGTTGGTGTTCCTGACAGACCATGCCACCTTGTTCGCCAATCAAAGATCTCCTTGTTTCCTTTCTATTCCTGCCCAGAAACGTTGGAACTACCCCCCATGGAGCTATTACGGCACTACTGGGATATATCTACTAGTGAGAGCAAATCAGAATAAGGATGGAGGCAATTATTCCCACATGACATGATAAATGAGGCCTATTGCATGTCTGGAGCCTGGAACTGTGCCGCCATAGGGCTATCACCGTTAAGCCTACGCCCCTTAAGACCTTTTCCCAGACATCCCCGCTTTCTAGCCTGAGACGGGCGGGCCAGCCGCAGCAGGAATCAAGATTCCCAGCTACGTGAGGCGTTGTAGTCAGGCTTCGCGAGTACTTCTACCGACTCATCCTTGAGTGTGTTTCCTCTTAATGGTAGTCCGAGGCAAATTTATATATATATACAAACGAGACCAGAGTGAAATTCGGCCATACTGCACCTAGTCGAACCCAAGCGCATCTAGAGTTCCAATTAATACGACATATTTTGCTATAAACCAGCTCTGGCTTAGTGATTGCTACCATGTTGAGACTGACGACTGTCTTTAACTCGATGTTTGCCATACTGAGGAGCTTGGAGGAACGAAATGAGTTAATGACGACCTATAGTTCGGATGCCGAGTCGGATATTGTCTGACCACAGGTTTTGGAATAGAGGGCTCCCGTCCAAGTGCACTTGATGGTGCAGCGATGTGAATGAATGGATGGCGATGGTAGCGACAGGATTGGCCAATGCCCAAAGGAGCTTATTCGCAGTATTATAGCAGAGTGGAGCATGAGGGGGTAAAACAGGCGAATAGACCAGTTCCTGTCAAAGACTGCTCCCTCTGTTCCCGGAAACGGCGAAGCCAGGAGTACTCTGCATATGCACTGCCGCAAAAAGGCCCCGAGACGGTTTCAACGTTCCTAAAAAGGATCCAGCAGGGACGCCTGGAGCGTGAAGCATTAAGCAAAACGGGGCCGGTGACGGACAGGACAGTATCCTCTCAGGGACAACCTAGAGATGGAACCGTGCGATTCTTCATCTTAACCATTGGGTGACCACTTTTAAAATTAATCCACTGTGACGCAAGGTGGCCCATTTGGTGCCTCACCCAGCGACTCGAACGGGGTAGTAGCCTTCGCACCTGGTTCAGGGTAGTTAGTCAAGAAGATAACTAAAATGGGGTCTTTTTTGTTTGTGTATTTGTTTATTGTTTTTGTATTTTTTTTCTTGGTAGAAAACTCAGGAGGCTTCTTGTGATGGAGGCACTTATTTCTCCATCACTGGCCTTCGATTCGTTGGCGAAAGGGTATATGGAAACGAAGCCACTAAGCCGATCAAGTACGGGTCTTTGAAAGAGGAGCAGGAAATAGTATCAACGATTGAGTGCCTTTTTTCATTTAGAGACAAAGTGGTTTTTTTTAATTGGTTACCGACAAAATGCGTACAATTTGAAGGTCGAGACAGTGCTGAGAATGCTAAGGCAATACTCCGCTCTGGTGTTACCGTTGGATTTTATGATTGGGGGAGGGGCTCTTGTCCTCAAGTCGGTGAGTTGTCGCAGCGTTTGGTGAACGCGACTATAATATCCGCCCCAACAGGAGGAGTCCAGAATAGGAACAGACACCGGACTCATTGTCTACGTCCGGGAGGCTGATCCAGGTGAGTTCGTCCGAGCCTGAGTTCTCCCAAATTGAAAAGGGAGCGCCTAATCTTCTGTGAAAATGAGTCAAGCACGAAACACAAGGCATCCTGCGATAGACGAGACTAGACACGGAAAGGATAGACTCGAGTGGGCTCTGACAGCTTGGTACGGGGCTTTGAAGCCAGCCAAAACCCTCCCCCCCAAAACCCCCTGACGCACGGAGTATATACTTGGTTCTTGTGACGAAGTCCTGGTAGAGGGCGCTTAGAGACAATCTGTGATATGGTACCAAAGTTCTGAGGTCGTTAGCAAAGGAAGTAAGGGGGAGGAGGGGTGATTTTTCTTTTTGGTTTTTCTTTTTTCCATATTTTTCTTCCTCTTAATTTCCTAGAGTTTTTAAAGTTATGACTATTTCTCGCCGGGGCTAGGATTTTGCAAATGAAAGGACGAATAGACATACACACAAAGCGCCCGACAGATGGATGCTGTACCAAAAATGGTAGTGTGGGTACAAGAGACGATAGGAGGAAGAGGAATCACCCGTAGGGGAAAAGACGGCGCAGGCCACTCAGCTGTTGTTACGTTGATCCCCGTCCCAGAGGCGCCGACTGTGTCTCGCCTTAGTTGCTGAAGGAGTACACAAGTACAATTCGTTGGTTGTTGGAAAGCTATCTTCCTCAAACAAGGTTCATTAGGTAAGTCTCCATCCTTAACTAACATAGCCCTAGGGGTGATTGTTGAGACTTGAGTAGTTCATCCTCCAGTGGCTTTGGGTTAAAAGGATCCATCCGTGTCAAACCGCACGGACTGCCAGCGGCCCAGATCCTGAGACATAATCCTAACAAGACACACGTCGGCTGTACGTTATGCTATGGGCAACTAAGTCTTCCATTGACTAGAATGGTACCCAAAAAGTTGACCGTCCAGGAATGCCCAGTGTATGTATGCACGATGACTGGACAAGGTACAATGCATGAAGCTCATGCATCACCACCTTCGACCCGAGAGTCTGGGAAGCGGTGAGACGATCAACCGATCAGACTTGCCTATCTATTCCTTACAAATCACATGGGCATGGAGGCCGTCCAGCCACGCAGTAAGTATGGAATGTATATGGCCGGTGATGCATGGGCTTCTTGCATACCGTAGCATGTACAGGAACCACGCTCGACGCAAAGTTACGATGGCTTATTATGGATAATCAGATGATATGAGTTAGAGAACACCTCCACCTTATCTGTATTAGCATCCGAGCAGTGCTGTTCAGATGTCATACGAGGAACCCACCGAATGGAGGTAGAAAGAGAACAAGCGTGGAGATATATTTTATTGAAAGGGGATGTATGGAGTAGGTACGATGTACGAGGTTACATAGCCTATGTACAGGGGTGTTTATGTAACATGTAACATAGTATCGTTATGTATCTAACTGAAGAAGAAAGTTTAGTACTGTACCGAAGGTAGGTACTGTACAGTACTAGAAAACCTGGGGGGAGTTGAGAAAAAATTAGAAAAAAAAAGTTAAAAATTTGCTTACCTATAGCCTACTACCCGCAATCCGGCATAGCTTTGTACGAACTTCACGGCCGATCCGCGCCGGAGCGGCTGCACGCAATGCCGTGATTAGTGACCCTGCGGAAATGGAGGGTTGGGGCCAATTCTGGTTTGTTTTTTTCCGGCGCTACTCGAAGGGGGAGCCACGCCCGAAGCTTCAAATCCTGCACCCACAGTGTTGGTACCGCTGCCTGACGTTTCATGCCTGAAATCTCGGGCAGAGCTTGTCTAGGACACGGAGATATTTTATCTTAGTGGCCCACGGTAACTTTCAATCATCTCACTAAGTGTGGGAGGCGGTCCGCATCCCGCCCGGAAGTCACTTTTTGCTTCTCGGTTGGACCCATATGTCTGCAATTGCTCCAAATTGCAGAGAATGTAGTACTGACGACTGCGGCGGGAACCCACGAACACAGAGATTGTACCACTACCACGGCGTTTTATTCATCTTCTGTGCATCATGCATCACCAATGTGAACAAGTTATTAAGACGATTTATACTTATTTGCTCTGCTCTGCTCTTTTCTTTTCTTTTCTTTTTCTTTCTTTCTTTCCTTTCCTTTTCTTTTTCCTTTCTCTCTCTCTCTCTTTTCTTTTCTTTTTTCCTTTTTTT